GGGAGAATGAGTACTGGCTCCTTCTCAAGTAATATATATAAAATATATATTTTAAATTCTTTGATACTCAATTAAGCTTGTAAGTGAAGCACTCTTATTTTTAAATCAATACTATCTTTTATTCGTTTCCTTTTATTGATTGCCATACTTTTCTGAGTAATTTGCTTTTAAACATAATACGTATGTATAGTGATCATCACATAGACCCTTGGAACTAGAACAATTTATACTCACGACGAGTCAATAAAATTTTGTATTCCTGTCTCACTCATAGTCAAAGTGTACGCGGATCTGATTCAAACTATACATCGAATTCTTAAAAGTTCGATCTTTACATTGCTAACTCGACCGCATGTTACTAGATCGTGGATCCATAACTTCAAATTTTTTTCGAACTATCAAACATACACGGTGACATTTTTGCAATTTTATAAAGAATACCACCACTTATTTAGTGACGGCGCGAAAGATGATTCAATGACATCAGCCCAATACAAAAATTGTCGACATAACCAAAACCCTAGTTAGCAATGAAGACAAGGAAAAGGAAAGTGGCCGGTGGCCGGGGGAGAGAATGGTAAGAGTCACATCGGAGTTTTTGACCCTTTTTAAGTAGAGCAGCAGCAGCCGGGCCGGGCCGGGCCGGGTTGTCGGGAAGAGGACCCAGGTGCCCGCCCGCCAGCCGTCCCACCGCAGCACGCGCGCATGGGTCTTCCCCGGGCCCGCCCGTTTTGACTCTGGCCCATAATATTCACACTTTCACACCTTATATATTTATTAAATTAATTAGTTTGGGCCACTTCTTTTTTTTTTTTTTTTTTTTTGAGATGGTCCATAAACCTGACGTCTCTTCTCTTCCTTTCCTGGATCGACCAAGATCGGATCACAGAGATCAAATCCACGAGGGTTATGAATTTTATAACTTGGAAGATTAAGAAGTGGTCCTTTGGAAACAAAAGGAATTTGAAGCCCCAAAATTGGATCGATGCGTACGGCTTTACTCGCCGGAGAAAGAATATATTTGTATACCATAATATCATTCCTACGGTTAATATTGAGAATTACGAGGATATAATCATGTGAGAGAGTTTTGCTTCGTAAAAGGTTTGAGTATTATAATTCTTGACGTCTTTTTATATATTTCAGGACGATTTTGTTTGTTCGAATTTTGGCAACCGTTAAATTTTTAGTTACCTCCTCGCGGTATCCACCGACATGCATGGGTGCTGAGTTTTAATTGCTTTTGTATGTTTGTTGGATACTCATGAGAGTTGGGAAACTTTTGTCTTTGACGGATTTTTCGCATAACAAGAAATACATAGTTTTTTTTTATAATCAACAATCTATAATTGTTAAATTAGTTGATGAATTTCTTATGATTAACCACTAATTTTTTTGTAAGGGTACTATAGGTTTAGTTTATGTTGTTTAGGTACTACTTAAGAGATCCGGATCTGGGATCTCCAGGTTCAAGGCTAGTGTTATTACCATCCGATCAAATCATTATTCGTAATTAACCACTAAATTTTAATCATAGAATATATAAACAAAATTATCTGCCTAATGCTATAAAAAAAATTATCTGCCTAATGAGCATAGCTATTTTATCTTTCATGAATTTATGAGATATCATATTCAGAAAAATTGAGGTTATCTACCTGAAAAGATTGGATATTAGCTAGATTTACTCTTTCGGTTAATTATAACTAAGCCGTAAATCACTATCCAACTAATTCTATTCTTGTACATTATTCCTCCTTTTCTGATCTTGCGGCGAAGACGTACACTTATTTTATTCTTTGAATCTTGATCTTTGCTTCCTCGACTCATCAAGTCTCAGGCGTTGACCTGTGAAAGTAACATATTCTTTTTTCTAGGGTTTGAAGTTTGCGGACTCAAATTAAGGAGAACTGACCTAACTTGTCAACTTGCCCTTTGATTCTTTCTTCAGGTTCAGTCGACCGTCAATGTCACTATAATAAGCTTCTTCTTAGCCCTAACTCAAACCTTTTCATTCTTCGCTTGTTTTTTCATGTTTTTTTTTTTCTAATAGTGTGTAAGTTCAAATTTTCATTTATCCATGTTATTGTGATTTTTTAAGAACAAATTTTTCATTTTTCTCCCATCATCTCGTCGAGTACCTCTTTCCTCTCAAGTCTCATCCCTCCGGTCGAAATGTTTGATTTTGCAAGTAATATTATAGGGACATTGCACATTGTCCTTCTTTGAATACGACAATACTGAACGTGCGAATTGCCAACAAATTAATAATTTTCATTGTCACATATTGAGTGAAAGAAGGAAAGAGAGGCCATGATAAATATCTTGAAATAAGCTCGAGTTTCTATTCGCCGAGATATTGTATGTTCTGAGTACCGCGAAGCTGCAAATTAGATATCTTTCATCTGATTTGCTGACCTCATTGCTTATGAAGTTAATTAGGTTACAAAGAATTGTTTGGTAACCTGTGCCACTAGGACTTGCTGCCTTACTAGCTTTGGCCTATTAATTAAGCAGTTGTGGAGCAGCTCTCTTCTCCCCAAATTCACAACATTTCTTGCCCTAAATTCCTTATATTCAGGGTCAACAGAACTGACATAATATATTGAATTGAATTGAAAACAACTAATTGGGATAAAAACAAAATAGTTATAATAATAATAATAATTATTATTATTATTATTATTGCAGATCGACGTGCGATTGAAAGTATCATGTTCTGGGGATCGGCAACATATACCAATATCATTATTTTACTTCATAATTCAAAGGATCTAAACCTTAATGATGGTTGCTATATTCTTATGATCATAACTAAAATACATATATGGCAAACTTCTATTGGTTTACAAGTATAATACGTAGCTACGGGACGACGTCGTACATGGGTGTTACTACTACAGAGTATGATTTCTGCATTACTGTCAGTGTATAATTAACAATCATGCCCTGAAAGATCCTACCAACATGTGCAAAGATATGATAACTCATAATTTTTTTGGTTATACGATGTTATTATTTGCTTTGATTTGTGGCAACCTCTTTATGCATGGAGGAGGGTACAATAATCATGTTAGTAGCTAGTACCTTCTGAATTTAGTTTAATCTATTACAGATGTGTCGAAAGGCGATCGAGTAGGCGTGGAACAATGGTAGTATGTTGTTTCAGTATACAACACATCAACTATACAAAGTATAAAGTAGACTCTGGCGCTCAAACAAGCGCGAGTGGCTACTTGCTTTTCGTGATTGGATTTACATATTTAATTTTACTTGAAACTATTTCTTCGTATTGGAGTTTTCTCTGTATGATAATTGACTTTAGAGAATGAAATTCTCACCTATAACAAAGGAAGAGAGAAATCCGCAAATCTGTCGTGTATTTCGAAAACTTAGACACCCAAATGTAACGCACGCCTTGTCTCGATCACCCTTAATTCTCGAGTTCAAATATGCAAACCGACGAATATCACTCTCCTTTCAAAAATACAATGATACTGGGCAATCCGCTTATCGATCCCTCCTAATACACTTTGCTACCCGACCTCTTACTTTCACGCAAAATCGTCGCAACCGCTTACAAACTAAAGGATAAAACGAACTGTTTTTCAATCCATTGCACCAACATGTAACCATTCCCTAGTGTAAACTAAACCAAGAAGGAATAGTTGATCTTGATGGTTCATTTAATTATGATTATTATAACACATTAGGTGAGAGGGGCAGGAATTGGTTAGTTAAATTTCCAAATTATTATCATATTATATAATATGAGTATGGTGGTGAGGGAGGCGCCAAAAGTATTAGAATTTAGAATTGAAACTTTGTGACCTAATGTGGACCGCCCGATCCTGAATTCTCTCAGGTTTATCCGGAACCCCTTTTTGCCCGTTTTAATTAATAGTAATATGGAGACTACTAAGCTAACAACAGCCGTTTAATTCATTTAATTGACAATCTAATTATTATTAATATAATCCCGAGAGAGAGTGAGAGAGAACAAAAATGAAAGGAAGAGAGAGAGTGACATTATTGGTCCAAAACTTTTACGTGGCAATTTTTTGGTTCCATCGTCACTATCATTTTCATTCCTTTACTAGCAAGGAACAAAACAAAAACATGATAGTATTATTAGTTTGTAAATCATATATCTATATATTTTATAAATAAATAAAACAAATCAAGGTGAGTATTAGAAGGGCTTTCTATGTATTACATTCTTTTTACACAAATTTCAAAACAATTTTAATGCGATTTACCAGTTGAGATTTCTTAAATTCACTCGTTCGCTTCCTTTGACAGTCACAAATCAAATTAGAAACAGTTTTCCTTGTATTCTTGTAAATGTATTTGTAATGACGCCAAGGGTGAAAAGGCCTTCATATGTTTACTTTCATCCAAATTCTGTAAACCTAGTAGGACAATTATGCTATTCTTCTAAAATTTATAATCTAAAACTAAATTGCTGTCAACCTTAGAAATTGATAATAAAGGATAAAAATACAATAAGGTACTAGTATTTTGAATAAACTATTAGCTTGCATGACTGAATATTTTCGATAAACGAACAAATCACGTATTCGGAGACAAAATAAGATAATAAATAGCCTATAAATAAAACTGGGCCAAACTTATTTTGGAAATAATAAAACACCAGTCTTCATAATCCACCATAAAAAAAAAAATCTAAGTCAATAATTCATCAAAATAGTAATGCTAACAATGATAAATCCATAAATAAAAACAAACAAGAGAAAGGAAAGAGTAAAGTAGCTAGGAGATGTGTAAGAGAGAAAAAAAAGAATTTGATTCAAAATTCCTTTTCATTATTTTCTTTTGTAAACTTTTGTTCTTTCTCTGGTTTAGTCCCCATCCCCCCTCCACCTTCTGATTTGTCAACTTAATTAACATAAACCTTTTCCTTTTGGTTCTTTCTGGTAATTTCTTCTTCTTCTTCTCCCTCCCTCCCTCCTTATATAAATCACCTTCAGCCAGCTCTCACCTTTCCCTTCCATTAATTTCATATATGCTTACCTTCCTTCTCTTCTTCCAAAACCCACAAAATACTGGCAAACAGACTTGTAGTTCAACGATATCATATGGCGGAAGAATTTGAGACAGGAGTTTGCGGCGGGAACTGGTGGAACAACCTGATGATGATCAGCAACCCGTCGCGAGCCGGCGGCGGTGGTGGCGGCGGCTCTTCGTTTTGCTCTCCCGGCAGCATACTTGCGGCGGATTTTGGTGGGCCGTGGAAGGTCGACGACGTCGTTTCCAACAACTCCTCCGTTTCGGATGGCTCCGCCGTCTTCCAGAACGATTCCGACAGCGGCGGGAGCAGCGGCGGCGGCGTAGGAGGACTTCTGATGGACTCCACCGCTCTTCAGCTCATGGGGTTCGGCGGCCTCTCTTCCTCGTCGCCGTCTTCCTCCGACTGGAATCACCACCACCAGCAACAGCAGGCTGCTGCCGCCTTGATGTAAGTTCTTCCACAGTTAATATCTCAATAACTCGAATTATTAGGAAGCAGGAACAACGAAACCAAGTGAATGAATGAGTTGTGAATCAAACAAATACTGAATCAAAATTTGAACTAAAAATTTGTTGTAAAAATTTTATTTTTGTTACGATAGTATTTGAATTCGAAATTATCTGACAACACTTCGATGAAAATTTTGAATTCTAAGATGGAAGTCTCCAAAACATAACATTCATCATTTAATTTTTTTTTATATATAGCTTAATTAGTAGATGGATGGACAAACTTTGATACGATTTTACAAACACATAGTCATCTGACGAATTTGAGTCTTTTGTAATTTGGTAAAGTTGGTCTAACTTTGTTTTTATGCTGGAAAAAAAAAGGAATGGAGGAGGGAGTGAGAGGATCGACCATGGGAGCAACTACGATTGGTGCAATCGAACAACCGAAGATCCACTGCTCAACAATCATCATCATTTCTTCAACATCGACCAACAACAGCCGCCGCCGTCGCTAGATGACAATATGTCCGTCGCTGCGACGACGACGGCGACGACAGGTTCTTATGGTGGTGTGTATCCTTCGACGCTCATACAAGGCTTGTTCGAGTCCGATGTTCAACTCCAGCCGTCGCAGGCGCCGCTTTTTAGCGACAGCTTGTTGCTAAACGAGTTTTCATCATCTCAAGCCAAGTTCCAAAGCCCTAATCATCACAACATGAACAGCCACAGTACTACCCCGTTTTGGGATTCTTCATCAGCAAGTGTGTCTCGTTCGATTGAAGGCAGTATCAGAGCCGGTTTCGCCAAGCCTCAGCTAGGCCATGCCCAGGCCCGATTCAGCCATCAGAATTTCGAGCAGAAACCCACGAGTTTCCCCAACGCGATCTCTGCAGCAAAGGTAAGGAACACTACTTCAAAATTCAATCAACGATGGAAAGAAGTAAATTACATCGTACAATATGTTGTATCTCGATAGAAATGATGCTAACACAATCAGAACGTCACGTAAAATCATGTGTTTTGTTAAAGTTCCGGCTTGTAATCCTAGGGTTTTGAACGATTTTTCACTATTGTTTTTTTTGGACCTGCAGCAACCAAAGAAGGAAGAAGCTGGGAATAGCAAGGACACGAAATCTGGGAGCAAGAAGGGGAGTAGTAGTGAGCAAGCCTTCAAGAGGCCAAGAATCGAAACACCATCTCCATTACCAACTTTTAAGGTAATTAATTAAGTAATGGTGCTGTAATAATTAGTATCTTATGCTACCCATTAATTATTTTTGTATTACGATTGTAGGGTTTTGCTTTATATGCCATTATTGGTGTAGGCAAGCTCTGCATTCTCCTTTATCTGTGTTCTGATGAAAAGGGTATATCACTATATTATATGTATACAGAAAATTTATAATTTTATGCTGCTTTGTGAAATTCAGGTCCGAAAAGAGAAGCTAGGGGACCGTATAACTGCCCTTCAGCAATTGGTTTCACCTTTCGGAAAGGTTAGTTTTTGGAATTTTCTTACCTTTTACCGTATAGACATTAGATATAGAGAGATCAGATCTTTACTTTTTGCCCATAGACATGAAAATGACAAAAGGTGTAAAGGTGAAAATCTATAGGTTGATTCTTCATGTTGTTGACTTTCTTTTTAGAAATGGTATTAGTAATTAGTTGATTATCTGTGGTTTTGTAAGATAATCGTAGCTTTAATTCATGTTAATTGAGTATAGAGGGAAAACAATGGTAAAACGATCTTGATACGATCAAATAATAGTAAATGAATCCGAAAGAATAATCATCAGAAAGTTTGGATTATATTACGAGTTGTGGAATACTCTGGTTATTGTTTTGTGTGTTATTTACTTCATAGTGATTTACTCATTGTGTTTTTTTACCCTTCTACTATATATTCAGACGGATACAGCATCAGTCCTCCACGAAGCAATCGAGTACATCAAGTTCCTTCATGATCAAGTCAGTGTACGTCTCATATCAGTTTAACCATAAGCTAGCCAGCAATTAGGGCTAATTCAAACTTGATTACAGACAATAACAATAAGCTAATTAGTTGGTTTCTATGGCGCAGGTTTTAAGCACTCCATACATGAAGAATGGGAACCCCGTTCATCAGCACCACCAGGTAATAATTACCAACTTGCTAGCTAGTTACTTAGCTTGTTGGGTTACCCTTAATTTCTTTGCTGTTAATTAGTTGATTAACCAAATCAACATCTTAAACATGAAAACTGCAGAAGGGTACTAATGCTGATCACAAAATGGATAAAGAAGCACAAAATCAACCGGACCTCCAAACAAGAGGACTTTGTTTGGTGCCAATATCGAGCACTTTCCCTGTCGCCAGTGAGACTACAGCTGATTTCTGGACACCAACTTTTGGTGGCTCGTTCAGATAGATTAAGCCTCCCAAATACAACGAACATAGAAGCACCTAATCTGTTTTGAAACGGGATTCGAGATCATCAACGTCAGCTAATACGAAGACAAGACATATATAGAGAGAGAGGGAGAAGACAGAATTGGATTCAAACAAGAAGAATTTCATTTCTAACCATGGGGACTGATTCCTATCTTCATTTCCAAATCCCAAAAAGAAGAAAAATGATTACAAGGGTTGGCCCTTTTTAGTTAGATTAGCTGTATATGTGCCACCAAACTTGAGCCTAAAGCTAAAGAGAACAAAAGGGAAAGGGGGAAAAAAGAAACAAAGAGTCAAGGAAAAGGGAGAATTTTCATGACAACTGCTGGAGCCACCTGCAAAGCAAAGCTCTGAGTAGGGCACACCAATCAAGCAAAATCATCAGGCCGTAGGCCTGATAGCCGGTTTTCGGTTGAACCGATCGTGTATACGAATAGGGTATCATTTCTAATTTTCCTTGTTTTTTTTTTCCATAAGCATATGTAAAGTACTGTTAATTATTTATAGTTTGAAAGGGAGAAGAAAGGGTGGATTCTGTATAGAAACAGGAACAACAAAATGGTAAACAGTTATTAGTGATGTTTTTGGTGTTTGTTATGATTTTAGTAAGAGATGTTTAGCTACAAGTAAGTTAGATTTGTTCCTGTTGCTGTATGTAATTTTGCCCTTTGTATTTTGGTTATATCAATATACTAATTCGGAAATAAAAATATATCTTTCTGTTGGAATGATGCTCCTCTCGCTACTTTGAGTCTCGTTATCGACATTGAAGAGAGTAATACCACTTTGTTAAATGTACTGGTATATATTTTGTGACTCGAGCACTTAATTTCATGATTAATTCAGATGGAGATCATAGTATGTAATTGGTATTGTGTTCTTAATTTCATGTATGTTTATCGTAGAATATCGACCAAATTGATTGTACGCTCGAATCGGTTGCTTCTATCGGTTTATTTTATGTTGTTTGCTTGGATTGGACTGAGTGGAGATAATAGTTGTGATTGGTTCCACTTGCCAACTTCTTGCATTTTGGTTTTGTTTGGTCTGATCTCTTCCTTTACTTTTGCCTTTTCTTCTCCATTTGTTTATTTTATTTGTGTGGTTGGAAAATGTGTGGTAATGGTATGGAATGAGAGGTTGGCCTATGGCTCCTCTTCCATTCCCATCGTGCTTTTTTTTCTATTAGGGTTTGCTCTTTTTTTCTATTTGAGAAGAAGAAGAGTGTGGGAGTTTTCCACTATCTCATCATTTAACCCATTCTAGACCAATGAATCCAAATTTTGAAACGCTAGTGGGATATTGGTCTGGCCATCCATCGTGAGCCACAGTTTTGTAGATATGTTTGTCTCGTGTTAGACTGGATTTTGAATCGATTAAGTTTAGTGGGTTTGATTTTGAGTTTGGTATGTCGTCCGCGAGTTTGGTAGATAAGACTTACAAGTTAAAGATATGCTCGGCTCATAGGAAGTTAGTTAGCAAGAAGGAAATTTAAAGATTGGTCTGATGTGAAAATTTAACGATTGAGTGTTGGTTAATTAACGATAAAAAGACCTTACATCTAAGATCGGTAATAGGTTTACATTGCATGTTTGATGCTAATGGTTGTTGAAGATTTAACAATAGTCACTAATGATATGTTTTGTTTTTACTACTGTTTACTAATGGTTAGTACATGTTTTAGAGACAACATCAATGACTTTGACACTCCAAAGCTATATATCAAATGGTCATTCTAGGGTTGACACATATTGTGACAACAATTGTTGCAGATGAAGTAGAAATAGAACGATCTAATTTGCCATATGAATGAGAAATGTCAGATAATAATATTTGTCGATAATATGTTCATCCAGATTCCTAGTTGTCACCTCTAATCCAATCAAAAGCTATGTATATCATGATTATAAATCCATGCATTAAGGTGGCTATTCAGTTCGTCTAAAGGTTGCTATAGCCTATATGCACACTAATATTATATGTATATACATATCTGCGTGGAGAGAGATAAAAACCAATGAGAATTGAGAACTAATGATGAAGAGCCAGGCGGCAGGCATCATAGAAGCTTAGAATTGAAGGAACCATTTTTTTTATAATTCGACTTTACAATCATGGAAATTATAAAAAGAACATCATTTTGTTTTTGTGATAGTAATTTATGGTTGTCGATGTATATGTATGTATATATGATGGTTTCTACTGTGCTTAGTGTAAATCTAGAGTATCGTATACTCTTAGTAAGCAAAACGTCATACAGATCTTGAATTAATGGGGTATCATCTTATATCTTAACTCGTAATTAATGAATCCAAAGTCATAATTATCTAAATCGCAAACCCTTAAATGGTGCATGTATTTTGACAAATCATAAGCGTCTATTATTATTTCTAACTAAATTGATCTTACTGTATTAGATTTAGAGAAACAAGATCAATATTTTAGTTTTTAAGGATTAGGATATAGTATTATGTCCCAAAGTTCGATTAATTCAAGATATAGATAGCACTTTCTTACTCAATATATGTGATATCCTCCAGATTTACCTTATGTCCGATAAAATTCCACATATATATGGCAAAAATCTAGAGTACGTATTACGTATAATATATGAATATGTTCACACATTATTAATTAAACACGGTTCGATATATTCTGATCAATCAAAACCGTTAGTAATAATATTCTATATATTTGCTCTCTTCATAAAATAAACTTACTGTATGGAATCAAGGAGACTGTGATCATGAGCATATTTGCCCGACATATGTTATGGCTCATCAAATTTGGAGAAACCAAACGACGAACAGGAAACACGATGGATTATCTCTTCTCTGTCACACCATTGGGCCAGGAGTTTCTGTTGAGGCTTGAAACGGCTAAAAACTCTGTCTTTTCTCTTGCCTTTGATAAAGAATCTAATCCTGTTTGTTTGTAATGTAAACTCACTGACGAACCAGAAACGCCCTAATTATTGAATGTTTCGAATCTGTCCCATACATTTATATTATTAATGTTGTTCTTTATGTTACCAACGTGTTTTCTTACTAGGTGTAGAGGTGGCTTTGTGTCATTTCTCTTTGACATTCCATCGGCTCCCATTTCCTCTATCTTGCGAGATGCTGACTAGTTCGTAAGAATTCGAACCTTGTGGGATTCCTTTTTGTCATTATCAAAATCTATAAGCATTTTGGGTATATTGTGTTCGAATTCGGATAGCCCTTAACAATGCTGATATTTGATTTGTTTTATATGGTATGCTAGATATTGGTAACATTCAAATTCGATGTGTTGTATTTTGTTAAAGGTTCTATATAAGAAAATGTTAAAAAGATTCATTTTTAAATCTCTTTCGATATCTCGAGTCATTAAAACATACTTATTCTCGATAAAAAACAAGTCGTCTAACGAGCGGATGTACAATACATATGAAACAATAAATGACAACACATGTTGTTTTAGCTTGCTATGAGTTAGTTGGACAATATACTTGAGATATGAATGGATAGACCGTGGATATCATTCGTCTTGCTATTTTTGACGGATTGTATGAGTTAGTGTTGGGAAGGGGAACAATGATAGGAAGCCCATTAGATCTGTTTAGGCTGGACTTTTTAGGATTCTAAACTTCCGTTGTACTTGGGCTTTCGGTTTCAGTTAGGAATTATGGACTTCGTGAAAGGAGAGGTTATGAGTCCAGAATAGCCATGACTAAAACCGAACCAGCCTTCCTAGTGGGCTAAACTGTTAACAAATGAATCGGAGAGACCAACGAGCCTCGGCCCAAATCATGGAAACATTCAAATTATCCATCACGTCTTATCAATTGGATTGCTTGATATTATTGGTGGTGGACCGCTTGATAACATTCAACACGTCGATGAATGACAATGAGTAGGGAATAGATTTTGATCGATTCATTCACTTATCAATGAGTTGAGTTGGTACAATTATGGTTCACTAACCATTCACATTTTTCTTTGGTTTGATTTGGGAGGGTGGTAGGAGGGTGCAGATGGTGGGTTAAACCACAAAAACAATTTTTTGACTAGCCAATTTTATATTAATTTCTCAAAAATTTAAAGAAAAAATTAGCAATTTAGACACATCTCATTTTGTCAAATTTGAATTTGTCTAGTACTTATGACATATAAAAAAAATTTAGCAGCCATGGCAACAAAACCCGAACTCACGGGTAGGGGTGGGAATCGGTCGGTAAACGGTAAATTGTTTACCGAATTTACCGGTTTTGATATACCGACACTGGCAAAACCGTTTACCGATACCGATTTGTAACCGGTTTACCGATTACCGAATTACCGATAAACGGTTACAAACCGGTTTACCGAATTTACCGAATTCCTTCAACTCTGACGCCAGTTCCCAACTTCAGCCAAAAAATTGAACAACAACAATCAGAAACCATGGCGGCTCAGTAAAAACCAAAGCTGATCCCCATCAAATTAATGGGGTAGCGAAATTCAAATTACCAGCAAGGACATCCAAAGTGTCTCAACAGTGCAACAACAGCCATCCCCTGCACAATCAAAGTTGTATGAATATCCAGCTCAAAGAACAAAACAGAAGGAACCGAGAAGAGGGGAGACTATAGCTCTAATACCTCATTCTGGTCCCATAGATCCTTAAACACGACGGGCTCACCGGAGGCTTTGAACACGGTGACTTCGCCCAACAATTCTCCGATGCTCGGGCTAAAATCGGCAGCAGAGGCACGCAGCACCGCAGGAGGTTTCCTCTGAACACTGCGACGAGTGCTGAAACCGAATCCGGTGGAGTTCGCCCTTGCGGCGGCAGTGGACGGGAAACGGGGATGAAATTTGGGGGAAAGTTGACCGGGAAGAGTGAATGGGGTAGAAGACTGTAGGTATTTCACAGATGATGGGGCGACCGCCATTATGGTAAGCCGAGAGCAGAAAGTGATCCTGGGGTGCAACCACCAGATGGAATGCTCCGGTGAGGGGATGGCTATTCGGGAAATGGCTGGTGGTTGTAACAGGAAGTGTGGGTGAATTCTGGGCTCCAATAATTTCTGTGGCAGGAGGAGTTCCTATGTTCGTGTAAATAGAAAGGCTGCTAAACCCCTAACGACACCTAATGAGGGAGGAAGAGAGGGAAGTGAGATTCGGTAAACGGTTTACCGATTTACCGTCGGTATTTACCGATACCGGTTTCGGTAAACCGATACCCCCCAACCCACGCTCGGTCGCCGATACCGTCGGTAAACGGTTCGGTAAAACGGTAAACCGTTTACCGACAAACCGAATCCCACCCCTACTCACGGGTACCCACCCGACTCAACCCGGTCAACGCGGGTAAAACCAGTGTTGACGGGTTTTGGGCCGGGTTCGGGTTTAAACCCGCTACACTATTCACCGGGTCGGGTTGGGTTTGGGTTTAGGTAAACCCGCCCTATGGGTACCCGCCTACACACATATAATTACTTTCCTGGTATATTTAATATTCTAAATAATATATCTTCCTTAAACAACTAATATTCTTTATGTTTGTGGAGACATGTATAATTTGTTCTTTCTAATTGTTTAGAATGAAGTTGATATTATGAAGTGAAGAATGAAGAAACTTAGTTGACGAGTAAGAAACTTTCAATTAATCTTATTGTTTATAGATGTTTATCTTTAATTTTGAACAATTTGTATTGATCATTTGCGGTTTGCTTGTATGCTCTAGATTGGTGTTTTTTGTATGATTAATTTGTATGAGAAAATTGATGTTAAAACTTTTATTTTGAAAGAAACTTGTTATTGTAAATTTTTTATTAGAAAAACCAATGGGTACCCATGAACCCGCGGATACCCAGCGGGTTGGGTTGGGTTTGAGTTTTTCAACCCAACGGGTTTTACCCTAAATTTTTTTTTGCGGATAAAACCATGAATTTGGGTTTGGATTTGACAAAACCCACTCCAACCCAACCAGTTGCCATCCCTAAGCCATACGGCCATATGCTCATACCAACTTTTCATCTCGGCCTTTAAATGAAGTATTTATTGATAAAGAAAACAAAATCACTATTCACATATTCCTAGATACCAATGCTCTTGACTTATGTCGATTTTACTTCATTGACAGAAGCATCACATCTTTCATTAATCTATCAACCAATTCTGTACATAACATTGATGATTTTTTTGAACTTCATAAAATTACTAGTTTATAATTTATATTCCAGGTTTTATTCTCTCATGTAGCAACTAAGTAAACATATCTATATCATCCTTATAAAAAAATTTGCAACCAATTATCTAATGGACATGACACGACATATTAACAAGTTAGGAAATGTGATGGATATTTTATACTATAAACTGGAAACAACTCTTTGTCATGTGAGAATGAGGTGTGGGTCATTTGGATGACTCAACTCAATCACCACCCATCCGATTAAGTGCGGATAAGAAATTTTCGAACCACGATCCACCCGCATCAATCACCCACCTACTACGGTTTGAATTATTTGCTAGCGAATCAATAAACCGCGAACTAACCACCCACCTAAAAATTACATACATTAAAAGAAAGCCTTGCATAAATGAAATTTTAAATTCATTAACAAGAAGTAATGTAAAGAACACAACCATTATTCTATTAAAAAATAAAATTACAGAGGACGACACAAAACTAAGATACAAGAAAATCATGTAGCCCAACAATGAGATAACATGGTAATACATTATTATTCAAACACAGAATGAGAGGAACCCAAAGCTTCTAATTTGTATATAAGGAGCATAAAAAAACACATTGTAAGTTTTGACTGTATGGAGAATCCCCAAAAATCCCTCTCCACTTAAGCATCAACAGAAGAACCCTTCAATTTTTTGGCAATCCCAGCAAAGTACTGCCCTTGGTGGTGAGCCAGTCCCAGCTCTAACTCAGTAGGCTGCCTGGAGCCATCCCCTGCAAATGTGCCAGCACCATAAGGACTCCCACCTTTGACCTGCTCCATCTCGAACATCCCAGCTCCAAATGTGTAACCCACTGGGACGAAGAGCATCCCATGGTGAACGAGCTGAGTGATCGCGGTCAAGCTGCACGATCGAGCAAAGGATATCGCGAGAATCAGGATTTTGAAGTGGTTCGTAATCATAATAACAGGAGGGACCGTGTTAAAAAAAACACTTACGGTGTGGTCTCCTGGCCTCCTCCTTGAGAGCCAGTCGAGTAGAAGATACCAGCAGGCTTCCCTGAGAGTGCCTGATTCCTCCACAGCCCACCAGTGGAGTCCAGGAATGCCTTGAACTGAGCAGCCATCATGCCGAATCGAGTTGGGAAGCCAAAGAGGATGCCATCAGCCTCAGCAAGTTCATTGGCAGTGATGGTGGGAACCTCACTCTTTGATGGTGCTCCCATCTTTCCAAGAACCACTTCATTCAGTGTCTCTGGTACCTATATAAACAGATCATTCACAAGGATTAAGTTCAGAAGTTGGAGAAAAAAGTTCGAACATGATCGGTAGGAGTTCTTGATTGTTGAACAGACCTGAAAGAGCTTCACTTCAACTCCCTCCACAGTGGAAGCTCCTTTCTTAATCTCTTCAGCTAGTTTCTCGACATGTCCATACATGGAGTAGTAACTGCAGATTTGAGCCAGCAGCCCCACATTATTAGTTCTCTGTCTATAGCATAATTCACTTATTGATATCTTTCGTGATAAGATGACGTCAAAGCAACACCCTAATTCATTGAAGTATTTCGTGTTTCGACGTAGACAACAAATAGCAAAGATAGATGTATGTGAACATGAGTTTCATCTGTAAGGAATGTCAGAAGAAGTAAACATTTGGAACCATCTTTAGTATCAGCTCATAGTCAAGCAATGTATGAAATGAGAAGAGGTAGGAATGATGAGTGATAGGGACCATATGCGATCATGGGAAAGCCATTAAGTCTCCATCTCAACTACAATTCAAAGGGTAGGTCCAATATCACAATCAACCTTTTCTTTTCCCTACTTACTAATATATACTTATGAAGTGGAAACTCCACAAATGACTTGGCCATATTATCATCAAAACTCTCTCCTGCTTTCTTTCCTTCCCGTTGATTTAACCCCAAACAGGGAACAGTCATGAGTGGTCATAGCAGAATGTGCAGTGGGAGACATCTCAGCTGCATATATTCCCATTTTCCAGATGGATGCAAATTGATAAAAGTCCAACCTTTCTAGTGCCACCTCCATTGTCCACAATCACGTTGAAATTTGGGGTCACCCACTACTATAAGGTTTACAGCAGATGCATTTCAGGGAGCACTATCTTTTTTCAAGCAAGCAAATATTAAAATGATATGACACCAACTTCGAATCTGTATTAACAACTCGATTTATCGAGACAAATCGGCTCTCAATATTGTTGTCAAAGCCTAAGGTAACGGAAGATTGTGTCTTCGGATACTAATAACCCTCTAATGTCAATGCTTCATTTAGACATATATGATGCATTAGTACAAAACGGTCAAACACAATGATCAAGCTTCTATTTTGAGGAAGCAAGATGAATCGGTTCTCTAACATGTTGCATCAAGACTCCGATCAATCAAAATGTTGTTGACAAGTTGCACAACCCACAAATGACCCAACCTAGAACCCTATCCAAAGAACCATTTCTGCAGCTGATATTTCAGAGAAAAGACCCCACTTGACAATGAAAATCAGAAATCTGGAAATTGATACAAAATTGGGTTAACCCAGACAAAAACAGGGGATTCCAGTTCCACTATCATTGCAAGCTTCCATCTTTGCTAATAACCGATCAAAAAGGAAAGGACTTTCTAAGATATTATAAGCTGATCAGCAGCAATCCAAGTCAAACCCAGATGAACCCAGTAATCTGACCAAACACTCGACGCATAAAGCAACAGAATCAGGTCACGAAAGTAAATCGGCCTAAGAATATTGGCCGAACCCAGTAATTGGAACTAACAACGAGCATTGAAAAGAACAGAGCTCGAGCCAGAATAATAAGGGCAGAAAGTGCTTACACAATGTAGATTTTGACGGCCATTGCTGGGGAATCAGGGGTTTCTCTTTGCTTTCGTTCTCTGTTCTTTCTGCTCTAGTCTTCTCTAGTAGCTGATTCAGGTGAACGGATGCGTTGAAAATGCTTATAGAAGAAGGTAATGGAATTGGCAATGGAATGGGAGCTAAGAAGGTGGAGGGCCTTCTGGTTTTATACTCGGGCGGATGAGCTGGTAATGGGGGGGTTTTTTTTTGGGCTTTAAACCAGCCTTTTTTGATTAGTCGCTAAATATTAAATAACATCACATTTATTTATTATAATTCAAAATTACGTCATTAATGTGGTCATCACCATGTATTTTAATAGTTAGCTCTTTCTCTCTTTTATTTCTTTTTAATTTTTATATAGATTTATTTCCCCTTATTTGTTTGAGCGTAGTTTCTCCATTTTTATTTTAGATACGATTGAAGAAATGATCACAAAATTTTTAGGTTAATGCTAATCGGCCATTCAACTTGTGATTTTGTTTTAATGCATTCTTAATTGATGACGCAGAGAATTAGTTGAATGTGAAAAATCGTGCTAATGGAGTACGATCATGATATCGGAGGAATCCATAAAACAATGTCGTGTTAGTTGTTACTTTATCTATAAAAATAGCGGTCACATATTGAACTGTAGGGATGACACAATGTTCTATTCAATTCCACACAATATAGAGATGACACTTACATAATAAAATAGAACTTCATGAAATTAAATGTCTAAAATCAATACACATAAACCCCATCATGAATTAGTTGTACTTGATTGCAAAACCAATTAGGTATATAACTGGAAATGAAATACACTTCTTCCACCCACATTGGTTGCTTTTCTTGCACGACTATAAATGTATGTGACTAGTCATTGAATTTCCAAGAATATAAACCTCTAAAAAGGAATGACATAAAATTCATATAGAAATATTTTATAATAATTCGAGCTATGGAAACTAAATGGTACGTTCTTTAGTATGATATCAAAGTCTTTCTGTTAATCGATCTCAATACGAAAAAAGTCGTTGCTATGAGTCCCCGTTATCCTATGCTATAATCCTTCTGCAGCCATTGTTGGATCTCAATTCTACCTTTGCAATTTAACCTCTATGTTATGTCCTATTTCATTCCTCTCGATCCAAAAAAAAGGTTGAAATTATAAATGATATCAAATCCTTCAATCGAAATGTCTTGTGTTTTGAATTCTCATATGATAATCTCCCGATGTTAACCATAATCTAGCAAAAAGCATGATATGCTCAATCTGTTCAAATTAATTTTTTTTTTTTTTTTTTTTTGAGGAAATGGGTAAAAAAAATGATGATGTATAAAATCATATAATTGACCTTAGCCATCCAAATCGACTAATGTGTCACGTCATAATTTGTAGCTTATTGTAAAATCACATCATGGAGTGAGATAGAGAGAGAGAGAGAGAGAGAGGATGAGAGGCATTTATCATATCCTTGTGGTTGCTTCTAGTCCAAGAGATTCCATTGCCATATAGTGAGCGACATAATTTTCCTACCACCTTTGTTTTAATTTCTTTGTCGGGAAGAAGAAGGAAGAAGAAGAACTCCCCAATCACACGTAAAAATTCATTCTAGATAAGAGCTTTCGATGGACGGCCGGCTTGAAAAGAGGTGAAATAAATGGAGTGTATGTGTGAATTATACACTATCCAAGAATTTGAAGATTGTTAGGGTTCATGGATGTAGAGTTATTAGTTTTTTTGTGTGTGGCTAAAATGATAAGATAGTAAGGCTCAATTGTTAAAATTCACTTGGGGGTTACTGAATGACATGTACAATCCATCGTTCTTATGGGTTTCTCGAATATTCGTTGTGACGAGGTTGTCTCAATGAAAGGTGCAAGGGTTCTGTCTCATAAGCGAAAGAGACATTGATTTTCAGTTGCAGGAAGTTTTCAAGTCAAATCCTGACTATCGCGATTATGAAGAATCTACGAGAAGTACCAGCCATATGACCCGTGTGCATGGCTTATGTCAGAATAGAAGCGTGCAATCGATAATCCAAACCAACACAAACGAACACAAATTTAACGTGGTTCACTAACACAATGTGTGCTAGCTAATCCACGGGCAGGGGAGAACAAATTTCACTGATTTGAGGAGAGTACAGGTTACAAACCAAATTCCAAACGGACAAACCAAACAAACTAACCTGACTGACCTTACTACAGACTAGGGTGATGAAGAGTATTTATAGAACTCTTCTCCTAATCCCAAACAGAAAACCAAATTCCTTTTCCCAAACATACAAGGAAAAGGTCAAAACAAAACCCAATCCCAAACCCAAACAGAATAGGCCTAAAACACAAAACAAACCCAAATCGAATTCAAGTCATATTCTAACAGCTTATATAAGCTATCACTATAACTTAACGGCCAGACACAAAGTCCAGGGTTTGCTCTAGATTTTGTATCGAAAGTACAGTGATTGACACTCATTAAGTTTACGTACATTTATAATCTTGCTTGATGCACCGTGCACCCGTACCTCCATTAAACTACACTTTCATTCGATCACGCACAAAACTATTGCCCACAACGATATAAAGATTGGAAACCTCATTCACACAACTCGTAACACAAAAATTTCTCATAATTTAGATATTTTGAAAGGAACCACCACTTTGCATGTCAATCTACTATGGAGAAGATTCCAGGGTTTGCTTCAGATTGTATCAAATGGTATCTAGTAAATTATTTTAGGAAAGACAAATCTGGTACACACATAATCGCATATAAATTAATAAGCTTAGTACTTTTATGATCGTAATATTGTAGAAAAGAAGTAAAGTGATAAGGGTGGAAATGGTAATTAGCGTCTTGTATCTTATGGATAGACGACGTAATGGTGAGGTTAGGTGCGACACTTTACTATGCAACCAAGAGAAAGAAATGGATTTGGTTAGAACGTCCACATCGTTGACTTTGTTTTCTAATTGGAAGAAGAACTCCCCACGTTCATGCATTACCAAGTTTCTGGGTTACTGCTATAGTAATTATTTTTAATTGTTTTAAGAAAAAAAATTGTTGTTAATCTGTTGACCAAATTTTAAATGTAACTTTTGATTCGAAACATATACTGTTATTTTATTGTTATTTTATTATTCTCTTATAAATGTTACTGACGTTTTTGTGATGTGAGCACTACTGCAACTCTTTTGTTTTGTTTAGTGAAGTTTTGTTAGGCAAAATTAAGCCGGAAAGCAAAAGGCCGCCGGCCGCCGCCCATACACGTTGAAGACGAAATTGGATTTGACTTGACTATTTTCTGTCATTATATTCCCATTTGTCTGTCTGCGTACGTGAAAGATCCAAGAACACGGTGACAGAGTCTAAGCCGCTGGCTAGCTCTCTGCAGCCAACCTTATGTTAGGATAACCTCATTTGAACGTCATTTCATTTGAATGATTAATTACTTGGTGAAATTCTAACTATATATATTGGGAGAGTTAATTAGCTCTTAATATCATGACCCCCTCTTTCGAGATTTTTTTAAGCATGCACCACCACACACAGACTTTGTCGCGCGTTAAGGAAAGGTAAATTCCGATTAACATGGTCTTCGAGTAAATCATGAGAGCTAAATATTAGCTTCTAAACAACAACGATGGTGAAAATTTATACGTAAAATCACAACTAACACGCTGTATTGAAATCCTCTTAATTATAATTATCATGGGTCATGGCTGACAAATTTTTTTGATAACTAAGTAGATATATCTTACATAGAAGTCTATGTAATGATAAGATAATGCATCAATGAGCATATATATGCTCTTGATTTAATCATTTGAACAAAGTGCATAAGAATCATGAGGAGATGCAAATGTCCGCTTGTGCTTCAAGCGTGCTCCAACTACTTAATTCTCTTCCTCACCCCGCAATTTCCTGCGGCTTCCTTAATTACCAGCGCCACTAATTAGGCTGCCATTGTCTCTACATATCCTAAACCCCAATCCAAGTGTGCAATTAATCATGTGCCCCATTTCCAATTCATTTGTCTTCCATTGCACGAATCCGCACCTTGGGATGCACTCCTCTTTGGACACACAAGGGGAATGTAACTTTTTAACATTTGTGGTATGTTAATATGCGGTATAATATTCATTATTGAACGTCTCTCAACAACTCAAGTTATTGAAACCAACTGGTTTTTTTTTGTATGGTATGAGAGCATTATGAGACCGAGAGGCCTTCTGTTCGAATCCCGGTAAGGCGGTAACCCCGCATTGATAAGCATATGGTGTCTGATGTCTATGGATATGCAAACTTCAAGCTTATATGATGAGTGTCTTTCGTGTTAATATGTGGTATAAGATTCATTACTGAACCTCTCTCAACAACTCGAGTTATTAGGACTTAATTGATCCATAAATTAGAGTGGGCAACTGGGCATGGACTAGAAATACAAAATAAAATTGTGACAGATTTGCAAACTTGATCGAGGAGGATGGATGAGCTAACAACCCACATCCTACATCTTAAAAAAACACGTACATTCAATGCGTTCTCTGATGAAGCGAAAGTAAGTTTTCAATGAATGATCAATCTTTTTTTTTTTTGGTAGGATTTGTTTTCGGTCATTCGAATATGTGCTTCATTTCCCATATAATAAAAAAAACAATGATTTGATGATCTAGCGACACCACATTCGCGTTTTATTTTAAAAGTCGTGGATTTGAATCTAAAAACAAAGTTTTCCCAATTCAAACCATAACACTAATTGGCAATATGAAAGGGCATGACTACTCTTGGATCCTATACACTCCTACTCCATCCATCCCACTTGACCATGTCTTTTTTTCCATCTCTTTTTGGTAGCCTCGAGATCTCTCATGTACTTCTTCTTCTTCTTCTTCTCCTACTCGATAACCCTAATGATTTGGTCATGGCCATGGGTGGTGCTATCATCATTGCCTTGCATTGCATTGTCCCCTTTCATTACTTTACTAAGATCATGGGGGGAAAAGGTTCCCACCCCAAATATGTGCCCAATCAGCGATCGAAAACGCAACACTTCAGGTGGCAACCTCGGTCAAAAGGAATGATGTTGCCGTTCCGACGACGCCCCCTTCTTCGTATTCAAGACAAAGGAACCATAAGTGCTTTTTCCAGCCTTTTGTCCCCAAAAACAAAGCAGGATCCACTGGACTCACGTTAAAAATTGGGCCCGATGTGAGCCCAGCTGGGGGCTGGGGAGCGCTGTATCCTGGGCCCAATCGGCTGCGGGCTGAATCAGGTCTGGGGTTGTAATTGTGATTAGTCGTCACTCATGCTCTTTAACTATTCGTGGTTAGTGTTCGAACTGGGTCGGGATAATGATAAACAAAGAACATCTGTGGATAATATTTAGTAATCCACAATCAAAGAACTTTTAGTTAGGAGTGCACCACAATTAACTATACAACACGTGATGGGTTTAGTTGAGAATTGAGATGAACATCAACTTCTATCTGTTAGTGTTGTGGTATATGATTCACGATTGAACCTCTTCCAACAACTCGAGTTATTGGGAGCAACTGGTTCTCGACATGGTATCAGAGCCTTCTGTGATCGAGAGATCTTGTGTTCGATTCCCAATGACCTCCATTGTTAAGCACATGGTAGCTCCCAACAAAATACACCAGATGGATTTAGTTAACAAAATACATATCAGACTCTCTAGTCGTCACTTTCCTCTCATTTTCTCAAATCATATTTCAATTTAGAATACGCTCAAAACCCCATAAGTTATTATACATAACCATTTAACTTCTTACCTAGCATTTTTGTTAGAATGTGATATAAGATCCAGCAGAACCTTCTCCCAACAACTCGAGTTATTGGAATCAACTGGTTCTTGACATGGTATCAGAGCCTCGAACCAAAAGGTCATATGTTCGAATCTCCACGGCCTCCAATATTAACCATTGTCTTTCAAGCACAGTTCTTGACAATTTTCACCCTCCCTCTTCCCAATTTTAGATATATTCTTCTCTAGAAAAAGTTATGTAACCCATACAGATTCCTCTTATCCTGAGTTCATTGAACTCGAACTCGAATATGAACTCTGTGAATGTCAAGGCATCTTTCTTTCACGGCTACCCAAAAAACAGGAAGGAAACAAGAAACCCCCTGTTTGATTCTTTATTCCTTTTTTCAGATCCTTCTTTCCTTTATCTCCTCCTCTTCGGAAAGGGAACAAAATCATAGATTATATAGTAAGGCAGTCAGTCACCTACTTCCTCCTTTCTCCTCCTTCATAGGCCGGCCGGCCGGAGGTCTACTTCCGCAATCAATATACAATAGTATAATCTCCGGCAATATAAAACCTGCATTCTGTCCCTCTCTCTAACGTAGTCAAATTTGGCAACTTTCACAAGAAACAGACTCCACGCTACCAACCAATTACCAAAACCCTCGACAGAGATCTCATCAGATCAAATAAAAGCCGCCCCCTTTCGAAGAAATCGTCCAATCCAGACCAGACCAGACCAGGAGGAGGCACAAAGTTGCCATTGTTAGGAAAACTAGACAAAAGCAAAAAGCTTGGGGCAAAGAATCTAACATGTCCGGTTAGCTATGAATTCATGGAAGCTTACTAGGTGGGAGCAACAACACCAGATAAACCAGAAACTCGAGCATCAACAACCAGATCGAGGGCAAAACAAAAGACATTGATTACGAGGAGGACGTAGACATTGGAGATCTAAGTACAACAGATACTCTAATAATAGATACCAAAATGAAGTTACATTAGCAAAGCTTCATAAAGTTTTTCGCTTTTGGCAAGTCTATGGTGTACATAGTGATCGATCACTAGGATCGATCTATATACGCATTTACGATGTCAATGTTAGCCAAAACAGAGGGATGCAGTGCTTCTCTAGCAATTATGACTCCATTGCCATAGAGATTAGACACATGATCCATCCCAAATCAAATGAACCAGCACAATGCACGAAAGGAGATCATATTTATCCGAAAACCCTTTCTATCTTTCTTTCTTTTGAAACTACAACATTTGATCCTGAGAGTTCCTGTGGTTTATTGACAATGTACATGGAATAAAGATAACAAAAAAGAACCCTACGAAGAAATAAACATGTTATCCCCATCAATCCTAATCCCCACCACATTTGTACAGAGCAAAAACATATGGCGAAATGAAACTGAAATACCTCGATAAGACTCACCATTCCATTCATCCAAATCCCATACCATCAATGGCTGCCACTCAGAGTCTGAACCAAGCTTGAAGCATTCCTTCTAATCTTCTCATTCTCATCTTCCATCAACCCAACACAAATCTCCATCACTCCTTGCCTTTGAGCTTCGTCGCAGACCTCCTCGCTACACGAACACAGAGCATTGAGTGTAAACAGAGCACATTGAATCCCCTTCTCTCCCCCAAAGTTAATCACTTTCACCAAAACCCCAACGAACCCAAAAACCCGACCCATTTCGACTCTTCCTTCCCTGCACTTCACCAGCGAGCTCAACACCTCCACGGCCCGCTCCAACCCTGCCCCGGCGCCGCCGACCAATCTCGCCAGAATCGGCACAGCTCCGCATTCGACAGCCCGCCGCCGGTTATCCGGAAACGAACAAACGGCATAAAGAGCCGTCGCCGCTTCTTTCACTTCCCTTCCTCTACCGCAATCGAGCAAGTTCACCAGCGATCGAATCGCATCCGGGTAAGCTCCGATTGTCGCCTTGTTGACTTCGACCACCGCGAGGCTGGTCAACACGGTGCACCCGATTGCCCGGCAATCGGGCGACGACCCGGCCCGGAGAACGCCCACGACCCGACCGATTGCGCCCTCAGCGACCAATCCAACCTTATTGTCGTCGTCGAGGGAGAGATTGAGGAGGAGGGAGAGGGCTTTCTCTTGGAAAGGCGGGGAATCGGCGGCGGTGGCGAGGCAATTGAGGACGGCGGAGAGGGCGCCGGATTCGGCGAGCTGGCGGCGGAGGGAAGGGTCGAATTTGGTGAGCTTGGCGAGGCGGGAGAGGGAATCGAGCTTGGAATCGGGGGTGGAGGATCGGGAAGTGAGGGTGGAGATTAGGGTTTCCGGCGGCGGATGGTGGTGGTGGGATGGGTCGTGGAGGTGGAGTTTGGAGATGTGGGCGTAGTTGGAAATCAATCGGCGGAGGGCGTGGTTGGGGATTAAGTAAGGGTGGTCCGGCAAGGGGAGTTTGGTGATTGGGCAAGTGCGGTGGCCGGCGTCGAGCCAGCGCTGGATGGAAGAGCGGTCGAAGGTGTGGCCGGAGGAGAGGATTACTGGGTCGGACATTAATTCGAGGGAAATCGGGCACTTGAAGTCGTCCGGGAACTCGGCCGCCATGGCTGCTCGGAGCAGGCGAGTTGACTCGGAAGGAAATGGGGGGATTTTGTAGAGAGAGAGAGAGAATTGAAGGTTTTGTGGAGGTTTTTTGGGAAACGGCTAGGAAGTGAGAGAGAGAGAGTGTGTGTGTGGCTTTGTATTTGTTCTTTCTTCGTCGTCTTCTTCTTCTTTTCTCGCCGGTCACTCGGTCTCTAAGATAACTTGGAGAGAGAGAGAGAGAGAGAGAGAGAGAGAGCTCTGTGTGTGTGTCAGTCTTTTGATTTTTTGCGGTAAACCAGTTGGTGAATCAGAATTTACCGAAACGGCCCCCCGTTCTCGACCAAGCGTTTTCACCTTTTACACGTTGGGTCAAATTTGACCCGTTGAGCATTATTTTTTCAATATTATATTTATCATACTTTTTGCTTTTAATTAGTGCACTCTTTTAAAATTTATTTTCCAGGTTTTCGATAAAAAAAAGTATTATAATTGTTTGGAATAGTATAAAATTTAATTTTCATATCTTTTAACCAATTTGAATTATATATAATCGATTGGTTCTATACACGAAAATGTAGTTTGGTACCATGTAAATATTACTATTATTATAAAACCCTTAAAAATCAAATCCCAAACTTTATAATACCCAACACCTAATAAAATTTGAAGCTAAACCGAGTTTTAAGTATTCTAATTGCAAGCGTTGAAAGGGTAATTACAACGTCAATCTACATTACAAAAATGTATATAGTCGAATACGTGATCGATTTTCAAATAAAACATATTGAAATAGAATTATTTCCACGATTAATTCAGTTTACATTTCTTTCAAAATATGAAACCATTTCAGGGCTTTTTTTATTGTTTGTATAATCTATTAATTGATTCATCATCCTCGTCACATAAAGGGCAAATGCATCAACCATCCTTTTTCTCAAGCTCTAAGCTACAAAATTACCTTTAAAAGTTCAATTATTTTGAAGACACATAAAAGTTGCAAGAACTCTCTTTTGACGTAATTCAAGCATACATAAGTTGAAAGTAGAGGAAAAGTGTGTATCATGGCAAAGTGTGACTGAAAAAGTTCATAAACCCATTCCATGGATGACGGTAAATTAATTAAATTATAAATAAATGTATAGTAATATATTGGTGAGGACTGGAGTGAATGTTGGTGGGTGAAACTCTTTGTTGTCAAATCTAGTTATAATTCGGTCACTACTCGCCGTCGCTACCATCATTATTTTTCAACGGTGACCACCGTCATAATTACTTGGAGGGTTGTTAATGGTGGAAAAAAATGATACTTGGTCGACGGTAATAACGGTGCCGAGAAAAGTACCACCAAACACCTTCATCATCAGAGTAATTTGTCCCATGCAGAAAGAGAAGGAGCTGGATTCAGACCATTAATTTGTTGAAGTTTCGAGGATCGACGATCTTACATTGTTAATGGTTTTGGAACCGGCGGCTAGATCGATTGACCGGAGACCGAGGACCTCAATTCCATTCATTCACCGAGCTGCTCACGAGCAGAGAACATGTTACACGTCGACGGAGTGAGGTGACACATAGTTGTCTCCTATGCATAATTAGATCGAGATATAGGTAGTCAATAACAAAGGGTGTCGGTATCATCTAAAGACAAAATCTTGGTTATCAATATTTTCTGTAGTTCAGAACTTTGTAGCAGTTGAACTATATGATTCTGTGAACTTGTGAGCTAATTTTCCTATTATTAAGCGTTAAATAGGTTAGTAATCATTTTATTAACTTTAGTGTACAAGTGTTGCAAATTGTCATTTCATTCATCATGTAGTACCAATTTACTAAATTTTCTTCCAATGCTTAGGCACGCTTAATGCGAGCCAGGCGCTAGGTAAAACCGCAACGCTCGCTTTACGCCATGGCACATTCTTGAACCTTGAAAAATAACTCAATGCAACAGTTTTCCATGATTTAGACAAGGATTTTCATCCTACCACGTTCTACTGTTTGCTCAATATATGAATACACACGTTACAATCTTAAATCAAAATTTAAGGTGAGCTGTAGTCCCTTTCGGAGTATACGTAGCTCCACCACTAATGGATGAATTAGTTTAATTGAGCTCATTGTAAGTTGTTAAAGTCAAGGAGCCGAAGACTAATCAATCCAATATGATTCTAATGAGTGGAAACCGCTTACATGTCCACCTTTGATTTTATGGGAGCCTTGGTAAAACAAGTGTGTATATAAAGAAGTTGAGATTGTGATCCCCAACATATCAAGACCAAAAATATTATATTCTTCTTCTTATAACAGAAATTTGGACGTCTCTCGTCTCGTATATGAACCAGGGAGGTTGCCTAATTATCTTGGTTTAGGAAGCTGGTCATAAAATCTGCTGGATTGTACTCTCTAGCAGTATCGTCCCGTCCAGATCATTTTTTATTTTCCGCATTAAGTCCTTGTCGACATAAAACCATGTATTCCTATTAATGTTTAGGGCCCGTTTAGTATCGTTGTCTGTTTTTGTTTTCTGTTGTGATTTTAAAAATTGTGAAAACCAATAAAAAAAAACATGTTTAGTTGGGTTTTCAAATTTTGTTGTGCAACAGATTTGAGCAACCAGGCCCAAATTAACAAAACGTCAAATTGTAGCTTCGGAGGCGTTGCACGCGGGTTTCCCCTTCCATTAATTGATAATAATTATTTTATTCCTTTATTCCATAACCTTTCTTCTTCCTTCTCTAATAGCGTATCGTCCTCTTTCTTTCTTCCTTTGTGCGCCGATCCGGCAATCCCAGCCGGCGATCCAAATCTCACCTGCAGATGGGCGACCTGAATGCCCACAGCGCCGACGAGGCCGACGCTCCAATATCCTAGAATCCCCTACTTTTCAACGACACCGACGATCCCAACACTCACATCGCCGACGATCCCCTTTCCCCATCCCTATGATCCCAAATCCCAAATCATAGTGTCAACGACCCCAAGCCTTTCCCCCCTTCATGCGATTCAAGCCCACTGTTACTCTTGTCCAGATTATGTCCTTTAATGGGTTCCTGCATCTCGACTGCGGCAGAGGGGCAGCGGAGGCGATCTGGACATGGAGGAAGAGAGGCGAGACGGGAAGGCAATGGCAATGAAAAGGTCGCTTCTCATTGCAAAATTTGCTGCAATTTTTCCCGATCAAAATAAAGGATTGAAAGAATTGAAAAAAGTCGCGACAGAGAAAGTGTGAGAGGCTGATTTGAGTTGCTGATTTTTCTGCGTGAATGGCTAATTTTTCTGTTTAGTATGGTTGTTGATTTGTGTTTTGTTGGTGTTGTTGTTTCTCTTGTGTTTACACAACCTTTTTAAAACACAACATAATAGAAACGGTACTAAACAGGGCCTTAGTAATCCCACAAGTTAAATTTTCAGGGAATTTCATAAGTTTGATTTTTATAAGTGTTACAGGAGGGAAACGGAAGGGAAAGACAGTGAGTGGGACAGAAGGTTCTTTCTGAAACTAATTAATGATCCACTAACCAAAATCTCTCACTAATTAATGCGATTGTTACGTCAAACAAGGAAATGAAATTAAATGTTAATCAATTAGTTAATTAAAGTAAGATAGGGACCGAATAAGGAAGGAAATCTGAAATATGAGATTTAAGCGGATTAAGTCCACATTTCCCTTATTTAGCCCACTGGTCCATTTTATTAAGACAGGGCCACAAAAAAGAGGGATGATGAGGAAATGAACTATCTTGGCTTGGGTGATTATTTTGGCGAATTCATTCTAAAACGTTCTTCGTGGCATTTGCCAAGGCCTTCCAATTATATAAGTCCAACGAGAAAATGGCAAAATTATAAAGAAAGAACATAGCTTTTCCCCCCTTCTTATTATTATTTTTCTTAGCACCAACTCCATGCATTGATTAATGAACAAATTTAATTTCACAAATTTATAATTTTAAAATTCCTTTTGGTCGAAATTTTTTATATAGAACAACTCACCAAATTCATTCGTTAAACAGACTAATAGATCCTGATCATATTCATTTTATAATATATAAAATCATAGATAATTAGATAATAATCACTTTTACATGTACAATCTACACCAATATAATTAAACCAGTTAGATGGTCGAAAACAGACCCGACCACACGATAATCCAACATTTAGCTAGCTAGCTAGCTACCATCAGATTACTTCTTCAATCTAAGTTAGTGCACAGATTTAATCTCCCGTATAATAAAATGAATCCCGAACAAAAATGACAAAATTATCAAGAAAGAACATAGCTCCCCCCTTCTATTATTATTTTTAACTATTTTTTTAGCACCAACTCCATGCATTGATTAATGAACAAATTAAATTTCACAAATTTATAATTTTAAAATTCCTTTTGGTCGAATTTTTTTTCTTCTAGAACAACTCACCAAATTCATTCGTTAAACAGACTAATAGATCCTGATCATATTCATTTTATAATATATAAAATCCTAGATAATTAATCACTTTAACCTGCACAATCTACACCAATATAATTAAACCAGTTAGATGGTCGAAAACAGATCCGACTACACGATAATCCAACATTTAGCTAACTAGCTACTATCATATTACTTCTTCACTCTAAGTTAGTGCACAAATTTCATCTCTCGTATAATAAAATGAACCCCGAATAAAAATACACGCAATGCATATATATTGTCCTTATACATAATACAACACCAAACCAACAAAAACTAGAACTTGAAAAAGCAAAACCAAAAGGGTTACCCTACTTATGAAACTAACCCTAAACTCTAACTAAAATGGGGAATAGAAAAAGAAACGCCCCACACCATTACAACACTAGATGCCTTTACATATACTCCATTATCGTTCATTTCTCTATTATAAATTTATAATTTTTATTATTTATTACATGTTAGTTATAAGTTTGTTACCTACGGTAGTCCAAATGGGAATTAGACAATGACCTTTCCTGGTGGCGTTGTTTGCATAAATAATAGAAAGTGGAGGGGACATTGTTATTATTATTAATTTATTATCAAGGGAAAAGAATTACTAATTTAATTTCAATTTGTGTGGTGATAAAAAAAAAAATAAACAGCGATATTTATTCGTGGCGGATGTTTTGGAGCCAGCCACCTGTCCCGAGCGGTCGCCGTCGTCGCCGTGGAAGGCCGCTGGATTGCCTGCCATTTGGCCGTCGGACAGTCGACGTCTGACACTGTACGGAAAGACAAAAGAAAGATTGATTGATTGATGTGTACATTATATTGCTTTGGGAAGGAGAGGTTGCAATCATGTCTCTGTACTGCTTACTGGATTCACTCGTTGAATCTTATCCGATCCACTTCCTCTCCTTCCTTTGCTCATTTTGTTAATTAGCATGCGTGTTATAGTGATTTGATTTCTTATATTTTGGATGAAATGGTTGTTTGGACATTTTCAAGCAAATGTGTTTATATTATTATTGTATCGTTTATATTTTTCAATTCTCCTATTTGAAACAAAAATGTTGTTCGACTTCTGGTAATAACACTTTTTGGATAGACTCATGGTTAAGCACTACTGCACTAGCTATTTACTATTAAAAAAAAAAGCTTGAAAAATACTGTGCGAAGGAAGAAAAAGACGACCATTTTTTTGTACTGTGGAAACGTGAAAGTAGCAATGAATAAAGAGGTAAATGTTGAATTAGAGAAAGTGGAGAGAAAAAAAATCCACACTGGAGGGGACATCTTATTTTTTCAAATTTTTTTTTTATTGTGTCGATAGTGTAAGCGATAGTCTGTGCTAAAGTTAGGAATTGTATAGTCCACAATTTTTATTGTTGAATAAATTTATGGACAGTTTTGTTTCTGCTATTGTTTGGTTGAGATTGTTACAAATATTGTTTTACAATTCATTATTTTTTTTGATTTCCATCCATAAAGAATACATGTATTGTTTACTTGATGTAACAGAAACAATCATCCATTATGATTGATTGCACAATTCGAGCTTTTAGTCGAGATTGGTGGGATAGTTTAAGATTGTTTTCTTTCTTTTATATGTCAAATGTCGCTTTGCTCCGGAGGAATGAACAAATGTTTTTAGAAATGCAACTAACACACATTATATTAGCAATTGCCTTCCATTAATTGTAACATCATTTGTATACAGGAAGCACCCAACTGTCATGGCATTGTAGTATTAACATTTCCAACTATATACATTGGATATAATTTCTCAAATAATTTGTATAGTTACATTAATTGCTTGCTTCTCACTCAATTAAAAATCATACCCAACCTCATACACATCCTGATCACGTTACTAATCATCATCTGCAGGTCCACACTAACTTATGGTGGACGGCCCTCAGATCCTAATTCAATTCTCAAATATGAATTATATCTCCAGCCAACCACAACGACGTCGTGCTGTTTCTCTACCGAGCTTCAAGCACAGTGACGGTAACGTCATTGACGGAGCTGGCGCCATTCGAACTCGTCGACGGCTCCAAACTGTTGTACCCTCGCTTCAATATGAACGCCGGTTTGCTCGGCGTCGGCGGCGCCTGAGCCGTCTCGATGTTGCACAACATGAACACGACGTCGAACATGTTGGGCCGGTCGGCGGCCGATTCCTGGACGCAAAGCAGCCCGATTTGGACGCACCTCAGCACGTCTTGGTCGGGGTACGATTCGCCCAGTAACGGGTCGACCATCTCCAGTTCCCTGCCTTGCTTCCACAGCTCCCAAGTCTAGTGATTCGTTGAACATAGTGTACGTTTAAGTTTTAACAATATATATGCTGACAAGGAGAAGATGATTAGACTGGCTATAAGTTGTGAGGTATTTGAAATACTTACATATCCGACCAGACTTGCGGATGTCGTTTCTTCGTAGTAATTGCTGTTCTTTTTGCCCGTGATGGTCTCCAGTAGCAAGACGCCGAAACTGTATACATCTGACTTTACAGAGAACATTCCTTGCATTGCATACTCGGGCGACATATAGCCACTGCAAATCAGATGAGGTTTGAGTTCATGAACCAGATAAGGATGTAAAGATTGTAGAACTCTTTCTTAATCACAATTGTGTTTCTGGAAATCGAGAATTAAGAGATCTATCATTCTCACATGGCAATCACTAATTGTTATTGAGAGTGATGACACAAAATTATAAATAGCATACCCATGAACCGGGGTAGTTAAATGCCAATTATATGTGTACTTACTATGTGCCAACCACGCGGTTTGTGTTGGCCTGGTCTTGGTCGACTCCAAATATTCGCGCCATGCCGAAATCAGAAATCTTCGGATTCATCGAAGCATCCAATAGGACGTTACTGGCCTTTAAGTCTCTGTGTATGATTCTCAGTCTTGAATCTTCATGCAGGTACAAGATTCCCCGAGCTATGCCACATATAATGTTGTACCGAACCGCCCAGTCTAACAATGCCCTCTTTTCATCATCTGGGATTGGAGTCAAATTTGGAAATAACATATGCATAGGTACGTTATTGTAGTATTGGAGATATTTTATACGAGTTGTCAAAATCAACAAAGCTTTACCAAAAATGAAGAAGTCCAAGCTTTTGTTAGGCAAATATTCATAGACCAACATCTTCTCGTGTCCTTGCACGCAACAACCTAGAATCCTTACAAGATTCTTGTGTTGGAGTTTTGCAATGAGCTCGACCTCGTTCTTGAATTCTTCTGCTCCTTGTCCTGAGTACTTGGACAACCTCTTAACTGCAATTTCATTTTCTTTGTATGTGCCCTGGAAAATGTACTAATCATTCGTTAATGTTGCTGCTAATGTCTAATCACGATTACCATGAGAGCAATCCCAAAAGGCTTTTGGCTTGACAATAAATTGCGAAGTTCTTTTCATGCTAAACAAATGAAAATTTGGGAGTGGGAGTGATGAGTTATGAAGATAACCTTGTAGACAGAGCCGAATCCACCTTCTCCTAGCTTGTTTGCTTCGGAGAAATTATCTGTGGCGGCAGCAATCTCACTGAGATGGAAGAAGGGCAAATCCATATTTCCTCTTCTGCTATCCTTTTCAGTTATGGATCCTTCTGGGTTAGTTGTGTCGAAAAAGAAGGAAAGTTTGTCCAGTCTGTCTCGAGCTGCTACATGGTTTGAAGTTTTTGTAGGCACAAATGAGTTCATCTTACAACATACTTATGCACAACCACATAGTCAATGGAATTCGAAAATGGAGCTATGTACATACCTTTCCTATACCTCCTTATCAGGCAAAATGCTAGAAAAATGACCAGGAAGAGAGCTAGTAGAACTGAAACAATTAGGACGGCTTGCATTCCTGGATTATGAAAGGGCCCTCTGGACTTCTCGTTGTAAGAAGCTGCGAAAGAACACAAAATGAGTGAAACACGAAAACCCGAATTCGGCGATCGATTAGTTCTCAAATGCTCAATCTAAGATGTTGTGAATACGATGATATGTACTTAAGAATGGGTCAACAACTCGAAATTGGATGATCACTAATAATCGGGAACAATCTTCTCGAACTTATCTTAATAACGACACTGCTATTGATAGAAACCTAGCGGACTCAAAACCCTAGTACTAGAGCATAACCATAAACCACTTACTAGAGTTAGTTATACTAACTAATATGTGTCTTGATGTTGTGTAGTAGTCATGGTTGATTGTCCTTTTCATTAACTAGTCATCATTGATTCTTTCAAAGATGTATATACTATTATGAAAACTACTTGCTAGTTGCTACACGCTATACACACCATAACAGCTTTGCATCACAAAGATTTTCTTAATCTTTTTTTTCCTAAACGTGCAATATTTATAACATAAACCCATCTCTAAGTCCAATCACTACCAAATTTTGACCAAACCCTTAATGTCACTGGACAATGCCACAACATTGTGGACGAAACTTAAGCAACAAGACAACCAAACAAAATTTAATGTATTATCAGAAACGAATTGACATATTACCTAACACACTGGAATTGACACGAACATAAATGTCCTGGCCACCATTGGTATACGTTCGTGTGTCCACCAAGTCACCGAACCATCTCAAGCACCCAGTCCCGTTTTCGTCCGCGCTCGTGTAAGCCTGGCACGTGCAATTACTCAAACACCCTTCCTCGCACGCTTTCAACCCCAACCCCATCTCGGCACGTGCCAACTTCGTGTCGGGCACCTTCACGCGTGCCACCTTCACGAACCCTTCCCCGCTCCTGCACGTGGAAGCCCCCGCCCGGCTCACGCAGCCGCCCGAACCGTCCCTCAGGAACCACTCCCGGGGCGACTTGGGCTCGTACCCGGGGAGGCACTTGCAGTAGAAAGTGTCCGCCTGGTACGGGTCGCAGTTGCTGTTGGGCCCGCACAGCTGGTAGTTGTCGCACTGTTCCTTCGGGGCGGACCAGAACTCGACCCACCTGCCGTCGCGCCCGTTCCAAGTGGACCGCCTCACGAGCCCCGACTCGTCCACCATCATCCTCGTCGCAATCGACATGTTCGACACCACCCCGTACGTCACGAACACGTCGTCGTCGCCGTCGTTCTCGAAGCTGACATTGAAGATGAAGTTCTTAGTCATCTCGGGGACCCCGCTCCATCGAGTACCCGTCCACGGTCCGCCCCGCCACGCAGGGACCGAGCCGTTCCTGTACAGGAACAGCTGCGGGTAACCCGTCGGGTCGATCCGGTACGAGACGGTACCCGACCCGGGGTCGTCTTCCGACTTCCACGAGGTAAGTGACCAATTCAAACCGATAGTCCGGTTCGACCCCAATTTCATATACGGAAGCAGAGTATCCGTCGGGTAATCGAAGCTCTGCCACAATACCCTTTCCGTCTCTTCTTGTACCACCACCAAATTCCCCGAATCCAGAAGCCGAGCGGCGAAATTCCCAGCTGGGAGTTTTGCCGACCAGACGAGTGAAGTTCCATTTGCAGCGTATATACCGAAATTGCCGCGGGAATCGAGGGAGAGTAAACCGGAAGTGTCGTTGAGAGGAGCGTCTCTGTTCGCGACCCAGACGACGGTTTGCTCCGAAACGTTGTGGTACCATATTCCGATGTACCGGCGGATGGAGTTCTTGGGGGAGAAGAAGCCGAGGGAGAAGGTTTGGCGGCCGGAGACCAAAACGTCGCCGTCTCGGAGGGGATTGTTGGGCTTTAGGGTGTCCGCCTCGATTGAAAACGAAAAACAGGGGAGAAGGAGAAGGTGAAGGAGAAGCAGGGGAAGAAACTGAAGGAGGAATGATGGGTTGTTCATGGTTTTTCTTTGTTTTTTTGTTTTGTTTAAGCAGAGATCAAATGGAAGCTGCTGCCATGGATTTTAGTACTTAATGATTGGTAGGTGACGCAGTTGAGAAAATTGGAAGTTGGTTGGGGAAGGTTTCAATTATGGAGGGTGGAGCCAGGAGAAATTGAAGGATATGATGCTAACATCTGGTGAAAGTTTGCTGATATTTTTCTTTCTGTTCTGTGTTTGTTCACATCATCGTACAAGGTTTTGTCGTCAATTTAGTTTAAGACTCGAGGAGTGGCAGATGGTTCATGGTTGTTTTGGGGGTTTACTGTAGAATGGCAATCTGACTCAGAGTCAAACGACGGGTAGAGTATCATGAAGCTGTGTTTTGTGACTGTGGAAGTGACATGGTGTGGCGTGTACTCTTGCGATCCAAGAAACAATTGGTGACGTGGGAGTGAGAGAGCTGCAAGTAGGAATGGCGATAGGGCAGGACGAAATGAAGACCGACGAGGAATTTGTATAGTTTTTGGTTTAAGTTAGTTTTTCGGGCTTATATATTATTTTATACATCCAACTTCAAAATTTGCAAAGTTTTCATGAAAACAATGCCTTAGGATCATATATTTGATGATATAATCGTCGAATCTATCAAATAATTTGGTTCGATTCATTTGGTGATCATGACTTCGTTTTTTGTTAGGTCGATGGAAACAAACCAAGTTAGAAAATGACAAAGACTTGACAACCACTTTGCGTCTTTGCTATCGTTTGCAGTTAATCTAAGTCAATTTGGCATTTCATATCACGAGGTCGATTGGTTCATATCAACATATGTTACTCCACATAACATCACCGACGCGATTAATCACATGATTGAAGTGGTCGACCGAAAACATCCATCGGACAGAAGACACTCCTCTAACCAAACATGGAGAACAGTCTTGCCACTATGAAGACACAATTTACCGGTTCATGCCACAAACATATAGTTTAACCCAAGCCATGGGAGTTATACTCTATCATAAGATGAATCTTCGTCTGAATTGTGCCTTTGTGCAGAAAGTAAAAATTATTATATTGGTCCGCTTAACTTTGCTTCTTTTTTCTCGATCGGCAGTTTCATGAGAATATTTAACGTTATCTTGTTTTGACTTTTCAGTGACAGTAAAGCTTACCGAAAGAGAAGGGAATCAGTGGTGTTTATATTTGAGCCCATGACCCATATGAAGCCTAGGGCAGGGACTCCGTGACCGTGGAGAGGAGACTCATTCAAACTTGGAAGTTTAGTAGTTTACGATCTTTATGTCAAGAACCAATTGATCCCAATAATTCGAGTTGTTGAGAGAGGTTCAATCGTGGATCATATACCACAACACTAACACACCCCCTCAAACGAAAGCCACTCAGAAGGGCTTGAAGTTTGCACAGGTCTGAAGACAAGAATACCATGTGCTTAACAAATGGGGGTCACCGGGAATCGAACACAAGACCTCTCGGTCACAGAAGGCTCTGATACCATGTCAAGAACCAATTGATCCCAATAACTCGAGTTGTTGAGAGAGGTTCAATCGTGGATCATATATCACAACACTAACACTTTACATATGAAGCCGGAAGTTACATATGGATCACATATGGTTGACGTACACACAAGTGAAGCAATCTGAAAATTGAATTCGGACCTCTGGCATCGGAATAAAGATTCAAAACATTATTCCGATGCCAGAGTTCCGAATAAAGATTCAAAACATTACGAACAAGGGATTGGTCTAGTGGTAATACCACTAGCCATGAATCTGGAGGTCTCAGGTTCGAGTCCCTTCAGTAGTACCTAATAACAAAAAAGTAACATATATCACCCTTATCTTAAAAAAAAAAGATTCAAAACATTAGATGTACACGAGTTATAATTCAGGTAACTTGAGCAAGATCAAGTATGATGAGGATGAATAGACGAAGTTTGGGTGAAACTAAGTGGAGGCCCGAACTAGCTGGATGTTGATGAATCACTGGATGAGTTTCAAATATCTGTCCTACATCCATTCGTGAAGAAAGTGGAATGAAAAGTTATTTTTGATGATGCAGAGAAAATGTTGAATAACATAGATGATATGTTTACTACAATGCTAGAGTTCTATCGAGCTTCAAGTATCGATCGTCGAGATTTCAAATTGGTGATCAACTCATTATTGGAGTGAAATCTTGGTCGAACTGTGAGAGCAGACGAGTTTGAATCGACATATTTGCTTCTGGACATGAATGTAAGCTTCTTGGGAGATGGAAGATTGCTAGTTGTGTTTACTAACACGAAGACAACTTTTGACATGATTTGACCGATCTCTCGTAAATTCCTGAATAAATAAAAGACCTAGATGAATGCATCATCACTTGATCTTCAAAGTCGGATTCTGAGGCCATTGCTGGCTAGTGTTCTCCCTTCTTTCCACAGAGTCCCCGGACCTGTAATTTGTAGAAAACTTCTTCGTTTCGTTTTACACGAGCAAGCAACATTTTTGTATCACACAAATCTAAATAAAGACCGAATTAACATTTGGACTAAACTAAATCTTACTGTTAAATGATTTTAATTCAGCTTTTGTTATGAATGGTAAGATTTGTAAGGAAGTGGTTAAGTACCATACATGGGCTTGTATAAGATCTAGCATAACCTTCTCCCAACAACTCGAACTATTGGGACCAACTAGTTTATGACATGGTATCAGAGCCTGGTTTGTACTCGAGGTCACATGTTTAAGTCCCCACGACCCCCAATATTAAACGTTGTCGTTCAAGCACATGGTATGGCGGGCCTGTGCAAATTTCAAGCCCATGAGTCGGCTTTCGTTTGAGGGGGCGTGTAAGGAAGTGGTTAAGTATCATCCATGGGCTTGTATAAGATCCAACATAACCTTCTCCCAACAACTCGAGCTATTGTGACCAACTGGTTTATGACAAGATTTATTACGGTTTCATTCCAGTTAATCCTCTTTTCTTCATTTTGACTTTATCCTACAAGAATTTGGCCCGTCAATTTCGATCTAGATTCATTTGTGAAATCATATCTTGACCACTAGCAAAATAAGAAAAAGAGAATAATTTTCTTGGAGTAAGAAATTGCGACTCGTTTGAAAGTTGAGATTTTAGATTATGTATGTATACCATACATGTAATTTGGAAAATTCATCATTTTTATCTTAAAGTGAAGCATAATATTTGTATTTGAGTAGAAGATGGGTTCAACATAATTACCCATGAATGATTGACAAACTTCAAGTCTTCAAAGGATTATCTGGATGCATCTCATTAATCGATTTATAGAGTATGATTTCGAATATATAGATCTGTCGATATGATTTAAAATTCGATTATATGTCGTCGATTGGTAGTTAGGGGATTTCGATCTCTCCTACCTCTTAATTAGCAAACACACATAAATCTTGTTCTATCACTTTGGGCTTTTATAACTAAGCCCAATTAAAATATTTGGTTCTTATTTAGGTCACATGATTCGCCATCTCCACCCTCAAGCTCCCGCTCTAGAGCGGCGAAACGCGGATTTCAAAGGAAACGCAAAAAAATCGCGAATTTTGTTTCTGTAGAGCGCGGATTTAGTTTTTAAGTTCGCGATTTTTTATGGATGACTCAGGTAGAGACGTAGAGTAGATGGTGCTCTTCCTTTCTCCATGAGCGCACGACCCACGGGTACCCAGGTGGGGTTTGTCCACCGTCGGCGATGACTGGTTTCTGAAGGGAGTTGGGTACGGCAAGTTGATGTTGAAACACTGGTTGTCGGCCGATAATTTGTTGATTTGGTCAGAGTCGATGTAGATCGGAGGGTTTTGGATTGAGATTGGGATGATGTGTTCTGGTTGTTAATGGCGGCGACACTAGTTTTGGGATAATAGTTTCCTGGAAGATTAGGCTATAGTCCGAATTCACAAATGGCAGCTTGTTGCCGATGATCCGTTTGAGACTTGTGGTGGACGGCGATGGGATCCGTTTGAGTAAGGTTGGGGGCTGAAAGATTTTCCACGGAGGAGATGGAAAGGAGGGATAAGGCTACGAAATTTTTGTGGTTGTCGAATGAATTTTGTTTCTTCAGTTTTTAATTTTTTATGTTTTTTAAAAAATAGAAAATAATAAGGTTAAAAATTGTAAGTTTAAAGTAAACTAATAAATTTCAATAAGTCACGGCAAAACAATTGAGTCCTTGCCAAAATAAATCTGCCTTTATATTTTTTTTTGTGTGTCAAAGAATCTGCCTTTATATCTTTGATAATGAATGATTTTCTAATAGATTATTATAAATTATATATATATATATATATAATATATAATATAATATTAACGCTTTTTATGCGCTCTCTAAATTAAGTTCTTGAAAAATTGACGCTCTCACGCTCCCGCTCCCGCTCTCGCTCTCGTTCCCGCTCCACGAATCGGTAAGCTAAGTTCTTATTATAACTTGGCCCATTTTTAATGAAAAACGAACGGTTTTACTCATAAACATTAAAATCAGTTTCTTGAATTATTTTTTTTGGATCAAACGCGGCTCCTTTGTTCTGTTCTGTCTCTCTTATCTCTACCGAATCGTTTCTTCAACATTAGGGTTCGTTTCTTCCTTCGGGGAACTGCAACTGCGAGAGGAAATTGGCGCCGTTTTCCACTGCATAAGGTACAGACCCGCCGACACGCATCTCCGACCCCAGTCGCCATCGTCTTCGTCAGCAGCAAGCGCATATCTGCCTTCTTTATCAGAGTGTCACGGCTCTCACTATTGACTTCGGTAACCACCTTAATCTAGTCCCTGGTGAATTCGGATTGGAATTTTGGTGGTCGGTTCCGTTTTCGTTGAAGTAGTAGTATTATGCAGTTTTGTTGATTGTACGCTACGAATCGACTAACATACTGACTCTGCACGGATAGTAGTTTCTTCGTCAATTATATAATCTTAACTTCCTTCTGCCATGGTTGCATCCGGAAGAGAATGAAATTTTCTCTTATACTTGCCTACCCGTGACCAACATGTGAACTTATTCAGTAATTTCTTTTTAGCCTGAAGCTTATGATCAATTTCGCTAGGATTTCCTACTCCATGGCTTGGGGATGCTTGCAAGATGCTTAATTTGATGGATTAATGATAATGTAATGTAATCAGAACATATTATGTTGAGCAAGTTGGCATTTTATAAGGACATTGTAAAGTGTTGAATTCGGCACCAGGGATGTCATTTAATGAAAATAAATGAGCCGAAAGTGGTGACGGTTCTGCTGTTAATTGCTGAAGTAGAAGCCTCTCTGTTACATTGTGTCCATGCTAACTTCATGGGGTTTATTTTGGCATTGATATCTTCGTTTTTATTAGCAATCCTTAGTGTTTGATGATTATCTTCTTATTTGTTGTTGAAGGATTTTAATCCGCAATCCCTGAACTGTAGTTTGGCCTGAGTTCGACATTGTTTGGACAAATGGCTGGCACTGGGGAGAAAAGTGATCAACTTTGTGAGGTCGCTCCTGTTGGCGCCATTGAAAAGAAGCAGGAAACCCGTGATGAACTGCTAGCCCGGCATAGGTGAGTTGGTTTTCATCCCTAGTCTCTCCTCCTCTTATCTCTGTTGCTCTTTTTTATTCATAGCATTTTCGATCACATGGTTCGTCGAACTACATTGCTGTTACTGCTGGAGTTGAGGTTATGAATGATCAAACACTCTCTGGTAGTGCCCAATTGGAACTGCTAGTTTCAGATACATTTCTGTATGCCGATTATACATGCATTATTAGTAACATGAGACCCCATTTTTCATTATGCTGTTTGCGACATTGTATTCTGTCTTGATTAACATATTGAAGTAGTCGCCAATCAAGAGTTTTTTTTATTTTATTTTTTTATATCGGGGGTAATCTCTTCAGGAAGGAGACTGTAGAGCTGCAGAATAAAGAAACTGGTCTCAAGAGGGCGGCTGCAAAAGGGAGCAAAGCGGAACAGAAAGCCAAGAAGAAGGCGGTTGAAGAGGAAATATCCCGACTCTCTGCTAAACTCAAAGAGAAACAGGCGCAGGAGCTCGCTTCATTAGGCTATGTCAACAACACCAATGACATCAATGGCAAAAGCAAACTCGACAATATAGTGATGGCCATAGCTGGGGTTTCTGTTACCGACCAATCAGAAAACAATACAAGGCGGAGCAAAAGTGGGAAGAGGAAGGATAAACGAGCTCAGCAAGAAGTCGAGAGAGAGAAGAGAATTCAAGAAGAGCAGAGCAACCTCGTGAGCGATCGCATGATTGAAGACGAGAAGTTGGGAAGGAAACTGGATCCCCTTGGGTTGACTGTCAATGAAATAAAACCAGATGGTAACTGCCTCTACCGGGCGGTAGAAGATCAGCTGGCTCTCATTTCTGGTGGGTCTTCTCCATATAACCACCAAGACCTGAGGAAAATGGTGGCAGATTACATGAGGCAGAACTCATCCGAGTTCCTGCCGTTTTTCCTTTCAGAAAATGATGCAGCAGCAGGAGATGATTCTGACAGTTCACTGGCAGATAGGTTCGAGAGCTACTGTGAAGAAGTCGAATCTACAGCGGCGTGGGGTGGACAACTTGAGTTGGGGGCCTTGACTCACTGCTTGAAGAGGCCTATCATGATATATTCAGGATCCTTCCCTGATGTGGAGATGGGACAGGAATACAAATCCGGCGGTGGAAATGGGTTGTCTAGTGGAAAACTCATAATGCTGTCGTATCATAAGCATGCATTCGGGCTCGGGGAGCACTACAATTCCGTGGTTCCGAACATGATCAGGTAGGCATTACTGTATCAGTACTAGTTGTGTTGTGCTTGCAGATTACAGGTATCGGTTTTGGCTACATACTTGATATACATCAATTGTTCAGACATTCTGGTTGTTAAGGCTGTAATCACCAAGTTTACATATACCTGAATCAACATTTTAGTATTACTGGATGATGGGTTGTTCCTTTGTTATTGTTACTTAGCACGGTGTGAAAACCGATCCAGATTAAACCGTGCTGCCCAAGCGTTAGTGAGCTTGCAAAGTACTTATGATCACATATCCTGTCCGGATTTCATCGAGCTTCCAAGTCGGTCATTGACACAGTATTGATGGAAGGAACTGTTGGTCGAGCTGCTACAGCTGACTATGGGTTTAAGCATCATCGAGCTTCCAAGTTGGACATCGCCACATTGATGGAGGGAACTGTTGGTCGAGCTGCTACAGCTGATGACTCTGGATCGATGTAGTTGCTATTGGGGATGAATGTTGGCTTCTTGGGAGATGCAAGAGCACTATTTGAATCTCCTAACATGAAAACAACATTTGACATGCCGATATGTTAGATTCCTGAAACGAAAATCATTAAGGGTTATATTGGTTAATCGAAAATAGATTAGTCTCTTAATGTTTTGGTTTGATTTGAGATATAAAAAAATAAAAAAATAAACTCAACCCTAGCGGACAACTAAGTTTTTCTAGTGTCACTTGACTCGTGCTTACCATTCCTTTCGGGTCTTCGAAGGAAGTATAGAATGAAGATCAGTGAGATTAAGGCCACAACTGTATAGGTCAAAACAACTGCTAATCCCTTCCTCTCCCTTGTGTCTGTGTGTCCTCCCAACCTTTTTATGGAATCAACTAAAACCACATCCATGAGAATCAGTAATATCAAAGTGTAAGAAAATATATTCTTAAGTAAATAAACAAACTTTGGTACATCAATCATGGCTTGTTGAGTCATTAATATTGGTCACTAAGAGTTAGAGGGTGTAGGTCATAAATTAGTTCACCCTAAAAAGGTTTCACCATTATAAAAAGATTACTAAACAAATAACACAACAATTTTGGTACTCACCTAGCTCGATTGCGTCGACCCGTATGTACAAATCTTGACCACCATTAGCGAATACTCTAGTATCTAGCAAATCTCCATATAGTGTCACGCATCCAATCCCACTGGTCAAGTTAGAACTTAAGTAAGCTGTACACGAACAGTTTTTCAAGCACTCTTGTCTGCACGTGCTCAAATCTATACCAGGATTTAATCGTCCGGTCGTGGTATCAGGAACTTTAGCATTTTCCAATTTTACAAACCCTTCTCCATTCCCACAATTCGAATTCATGGGCCGCTTCCTCACACACCCACTAGAGCCATCATTCATTAACCAGTCTGCCGAGATCTTGGGCTCGAATCCAGGAATGCAACTGCACTCAAACTCCCCTGGATCTCTATAAGGGTCACAGTTCCCGTTTGGTCCACAATGTCTGTAGTAGTCGCACGGTTCATCGGGCATGTAAAATGACTCGAACCACTTACCCTGCTGATCATTCCATGTGGCCCACCTCATGTTTCCTGATGGGTGCACGTATATCCTAAATGTGATGGTGGGATCCATGACTCCCCAAACGACAGTTGACTCATTTTCATTGTTGACAACATTCATATCGAAAATTACACCACGCATGGTCGGAAATCCGCTCCATTGCAGGCCATTCCACATGCCACTCCGCCATATTCTAGTTTGACCTTTGTATAACATGAACTGAGGCACCCCTTTCAGGTCCAAGTAATAGGACGAGTCCCCTGATGCAGGGTCGTCAGGGGACTTCCAGGCATGAAGTATCTTATCCATTCCGGTTTTCCGGTCCGACCCTATCTTCATATATGGAAGCACAGAGTCCGTCGGATGATCAAAACTCTGCCACCGCACCTCCTTACCAACACAAAATAACGATTTCATGGTTAGAGATGAACTAATTTGTCCAACTACACTATTGTGCTTAGGGATGCTAATTGAACCCGAACTCACGAGCACACACTATCTAACTCAACCCGGTCAAAGTGGATATAACTTAGTGCTGACATATTTTGGGATCAGTGCAAGTTTTACCCACGTTTGAAATTGACGGGTAGTGTCGGGTCTGGGTCTTTCCAAAACCCAATTTGCTTTCCTCCCGCTCCCGGCCCATAACAATAAAGCAAAACGGCACCATTTCGGATAAAAACATAAGACTATAAATAATTTATGAATGTTATTATTCTTTATAACAATATAAACTTAATAATATGAATAATTTATGAATGTTAGTAATTTTATGGAGATATATTTAGGGAAAAATTTCGATAACATCACGCATTCGTAGAAATAATATATGATTATATTCGTGAACTCAATAATCCACGGGTACCTGTTGAGTTGGCTTGGGTTTTCACTTCTACAATCTAATTGCAGTTAAAGGGTCGTTACCAAAAATGAAATTGCCAAATGTATAGCCAGTAATCAAAAGATTTGTATTCCACCAGTGCTCGAATAAAACAGATGTTTGAGTATTATGTACCAGATTACTTTCATCCGAAGTCGTCGTCTTTGTGGGTTCTTGTTGGAGCAGAAGGACAAGATTTCCAGCGTCCAATAAACGAGCCATTGACTTGCCACCTGCGCCTGGTGACGAAGAAGCAGGGATATTCGTCGACCACAGAGTAGTACTAGTCGAACTGGTTACGTTCATTCCTGCGCAGCACCAAAGGACGAGATTGCGCCCAAAATTGTCGAACGAGAGCACTCCGGAAGTGTCGTTGATCGGATTGTCTCTGTTTGCCACCCAAACAACGGTTTGAACCGAAATTTTGGTGTACCAAATTCCCAGATAGCGTTTGCTCGAAACCCCAGGGCTGAAGAACCCAAGACTGAATTTCTCTCCACTGGAGACGATCACCTGACCGTCTTCAACAGATTCGTCGAAACTTACGGTGTCTTTGGATGAAAAACAGGGGAGGAGGCAGAGGAGGAAGGCGAGTAACAGAGGATTCATCGTTTGGGAACTTATGGCGTCTTTAGATGTGGAAGGAGGCAATTATAGTTATCAGAGCATAAGTTACCGTTTCAATTGGGAGTTTTTGGGTTACTGTACTAGCTCGATTTGTGGTCATTGTCAGGTCTTGCTTCGTTTTTGGGTTACTCACTTCTTTCTTGTTATGGAACTTGTCCGAAAGAGAGAGGCAATTGTTGGTATGTACCTTTAGCAGAGAGCGCACGTATTCAAGTACTCGCGACCTTCAATTTGTCTTAAAACACATGATACGGCGTGTTTATACAATATTTAGAAAAGAGTGTAAATAAATGATTAATATACTCGAGTTATTCACACTAAAAGTAAAAAGAGTTGAGTAGAATCGTTAACGTATGCAACAAAAAACTCAAATTTTGCCGTGATAAATTTCACCACCCTTATATTCCTCCCGGCCTAATCGTCCTCACTCGTCATGCTAAAATCGGCGAAATTCCCTTCTGCTCTGAAAAGAATGCAAGTGAAAGGACAAATAAAAGAACCAAGATGGGAAAGCTTGTAAGCTTCATGGTTATGATCACAAATCAAAACTCTCAAGAGGACAAGAAAAACAAATAAAAGGATCAAGATGGAAAGCTTGTAAACTTCATGGTGGTAATCACAAAGCAAAACTCTTAACTATATATATTCACCCCAACACTTCACTCCAAACCATCATCAACTCCTCATCATCATCTAACACCTTACCAAAAAAAACCAAACTCCAACATTTGGAAAATTTACAAAACCACCATCATCACCAGTTCACCAACATGCAATCCTTCCTCCTAACACTTGTCTTGCTCGCAACCTCGGCGGCCGCCGCCGAAGCCAAAAGGCCGGCCACCCCCGTCCATTATTCCAAACCGCCCCCACCCGACGGCATGACGTACACCGTCACATGTCACGCCGGCAAGTCGCCGGGAGGACCCGTGTTCCTCAACCACATCGGAGTCGCCGAAGCCAAGCAGGCCATGTCGTCGGCGACCCAGTTCGTGTGGAACATGTTCAACCAGACACATCCCGGAGACCGCCGCAACGTCAAGAAGATCGCGCTCTTCATCGACAACATGAAAGGCGACACCCTCGACGCCTATCCGGTAAGCGATAAAAAAAAAAATTCATACAAATCTTTTCCCAAACACTTCAGTTATTTCGGAGTAAGTAGTTTACTTCTTAACATGGTATTAGAGCTCTTGACTAAGACATTTCGGTTTCAAATTTTAATGACGATCCAATTATAAACAATGGTTTCGTACTAATAAGAATGATATGTTCAACCTATATGCAAACTGAAATGCTAATGATTTAGCAGCACGAGAGATGATATTCAACCTGCAGTGCAAATTGGAAAAAAAAGGTAAGGCGTCGTTCGGACCGGTCAACGTGAATAACCTGCCCCACCACAAACAATTGTAACTACCTCAAGCAAATCAGAAATTCTCAAGTCAAACTGTTTCGTCCAAATTTTATGCTGTCAAACAGGTCGATTTGTCTGAATTGTTACAGAACGAGAAAATAAGATCAGATTCCATTCGTCACAGTTCCTCATACAAATTAAACAACCTGCTAAATCCTTTTTTCCAACAACAACTCGAGTTATCATTGCGACTAAATGGTTTGTTCGTTAACGATGCCGCACAGGGGAAGAACGAGATCCACGTGAACGCCAACTTCCTGGGGAAGTACAAGGGCAACATCCGGCGGGAGTTCGTCGGGATCGTGTACCACCAGGTGACCAGGGTGTGGCAGTGGACCGGCGGCAAGGACAGAGAAGCCCCCAAAGGTTTGCTGACCGGAATCGCCGAGTTCGTGAGGATGGAGGCGCACTACGGGACGTCGGAGAAGGTGAAGCCAGGGGAAGGGAAGCAATGGGACCAAGGGTTTGGCGTCACGGCCAGGTTTCTGGCTCACTGCGAGAAGGTGAAGAAAGGGTTCGTCAAGGAGCTGAACAAGAGGATGAGGTATGGCTACACCAAGGCGTATTTCGTCGATATTTTGGGGAAGCCGGTGGATCAACTGTGGAAAGAGTACAAGAGTAAGTATCCCAAATATTGAGACAAGTTTGTTTAGTTTCTGATGAGAGTGGCGGAGAGGAAGAAGAAGGAGGAGGAGGAAGAAGAGAGGGGGGAAAAGAAGAGTTGTGGAACTGTTGGTGTTTGTTTGTATTTTTGATGAATTTTATTTTATTTTTGATCATATTGTTCCACTGCTTGAAATAAAATTGAGGTGGTTTAATTTTTTTTCTTTCTTTGTTTGCATTTGATAATTGCCGAAGTTTATACAGTAGGCTCGGCTGGTTTCGAGCTTTCTTTCGTTGGGATAATCACGGTTGGAAAAGGGCATGCTTGAATTCATAATTAAACGTTAGGCAACATCGACTCGTCTTGTTTAGAGATTTCACGGTGAATTTAAGAAAATGAAGCAAGGTGTCACTGATACGTAATTTGATTAAAAATGGGGACATCCCAATGAACGTCAAAATACATTTTTATTTTTCAGTTTCTTTTCATAACTACAATTTGAAATGAAAATAAAACGGTAAATCAATTTTTCAGTCGATCGGAGTATTTCACCTGTCACACTCTCTTTTCTTCATTTTTTTTTATTTCTATCATCTTAAATTGGTGGTATCTTCTTTATTGCACTTGCATTTACATTTTTGTAGCATAAATAAATTCTATTAATAAGATCTACGAGAGGAAACCCATTTTGTTATATTTTGAAATAATAATAAAAAAATTCATATGATGAGAGAGCCACTCAAATGGAAGTGATTTAATCGTGTACCATTTCAGTACATGACTATACCATTATGCAAAGCATGTTTAAAAAGAATAATTAAGTGTTAGTCAATTTGACCAATCACGTTTGGTTAATTGTGGTTTGATTAACTTGACTAAAGAGTTTGATTTCGTAAAAATTATTAGTGAATTTGGTTTTTTAAATAGTTTGATTTGTGATAGACAACTCTCTATTAACTAATTAACCAAAGGACTCTTCCGCAAAGGTTCTCGTACGACGACTCATCTTTCCGGCGGCCAAAGCATATTTTCAGTTGGTAGTTAGTTTAAAACAGCTTTATACCTTTTGTGTCTTTTTTCTCTCAATTGGATAGATTATCGTAATGAATTCACGCCGGCAGATTCCACAAAGAAAACTTCCACTAGTGCAAGGAACGGAGGCCGGCGGTGGGCGTGATGAAGGCGAAGCATCACCGGAGATGTACCGGCCGGCGAATAGCCGGCGACTCACCGTTTTAGCGAATAGCAAACGGAAACAAATAAATACCCGGGGTTCATCTCATCCGCTTCTACATCATGTATTGAGAAATAAAGTACCACTCTTTTTCATCAAATAATATGGAAGATCTGAATTTCCGAGATAGAAAAGAAAGAAATCTATTGATGGGCATTGATAGAATTATTATTTTGAAAAAAATTGGACTAGGTATACTACGACACTCTTTTGGTAATTAAAGTTTGGATATTGGTAACATCTCAACTCTCTTGGACCAAGATGTTGTCCGATTTGGATTATCTATCCCCGCACGATTCTGCTTTTGGAGTACATCATAACGACTTCCTGATAGGTTGTCCATTTTTGTACTGATACACATTAAGCACGTTTGATTTCAGAATTCTTACAATAACTCATATATTTCACCTCAAAACATATTTGCTTAGTTTGGATGTTCGAAACCACGTAGTTGTTTATAGTGATGGCAATTTGAACCTGCCCCGCGGCTATTACCCGACCCGACCCGCCGTAATGTGGGGCGGGGCATGGGTATCTACTTACGACCCGTCCTGCCCCGCCCCATTTTGGACTCATTTTAACTCAATTTTTACAGTATCAATATATATTTCTCCTATTTTGACTTTTCTTCAACTAGTTAGAGTCGATTTTTCAACTTGTTAGACTCAATTACCAATTCTATTATTTATATATTTAATTCATAAAGTGTTTTCATTCGTTTTATCGTAAAAAGTAAATTTTACGCGTATTTTTTCAAATACTAGTTAGGGGGTGGGCAATGGGCGGGTTGGGTGGATTTTGGTCTAAAATTGACCTACCCGCTTACTAGCGGGTTGGAATACATGTGACCCACAATCCACCCACATACTAATGAGGGTTGGGTTGGGTGGGTGGCGGATCGGTGCGGTTGGGTCGCGGGTTAACCCGCAAAAGCAATTCTCCAACTAACCATTAAGAAAATTGACTAACATTTATAATAAATTCATAGCAAATTAGTAAGATTGTATTAATAATTTGTGATTTTGATACAATTAATAATTTATAGTTTGTATACCAATATTTAATGGATATTAACAATAATTTGCATACAAATATCCAATATCCAATGGGTATTGCACAACACAATAACCAATAATAGTAGTCAAAATTATTTTTTATTCTCCACATATTGATGTATATGGTCAGACTATAGTGTAGTTAAAAAATATGATGAATATTCGATCGTATAAAAAACAACATTTTTCCATGTAAAAATAGGACGCGGGTCAAATGGGTGACCCGCAATCCACCCACCATCCACCCACATAAGTACGGGTGGGAGATTTAACAATCCGCAATCCACCCACATCAATCACCCACTATATATGGATTGGATTATTTGCGGGTGGATCGATATCATTTCGCGGCTTAACCACCCATGTGACCTAATACTAGTTGATTAGTTAAACATAACTAATACAGCTCGACTTTTTGCTTATTGTTTTCTTATAATAAATGGACAGCACGCCGGCCGATTCTACTACATGGAGGGTTAGAGGTTCATATACAACATTTTCCTTAACCTTACGCCAAGGTTGTCAACCCGCGGGTTGACCCGGACCCGGGTAAGCTAGTGGTCAAGGGTTAATGGGTCACCCGTTTTAGCTCGGTTTAGCCCGGAATATGGAAAACGTCATTATATTGTACTTATCCTGATAAATTATATCAAATCTCATCTAACATATGAGTTATAACATATAATATTACACCAAAATAACATTTCGTACTTAGATTCAACATATAGTGAAAATTCACACACACTTATATAACATTAATATTCAAATGTTCAACTTAGGATTCCAAAGATTGAGTTAGGCGAAAAGAAAAATCGGAAAATAGGGGCATTTCGCAAAACAAAGAAAAAATGACACAATTTGACCTCCAACCCGGTACATTGTGGCGGTCGACCCGACGGGTGCGTGCGACCCATTTTTCTTACCGGGTCAGGTCAAAGTGGGTCAACCCGCAGGTCGACCCGCGGGTTGACAACCTTGTCTTACGCAAAATGAGCAAAAACAGGCCCAAAATGGAAAACGAACAGATAAAGCCAACATAATGTTGATCGAGGGCATTGGCCCAAATCGCCCAAATTAAGGATCTCTGTCCTAGTCCATACGCCCTGACATGTTAGCCCAACAAAGAAGCCAATTTCAGGCTGCGGACCAAAAGGACGTAAATGACAATGAGTACTACTCCTAATCACAAATGGTAAATATAAATTCATAACACCATGATATATTTTCTTACCATCATAATATAATACTATCAATTATTACCACCATAATATAGATTGATAATATTTTTGATAATATTTGTCTCAATTTTGCACGTAACCTTATTCCTTTCAGCCGGCCAAATCATATTCAATATAGTTTCTTTGGTATAAAACAACTAACACAACTTGGCTTTTTGCGTCTTGTTTTTTTTATATGGATAGAGTTTCGTGACGAACTCACGCCGATTCTACAAAGAAGCTTCAAGGTGCACGTTTGAAGACGTACGTCTCTAAAACATATTTATGTGACCAAAACAAGGGATTTGGAAGGACAAAGCCATCAACCTTTCTCCTATCAATATATATATAGATCGATCCATCTATCTTTGATTTCTTACCTTCTTGCATCGATACATTCCTAACATGGCCAAGCAAACTACATTAATCCAGTCTGGTGTGTGCACCGCATTGCTCGTGGTCTTCCTGCGTAAGTCTAATTTCTTTTCTTTTTATATACAAGATTCGAATTTAGAGCGCGATGGATATTTTGTTAATTACTACTAGGCCAACATCTTGGAATTAAACTTAAATCTCCTTACCTGCCGGATCGTAACTTTTTTTTCAATCGTTTTCACCGACCGTATATCAACCAAAGGTACAATATGTGTGGCGATATGTGAAGGTTATTAGCATATTCTTAGAGTATATCCAATACTCCGAGTGGTCTGGTGGTTGCTCGATGCATTTGAATGTACTTCGACGAGTTATATATATCTCGTCTGTTGCTTTTGATCGTAATTAGAGTTGATGGTTTGGCCATTAGAATTTAGGGTATAGCAAATTATGGTAATAATTACTCCTAAACTATTTAGTGAGAAAATGTACCGCTGCCGCGTAACGTATCTTGATTAGAGGAATTTTACTATGCTATATAGCATTGGTGCTATAGGTTTTTCCCTTTATGGTATAACTTGAAGTTATTACCTTTAACGTTATGGTACAATTTTAGATTGTACCTATACTATTTTGTACAAATTTTTTCATGGTACAGCTTGAACTTGTACATTTATGTGATGGTACAACTTTAAGTTGTAAAGTTGTACCATAACACAAGGGTACAAATTCCTTTATGGTACAACCTAAACTTATACCTTTAACGTTATGGTACAAATTCAAGTTGTACATTAAAGCACACATACTTTAGAGCATAGTAAAATGGCTCAGCTTGATTAACCAACATAAAAAAGGAATGATTTGTTCGCATGCATGCAGTGACGTTATTTGTGCAAGGAACGGAGGCCGGTGGTGGTGGACATGATGAAGGGAAAACACCACCGAAGATGTACCGGCCGGCGAACGTCCGGCGACTGAATGGCGACGGTGGATGCACGTGCGACGCAGATTGTAGTGGGTACAAGAGTACCTGTTCGTGTAAGAGTAAAGCTCCCTTTTGTTCCCAACTGGGAGTCTGTATGTGTTATTATTGTCCCTAATCACTAGTATTAATGCTTAATTAATACTGTAGCCACTTAAGCAAAGCCCAGCAACATGTAGCAAACAGAACGAATAAAATACCCAAGTCCATCTCATACATGAATTCAGAAATAAAACAACCACTTTTTTTCGTCGAATAATATGTAGTCATGTAGAGATTTAGGATCTGAATTTTTCTACTCATGGCGAATGGTGAAAGTTGCATAGTTATGAAGATCATACAGCTTTAAGCATCATCGAGCTTCCAAATCGGTGATCGACACATTATTGATGGAAGGAACGGTTTGTCCAGCTGCGGCCGCTGCTGAGTTTGGATCGACGAATTTCCTTTTGGAGATGAATGCTGGTTTCTTGGGAGATGGAAGAACACTAGTTGCGTTTACTAACATGAAGACAACGTTTGACATGGTCGGTCGATCTTTTGGAGATTCTTGGATGCATAACAGGCCAATCTGAATGCATCTCATCACCTGATCTTTAAAGTAGGATTCCAAGCCTATGGTTGATGAATCCATCACGTCCAACGCTTTTCCTTCTTTCCACATGTCCCACGACTATAAAAAGAAAAAAAGAAATCAGATCGAATCAACATTGGAATCGGTTAAACCGAGTTCAGACCTTCAAATAATTTTGATCCATATTGGATCATTGGCCACCCTAGTCCTAGATTATATAACTGAGATTATATATTATACCTAGACCATTAAAGAATTGGAAAGAATTTAAGTTTATTAGGGTGAGGGTCTGAAAACTTACAAGATCAATCAACCCAAGTGATGAACTCTCTTGATTGTAATGGTTGCTTCTTCTACCACTCACTATCTCAAGTGTCATGACTCCAAAGCTGTAGACATCTGATTTCATTGAATATAGACCTTCCATTGCATACTCAGGTGCCATGTATCCGCTGTAAATTTTCATAAGTTTATATATCACATCTTTATTTTTGTGTGGCTCACTTTGATCTCATCATCTTTCAACTTAAACATTAAATTAAACTCAGCAATTGAAATTGACTAAATGCTTGTCTTACTAGGTTCCGACAACTCTGTTTGTGTTTGCCTCAATTTGATCATGTTTGAACATTCTAGCCATCCCAAAATCTGAAATTTTGGGGTTCATTGTGGCATCAAGTAGAACATTGCTAGCTTTCAGATCTCGATGAATAATTTTTAGCCTGGAGTCTTGATGTAAATACAATAGCCCTCGAGCAGTTCCAATAATGATATTGAATCGTGTCTTCCAATCCAACCCCGTCCCTTCTATCTTATCTGGCTCGAAAGTACACAATGTTAGCCCAAGTATCATAAATCAAAACTACAATAAAGAACGTTTAGTCTAACTTGGCCCGTCAAACTTTAACCTCAATAGTTAACCGTAGAAGAACAATTGATAGGAAATTGGTATTGCTTTGCTTGAATTGAAGTGGGGAAGAAATGTACCAAAGATGAAGAAATCGAGGCTTTTGTTTGGCAAGTATTCATAGACCAACATCTTCTCCTCTCCGTGAACGCAACAACCAAACAGCCTTGCCAAATTGTTGTGTTGGAGTTTGGACACTAACTGCACTTCATTCTTGAATTCTTCTATACCTTGCCTTGATGTTCTGGACAGTCTTTTGACTGCGATCTCTCGTCCATCTAGCAGCCGACCCTAGCCAAAATTAATCAAGATCTCGATCTTTACTACACATAGATAAATAACTCTAATGACGGTTTCCTTTACTTATGGTTTAAAGAAACTACCTTATAAACAGAGCCAAAACCACCTTGTCCAAGTTTGTTGTCTAAGGAGAAATTTGCCGTGGCAGTAAATATATCATTGATAGAAAAGATGGTCACTTGGCTGATACCGTTGGACCCTCCATTGTTTCCTGCAACATTCAAATGCAGGATCATGTGTGGTATAGTTGTGTAACAATTGTCCACCAAGAACGATCCTAGTGTGACTTAAAGTTATGCTTACCTTTCCTTTTGGTTCTTAGAAGGCAATAGACAATGGAGATAATCAAAATGATCGCCGCAGTCACAGAAACCAACACAATTGGTAACATCGTCCTCTTCCTTGTGTCTGCATGTCCTCTCAAACTGTTCATGTACTCATCTAGCTCGATTGCGTCCACCCGCACGTACAAGTCCTGACCACCATCAGCAAATACTCTCGTATCTAGCAAATCCCCATACAATGTCACACATCCAATTCCACTAGCCAAGTCAGAACTCGCGTAAGCCGTGCAAGAACAGTTTTTCAAGCACTCTTGTCTACACATGTCCAAATCCATACCCTTGTTCAATCGTCCCGTCATTGAATCGGGAACTTTAGCATTTTCCAATTTTAAAAACCCTTCACCATCCCGGCCACAACTCGAATTCCTCGACCGCTTCCTCACACACCCGCTCGACCCATCGTTCATTGACCAGTCAGCCAAAATCTTGGGCTCAAACCCCGGAATGCAACTGCACACAAACTCCCCTGCATCTCTATTCGGATCGCAGTTCCCATTCGGCCCACACTGTCCGTAGTAGTCGCACGGGTCCTTGGGCATGTAAAACGACTCGAACCACTCACCGCGCTGAGCATTCCACGTGGCTCGCCTCACGTTTCCCGAGGGGTGCGTGTAGATCCTAAAAATGATAGTGGGATCAGTCACTCCCCAAACGACAGTCGACTCATTGTCGTCATTGACGACGCTTGTGTTGAAGATTGAAGTAAAACCACGCGACATGTATGCAACCCCGCTCCACCGTATGCCATTCCACATCCCACTCCGCCATTTTTTCGTCCGACCTTTGTATAACATCAACTGAGGCGACCCATTTGGGTCCAAGTAGTAGGACGTGTCCCCTGACGCTGGATCGTCAGGGGACTTCCATGAACGAATTACCCTATTGATTCCAGTTTTCCTGTCTAACCCCAACTTCATAGATGCAAGTACGGTGTCTGTTGGGTGATCAAAACTCTGCCACCAGACCTCCTTACCAACACAAAATAAAGATTTCATTATTAGAGATGAAACAAGTTGTCCTAGCTACACTAATGTGCTTTATGAATAGGGATGTTGAAACAGTATGGTTACTATGTTAATCATTTTAGTATTCGAATAATTTGCTTTGATTAGTTTAGATAATTGGTTTGTTAAATAAATTTTTTAGTTTGTTTGATTTAGGTGGTTTGATTTGATTTCACGAACTCTTAACCAATCAAATCAATTAACCAGTTAAGCAATTAGCCTTAAATCTAATTCTTAAATCTAATGTATCATACATGCTCTTAATAATTGACATAACTACTCCATAGTCAAACGTGACTCTCTTTTGGTCCATCAAAATAATAAACTTCATTATTGTTCTTATATTACATTTGTTTTTTAGGGTGAACATTTTCATGAAACCAGTTGCTCGGCTTTCGTTTGAGGGAGTGTAAGAAAGTGGTTAAGTACCATACATGAGCCTCTCCCTAACAACTCGAGTTGTTGGGAGAAGGTTATACTAGATCTTATATTACTCTCTTACAAACATAACAACATATAAGCACCTCATTTAGATAAACAATGGATGAAAATTTCGAAAGTAAATGTTTTTTTAGCCTGACATAATTGCTAAGAGACTAAGATAATTCACACACATCCATATCTCATATCATTGGCAATTTGCATATATTTTTGTCAGATGGCTACTTCTAATAACTGTAGGATAATGGTATTAGATCTATGTATTTATGTTCAGGATTTTACTCTTTATATAAATTATGGATTAGTGGATTAACATGAGATATTTTCTCAAGTAATAATTTGTTATATTATATTTGTTAATCTGGTTAACAAATTAACTAAATCGATCAAATATTGGTTTGGTAAATCTGATTGCTGCATTAGTTTGATAAGTTTGATTTTGATATTGTATTTCATAATTAATAGAATTTAATCTTATTTAGTTTGATAATTAACATGATAACCATTTGAACATCTGTTGTTCATGAACATACTCTGTTTTCCCCCCTAATTTACGGCTATGAAAGGGTCGGTACTAGAAATAAATTTGTAAAAGAAATAAACGGATGTTTAAGTACTGACCAGATTGTTTGCATCTGAAGCCTTTGTGGGTTCTTGTTGAAGCAGAAGGACCAGATTTCCAGTGTCTAATAGACGAGCCATTGTCTTGCCACCTACGACTGGTGAAGAAGAAGCAGGGATTTTTGCAGACCACAGAGTGGTACTAGTCGTAGCGTTCGTTCCTGCGCAACACCAGAGGACGAGATCGCGGCCAGAACGGTCGAACGAGAGCACTCCGGAAGTATCGTTGATCGGATTGTCTCTGTTGGCGACCCAAACAACTGTCTGTATGGAGACTTGAGTGAACCAAATTCCAAGGTAGCGATTGCTGGAGGACCCAGGGCTGAAGAATCCAAGGCTGAATTTTTCTCCACCGGAGACAATCACTTGTCCATCTACAAGAGATTCGTCGAAGGTTATTGTGTCTTTGGATGAAAAACAGGGGAGGAGGCAGAGGAGGAATGTGAGTAACAGTGGGTTCATTGTTGAGAACTTTGTTGGTTGGAGAGTTTTGGGTTTAGCTGTGGAAGGAGGCAGGCAAATGTAAAAGCTGTTAGAGAGTGCTATAAAATCTAGCAGAACCTTCTCTCAACAATTCGAGTTATTGAGACCAACTGGTTTATGACATGGTATCACAGCTGGTTTGGCAAAGTAGTCGTGTGTTCGAATGTCCACGGCCCCTAATATTAACAGTTGATTAAAGCACAATGTATGGTGGGTCTGTGCAAACTTCAAGCTTATAGGTTGGCTTTCATTTGAGGGGACGTATTAGAGAGTAAGTATAAGATTCAGCAGAACCTTCTCCCAAACATAAGCTAGTACGAGATTGTGCAGTCAGTTATGGTTGGTTATGGGGTCTTAAGTGGCGTCAATTGCTCGTCAATGCCAGGTCTCCTACGTTTCATGGTCAAATATAAAAGGGTATGTAGCCTTTTCGGTGACTGAAACTTGTCCGAAAGAGCAGGCAATTTTTTGGTATATTACCCAAAGCAGGGGGCACACGTAAAGCAGAGATATGTCATGTGGGCATCTAAATCATCTGGTCTCCTTTGGATGATGAAATCATGAAATATGATTGTAGCGGTGTAACTGATAGCCAAATTGTAACAGGAGGATGATAGTTACACTGATAATCGATTAAACAGTAAACTGTTAGATTCTCGTAATCATATTTCATTAATCATTAATCGACGATTAAATGATTAAACAAACTAGTCGATTACAGTCATCCTGATAATAGTTATAGCCAAAAATAATATACCTCAATGAGCTGTATAGGTATAGGATGAAAATAATTAGATGTTTGAAGGTCTACAAATTTTCTTGCCTATCCTAGTTGCTATAGTAACTTAGATTCAAATAAGAACATTTCAAGGAAGAGTTCTAGAGGGAGCACAATAGAAAGATGGACCTGTGTGCACAGTAATTCGACAACAATCGACAAAATAACATATAACAAACTACAATTTTTTTATGGATTATAACAGACTACGATTAACCGACCAATATAAATGATGTGGTTAATGATAAGCATAAATTGCTTAATGATTAACTTGTACCTGACTAAACGATTACAGTTATAACTAAATCGAACCGGATAACAACCACATTGATTACTAGTTTGTGGGATGATCAGGTAGAGCATGCATGCAGCAGCCCACGTGGAATGATATGTAAGTAAACCAATTATGATTTGTTTAAGGAAGAAAAAAGTGCATGTGGCTAGTCAAAGTTCCAATATTATTTTCAATGGTGAGGGTATAAATTATAAAATAATCCGACTTTTTTTTCTTATTATTAAATTATGAAAATGAATTTTAGGCCAAGAAAAGAAACCAGGATTTATAGAGGGGAGAAAATTAGCTTTCATGGGTGGCTACGTGCATAGTCCTCTGTTATCCAAACGAGGAAACAGTCACCTTAATTAGTTTACCCTAAATAGCTGCTGTAAAATCGGGGTGCTCAATTAGTACGATACTGTTCGTTTTGGGCCACGCCCGTATGGTTTTAATCTTGGGTGTCCTCCCAAAATACCTCGTACTAATTGGGCTAGGTGGACAGTAATATACAAGGGTGCCTTCCCTTGTATTTCCGATGTGGTACTTGGATTGTCCCATCGATACAAGGATTTTTCAGACGCGGAACTCTCTTTGATCCGCCAAACAAACGTGGATCACCTGGATCCACCAAACCAGACGCAGATCTCAAATCCTAAGGTCCACCGAATGAGGGTCCCACCAAACTGTTGTCCACCGTCTCAGATCCGCCGAACCAGGATCGGATACCACTTGTCAAATTGGGCAGCCCATTAATACGAAATTGTCCGCTTTGGGCAAAGCCCGCACGGTTTTACTGTTGGGTGTCCTCCCAAAATGCATCGTACTAATTGGGCTAGGTAGACACTAATATACGGGAATTCCTTCTCTTGTTTTACCGACGTGGTACTTTGATTGTCCCATGACCGCAACTTTCAGACTAATTAAAGCAGCAAAGTCGATTTAAGGTTAGCATAATCAACTTAATTAATGGATATGCTTATACAACAATCATTATGAATGAATGAAATCCCTGGTATCTAAACAACATACTTCGCTGAAGACAAATGAAGTGCAATCAAAGGTGGTATCTTTATATATGAATCAAATTCATGAAGGTTTAAAAAAAAAAACAAATAAATATGAAGCCAGTTATTACATATATATTACCATCTCTCTGTAAACGGTCTCTGAAGGGGCAGAGGATCTCTATACTCACTCACTATAACACCACCCAGGACCCTGGTTATTATATTATATTATATTAGATTATATCAATAATTAATTAAAGCATGTTTAATTACGATCTGGCTGGCGGCGGCGGCTGGATAAGATGATTAACTCCTAATTAAATAAATAAATAATCAAGACAGATGGTAAAGCTCCGGCGAAAGGCGTGGGGTCAGCACGACCTCCAGCGGCTTCGCCTTGGCGAGCGTGGTACTGTCGGCCTCCGTCATGTCCACCGGCAGGTCAAACGGCGTCCCAAAGTCAAACGCCTGGATCAGCCTCGCCGCCGTCAGCTGCACCACCTGCATCCCGAAGTTCATCCCGGGGCACGACCGCCGCCCGGTGCCAAACGGCAGGTACTCGAAATCCCTCCCGTAGATGTCCACCTTCACCTCCTTCTCGTGGAATCTCTCCGGCCTGAACTCGTCCGGCTCCGGAAACATCTCCGGGTTCCGGTGAAGCTTCCAGAAGTTGGCGAAGAAGCGCGTCCCCTTCGGCACGTGGTAGCCACGGATGGTGATGTCCTCCGACGCCACGCGCGGCACCGAGATGGGCCCCGCCGGGTTCATCCTCAGCGTCTCCCTTATCACCGCGTGCAGGTACGTCAGGTTTTCGAGGTCGGAGTCCTCCACGATCCGGTCTTTCCCTACTTTCTCGTCGATCTCTTGCTTCAGCGCCGCCATGGCTCGCCGGTTGTTCAGGAGGTTCGACAGCATCCACGTCAGCGTCACCGATGTCGTATCCGCCGCCGCAATAATCACCGCCTATATATAAAACCACAATATTAACAAATTATTATTAGCGTGTAATAATATCAGTAGTCTCGAATCTCAAGACCAGCACGTAAAAATTAGGGTTAGGACGTAAAAAAAAAAAAAAAATACCATAGCGGTTGACTTTATGATGGTTTCCTTGTCATGTTTGGAAGAAGGGTCGAAGTTGTCATCGACAACGGAGAGCATGACGTCGATGAAATCCTCGGGGACCAAGTTCTCACCCAACTTGTTCCTCTTCACCTTGTGCTCGTCGATCCAACCGTCCACGATCACGTCCAGCTCCTTGGAGATCCTCCTCATTGCCTTCTTCATCCCCTTGATGTCGATCCACCCGAGGATCGGGATCAGATCCGACAACACGAGCGACCCGTTCACGTCCATGAACTCCCTGATGAGTTCACCGACGGGACGGCCTCCAGCATCGGCCTGTAGGCCAACGCTGTCTGCCAGGTTCTCGAAGTACTTCTTTCCTGCCACCATCCGGGTGATGATGTTGAGAACGAAATTCTGCAGCCAGTCGCTGATCACCACCTGACCGTGGTGATCAACCTGCTGGCTGCACTGGAGGTGGAGGTCCCTGACCAGGACGTCCACCTCGGAGACCTGGACGTGCCTGAGGGCCCTGATCCTGGGGAGGGACATGATCTCGGTGATGATGAGCTTCTTGACGTTGCGCCAGTACTCGCCGTAGGAGGCGAACCCGAAGACGGCGAAGTTGTTGCCGAGGATCTTGCCCTGCGTGGAAGGAGGGCGGGCGGCGAGGGCTCTGTCGTTTTTCACGAAGCAGTCCTTCATGGACTCGAAGTCGCTGACCACAACGGTGGGGTAGGCGCCGAGGCGGATGGCGAACATGCTGCCGTGCTTGTCGGCGAAGGAGGCCAGCTTCCTGGCCAGCGTGTCTTCGCCGCCGAGGAGGTGGAGGTGGCCGATGAAGGGCAAGCCTCCTGGGATTTCCGGGATTTGCAGGGGTTTGGCTTTTCCGTTGCTAGGGTTGACCACCAGCCTGTGGAGGATCAGAAGGAAGAGGACTCCCGAAAGTGCGAAGAGTATTGAAGCAAGATCCATGGCTGTAGATGGGCGAGCTGGTTGGCTATGGAGAATTGATTAGTTAGTCTGTGGGATGAGAAGAGATGCGTGGGGTGGGAAATGTTTAAATAGGTGGCCTGGTGATCGGCTTTAGCATGCATGCATGGCGCCGCCCACGTGGAAAGAGATATAAGTAAAACCGAAATACAATTGTTTAAAGAAAAAACATGCAATAGCTATATCTCTTTGTCCATAGTTCACGGTACCGGTTTAGGGCCGCCGGCAGATTGGAATTTTCAATTGTTTTCAGGGGGGAAAAAGTCAAAATTCCAATATTAGTATGGTCAGGGGTAAAATTATAAAATAATCTGACTTTTCTCTTATGATATTAGAAAAAAATGATCATAGGTCGAGAAAAGAAACCAGGAATTGTAGAGGTGGGGAGAAAACTAGCTACCTTTCATGGATAGCTACAATACGATAGTCAAAACAGGGATGACGGTCTTACTCGCCTGCAAGTATTCCATCGGCGGTCTATGGAAAGTTCAGACCTACGGGCGGAAGTAGAAGAGTCATAAAAAAAATTCATATAAGGAAATAGTTAATATTCATACGTCAAATTCTCTCGATAACTCGAATCGTCGGTTAAAACTCTCCACGACAGCATAGAACTCCGTTCTGGTTGAGGGAAACTCGATGGATGGTCTATGGAAAGTTCTGACCTGCGCATTTTCAAACATGCATGGAGAGTTTTGACAAATTAGATCAATGATGATGGGCTATGATAAAGTCTGTTGGAAATTTGCAACTTGGGTCAAAACTGACCGTCTGGGACCAACCGGTTACACACTCCACCTAAGTTCTTCACCGCCATTGAAGCGGAGAGATATACGTCTCTCTCATGACTCACCATAACGTTAAGACTTTTTTTTCTCTTTCGAAAACCATAACGTTATAGACTTTTAGTTGCATGGGCAAACAATGCAAAGTTTACTCAAAATATATCGATTTCTTATGAGCACGATATAGACAAATGTATCATAGTTTGATTCCCACCGCAAAGACCGAGCTGGGTCAGCCCTTTATCTTATTAAATCAAACAGCGTACATCTCTTTTTGTAATATATCCTACAAAGATCTCGTATATAATTTGTATCCGGCTGTTTCTAATATCTATGACAAAAACATAAAAATCATATATTACGCGAGAGTTACCTAATATCATCCCAGAATTGTTACCTAATGTTTAGGTAATGTTATTCTACAACTATTACATAAGCTAAGCACATCTTGCTTAGGCATTATGTACGGAAATTCTTACCTAAGTATTAGTTCATATAATTTTGTCTTTATTTATTCGTATAATTTTGTAATTATTTTTGTATTTATTCACATGATGTTATTCACACAATACTTATGATTACTCGTGCAGTTTGGTGCTAATCACGTCATTGTAAAATTAATTTTTATATTATAAAATATATTTAAATGGATATTATTATGTAGATGATGATAAATGCTATTTATTTTTAGCAAAAGACAAATGAAAAATTCAAATTTAAATACATGAAATATTGTCAAGACAAATTATTAGAAAAAAAAAAGAAAATTTGAAGTTCCCCTTAATAATAATCACACAACTCTTACATAAATAAATACCAAATTTTATTAATAATCACCAAATAACGTGAATGGACTCGATAGAATGTTGCTGTCATGTAAGAGTGATTAATTCTTCCTTCGAGCGAAACGAAGCTCCACTGCCACCCATCAAGACGATTCTACAATTTCACAATAATGGACACAAAGGGATCCCCAGATAAGTTTTTGGCACGTAGCCCTAGTTGCATCCAAAGAGATTAGCATATAATGGCTTGCGGAGATGCTCCACATTCCCAACAAGAACCATGACATTTTTCAACATTAATTCTAATTAACACCGAAACAGATTGAAAACAAACTAGTGTACCAAAGGCAACATTATGTCCTTAAAAATAATCATTAATATCAAAACTAAATCGAAGTATCAACCGATATAACAAATGGTTCACATTTTATTAAACCGTTAAAAACTGTTAACAAATGGTTCACTAATAATGCTTAGGGGAAGAGTCTTGTTTCCAACATTTGTAGCTTTAACAAGGACATTTTGTCTTCATTTAATAGAATCTCTAGCTGAGTAAAATGATACGAGGATGCTGATTTCCTCGTTTTACTGTTTTTGTCTTTTATGGACTGTACTTCATAAGCCATCACCATTGAACTCATTTTTCCAGTTTTTTGAAAACGCAGATCGAGACAAACCACAGCAACCAGAACTGAATTATGTGCCAACGTAGAGAGCTTCAACTTTGCTGTTTTATATAGTCTGCAAATTCCTACTTAGGGCAAACTAATTAATTAAGGTGACTCTTTATTCCTCGTTTAGATAACAGAGGACTATTTACGTAGCTACCCATGAAAGCTCATTTTCTCCCTTCTAGAATTCCTGTTATCTTTTCTTGACCTAAGAATAAGATCCGTTTTTTTTTTATAATTTCATAAGGAATAAATAAGAATTCTTTATACTTTTTTAAGGAATAAATCAGATTTTTTAAAAATTATTTTTTGACCTAATACCCTTGACTAGCCACATGCTTTCCCTTCGACAATTGTATTTTGGTTACTTATATCTCTTTCCACGTGGGCTGCTCCATGCATGCAAAGCCGATCACCAGGCCACCTATTTAAACATTTCCCACCCCACGCATCTCTTCTCATCCCACAGACTAACTAATCAATTCTCCATAGCCAACCAGCTCGACCATCTACAGCCATGGATCTTGCTTCAATACTCTTCGCACTTTCGGGAGTCCTCTTCCTTCTGATCCTCCACAGGCTGGTGGTCAACCCTAGCAACGGAAAAAACAAACCCCTGCAAATCCCTGAAATCCCAGGAGGCTTGCCCTTCATCGGCCACCTCCACCTCCTCGGCGGCGAAGACACGCTGGCCAGGAAGCTGGCCTCCTTCGCCGACAAGCACGGCAGCATGTTCACCATCCGCCTCGGCGCCTACCCAACCGTGGTGGTCAGCGACTTCGAGTCCATGAAGGACTGCTTCGTGAAAAACGACAGAGCCCTCGCCGCCCGCCCTCCTTCCACGCAGGGCAAGATCCTCGGCAACAACTTCGCCGTCTTCGGGTTCGCCTCCTACGGCGAGTACTGGCGCAACGTCAAGAAGCTCATCATCACCGAGATCATGTCCCTCCCCAGGATCAGGGCCCTCAGGCACGTCCAGGTCTCCGAGGTGGACGTCCTAATCAGGGACCTCCACCTCCAGTGCAGCACCAACAGCCAGCAGGCTGATCACCACGTGGTGATCAGCGACTGGCTGCAGAACTTCGTCCTCAACATCATCACCATGATGGTGGCCGGGAAGAAGTACTTTGAGAACCTGGCAGACAGCGTCGGCCTGCAGGCCGATGCTGGAGGCCGCCCCGTCGGGGAGCTCATCAGGGAGTTCATGGACGTGAACGGATCGCTCGTGCTGTCGGATCTGATTCCGATCCTCGGGTGGATCGACATCAAGGGGATGAAGAAGGCCATGAGGAGGATCTCCAAGGAGCTGGACGTGATCGTGGACGGTTGGATCGACGAGCACAAGGTGAAGAGGAACAAGTTGGGTGAGAACTTGGTCCCCGAGGATTTCATCGACGTCATGCTCTCCGTTGTCGATGACAACTTCGACCCTTCTTCCAAACATGACAAGGAAACCATCATAAAGTCAACCGCTATGGTATTTTTTACGTCCTAACCCTAAATTTTACGTGCCGGTTTAAGATCAGTGATATTATTGCACGCTAATAATAATTTATTAATATTGTGGTTTTATATATAGGCGGTGATTATTGCGGCGGCGGACACGACGTCCGTGACGCTGACGTGGATGCTGTCGAACCTCCTGAACAACCGGCGAGCCATGGCGGCGCTGAAGCAAGAGATCGACGAGAAAGTAGGGAAAGACCGGATCGTGGAGGACTCCGACCTCGAAAACCTGACGTACCTGCACGCGGTAATAAGGGAGACGCTGCGGATGAACCCGGCGGGGCCGATCTCGGTGCCGCGCGTGGCATCGGAGGACATCACCATCCGTGGCTACCACGTGCCGAAGGGGACGCGCTTCTTCGCCAACTTCTGGAAGCTTCACCGGAACCCGGAGATGTTTCCGGAGCCGGACGAGTTCAGGCCGGAGAGGTTCCACGAGAAGGAGGTGAAGGTGGACATCTACGGGAGGGATTTCGAGTACCTGCCGTTTGGCACCGGGCGGCGGTCGTGCCCCGGGATGAACTTCGGGATGCAGGTGGTGCAGCTGACGGCGGCGAGGCTGATCCAGGCGTTTGACTTTGGGACGCCGTTTGACCTGCCGGTGGACATGACGGAGGCCGACAGCACCACGCTCGCCAAGGCGAAGCCGCTGGAAGTCGTGCTGACCCCACGCCTTTCGCCGGAGCTTTACCAGCTGTCTTGATTATTATTTAATTAATTAGGAATAATTATGTTAATCATCATCTTATCCAGCAGCCGCCGCCAGCCAGATCGTAATTAATCATAGTTTTATTAATTAATTAATGATATAATATAATATAATAACCAGGGTGATGGGAATAGTTAATTGAGTATGCCAGTATGGAGATCCTCTGTCCCTTCAGAGACCCTTTGTGGAGAGATGGGAAATATGTAATAACTGGCTTTCATGTTTATTGATTTTTTTTTTAAACGTTTAAGTTGATTCATATATATTTTTTTTAATAACACTTGATTCATATATAAAGGTACACATCTTATTGCAGTTCATTTGTCTTCAGCGAATTAAGTTGTTTTGACAGATGAAAAGTTATATATGATTGTTATACAGACAATTTTATTACAGAAGTGGAGACACTAAGTACAACATAGGTACTTTGTCCCAATTTTGAACAAAGGTTTATGAAGTGATCAATCTTGGCGTAACGTAGGACCTTCCTAAAGGTCGTTTGGATGAGGAATTGCAAAAGATCAATTTGACACAATTGCCTCGTTTTGAGACAATTGTACCAAATTGCCTCGTTTGCCAGCAAAAAAATTGGATGGATCAATCTGCCTGAGGTATTTTGAATTGATCCATTTTGAGTCAATTTCAATTACCTTAGGGTGGGGCAGGTAATTCGAATTGCCTCGTTTTAATTGCCTCGTTTATAAAACAAAACTATTGATCAAATTGACTCATTTATAAATTGATCCATCTATACTACCTCAAAATCTTTTCCTATCAACTTTACGACGTTGAATCGAGAAACAAATCCAAGGGACCGGTTAGGTGATTACTACAAAGTAGTAATCACCGTGGTTACTAAGGGTAAATTGGGTATAAAAAATAAATTGTATTAATTGATTTTTTAATAAATTACAGTTTAGGTAGTTACAAGAATCTATTAATTACAATTCTCTCTCTTTCTCTCACTTCCATAATATCCAGCCAGATCATCTTTCCTTATTTTTCTCAATCTTTCTGCAAAAAAAAAAAAAAAACACGAAATCACTACCAATCCATTAGACAACCACTATCATGTTGAAAAATATCAATACCATTGCAGAAATAAATCTATACCATTACACGAAAACTACCAATATAAAAATCTACCAATATAAATCTATACCATTTCACAAAAAATCAATACCATTGCAGATTTAATCAATACCAGTACATGCAAATTACTACCAATGCAGTAAAACAATACCAATACGAAAAACACTACCACTACGAAGAAATCACTACCAATGCGGGAAAAACAGATCTAACATTTTTATTCATCCCCTTTTTCAGCCACTACCGTCCACCATAATCGTCTAAGAGAGAGAGGGGGGAGAGAGAAAGAAGGGGGGGGGGGGGGGGGAGAGAGAAGGGGGTTGGGGTGAGGGGAGAAAGACAGGTTGTGGTGGGTGTGGAGGGAAGGAGATGGGGAATGGGGAATGGGATGGAGAGGTGGAGTGGGGTGGCCGGTGGAGAAGGGAGGAAGGGAAGGGAGGGGTGGAGGTTTTGGGCAGGGAGGGGTGAGTGGAGGCGGTGATAGGGGAGAGGGAGGGTGAGTGACGGCCGGCGGGGAGGGGAGGGCAGGAGGGTTGAGGCCAGACGGCTGGCTGGAGCTGCGTGGGAGGATAGAGAGAGTGGAGGTAGGGTTGGAGAGGTAAGTTTTAAATATAGGTTATAATCTGGTGTGATAATATTTTAAAGTCCAAACTACCCTTAATCTAATCTTGACCGTTATTTCAAAAAATAGAAAAATAGAGTCAATAAAGGGTTTAGATGTATGTTGCCACCATGGTTATTAAAAAACTAGTAACTACCCTAACGCGTTCCCAAATCCAACAATCTGATCATTAATACCAGGCCTCCTCAAACACATGCCTAATGGGCTTCGGCCTTTAATCTATTGTTGGCCCAATGTGCGTTAGCTCATTTGGCACCAATTATAGTTTTCCTCTTCCCATAGTTTGATTGTACATTTGTACCTCTACGCTGAACAAAGCAGAGTTAAAGATCCAGAAACACAGAGTTGTTTAGTATTAGTAATTACACAAAAAATTATGAAAAATGAAACACCATTTTCTTCTCTTACAATATATGGTTCTCGTCTATATATCATCGAGCTACCAAAGTGGTTATTGATGCGCGATTAATTGAAGGAACTCCTGATGATCCCGTGGCCGTGCTCGTTGTTGGATCTGCATCATCGTACCTTTTGTTGAGTACGAATGCTGGCTTCTTGGGAGATGGAAGAGTGGTTGCATTTCCCAACATGAAAACAACATCTGACATAGCTGGTCGATCTGTAGGGAATTCTTGGACGCACAAGAGTCCTATTTGAATGCACCTCATGACTTGATCCGTGGAAAATGATTCCCCCATTGTTGATGAATCCACCATGTCCAATGCTTTTTCTTCACTCCACAAGTCCCACACCTATTGTATGTACAATACGAACTATTCAGTCTTCTTTCTCGACCGATCAGTGATTCATTTTTCACAAGAACTATGCGGCAAGAAGTTCAACCTTGACCAAATTAGTCATGCTTTTGCAAGGATTCAAACTCAACGAGAATCAATAAGTCCATTAGGATGGACTGCTTATCAAATAGTCAATTACTATAGATTTACTATATTTTATCGGAACAATTCTGTGAGTTATTTGACTGCAGCTAAAATTTTAAATGAGTGAGTGAAATTGTGAATATGATAAGTTTCTTACTACCTAGAACATGGTCCAATAACCTAGTCTCATATTCAAGGACATAAATGATTTTAGGTGGGAAAGAGAACTTACATGACCAATCAAGCTAGATGATGAACTTGCTTGGTAACACTGGTTGCTCCTCGTGCTGCTCACAATCTCAAGTGTCAAGACTCCAAAACTAAAAACATCTGATTTTGTCGAATAAAGACCTTCCATTGCGTACTCTGGAGACATGTACCCACTGCAAAATCTCAAGCAGAAGAATCAAAACTTGTCTCAAGGAAAATATCTTAAGAAGGAAACCATGTTTTATATATAGTCACTTTTCTTACTAGGTTCCGACAACTCTATCTGTATTGGCCTCTATTTGATCCTCTCCAAATAACCTAGCCAACCCAAAATCTGAAATTTTGGGGTTCATTGTAGCATCTAGCAGAACATTGCTTGCCTTTAGGTCTCTGTGAATGATTTTCAGCCTTGAATCTTGATGCAAATATAATAAACCTCGAGCAACCCCTATGATGATTTCAAATCGTCTCATCCAGCCCAATAGCAAGCCTTTCGTTTTATCTAAATCAAAGGAACACAGCAACTAATAAAATATTTTCATTGACAATGAACTATGGAATAATAAAAAAATAATATAATGCACGGGATTGAAAGAGGATGAAAATATACCAAAGATGAAGAAGTCAAGGCTTCTGTTTGGCAAGTACTCATAGACCAACATCTTGTCCTCTCCATGAATGCAACAGCCAAATATCCTTGCTAGATTCTTATGTTGAAGTTTGGACACTAGTCGTACTTCGTTCTTGAATTCTCGAATTCCTTGCCTTGATGTTTGGGATAATCTTTTCACAGCTATTTCTTGCCCACTAGATAGTGTACCCTAACCAAATAAAAAATCATAACTATTACCAAAAAAGGGCAGGCTCAAAGTCTTTCATCTTATCAATACAATTTTACTTAGACAAATGAAATGATCCTTTTTTGTATTCCCTTACGCTATTCACCTTATAATAAATATATATGAATAGATTTCCTCTTTGGTAATTCATACTTTTCGGGACATTACTTATTTGTGTACCTTATAAACCGAACCGAATCCCCCTTGTCCGAGTTTGTTGGCCTCAGAAAAATCCCCGGTGGCAGCAAATATGTCAAGTACGTCAAAAATTGGCACCGATGAATCTTTATCTTCGTATAAATTTTCCTCTTGAGATTCGGACTTTCTTCTCGAAAACACATCATTGGTACCTCCACTACTTCCTACATGGTTTTAAGTAACAATTATCTCACATTTTTTTTTGCGAAACATGAAATAAAATTGAAACTATACGAGAAAATATTAGCACCACTTCGCTTTTTCCACTCGATTACCTTTTCTTTTCCGTTTCCGGAGGCGACAATACACTGCCGAAACCCCCAACATGATGGCTGCACCAACAAAAGCCAACACGATCGCCAAAACCTTCTTCTTTTCCGCGTCTCCTCTCGACTGTTTCCTGTATTCAGCTATAAGCAAGTGTTATAAAAATCCCTTGTCTTCAAGAACAATGTGGACACATTAAACTCCACGATGCCAAAATTCACGCTTACCCAATTCAATTGCGTCGGCTAGCACGTACAAGTCCTGTCCAGCACCCTTAATCAGTCTCGTATCAACCAAATCCCCGAACAACAGAATGCACCCAATCCCACTCGTCAAATTAGAACTCGCGTAAGCCGTACAGGAACAGTTCCTCAAACACTCCCCTGCACACCCGCTCAAATCCACATCCCCAATCCGCACAGCCGTCGTCGTATCAGGAACTTTAGCATTTTTCAATTTCACAAACCCGTCACCACCACCACCATCACCTCCACAACTCAAATTCCTCGCTCGCTTCCTGACGCACCCTCCCAGGGCGTTTCTCAAGGACCAATCGATCGGCGACCTCGACTCGAACCCCGGAAGGCAGATGCAGGGGAACTCCCCCACAGCTCTGTAAGGGTCGCAGAGCCCGTTCGGCCCGCAGTTCCCGAAAACGTCACAGAACTCGGTCGGATATCGAAAAACCTCGTCCCAGCGCCCTTCCTTGTCCAGCCACACCCCGCGGCTCAAGGTCCCTGCCGGATCCAGGTAGACCCTGGATATCATGGCGGGGTCCCGAAGTCCCCAAATGATGGTCGTGTCGTTCTTGTCGATCTCCACGGTGAAGAAGAAGACGGAGACTCGAGCCAGATCCGGGATCCCGGACCAGCCGATTCCGTTCCACGGCCCGCTCCTCCACTGCTTGGTTCGACCTTTGTACACTGTCAATTGAGGCGACCCGCTCGGGTCCAGGAAATAGGACCACTCCCCTGTCGCAGGGTCTTCAGGGGACTTCCAGGACCGGATCGCGTAGTCCGGTCCTGTTTTTCGTACCGTGTAGGGTAAGTACGAGTCTGTCGGATTAGCGAAGCTCTGCCATAGAACTGCCTCTTGATCGCCCTCCTGTCGGAGCAGAAGGAAATTTCCTTCGTCCGACAGTCGAGCCACCACCGGATTCGCTCCGGTCGAGACATTTGTAGACCACGAAATGGAAGCAGTAGTAGTAGTGGTGGTGGGACTCTGTCTTCCCCTGCTCAAAACCAAGCCGCCTCCTCGGGGGTCGATGGAGAGCGAACCGGAAGTATCGTTGATCGGATCGTCTCGGTTGGCGACCCAGACGACGACATGTGTGGGAACTTTGGTGAACCAGATTCCAAGGTAGCGGTTAGTTGATTTCCCAGGGCTGAAGAAACCCAGAGTGTATTTTTCTACTCTGGAAATGAGAACTTGGCCATCTGCAAGAGATTCGTTGAACCTGATGGTGTCTGTGGATGAAGAACAAGAAGAGGGAAGCAAGAGGACGAGTAGAAGAAGCACAAAAATGGCTTGGAGCTCCATGATAATCAAGGAAATGGAGAAACCACCGATGTGGTTCATGCTCACTCAGATAAGCAGAAGAACATTGCTTTTTTCTCTATGAATGGTGCACAATTTGGCAAATGCTACGCGTGAGACTTCACCAAATGTCCCACACGCAAGTCAACAAAAAAAAAAAAAAAAAGAGTGTTTGACTTTGGAATTTTTGGATGGAAAGAAACCGTCTATTGAGACCATCTCCAACCATACAATCAAGGTTTCAGATTCTCAAAAAAGTATGGTCTCTATTAGTAAGATCAAAGTGCCAAAGTGTTGGAATTTAGTCGAGATGGCAAAAATATCCGTAACCGTGGATATCCGTCCGAACCCGGCATAATTGGGTAGGGTAAAACTCGAACCCGAAGGACATTTAGTGGGTACGGGTAAAACCCGAACCCGAATATTGCGGGTAATGGGTGGGCATTGGTTTCTCAGTATCCAACCCGAACCCGCCCGATTATACACATACATATGTATTTTGTCTAGAAATAGTCATTATTTTTCTCTAACATATTTTATATTTAGCATATAAATATAACATTTTCATGAAGTTGTGTTGTTTTAATTAATTTTCTTCATTCTAGTGAATTATTGTCGTACTTTTCCTCTTGCGTAATGTGAGAATACATGTGAATGTTAATATATTAGTTGGATTTATGAAGATAAATCATTACCCATGGATAACCTTGGATACCCGAAATCCGAACCGGTATGGACATGGTTTTAATTTTCTACCCGTTTCATATGTGGGTATGGGTATGGGTAAAACCCGAACTACTTTGGGTAGGATAACGAATATGCACTATCCGTCCCCGACCCGACCCATTATCATCCCTAGAATTTAGCGAATTTTTAGATCAAATTTGACACACAAGAGGATAAGAAGAACCACATTTTTGTGGTAACTAGTAAATTTTTTTTTCTAGATTTAATGTGAACACAATTTCATCCGTCGACAGACTTATGTGAGGTATTTCTCTCTTTGCATTATTTCCCCAAGTCAATGGTTTGTGCCGTTTTGTTTCCTTATCTAGGACCCTACATCACCATATACACATGTGATCGTCAGTAGTCGCACATGTGTGGAAGAAATGGTTCCCCTTATCTAAAACAAAAAAGTATCATCATTATTATTAAACACAAAATTAAGGTGCAGAAGCACAGAGTTTTATAGTTTGTAATTACGATTAACACGAAATTACTAAGCTAAAATAAAATAAAAATGAACACTAATTTCTTTTAACAACATACAATATTCTCTATGTATTATCGCGCTACCTATGTAGTTATTGACATATGATTGGTCAAAGGAATTGTCGATGATCTGTGGTGCTGAGCTAGCACGGTTGCACCATTATATTTCCTTATGTTATATGTTATTATTTAAATATTAGATGAGATTAGATATGATTTATAAACGTATGAACAATATAATGATGTTTTCATATGTGTATTCGGATTAAAGCGATCGGACCATTAATTCTCAACTCACTTGCTCGACCAAGCCAACAGGCTAAATCAGGTTAACAAACTTTGTATAGACCCTCCATTGCATATTCTGGTGACATGAATCCGCTGCAAATCCAACAAGGTAAGCATCAATACCGGGCCTCCGCAACACATGCCGAATGGGCTCTGGTCGTTTATCCATTGTTGGCCCAATGCAGGTTAGTTCATTTTGGCACCAAATATACTTTTCCCATAGTTTGATGGTGAACAAAGTAGAGTTTAAGATGCAGAACAACATAGTTGTTTATTTTTAGTAACTACACAAAAATTACTAAGCTCAAGTGTGAAGCACTACTTTTTATATGTGGTTGTCATCTATATATCATCTAGCTACCAAAGTGGTTGTTGTTAAGTGGTTAATGGAAGGAACTCCAGATGATCCGGTGGCAGTGGTCGTTGCTGGATATGCGTCATCATATTTTTTGTTGAGTATGAATGCGGGCTTCTTGGGAGATGGAAGAGTGTTTGCATTTCCCAACATGAAAACAACATCTAGCATAGTCGGTCGATCGATTGGGGATTCTTGGACGCACAAGAGTCCAATCTGAACGCACCTCATGACTTGATCCGTGGAAAATGATTCTCCCATTGTCGATGAATCCACCATGTCCAGCGATCTTCCTTCACTCCACAAGTCCCACACCTAGCGTGTGTACAACAATACGAACTATTCAGGTTTCTTTCTCAATTGAGTGATTCATTTTTTTGTTGGAACTATGCAACAAGAAGTCTGCCTTGACCAAATTAGTCATGCCTTTGCAAGGATTCAGAATCAACCGGAATCAAACAGACAATTATGATGAACTACTTATCAAACAGTCAATTCCTATAGATTTACTACATCTTTTTTATGAGGATTTGCTGCATCTTATTGAACAAATTTTGTGGGTTATTTGGTTTCAACTAAATTTTTAAATGAGTAAAATTTTAAATATGATTAGTTTCTAACTACCAAGAGCGTGATCCAATAACCTAATGTCTTATTATAGGACATAACTTATTTAAGGTGGGAAAGAGCACTTACATGACCAATCAAGCTAGAGGACGGTCTTGCTTGGTAACACTGGTTGCTTTTCGTGCTGCTTACAATCTCAAGTGTCAATACTCCAAAGCTAAAAACATCCGATTTTGTCGAATAAAGACCTTCCATTGCATACTCTGGAGACATGTACCCACTGCAACATTTCATGTAGAAGAATCAAAACTTGTCTAAAAAAATCTCTTAAGAAGGAAACCAAGTTTTATATATAGTTTAATTCTTACTAGGTTCCAACAACTCTTTCTGTATTGGCCTCTATTTGATCATCTCCGAATAATCTAGCCATTCCAAAATCTGAAATTTTTGGGTTCATTGTAGCATCCAGCAGAACATTGCTTGCTTTTAAATCTCTGTGGATGATTTTCAGTCTTGAATCTTGATGCAGATACAATAAACCTCGAGCGATCCCTATGATGATTTCAAATCGTCTCATCCAGTCCAATATCACCCCTTTCATTTTATCTAGATCAATGAAACAAATCAACTAATCAAATGTTTTCATTGGCACTTAACTATGGAATAATAAAAGAAAAATATAATGCACTGAATTGATAGGGGATGAAAATACAAACCAAAAATGAAGAAGTCGAGGCTTCTGTTTGGCAAGTACTCATATACCAACATCTTGTCCTCTCCGTGAATGCAACAACCAAATATCCTTGCTAGATTCTTGTGTTGGAGTTTGGAAACTAATCATATTTCATTCTTAAATTCGCCAATTCCTTGTCTTGAAGTTTGAGACAATCTTTTCACTGCTATTTCTTGCCCACTGGATAGTGTACCCTAACCAAATCAAAATTATATCTAAAAAAATCAAAATTATTAACAAAAATACTTTATCAACGATATATAAAGGTTAGGCTCGAAATCATTCATTTTCTCACTACTATCCTTAGACAAATGACTGATTTGTATTCCCCCAAACTATTCACCTTATCATAAATATATGAAAATCTTTCCTCTTTGGTAATTCACGCAATATATGTGTACCTTGTAAACAGAACCGAAGCCACCTTGTCCAAGTTTATTGGCAGGAGAAAAATTCTCGGTGGCAGCAAATATGTCTAGTACATCAAAAGTAGGTACCGATGAATCTTTATCTTCGTATAAGTTTTCCTTTCGAGACTCGGACTTTGTTCTCGAAATCATATGATTGGTATCTCCACTACTTCCTGCATAGGTTTTAAAGAACAATTAGCTCTCACTTCTTGAAAAACATCGATAAAATTGAAACGATACGAAAATATCATCCAACTTCGCTCACTTGATTACCTTTTCTTTTCCATTTCAGGAGGCAATAATACATGGTTGAAGCCCCCAATATGATGCCCGCACCACCAACAGAAGCCAATACAATCGCTAAAACCTTCATATTTTCCTTTTGCCCTTTCAACTGTTTCCTGTATTCCGCTACAAATCACAGTCATACGCAAGTGTCAAATTCTGTTCAAGAACATTTCATGATAAACTTTGGTACATGCCAAACAGTCACCCCTTACCCAATTCAATTGCGTCCACTCGCACATGCAAGTCCTGTCCAACACCGATAAGCACTCTCGTATCCACCAAATCCCCGTACAATCGAATGCAGCCAATCCCACTCGTCAAATTAGAGCTTGCGTAAGCCGTACAGGAACAGTTCTTCAGACACTCCTGTGCACACCTGCTCAGATTCATATCTGCATCCGCTGTAGCGGTCCTCGTGTCAGGAACTTTAGCATTTTCCAATTTCACAAACCCGTCGCCACTTCCACAACCCAGATTCCTCGTCGCTCGCTTCCTGACGCACCCTCCTAAGGCATCTCTCAGGAACCAGTCGCTCAGAGACCTGGGCTCGAAACCAGGCAGACAGATGCAGGGGAAGTCTCCTACAACTTTGAAAGGGTCACAGTTCCCGTTCGGCCCGCACTTCCCATAGACGTCACAAGTCTCCGTTGGATATCGAAACACCTCGTCCCAACGGCCCTCCTTGTCCTGCCACAAGTCGCGGCTCAGGGTCCCTGACGGATGCAGGTGGACCCTGGCTACGACGGCAGGATCCCGAAGTCCCCAGGTGAAAGTGACGTCGTTTTTGTCGATCACCACGCTCGAGTTGAAGAAGGAGACTCGAGCTATGTCGGGGATCCCGGACCAGGCGACTCCATTCCACGGTCCGCTCCTCCACCGTTTGGTTCGGCCTTCGTACAGTATCAACTGAGGCACCCCGTTTGGGTCCAGGACGTAGGACCAGTCCCCTGTCGCAGGATCGTCAGGGGACTTCCAGGACCGGATCGCGTAGTCCGGTCCTGGTTTCCGCGGCATGTAGGGTAAGTACGTGTCCGTTGGATGAGCAAAGCTCTGCCATAGAACCGTCTCATGATCTGCCTCCTGTCGAAGCAGAACGAAATTTCCCTCATCTAACAGTCGAGCCACGACCGGATTCGCTCCGGTCGAAACATTTGTAGACCACAGAGTAGCAGCAGTACCGTTGATTCTTTGATTCAAAACCAAGCCGCCCCCTCGGGGGTCGATTGAGAGCGATCCGGAAGTATCGTTGATCGGATCGTCTCGGTTGGCGACCCAAACCACTTCTTGTGTGGGAAGTTTGGTGAACCAAATTCCGACATAACGGTTGGTTGATTTCCCGGGGCTGAAGAAACCCAGAGTGTACTTCTTTCCGCTGGAAATTAGTACTTGGCCGTCAGCAAGAGATTCGTTGAATCTTATGGTGTCTGTAGATGAAGAACAACAGAAAGGAAGAAAGATGATGAGCGGAAGGAGCACAAAAATGGTTTGGAGCTCCATTATAATCAAGGAAATGGAGAATCCGCCAATATGGTTCATGTTTAATGTCACCCAAACAAGCAGCATATTGTTTTCCTCCATGAATAATGCACAATGAGAATGTTACAGCCTTAACAGGGAATACTTTACAAAACTTTCCAAGTCAAAATAAGGAGTGTTAGACGGGGGAATAATTGGATAGGAAAGAAACAGTCTACTTACGGCAAAGACTCGATTAGACTATTACTCAACAAGTCAATAAAATTCATTTTCATTTTCCTAGTCTATTGAAATGGTTTGAAATTAAAAATGGGAAATTATATCACTTGTGTTATTTATTCTAAGGGTTGTTTTTTTTTATTTTTGGTAATTTGTTTTTATAGATAAATATCCTAAGGGTTGTTTTAATGAAAGAATGCCGAATTCTAATGAAATGTTTGGAATTAAATCGATAAAATTTCAAGAAATTATTATTTCAAAAGATAAGAGAAGAAACTATGCTCATTTATCGTTTTTAAATGACTAATTTTTATCTCATAGTGAATGAATTGAGATGGAAGAATTGAAAGAACGGAGAATGGAGCATTCCGGCGATTCAGATTTTCACTTTTATTCATTCAAAGAATGGAATCTAGTTAATTTTTTTTTCTCGATTTAATTCTCAACTTCTTGAATACTTTTCAACAGAGTATTTCCCTCTTTTATAATTTCCCCCAAGTCAATAGTTGTGGCGTTTTATTTCCTTATATCGGACCCTACCATTATTAGAATTATTAAGCCCCAAGTTTGTAAAACTTACCATAAAATCTGAGTACTGTTCCTTAAGAAATTTTCGGAGTCATTGTTCACAAGGGAGTTCCGATTCTATGCGATCAGATTTACATGAGCCCACGTTCACGTTCATTGGGCTGGCCAAGCACCGGGTGCACCTGATCGCTTTCTTTTCCATGCAAATTAGAATTATTAAGCCCCAAGTTTGTAAAACTTACCATAAAATCTGAGTACTGTTCCTTAAGAAATTTTCGGAGTCATTGTTCACAAGGGAGTTCCGATTCTATGCGATCAGATTTACATGAGCCCACGTTCACGTTCATTGGCTGACCAAGCACCGGGTGCACCTGATCGCTTTCTTTTCCATGCAAATAAAAAATAAAAGTTCTCTGTTTGTGACAATAAATATTAAAATAACCAATAGAAAAAAAAAACTCAATTGAAAAAATGAGGGGTTCAATCTTCCGTTTGTCTCATCCCTGAACCCGATGAACTGCATGCGGGCAAACGACGGCGGAGATTCATCCATTCACATGTCTCTCTACTCCATTCATCCTCATCTTCTCCTTCCATGCAGTTTCGTTCCCTGGGTCTTTCAGCCCGATCGGCTCAAAATCACAAACAAATGAATCAGATGAATTGAGGATTTTCATCAGAACAAGGAGACCACGACGGATGGACAAAGAGGTTGCGCCAATGTTCTCGACAGGCGTTGCTGTAAACGGTTTTCTGCATGCTTGATCGAGATCGATGGAGCTCTAGCCTTTGAGGGCCCTTTCATCTCGGACTGCCAGAAGTCTCCTTCCACAAGATCCCAGTATCCCACAATAATGCTTCCCACCCATAGCTAACTATAAAAGAGAAGAGCGTTCTACCAAAAAAAAAACAAAAGAGAAGAGCATAGACGACCCTACATGTGAGATCATTAATTCCCAAGCATCTAGAATTTCGAAGATTTGAACTTGCTTTATCAAAGTAAGTGAAAAACAAGACAAAATAACCAAATCTATAGCTACTTACCTGGGTTGTTTGAACCAGCAACATAGCAGCAGCAGCGTGGATTCCACAGTTGGCGAATATAGTGATGAGAACGTGCTCTTTCAAATTGAACGGCACTGGATTTAACGATAACGACCAAATCATTAAGGCAACTCGAATTACTGTTTTGCATCCATTAACTTTCCAAGTGCAAGAACCACGATTTGTGAAATGGCAGAGCTGACGTAAAGTTGGTTCGACCTGTAGCCAAAGAACTGATTGTCGAAAGTGAGAAAGAAACATGGTTGTTTCGGTTGGATCGTCAGTGATTGGAATCATCAGCTGCACTAATTGGGTTGTCGTTCATTTCTTCTCCTCCTCCTACTTTGTCCCCTGTTTTAAAACAGAGTATTCAAAGAGCAAGAAGGCAGAAAAACAGAGCATTAACTTGCTACTTGAAGTCCGGAATTTAACACACTTGGAGCTTCATCTTCTTAATAGAAGAGAAGGGTTTCTATCATTTGTCTTCTTTACCAATTTCAAAACAGAAATATTTACTGATAAAGAATTGAAGATGAGGTGAATCATTGATGAACATGATGAATGGATAAAAAAGATGTTTGCATGAGCTACACATGTCTTTGTTTGCTGTGAAGGAATGCCACCTGTATGTATATGTCCAGAATCCTCTACTATATGGTCTTTCTCAATATCCAGTTCTTTTCTCTATAGACGAGATGTTATAAGGAACTTTAACAGTGGAAAATAATGGTCTGCGAAATTAAACTTCATTGTATTAATGTGTAAAAAAGAAAAAGAAGAAAAACATCAATAACAATTCCAACTACAGTGAAAATATTATAAATATTAACGCAAAAAAAAAAAAAAACAATGGTAAAATAAGTATTCCGTTGCGGAGCACGGGCCAAATAACTAGTATTCCATTATATGTGATGGCCAGTAGTCACGCATGTGTGGAAGAAAAATGTTCCCCTTATCTAATACAGAAAAGTATTGGAAACTACACTCTAAAACTGCTTTCCAATAAACAGACTTATTGGGAAATTTCGTTAAGAATATTGAGCTACCAAAAAGGAGTATTACAATAAACGAGTATGTATAGCTTAAGATGCAGAAGCACGTGGCTTGTATACTTTGTAATTACTAGCAAGTAGCAAGAGAACAAAAACTTAAACACTGTCTTTGTTTTCGTAATAATTGTTGTTGTCTTCTATGTATTATCGAGCTACCAAAGTGGTTATTGACATTTGGTTGGTTGAAGGATCTGTTGATGATCCAGTGACATAAGTTGCTGCTGAGTTTGCATCATCATGCTTCCTTTGGAGTATGAATGCCGGCTTCCCGGGAGATGGAAGAGTGGTTTCATTGCCCAACATGAAGACAACATTTGACATAGTTGGTCGATCGGATGGAGATTCTTGAACACATAAAAGACCTATCTGAATGCACCTTATGATTTGATCCATAGAACATGATTCTCCCATCGTTGATGGATCTACAATTTCCAATGCTCTTCCTTCTCTCCACAACTCCCACACCTATTATGACAAGCAAAAATGAATAGTTAGTGATATTTCTGAGTTAAGTGATTACTTCCTGTACTTGAAACCATAAATCCTCCCATACCCAAACTATTTCTTTTACAAGGATTTGAACTCAACCTTAGGAGTACTTAGTGTAAGGTTAAACTCGTAGACAACATATATTGAAGGACATGACTTGTTTGCATAGGTTGAAAGCACTTACATGACCAATCAGGCTTAATGATGGACTTTCTTGGTAACATTGGTTGCTTCGTCTACTACTCACGATCTCAAGTGTCAGAACTCCAAAGCTGAAAACATCTGATTTGGTTGAGTAGAGACCCTCCATTGCATACTCAGGTGACATGTATCCGCTGCAATTACAACATCAAGGATTAAAAATTTGTCTTGTGTACTCTCTTAATAAAGGGAGCAAGGTTTTCTATTTTCCTTTCTTACTAGGTTCCAACAATTCTATTTGTATTGGCCTCTATTTGATCTTCTCCAAATAATCTAGCCATCCCAAAATCTGAAATCTTGGGATTCATTGCAGCGTCTAGTAGAACATTGCTTGCTTTAAGATCCCTGTGGATGATTTTCAACCTCGAATCTTGATGTAGATACAATAAACCTCGAGCAATTCCAATGATAATTTCAAATCGTCTCATCCAATCCAATAACGAGCTTCTCCTTTTATCTGGATAAAAGACACATCAACTCCTCAATTAGTCATAAAATAACATTGAACAAGCATCTAGACTAACTCACTCGTATTAAAAAAATTATTAACAATTGATTACGAAAAAGAACGAAAGAAAAAATATTATAGATTGAATTGACGAGGGGAGAAAAATGCGAACCAAATATGAAGAGGTCGAGACTTCTGTTTGGCAAATACTCATAGATCAACATCTTGTCCTCTCCATGGATGCAACAACCAAACAGCCTTGCTAGGTTCTTATGTTGGAGTTTGGAAACTAGTCGTACTTCATTCTTGAATTCTCGAATTCCTTGCCTTGAGGTCTGAGACAATCTTTTCACGGCTATTTCTTGTCCACTAGAAAGTATACCCTAAACAAATCAAAATGTTAACTACTTACATAAAAGTTATTCAAAATCTTATTCACCCCTTTTTCTTAACCTTCATAATATCTTTTCACTATGAAAAAACATCATTGTTACTGTTTAGGACAACATAGCACATTGTTGTACCTTGTAAACTGTGCCAAAACCTCCCTGTCCAAGTTTGCTGGCCAAAGAGAAATCTTTCGTGGCAGCAAAGATGTCAAGCACATCAAAAATTGGCACGGATGAATCTTTATCTTCATACAAACTTTCCTTCTCGGATTCGGATTCTATTTTCGGAATCGTACGATTAGTCTCTTCTTTGTTTCCTGCATATATTTCAAAAATTGATTAGCTCACATTTTCTGCTAACACATTCGAATAAAATTGGAACCATACCAAAGTGATTATGTCATTTCACTTTTGCTCCATTACCTTTTCTGTTCCTTCTCCAGAGGCAATAATACACAATCGAAACCGCCATTATCATGGCCGCTCCCACAGAGGCCAATGCAATCGCTAAAACCTTCTTCTTCTTCCCATTGTCTCCTTTCAACCGTTTCCTGTATTCAGCTGAATCACAATCACACGTCAGTGCTACATCCAATTCAAGAGCAACACGGCCATAACTTTTCTCGTAGTTCAAACCTTGAGGTCAACAACCATCCTCGTACCTAACTCAGCCGCATTCACTCGCACATACACATCCTGCCCACCACCAGCAAACACTCTCGTGTCCATCAGATCCCCGTACAGTACGATGCACCCAATCCCGCTCGTCAAATTAGAACTCGCGTAAGCCGTACAGGAACAGTTCCTCAGACACTCCTGCTCGCAGTTTTTCAAATCCATACCCGCGTACAATCTCCCCGTCGTCGTGTCAGGAACTTTAGCATTTTCCAATTTCACAAACCCATCGCCACCGCCACAGCTCAGGCTCCCTGTTCGCTTCCTGACGCACCCTCCCGAGCCATCCCTCAGGTACCAGTCGCTCGGCGACCTCGGCTCGAACCCCGGAAGGCAGCTGCAGAAGAAAGCCCCTGCATCTCTGTTCTGGTCGCAGTTCCCATTCTGCCCGCAGTGTCCATAGTAGTCGCACGTCTCCTTGGGATACCTGAAGATCTCGTTCCACCGCGCGTCCTTGTCCTGCCAAATGGCCCGATTCAAAATCCCCTCGGAATCCAAATACACCCTGGCTAACAGGGCAGGATTCCGAAGCCCCCAAACGAAAGTCGACTCACTGTCGTTGACCACGACGCTGATGTTGAAGAAGGTGATTCGAGACATGTCGGGGACCCCGGACCAGGCGACTCCGTTCCACGGTCCGCTCCTCCACCGCTTGGTCCGACCTTCGTACAGCATCAGCTGAGGCGGCGGCCCGTTCGATTCCAGGACGTAGGACCAGTCCCCTTCTGCAGGGTCGTCAGGGGACTTCCAGGACCGGACCGCATAGTCCGGTCCCGTTTTCCGCACCATATTGGGCAGGACCGTGTCGGTCGGATGGTCGAAGCTCTGCCACAGGACCGTCTCCTCCTGATCCCCGTCCTGCTGCTGCAGCAGCAGCAGGACGAGGTTCCCTTCGTCTGACAGTCGTGCCACCATCTGATTTTGTCCGGCGGTGGAGATGTTTGTAGACCAGAGGGGAGCAGGAGTAGTCATGATGTTCCTGCTCCCCTGTTGCAAAATCAAGCCTCCTCGAGCGGCGTCGATGGAGAGCGAACCGGAAGTGTCGTTGATCGGACTGTCTCGATTGGCGACCCAAACGACGACCTGCGTGGGAAGTTTGGTGAACCAGATTCCGAGGTATCGATTGCGTGAGCTGCCGGGGCGGAAGAAACCGAGGGTGTACTTTTCTCCACTGGAAACTAGTACTTGGCCGTCTGCAAGAGATTCGTTGAATCTTATGGTGTCTGTAGATGAAGAACAAAAAGGAAGAGAGATGATGAGTGGAAGAAGCAGTAGAATGGATTGGAGCTCCATGATCAAGGAAATGGAAAGTTCAGAGTATGGTTCATGTTTTTTTTTGCTTTGGACTCTTTTGTTATCAAGGTTGTGTTTGTTTTGGTATTTTACTCAGAGAAATTAAAGAAGACAAGTAGGGATGTTTCTGTCTTCTTTCGTGCGAATGATCCACATGGAGCACTGTTCAGAGATAAGACTTTTTTCACATCAAACAATCCACGTAAAAATCCAAACCAAGAACAGTGTTTGACGCGGGAATATTGGATGGAAAAGATACGGTAATTGTGGCGCCAACTACCTCAAAAGAGTAATAATATATGACTTAGTATGTTAAAGTCCTTTTTTTTTATAAATGAATGCGGAGTATCCTAACCTTCATTCATGTAACGAATCTATTAAGTAGAAACCGAGGTTTGCGAAAGTTCAATGACCCGATTGTTGATGAATATGTAACGAATTGTTATTATACAGATGACAACAAGACGTGTGTTATCGATTTCTTGGATCGACTGCAAGCCTATATGCAATAAAAAATCATTATAAAACAAATACGAATTCAATCCTCCCAAGCCAATTTGAAAGCATACAAAAAATGTCCATCAACGTAGCTCTTGTGCTCATATTCCAATCCACGAAATTGACCGTTAAGTTTTGATGGGGACCAAACGCGGCCGAGTTATTGAATACTTCTCATCAGCTGGACTTCAGTTGGTCGACTGCTTTGGCGTTTCCCCTAGTCAATGATGCTTTGTAGTCCACACATATAGTTTTGCTATTAACCAATTTAGTGACAAAAATTGTCGGGGATGAAAATGTGCTCACCAAAATATATGACATATACGAAGAGAGGGATGGGGGGGAATATTGTAGAGGAACTCATTTGTTATTATCCCTCTCATCTGATGTCATGAAAAAAACAATCGTATCTGTGGATATTTTTTCGAATTCGTTTAAATGAGATAGGGTAAAATTCAAATTCGAATTTTTTTTAATGGGTATGAGTAAAATTTGAATAAAAATATTATAGTTAATGGGTGGACATGATTTTTTTCAGTATTCAATTCGAAGTCATCCAATTATACGCATTCATTTGTTTTAAAAAAATATTATCATTCTTTCAACGTATTTTATATTTATTAGACATATATAATATTTTTTTCATGAAATTGTGCTGTTTTTAACTAATTTTTCCTGTCCTAGTGATTTATTGTCGTACATTTTCACTTATCTAATTGTAATATACGTTTGATTGTTATCGTGTAAGTCAAAATTATTAAAAAAAATTATTACTCATGGATATCGCAAACTCGTATTTTTTAGTAAGGATAATGTATATGCACTCTAATCCCGACCCGCCTATATCATACCTACATGAAAGTGTGGATATTTATAGCCAAATTCATTGTAAAATCTTCTATTGGATCCTCCCATTTCTATTTCTTACAATTGGAATCCTTCTTGTCGGTCATCACAACAAGAGCCTGAGTCACAAATTCCGCAGGATTTATGGTCCACGCGCTCTGAAAAGATGTTATTTTCATGAAATGGACTTATTGGAGAAATTGCTTATCGGAAAAATTCGAGAACGGGTATAATTTCTCTTAATCTTTTATGTAAGACTAGTTATTTGGCCCGCGCTTCGCAGCAGTTATAAACTAATTATTTATTTTGGTAAGAAATTTCATCCACTTATTTAACTGTTTAGTTAAAACAAAATTATTCACAAAATATTTCAAGTAAAACACTTTTAATAACTTTTATGTAGTATCTTAATTATTACAGAGGTAAAATATTTGTTTGATTGATACATATGTAATAACTATCCCTTCAACCTTCATAAGCTTTACATATAGAGTGTATTTTAAGAATTGTTATGAATGGTGTTACGTAATCTTTTATAATGTGTCGTTTAATAATAAAACCAAGATACAGGTCTTACATTTGATTAAACTATTATATAATATTAACTTATCTTACATAAGCTTTAATTCCGTTGTAATTCAAATTGATGAGATGTTGAATGTGGTAGGCAATAATAACAATAAATAGTTAATAATAGGTGAACTATGTTATAAAAAGTATCACATTTGATTAAACTGTTATGTAAAATATAATTGACCTTAAAAACCTTTGTGTAAAGCAATTGATGAGATTGTAAAAAATTTAGTAACTAATTTAGGAATTTTCATTCAAAACTAATATCATGAAGGCTTATGTGATATTTTTTTTTAAATGATTCATAAGAAATTATTATATCCATAAAGTTTGTGTATTGTCTGAGTCATTAAACTTATATTTACATTTTATTTAATTGACAATAGAATTATGACCTGAAATTTTTACGTTAGAAAAATTTATCAAAATGAATATCATATTGTAAAACACATAAAATTTTGTATTTATACGCAAAACATCGTCGAGTAGCACTCCTTGTGCTGCGTTTTGTTTTTGTTTTTGTGTCTTCTTGTAGGTAGTTGATCTTGCCTCTCTTTGTACTCTTTACTCTTCCTTCGGTTCCATCTAATTTAATTTAAGCTCTCACCATTATAAAAAAAATGTTTTGTAATATTGAAAATAGGAAGAGTTTTGTATTGAAACCTATTCCATATAATGGTTATGAAGGAGAAATGCATAGGTTGAGAAATTAGAGGGCTGCATTGGAGATGCTTGGACAGCCGCCCTAGAGCTCACAAGTGGTTTAGGTACACACGGCTACAGGAAATTAGAAGAAAAGAGGGTTTATGAACAGTAACCCGAGTTTAAAAGCTAACCCGTTTTTTTCGTATGCAACAATTAATAATCTTGGGCCTTAATAATTCAAAAATTATGGCATACGTACTCACATTACAAAACTATATATCGAAAAGTGATTCGAATAGGTTGTTTAGTTTGGATTTTGAAATGCCATTTTTTATTTAATTTTGAAGGCTACAAATTATAAATTCGGTTTGAGACTATTCTTCATTGATGATGAATTATGTTAATTGTCCATTTCGTAAGATGGGGTCACGGTTAGTTTTGGTATGTTAGGGGATATCATTATTGCAACCCAGCGCCTATATTGCGTTTGCGGAGGGCATTTTCATAAAATTTTGGGCATTTTTTCGAAGGACCATTTTCTTTGGATTTTGAAGGCTACATATCACGGATTCGAGCTGAGACTATTCCTTACGGTTAATTAAATCTATTAAGTACCGATTTGGAAAAAAAAATTCCATGTCCATTTTAGACAGATTCCAATGGGGTATAAACACAGTTTCCCGTCCGTGAATATTGATGGCTACATATCACGGATATGACATGAGGCTATTCTCCACCTATGATTAAGTCTATTAATCACTCATTTAGGCGGATTTTTTCCAAGTCCATTTTGGCATATCCCGAAGGGGTACCATCACAAATTTCATTGGATTTTTTGAATGACCATTTTCCTTGGATTTCGAAGGCAACATATCACAAATTCAGCATGATGCTATTCTCCATCGATGATGAGGACTATTAATTGCATATTTGGGCATATTTATTCCGGAAGGCATTTTCATAATTTTTTGGGCATTTTTGAAAGGTAATTTTCATTGGATTCTGAAGGCTACAAATCACGAATTCTTTCTAAGACTATTCTTCACAGATGATTAAGTCTATTCAGCACCGATTTCGGTGGATTTTTTCCGTGACCATTTTTGACAGATTTTTCGTGACCATCACAAATTTTGGGTGATTTTTTTTTTGAAAAGTCATTTTCGTAATCATAGATTCGGCCTCAGACTATTCTCCATTGATGATGTTGTCTAATAATTGCCAAAATGGGCGTATTTTTTAGAAGGACATTTTTGAAATTTTTCGGTTTGTTTTTTCCAAAATGCCATTTTTCTTAGATTTTGAAGGTTCACATAACATATTCGGTCTAAGGCTATTCTTCACCAATGATTAAGTACATTTAACACCAATTTGATCGGATATTTTCTGGACCCATTTTTGGCATATCAAAAGGAGTACCATCATAGTTTCGAAAGATCATTTTTCTTAGATTCTGAAGACGACAGATCACGGATTAGGCCTGACTACCTGAGGCTGTTCTCCAGCGATGATGAAGTCTAGTAATCGATGATTTAGTCAGATTTTTTCAAAGGGTATTTTCGTAATTTTTGGCATTTTTTTCAAAAGGCATTTTCTTGGAATGTGATGGCTTCATATTAGTGATTCAACCTAAAACTATTCTTCACCGATTCACCGATGATTAAGTCTATTAATCACCAATTTGGACGAGTTTTTTTTCAATCCATTTTTGGCAGATTCCAAAGGAGTAGCATCACCGATTTTCAGCAATTTTTTGAAATACGATTTTCCTTAGATTTTGAATGCAACAAATCACGAATTCTGCCTGAGGCTATTCTCCATCGATGATGATATCGATTAATCACCGATTTGGGTGTATTTTTTTTAGGGAATTTTAGTAAATATTTGGGCTTTTTTTCCAAAAGTCCATTTTTCTTGGATTTTGAATGCTATAAATAACTTATTTGACATAATACTATTCTTCACCGATGATTAAGTCTATTTAGCACTGATTTGGGAGAATTTTTTTCAGTTCCATTTTTTTGCAGATTCCAATGGAGTACCCATCACAGATTCCAAGCAATTTTTTCAAAAGACCATTTTCCTTGGACTTTTAAGGCTACAGATAAGTGTTTCGACCAATCTGGGTGGACTTTTTTTAATCCATTTTAGCATATTCTATAGGGGGTATCATCATAGATTTCGGGCAATTTTTTCAAAATGTCATTTTCCTATTTTGAAGGCAACATATCACAGATTCGACCAGAGGCTATTCTCTAATGATTTTTGTATCTATTGATGAGTGTATTTTTTATGACATTTTCATAATTTTTTGGCATTTTTTTCGAAATACCATTTTCCTTGGATTTTGAAGACTACAAATCACGAATTCAGCCTGAAGCTACACCGATGATTAAGTATATTAAGCACTAATTTGGGCAAATTTTTTCTAAGTTCATTTTTGGCATATCGTAAGGGGTACCATCACAGATTTCGATGATTTTTTCGAAATACAATTTTCCTTAGATTTTGAAGACCACAGATCACAGATTCGGCCTGAGAGTATTCTTAACCGATTATGAAGTCTATTAATCACCGATTTGAGCCTATTTTTTAGGAGGGCATTTTCGTAATTTTTTGGACTTTTTTTATGTAACACCACTTTCCTTGAATTTTGCAGGCTACATATCATGAATTTAGTCTGAGGTTATTTTAGAATTGATTGTCTTAGTTTTTGTATTTTCGTTATTGACAATGTCATACTTAATATGTTCATTTTAAACTTATTAATATTGATGTAAAAGCTCGACAAAGTTATCTAAATAAAGTTATAAATATTACACCATATTAAATTGTATAAAAAACCAAAATGGAAAGATTTGACACTTTGACTCTTCCATTGGAGCAAAATTCTTTTTCAAATACCAAAATCTCAAATCTAACACTCAGCATCTTACATTTACCTGCTTTTCAATCAAAAAACTTATTGGGGAGCAAATTGTTACTAAGAGGGAATAGTAAAAGTGAAGTGTGTAAAGAAAATATTACAGTATGTATAGCTTAAAATGCAGAATCTGTGTTGTATACTTTGTAATTACAAGATATTACTAAGCTTATGTTAAAGTGAAAAAAATAGATTTGTTTTTATAATAAGTGTGCTTGTCTTCTATGTACTATCGAGCTATCAAAGTGGTTATTGACATGTGGTTGGTTGAAAGATTTGTCGACGATCCGGTGGTATTAGTTTCTGCTGAGTTTGCATCATCATGTTTCCTTTGGAGTATGAATGCCGGCTTCCCGGGGGATGGAAGAGTGGTTTCATTACCCAACATGAAGACAACATTTGACATAGTTGGTCGAATTGCTGGAGATTCTTGAACGCATAAGAGAGCTATCTGAATGCACTTCAAGATTTGATCCATAGAACATGATTCTCTTATTATCGATGAATCCACGATTTCCAATGATCTTCCTTCTCTCCACAACTCCCACACCTATTATGAGTTGCAAACAAAAATGAATGGTTAGGAATATTTCTGAGTTAAGTGATTCCTTTTTCTTATGACCTATACATGAAACCATAAATCCTCCCACGCCCAAACTATTACTTTAACATGGATCTGAACTCAACATTAGGGTTTAGACTTTAGAGTCCTTCTTGCAGGTTAAACTCGTAGAAAGCATATATTGAAGGGCATGATTTCTTTCCATAGGTTTGAAAGAGCACTTACATGACCAATCAGGCTAAATGATGGACTTTTATGATAATATTGGTTGCTCCGTCTACTACTCACGATCTCAAGTGCTAGAACTCCGAAGCTGAAAACGTCTGATTTAGTGGAGTATAGACCCTCCATTGCATACTCCGGTGACATGTATCCACTGCAATAGTATTTGTACAAAGAATAAAATATTAGTGAACTCATGTAAGGTAATTAATCTTTTGAAAAGGGAATAAGGTTTTTCTTTTCTTTTCTTACTAGGTTCCAACAATTCTATTTGTATTGGCCTCTATTTGATCCTCTCCAAATAATCGAGCCATCCCAAAATCTGATATTTTCGGATTCATTGCAGCGTCTAGTAGAATATTGCTTGCTTTTAGATCCCTGTGGATGATTTTCAACCTCGAATCTTGATGCAGATACAATAAACCCCGAGCAACCCCAATGATGATTTCAAATCGTCTACTCCAGTCCAATAACAAGCCTTTCGTTTTATCTGGATCAAAGGAACACATCAATAATCAAATGTTTCGTTGACAATTACCTACGAGAAAAAATGGAAGCAATGAATTGAAGATGGGAGGAAAAAGTGTACCAAAGATGAAAAAATCGAGGCTTTTGTTTGGCAAGTACTCATAGACCAACATCTTGTCCTCTTCGTGAATGCAACAACCAAATAGCCTTGCTAGATTCTTATGTTGGAGTTTTGAAACTAGTCGTACTTCATTCTTGAATTCTCGAATTCCTTGTCTCGAATTCTGAGACAGCCTTTTCACGGCTATTTCTTGTCCGCTAGATAGTATACCCAAATGAAAACCTTGACTACCTATAAGACAATTAAAACAATCTCAAAGGATTTTTACACTTCAAATTTTTTCTTCTCACTACTCAATTACATTACTGTTATATTAAATGATGAGAAAAAGAAATAGGTTGAGAATTTGTAGAATTTCAACGAATAGTCTCAGTATCATCCACCTTACCACTACTCTCGTTAGACAAATGATACATTTGAATACCTATCCTCGTTGATAACTCAGTTTGTTAGCATAACTTAAGTGTACCTTATAAACAGAACCAAAACCACCTTGTCCAAGTTTGTTGGCCTCAGAGAAATTGTCTGTGGCAGCATATATGTCAAGCACATCGAAAATAGGTACGGATGGATCTTTATCCTCGTACAAATCCTCCTTCAGTGTTTCGACCCCAATTTTCAGAATTGTATGATTGCTGCCACCTCGATTTCCTACACATGTTTTGAGAAAAAATTAACTCACATCCCTCTGAAAATACACAATAAAATTAGAACGATACAGAAATTACTGATTAGCTCACTTTAGATTTCCTTGACTACCTTTTCTCTTCCTTTTCAGGAGGCAATACACGATTGAAACCGCCACTATGATGGCCGCACCCATAGAGGCCAATGCAGCGGCTAAAAGCTTCTTCTTCTCCTTGTCTCCTTTCAATTCCCGTTTCCTGTATTCAGCTGAATCCCAAATCATACATCAGAGCAATGCGGATAAACTTACTCTAGTTCAAGCCTTAATGCTCGACATTCACCCTTAGATCGCTTACCTAATTCAGCTGCGTCCACTCGCACGTACAAGTCCTGTCCACCACCGGTAAACACTCTCGTATCCACCAAATCCCCGTTCAATAAAATGCACCCAACTCCACTCGTCAAATTAGAACTCGCGTAAGCCGTGCATGAACAGTTCCTCAGACACTCCTGCTCACACCTGCTCAAATCCATGTCCGCATTCAATTGGGCTGTCGTCGTATCAGGAACTTTAGCATTCCCCAATTTCACAAACCCATCACCGCCACAACTCAGATTCTTCCTGACGCACCCTCCCGAGCCATCCCTCAGGGACCAATCGCTCGGAGACCTCGGCTCGAAACCGGGAAGACAGATGCAGGGGAAGTCCCCTGCAGCGACTCCGTAAGGGTCGCAGTTCCCGTTCGGGCCGCAATGTCCGTACTTGTCACAAGGCTCCGACGGATACTTGAAGATCTCGTTCCATCGTCCTTCCTTTTCCTGCCACACGCCGCGGTTCAGAGCCCCGGACGAATCCAAGTGTACCCTGGCAATCATGTCAGGATTCCGAAGCCCCCAAACGAAACTCGCCTCGTGGTTTCGTTCGATCACCAAGCTGAAGGTGAACAAGGAAACTCGAGGCATGTCGGGGAACCCGGACCAGAAGATCCCATTCCACGGTCCGCTCCTCCACTGCTTGGTTCGTCCTTTGTACAGTATCAGCTCAAGCGACCCGTTCGGGTCCAGGATGTCGGACCACTCCCCTGTCGCAGGATCGTCAGGGGACTTCCAGGACCGAAGCGCGTAGTTCGGTCCCGTCTTTCGCACCATGTTGGGCAAGACCGTGTCCGTTGGATGATCAAAGCTCTGCCATAGAACCGTCTTGAGGCCACCCTCCTGTTGGAGCAGCACGAAATTTCCTTCGTCAAGCAGTCGAGCCACGACCGGATTCGCTCCGGTCGAGACATTTGCAGACCACAAAGTAGAAGTAGTACCGTTGCTTCTTTGGCTCAGAACCAAGCCGCCGCCTCGAATTGAGAGCGATCCGGAAGTATCGTTGATCGGATCGTCTCGGTTGGCGACCCAGACCACTACTTGTGTGGGCAGTTTGGTGAACCAAATTCCCACGTAGCGGTTGGTTGATTTCCCGGGGCTGAAGAAACCCAGAGTGTACATGTTTCCGCTGGAAATCAGTACTTGGCCGTCTGGAAGAGATTCGTTGAATCCGATGGTGTCTGTAGATGAAGAACAACAGAAGAAGGGAAGAAAGATGGTGAGTGGAAGAAGCACAAAAATGGCTTTGAGCTCCATAATAATCTAGTTTCAAGGAAGTGGAGAAACCACAATGTCGTTCATGTCTAGTTTTACTCAAACTAGCAGAATATTGCTTTGCTCTATGAGTGATGCACAATGCCAATGTTACACCGAAGACTTGACAAAATGTTCCACACTAAGTCAACACAAAATGAGTGTTTGGCGTGGGAATAATTTTTTTTTTGTCGGCTACCGCGGACCATTAACAGTGTTTTATGGTCATATGAGAACCTAGTAATGGAGAAGATAATAGTTGAAATAAGATTTGTTTTTACTAGAGTGCTTAAATCCGTTATATATTTGATATGGATTTTCCGTAATACTAAAACTATGGTGAATGTGTCTATCGTCATTAATGCATAAATAAAGATATCAATTAGTTGCAGTGATTGTATGATTGATTAAAGGGAAAAATTTATTGTCACGTTAGCTGACAAAACAGCTGAAGCCAACTTTTACACGTATTTTTGTGCTCATTCACACCATTTGGTGTTTATTCACGTAATATCATGGTTATTCACATAAGAGCGTAAGTTATTGACATAAATGGGAAATCGGACTTTTTTCCCCTAATAATTTGTATTGGCTATATTTCATAGAATTATATTTGGATTCTCAATTGATCTGTAAAAATGTGTTGCATTAATCATAATCTACACAATGACATCCATTTTGATATATTTCAAAGTTTAAAATTTTATTTTACAACGACGTAAATAAATAACAATATGTGCAAATAAACACCAAATTGCATGACCTAACAGTATTAGTTGCGTGAATAATCAACACTCTTACATGAATAACGCAAATATAGCGTGAATAACAAAAAAAATGATGCGAATAAATGAAAAATATGAGTGAATTACATTTTTTTGCACCTACAAGACACGATACTTGATTAAAGTCTGCCCATCTCCCATTATTTCCGCAGCAAATTAATTAATTAACCCCATCTCACAAAAGCTACAAATTAGACTTTTTTTTTACAAAAGATAATCTTATATCGATAAAAAAAAGGCAGCTACATCCGGGAATTGAGCCAGGCCACAAAATCAAAGAACCGACTTGCAGACGGGTACAATAGAAGGGTATTGCGAGCCACCAAGTGAGCTACCCTATTATTATGCCTACCTACAAACTGAACACTAAACCCTTGCTGGTTAGATAAACAATGCAGAACTTCCTCGAGCAGAGCGCCAATCCGGCTGTCACGGACCTCAGAGCTGGTAAGCTTCTCAACGATCACCTGAGCATCCCCTTCAAATCGTACATCCGTCAACCCCTCCTCAGTACACCAATGAATAGCATCGCGGAGCGTGAGCATCTCAACAACCAAAGGGTCATCAATGATACCAAACTGAACACCCCGAGCTCCTACCACCAGTCCAGCCGAAGACCGGATAACCATCCCACCTGCAGAATGAGAGCCACGCCTGGTAGCGCCATCCCACTGACAAATGAATGACCCAGCATTGGTCGTTCCCAGCGGCGAGCTAGAACTAGCAGGGGGCCGCGGATGAGGCCTATCCCCCGGCAGGTTTATCCACTCCTGATACTGCTGATTAAATTGGCGCATAAGAGCTGGGATCCCAAACTGCTTGCCCTAAAAAACAACCCAATTACGAGATCGCCAGATCCGCCATAAAACAGCAACAACTGCCATCAGCAGATGGGGTTGATGAATACACATCGTCAACCTTTTCAGGAATAGGGGAAACGTCTGTCTAGGAAGGCTTTGACCAAGGTATTCCAACTCCGCATGTATGATCTCTAATGAGGCCACTCGCTGTGTTTTGGCCTGTACGAGGGTGAACGAAGCCATCAGAGTTGAGGGTGGCCCACTTAAGAGGAGGTGACTTCCATGAGATATCCTCCGTTTCAGCCAATAGGTAACTCCAAATTCCAAATTGTTCTGATGATATCAAGATCAACACAAACTCTCTCAACAATCTCAATTAAAAACTTAGAATTAAAAATCATTATAATTTATTCTTTTCATCACATCAAAATAAAAATAAAAATCATATTATATATATTTGCACATAAAAAATAAGAAAATGACTCAATAATAAACATTGTAAAAATATCGCCTAAATAATCACAAAAACCAAACGACATGTTTCATGAGATAATTAAGGAACAATGAGAAATCAGATTGTTCCAACTCCCACTATCAAAACCCTCCTATCCCCTCACTAGCACAGCGCCCCGTCCGTTGGCCGGGTTGTTCTTGTTGTTGAAGTGTTTCTTGATTTTATTTTGTAGTTGTGTGTTTCTTTCTTTTTTGTGTAAGTATTGGATGGATTGAAACTTTACTTTTTTCCTAATAGGTGCGTCGTGTTACTTTTTTTCTTGTGTAAGTATTGGATGGATTGCAACCATACATTTTCTTCTAATAGGTGAAACCAAAATGTTGGTTTCACTCGTGTCGTTGATTCTTGTAGTAATTATTTTGTTTGGTAAATTTCCTTATTGGGAAAGCTTGATAAATATGAGTACATATGACTAACTTATATATGTTTGTTTTCACCATGTTGTTGATGCTTGTTAGGGATGGCAATGGGTCGGGTCGGGTCGGGGCGGATAGTGCATATCCGTTATCCTACCCAAAGTAGTTCGGATGTTACCCATACCCACATAAGAAACGGGTAAAAAATCAAAGTCATCCCCATACCCGTTCGGGTTTCGGGTATCCACGGTCATCCATGGATAATAATTTCTCTTTATAACTCCAACCAATATGTTACCATTCACTCATATTCTCACATTACATAAGCGTAAAAGTACGACAATAATTCATTAGGGTGAAGAAAATTAATTAAAACAACATAATTTTATGAAAATATTATATTTATATGCTAAATATAAAATATGGTAGAGAAAATTAATAATTATTTTTAGACAAAATGCATATGCATGTCATAATCAGGCGAGTTCGGGTTGGATAGTGAGAAAATCATGCCTACCCATTACTCGCAATATTCGAGTTCAAGTTTTACCCGTGCCCACTAAAATTCCTTCCAGTTTGGGTTTTACCCTACCCAATTCGATCGGATTCGGGCGGATATCGACGGTTACAGACATTTTTGCCATCCCTTTGTACTGGCTATTTTGCTTGGTTATTGGCCGTCAATAATGTAGGAAAGTACTCAAGTATTTGACTAATGAAGTTTTAAGAAATGAATTTGAAATCTAATTAAATATAATTGGGTTATAGGTATAATATGGCCATTTACTATGCAATTTTATCAAACATGCACTATTTTTTACATCATACCCTTATACTTTAGAAAAATATCAAACATGTCCTTATACCCGAATTTCCGTCCAAAAATCACCTTAGCCATGATCAAATTGTGGTTCAGACGACCTAACCTCAATAAAATGGGAGGTATCCATGCTCTAATAGTAACAACTTCAACTTTGATTAGAAACGCATCTAACTTGGTGTCATTGTAAAATATAAGATGTGACTCAAGCAAGGTAAATTTATCTCATGCATCGATGCACTTAAAAAAAATTAATCTAAATCACCAAAACACATGCAACCATATCTTGCATCACGAAAGAAACCAACAAAATGATACTTCAATAATGGATGTGAGAGTTTAGCATGGCAACAACAGTTAATCAAGTGAAGAGGAGTGCAGAAAAAAAGTATATAAGTTTTGTACATAACATTTAAGAAGAATGAAAAAAATGCAAAAAATTACTAACAATTAAAAAATTGAAAATCATCAATTTGCATCTAAAAAGAGTGAACCTAATATCGACTATGGGAAACAATATTAAAAAAAAAGGCAAATTCTATTCGCTAGTGGATTGGTTATATACATCACAACAAATCCCATCTCCAAACAACCCCATAATAAATGAATTCAAGTGTGTGTCCAAAAAGATTACCAAACTAACTACCAGGCGGCTTAGCTTGGCCAAATTGGTATTGCGTTTTAGCCTCCACCTCCGCCATCACCAACCGTCTTCTCTGTTTGACCTATAAATACTATGTCCTTATCAATATTGACCCAATCGAGGATCTGAAGGAAATGCTCTTGTATTGAAGAAAGAAATCACATCCAAGATGGAAGGGTGATTTTGCACACCTGCCAGAGGAGAAAGTGAATTCCGTAGAGGACTCCAATGCAATCGTCTTCTCGGGGTGAGTGCGTTCTTGCCCAATGCTACGTAGTAGGGATAGGTCCGAGTAGAGATGTTGTTGGTAGATTTTCTGAAAGGGGAAGATGACGAAATCTGGCGGTTTTTGAAAATAAGGGATTTCCTCCCAAATCGATAAAATTTGATAAAAGATTAAAATTAAAAATTAAAAATATAAATTAAAGTGAAATAAAATTGCTCAAACCTTGTCGCGGAGTTATAACTCAAAGTTGTTATTGAAAAGCCCAAATGAGAGTATAGGAGGCCCGGTTGGCGCGGATCCAATTATGGACTTCCTTAAATGGAACACACAGTTTCATTTAGACAGGGAAAGGGTCATTAATAACCTTCCGTGAAACACTCACATAACAACATTTTTAAAATGGAGAAAATTGGAGATATGAATCTCCATCATAAATTTTATAGACATATTTGATGTTGGATCTACAGAGGTCCAAGAGAGCTTGGTTGTGCTCATGTAATTTCAGTTGCTGCTAATAAAATTATATAGGGGATTATAAATAAATTAAAAAATATACCCAAAATTACACTGCGAAGGAATGCCTCATGAACTGAAAATCAGTTTTGTTCGGTTATAATCTGAATCGATTTTCATTTAACTGTTTAATTAAAAAAATTGCTTAACGCAAGCCGTACCGTTTATATTTTTTGGTTTACCGAAACCACGTAATCAGTTCTCGGTTATTTTGTCAGTTAATCAGATGAACTTTAAATTAGTACTTCGATAAGGTTATGTTTTAAGTAAACCGAATTAATAACAGAACTGAGGGTCACCTTCATTTTTTTCATTATTTAATCTTATTATTATTTTTGCTAAACACATATTAGCTTTTTTTACATTTAAAAAACATATTAGTTTTTCTGAAATATCATTAACTAATAAAATTTAATATTTTTTAAAAATGTTCAATAATTTTAATTAATCTTATCATGTCACTTATTTTTGTTCTTTTCTTTTGCATTTTCAGCCAATTCCCCTTATCTCTCCGCTTGTTTACTCCCACCCACCAGTGACACCAACACCATTTGGAACTTTCTTTCTTCTCTATCTCCTCTGTCCTTTCCCATCTCGAGACTCCCACCAAGATGAGCAACATACAAATTTGCATGTATATTCTTCACTCTTAAATCTCAAACTTAAAAAACGGTCACTTTCCATCCCCTTTCGCTCCATCCTCTTCGATCGAGAGAGCAAGATATACTCTGTTTTTTTTTAATATCAACTTTGTTCTTTTTTTCTTGTGGCGATAAGAGGAAGAAAAAGCGGCTGGGTTGGTGACTATCGATTCACAGGACCATCGATTCACGGCGGAGGAGGGCGATAGAAACAACGGACAGCGTTAGTGACCCTCGATTCACGGCGGCAGAGGGGTGGTAGAACTTCCGACGAAATCCCTAAAGCTCCTGGAGTACTGCTCCCATGCTTGTCGCTTGTTTTTGGTCGGAGTCGCAAGAGGAATTGGTGGATAATAACACGGCGGCTGGTTTACAACAACTCTCTGCTGGGATGAAGTGAGTGGCAGAGACGATTTGATGGCCAGAGTCGAAGGTAGAAGAAGATTTGATTGTCGAAGTGAGAAGGAATTGCAGATTGAAGAGGAAGGCGAATGGGTTTCTTTGTTTGGTGAGCGACGGAGAGACGATGGAGATAGGGGTGAGTTTTGAATTTTGATTAAATTGCAAATTCTGTGGAAAAGGGAAAATCCAAGAATAGGCCCAGATGATGTCCGAAGGCATTCCGTTTAGCCCATGTATGATAAAAAGTAAAAACAATTGGGCTCAGTAAAACAAAAACGCAGCACTTCAATTAAATGTGCAGAACCGTGAAATGTCTAATCTGCCCTTCCGTGAAGCTTTCAGGAGCCAGAGTTTTTGAATCCCTGCAAAGACAACCCATGAATCTGCTTCATAAATTTTATAGATATGCGCCATTTTGGTGACCACAAACCGCCACAAACTTGGGGGATGAAATATCCAATGTCTGCTGAAAAGTATTCAATAACTTGAGCCGCGTATTTGGCTCCCATTAAACCATTTTTTCTTATATTGATGATGTTCCAATTCTTGATGGACAGACAACTAATTGATTACATATACCTGTACGTGTTTTGGAGTCGTTTGGAAGTTGGGAGTCTATAAATATGTGTATTCTTACAATGTATGTATTCTAAGTGTAGTGATTGTAAGAAATAGATGATTGTAAGAATATGTTGTTTGTTAGTTGTGATTCTCACTTTTAAAGAATATAAGGATTCTCACTTTAATGACCAAAAAGACTTATATAACCTTAAAGTTCTCTTTATATAGTCAATTAAAGAAGGGGCAAATATGAAATATATATATAAAAAAATAAGGATAAGAGGTGCAAAAAAGCAATTACAAAAGTAAAGCAAGAGAATCTCACCTTTTTGTAGAGATTCTAAAATGAATGATTCTAGCCAGTTGAGATTCTAAAGTACCAATCAAATGCATGCATTCTAGATAAGTTTATGTCAAAAGAACGATAGATTGTAAAGAATACACACATTCACAGAATCACTCATTTAGACTCCTAACTTCCAAACGACCCCTTTATTTCTCAAAACGACCACGTCACTCCCAAATAAGACTTTGCACTCCAAACAAGTAATATCCTCCTTGCTCCGACCCTCTTCGTCACTGTGAATCATAAAATTGAAAGAGACAACGAATGCATTGAAAATACATATTTAATAGTATAGACAATGAATGTATTTTGCCTTTCTTTCGGAATAAGAAAATGCATTATAGTTATTTATGAACACTTTAGTTGTAGTTATTTATGAAAATGCATTGTAGATATTTGGAACAAATTATTTGGATATTATTAATTTTAATTATATTTATTAAATAAATCTACAAATACATCATCTTTGTTCGACAATTGAACTTATGAGTAAAATAATATTTAGAAACTCACCCTAGAATAAAAGTGATCGTAGTGATGACAATGGGGCGGGGTGGGTACCTCAATTCACATGCCCCGCCCCACGCTACTACGAGGCGGGGCGGGTAAAACTCGCGCGGGTACGGAGCGGGGCGGGTCGACCCACTCTTACATGTTATTCGAAAAAAATACAAATAAAATTTACCTTTTACGATAAAACGAAGGGAAAAACACTTTAAGAATGAAAAATAGTGATAATAGAATGGGTAATTGAGTCTAACAAGTTGAAAGAGCGACTCTAACTAGTTGAAGAAAAGTCAAATAGGAGAAATATGTATAGAAATTGTAAGAAATTGAGTCTAGAATGGGGGCGGGGCGGAGCAGGGCGGGTCGGAAGTAGATACTCATGCCCCGCCCCACGCTACTGCGGATCGAGTAATACCCGCTCCATCGCGGGTCAGGACATGTTGAAATTGCCATCACTACGTAGTATGTTTATTCTACCCTAACTTTCTCCACACGATTCCAAGTTTCCAACAATACTTTTACAATCTTATATACTTTTTCCACAGCCACATGCATAACAAATAGCTTGCAAATACACATAGACAAATCCCATTTAGATTTTTTTTTTTTTTTTTCAAAATCCAAAATTAGCCCTTCACGTCAGTAGACCGTTTCTTTCCCTTCCAATATTGCCACGTCAAACACTCTTACTGTTTTGACTCGTGTGTATTGGAATGTTCAATGAGAGTTCTTTCTTTCTCGAGTAGAAAACCAAAACAAACACACACACCTTTACTCAAAGAAGAGAGAAACCATATTTTGGGCTTCCCATTTCGCTTGACTATGGAGCTCCAGGCCATTTTGTTGCTTCTTCACCTAATCATAACCCTTCCTTTCAGTTCTTCATCTACAGACACCATAACTTTCAACCAATCTCTTGCAGATGGTCAAGTGCTGGTCTCCAATGGAGAAAGGCACACTCTGGGTTTCTTCAGCCCCAGGAACTCAACCAATCGCTACCTTGGAATCTGGTTCACCAAACTTCCCGACCAAATCGTCGTCTGGGTCGCCAATCGAGACAATCCGATCAACGACACTTCCGGATTGCTCTCCATCGACGCCCGAGGAGGGGGCGTTGTTTTGCATCAGGGAAGCAGAACCACTGGTACTGCTCCCCTGTGGTCCACGAATGTCTCCGCGGGAGGAAATCCAATGACGGCTCGACTACTAGACGAAGGGAATTTCGTTCTGCTCGACGATCACGAGACGGTTCTGTGGCAGAGCTTCGATTATCCGACGGACACGGTCCTGCCCAATATGGCGCGCAAGACAGGGCCGGAACACGCGGTCCGGTCCTGGAAGTCCCCTGAAGATCCTGCGACAGGGGATTGTTACTACGTCTTCGACCCGAGGGGTTCGCCCGAGCTGATTCTGTACAAAGGTCGGACCAAATGGTGGCGGAGCGGACCGTGGAACGGAATCGCGTGGTCCGGGATACCCGAGATGGCTCGGATCACCTTCTTCAACGCCACCGTGGTGATCGACAAGAGCGATTCCACTTTCGCCTGGGGACTTCTGAATCCCGACATGATTGTCCGGGTCTATTTGGATCAGACCGGGACATTGAACCGGGTCGTATGGCAGGAGAAAGTCGGGCGGTGGAACTTGATCACGTACTATCCCAAGGAGCAATGTGACAACTACGGAATTTGCGGGCCGAATGGGAACTGCGACCCTTACAGAGTTGCAGGGGACTTCCTCTGCACCTGTCTCCCGGGTTTCGAGCCGAGGTTCCCTAGCGAGTGGAACCAAAGAGATGCATCGGGAGGGTGCGTCAGGAAGCGAGCAGGGAATCTGAGTTGTGCTGGTGGTGATGGGTTTGTGAAACTGGAGAATGCTAAAGTTCCCGATACGAAGACGGCGCGATTGGACGAAGGTATGGATTTGAAAATGTGCAGGCAGGAGTGCTTGAGGAACTGTTCGTGTACGGCTTACGCGAGCTCCGATTTGACGACTGGAGTCGGGTGCGTTATGTTGTACGGGGACTTGATGGATACTAGAGTGTTTGCTGGTGATGGACAGGACTTGTACGTGCGAGTGGACGCAACAGAATTTGGTATGTAGTATGAATGTTGGCACCAAGATTCGAACCATTCACAATATTGCTCTATTTTTATTTTTTTTTACATCACAATATTGCTCTATTGAAGTGGATTTAACGCTGATGTATGATTGTGATTTTGTAGAGGAATACATGAAACGGTTGAGAGGAGAGAAGCGGGAGAAGGTATCTTTGGGAATCGTATTGACGACCTCTCTGGGTGCGGCCATCATTTTGGGGGTTTCGATTTTGTGCTGCCTTCTGAAAATGAAAAGAAAAGGTATCAATCAAAATAATTTTCGAATTCGGCTATAATACATAAAGATGTTTTCGTACGAATGTTTGTTTGTGCATCTTGCGATGCACATGCATTGAATGCGAGTGGCGATATTTATATAGTCATATCCATCCAATGATTGTGGATCGTGGTCATCATATGTATGATCCTAGCAATGTAAACATCTAGCTTTAAACCTTCTTCTGATCATACTAGCCGATTTGAGATTGTTTAGGTTGTTGAGCTTTAATCTGAAGTGGTGCAGGAAGTAGAGGAGGCACTGCTCAGACTCTTCCTAGAGCAAACTCTGATTCTCAAAGGGAAAAATTATACGAAGAAGAAGATTCATCTGTGCCGATTTTTGACGTAATTGACATATTTGATGCCACCGAAAATTTCTCTTCCGCCAACAAGCTTGGACATGGTGGTTTTGGCACAGTTTATAAGGTGCACAAATGAAAATATATCATTACATTTATCATTAGGTGCTTTTGTTTCAATCTATTTAGAACAAAATTCTAAAAAGTTTAGGATAGAAAAGTGAAATATGTTTGGTTCGAGTTAAAAAAGTGTATGGCGTATACTATATTTATTCGTTAAGAGTTATCAAAATTTATTTAAAAAATATTTACTTAGGAAGAGAAATGTATTTAATTGATTATGGGAAAAAAGAGAAATGTATTTAATGAGATGGTAAATGCTTATTATTGAAAATAATTAATGGATTTTAGAGAAATGATTATTATGGGCATGGGCATAACATTGGAAGTATATTATTTTATTACTTTTTTTAGTGAGAAGGAATTTAAGATCTAAATACATAGAGTGAATAGATTTTAGAGTGAGAAAATGTGCATAAATATGTTTGTTTTGTCTTTTGGAAGCAAACACACCGCGCATGTTCACTAAGAGGGGTGAGTTGTAAGAGGATGTGAGTAGCCAATTAAGATGTTGTTCATAATGTAAGGATGTGAAACATGAAGTGAACATTATTTTCACAAGAGACCGATACACAAAAATGGCTAGTTAAGATTTTGATGTGTTTAGGGCGTGCTACCCGACGGTCAAGAAATAGCTGTGAAGAGGTTGTCTCTGACTTCAAGACAAGGAATTCAAGAATTCAAGAATGAAGTACGGCTAGTCTCCAAACTCCAACATAAAAATCTAACAAGACTGTTTGGCTGTTGTATTCATGAAGATGAAAAGATGTTGATCTATGAGTACCTACCAAACCGAAGTCTCGACTTCTTCATCTTTGGTAATTTTTTTCTCCTCTCTTCTTCAATTTAGTCCATCATATTTTGTCTATATGTTCTTAGTTATTGGAAACAGTTTGAACTTAGAGCCAGCCAGATTATATATTCCTTAAAGTTTGTTTTATGACAAATTGATAGGTTGATATTGTGTCCTATTGACCAGATAAAACGAAAGGGTTGCAATTGGACTGGATGAGATGATTTGAAATCATCATTGGCATTGCTCGAGGTCTTTTATATTTACACCAAGATTCAAGGCTGAAAATTATTCATAGGGATCTAAAAGCAAGCAATGTTCTACTAGACGTTGCAATGAACCCTAAAATTTCAGATTTTGGGTTGGCCAAGTTATTCGGAGAGGATCAAACAGAGGGCAATACAAACAGAGTTGTCGGAACCTAGTAAGAAAAGAAACTAGGGCTTCCTCTTTGACAGATTACATTAGACAAGTTCTGATCCTTTTGTACATGAACTTAATTGTTGCAGCGGATACATGTCACCTGAGTATGCAATGGAAGGTCTTTATTCAACGAAATCAGATGCTTTCAGCTTTGGGGTTTTGTCACTCGAGATCATGAGTGGCAAGAGGAGCAACCAATGTCACCAAAAAAGTCCATCAATAAGCTTGATTGCTCATGTAAGTGCTCTTTTCCAATTTCCACCCAATGAAAGAAGTGATCATGACGTCTTTCACATGAGATTAATTTCTTGTTAGGTCGGAAAGCTTAACTTGACAGTAAGTACTCCTATTGTTGAGTTTGATTAACCCCATCCATTATTAGTGACAATTTGTCTGTAACGTATTCTAGGTGTGGGAGTTGTGGAAAGAAGGAAGAGCATTGGACATAGTGGATTCATCAACAATGGGAGGACTAGATAGTGGGGATGAAGTTATGATGAGGTGCATTCAAATTGGTCTTTTATGCGTCCAAGAATCTCCCGATGATCGACCTACCATGTCAAATGTCGTCTTCATGTTGGAGAATGCAACCACCCTTCCATCTCCCAAGAAGCCGGCATTCATACTCCAAGGAAAATACTATGATATGGACACCATCACCACTGGATCATCAACGACCCCTTCAACAAATCGCGTGACACTATCTACTTTGATAGCTCGTTGACACATGTATGGCTTCTGTATTAAAAAAAAGTCAGCACATCTGTCTAGCCTTTCTTCGATGCACCGGTCATTTTCCTTTTAAAAAATTAATGTATTATATTGTTCAATTTTAATGATTCCGTTTTTGGTATTTCAAAAAGCGATATCACTTTACGAGTGACATATCAATTTTGTCCTTCTTTATAATGTAAGAAGGCAACAACATAAGAAGTTCGAGCTATATATAACTGAAATTAAAAAAAGAAACCAACAGTATCAACATTAACTTTCTCAACAAATCTCAACTAAAAACGAAGATTTAACAATCACTAAAACCGCATATTAAGAAACCAAACCACACCTCATTTTCTGTTTCATGAGATAAGATTGTCTCAACTATCAAATTCCTCCTAGCTATCTCTTCACATATGCCATTTTGGTGACCGCACATTCTTCCACGCATTTGTGTAATTCTGATGTAGGGTCTAAGGTAAACGAAACTAAACGCCACAAACCATTAACTTGGGGAAGAACACCATTATGAGATAATCCAAAATCTCCAGAAAAGTATTCAAGCACTTGGGCCTTGTTTGGCTCCAATTAAAACTTGACGGGTTGGATGAAATTCGTAATTGCATGCAATCAAACAAATACATCTTTGTTCTACACTTCAATGTATTATTTGAGTACAGCTGAACTTACACTTAATTAAGACGTCGATTTCATCAATCTAATGTTACCTCAATTACTTGGGAGTAAAACAATATTTAGAAACTCATTCTATAAAGAGTAGAACTGTAGAAGTGACTGCCACATGTTTATCTCTCCTTTTTTTCCCCCATAATAACATGAATGTATAACAAATAACTTGCAAATACACCAAAGTCAAAGAACATTTATTATTAAAAAAAATCTAAATCTAATTTAGCCCTTGCCTTCGGTGGACCGCTTCTTTCACATCCAATATTGCCACGTCAATCTTCCAACAACAACAACCAAAAAAAAAAATATATATATTGCCACGTCAAACATTCTTCTTGGTTTGACTTGTCTGTATTGGAATGGTTTATGAGGTTTTTCTTCCTTGTGTAGAAACTAGAAACCCTAAACAAGCAAACATGAACCATACTGTGAGGTTTTTCTTCAACTGATCATTAAAAGTGATTACAAATGAGTCTCATGTCTTCCTCGAAAACTTTTGGAAGAGCACGCGAAAAGAAAAAAAAAACTTCGATAGTACTTTTCTCCATCGCGTCAAAATGAAACGACGATCTCGTAGTTCTTGATTAATAAAAGAATTACTTCGACATTATAGCGTCTGGTACTCGAAGATTGGCTCGATGCATTTTCTCTACCCTTACGCTGATTTTAACATAATTTTCAACACAAATAGCTTGCAAGCCAAGAACTTCTAATTAAGCACCATGCATATGCCGTCGAAAGACCGTTTGTTTCTCATCCAATACTCTGTGCCACGCCAATCACTCTTCTGGTTTTGGACTTGTATGTAATGGAATATTGATCAGTTGATTTCTTCCTTGATTAGAAAACCAAAACAAACACACACACCCCTTTACTCAAACAAGAGAGGACCATATTGTGGGCTTCCCATTTTTGCTTGACTATGGAGCTCCAGGCCATTTTGTTGCTTCTTCAACTAATCACATTCATAACCCTTCCTTTCAGTTATTCATCTACAGACACCATAAGTATCAACCAATCTCTTGCAGACGGTCAAGTGCTGGTCTCTAATGGAGAAAGGCACACTCTGGGCTTCTTCAGCCCCGGGAACTCAACAAATCGCTACCTCGGAATCTGGTTCACCAAACTACCAGAACAAATCGTCGTCTGGGTCGCCAATCGAGACAATCCGATCAACGACACTTCCGGATTGCTCTCGATTGACGCCCGAGGCGGCATGCTCTTGCACAGCAAGAGCACTACTACTCTGTTTTGGTCTACAAATGTCTCCGTCCTAGGAACCCCATTTGCTCGACTACAAGACGAAGGAAATTTCGTCCTGCTTCGGCAGGATGGTGCTGATGAGACGGTTCTGTGGCAGAGCTTCGATTATCCGACGGACACGGTCTTGCCCAACATGGTGCGCAAGACGGGACCGGACCACGCGGTCCGGTCCTGGAAGTCGAGTAACGATCCCGCGACAGGGGATTGTTACTACGTCCTAGACCCGAGGGGTTCGCCCGAGCTGATTCTGTACAGAGGCCGGGCCAAATTGTGGCGGAGCGGACCGTGGAACGGAATCGCGTGGTCGGGGATTCCTGAGATGGCTCGGATTACGTTCTTCAACGCCACCGTGGTGATCGACGGAAGCGACACGACTTTCGTTTGGGGGCTTCGGAATCCTGACATGATCGCGCGATTCTATCTGGATCCGACGGGGACGTTGAACCGGGCGGTGTGGCAGGATAAAGTCGGGAGGTGGAACTTGATCGCGTACTATCCCAAGGAGCAATGTGATTACTATGGAAACTGCGGGCCGAATGGGAACTGCGACCCTTACAGAGTTGCAGGGGACTTCCCCTGCACCTGTCTCCCCAGTTTCGAGCCGAGGTTTCCGAACGACTGGTACTTGAGAGATGGCTCGGGAGGGTGCGTCAGGAAGCGAACAGGGAACCTGAGTTGTGGTGGCGATGGGTTTGTGAAACTGGAAAATGCGAAAGTTCCTGATACAACAATGGCACAATTGAATGTAGATATGGATTTGGATGTGTGCGGAGAAGAGTGCTTGAAGAACTGTTCTTGTACGGCTTATGCGAGCTCCAATCTGGCGAGTGGAGTCGGGTGTGTTACTTTGTACGGGGATTTGGTGGATACGAGAGTGTTTGCAGGCGATGGGCAGGACTTGTATGTGCGAGTGGACGCAACAGAATTAGGTATGCGTGAACGAATGTTGGCACCAAGATTCGAACTATTCGCATTTGGTCTTGAACTGATGTATGATTTGTGATATTGTAGCGGAGTACATGAAACGGTTGAAAGGAGACAAGCGGAAGAAGGTGTCTTTAGAGATCGTATTGACCTCTGTGGGTGCGGCCATTGTTTTGGGGGTTTCAATGGTGTGCTGCCTCATGAAAAGGAAAAGAAAAGGTAATTAAGCAAAGACTGAGCTAATCATTTCTCAAAACATATGGTTTCTTTGGATGTGGTTAGTGCCTATAGATGTTTTGTAAGCATGTTTGGTTTGTGGGTCCTGCAATGCACAATTATCGAATGCGAGTTACGACAATTGTATAGTCATATTCATTGAATGATTGTGGATCGTGATCGTGAAATACTCGATTTTTAGTTTTGAAACCCCTTCTGAAGCCACTAACCAAATTGAGATTGTTTAGTTTGTTGAGCTCTTTACTCTTAAGTGATGCAGGAAGCAGAGGAGGCATTGCTCATACTATTCTGAGAACAAACTCTGATTCTCAAAGAGAAATTTTGTACGAAGAAAAAGATTCATCGGTACCAATTTTTGACGTAAATGACATATTTGATGCCACGGGGAATTTCTCTTTGGGTAACAAGCTTGGGCAGGGTGGTTTTGGCTCTGTTTATAAGGTACGTAAGAACTTATTCTTTTCTTAGAAGGGCAATGTTGTAAGAGAATATTTTTCAGTGATATGATTCAAAATATAAATACTTGGAGTGGATAACTAGGTTCTAAACTTCTAGAGAGGAAATGTGCACCAATATGTTTGTTTTGTCTTGTGGAGGCAAATACACCCCCACATGCTCACTAAGATGGGTGAATATTTTAAGAGGGAGTGAGTAGCCAAGGAAGATATTAGATGTTGATTTTGAATATACTAAGAAGGAAAGATGTTGATTCAGAATGAAAAGGGTAAGGAGGTGAAACATGAATTCAAAATTATCTTCACAAGTAAAGAAAGTTGTACATTAAAATGCTAGTTAAAAGATTTGATTTGCTCAGGGTGTCTTATTCGATGGCCAAGAAATAGCAGTGAAAAGATTATCTCAGACTTCAAGACAAGGAATCGAGGAATTCAAGAACGAAGTACGCCTAGTCTCCAAACTCCAACACAAAAATCTAGCAAGACTATTTGGTTGTTGTATTCATGGAGATGAGAAGATGTTGGTCTATGAGTATCTACAAAATAGAAGTCTCGACTTTTTCATCTTTGGTAAATTTTTCTTCCCTCTTCAATTTCGCCCATGATATTTTTCTTTCTGTATATTTTTCATAATAAATTTTCAGGGGAATTTTTTTGAACTTAGGGCTAGTCAGATTAGAAGTTCCTTTGAGTTTGTTTTATATGACTAACTACGGTTTGATGTGTGCTATTGGTTCAGATAAAACTCAAGGATTACAATTGGACTGGCCGAGACGATTTGAAATCATCATTGGCATTGCTCGAGGTCTATTATATCTACACCAAGATTCAAGGCTGAAAATTATTCACAGGGATCTAAAAGCAAGCAATGTTCTACTAGACGCTGCAATGAACCCTAAAATTTCAGATTTTGGGTTGGCTAGGTTATTCGGAGAGGATCAAACAGAGGCCAATACAAATAGAGTAGTTGGAACCTAGTAAGAAAAGAAACTATAAAATGAGGTTTACTCTTTATGATTTACATGAGACAATTCCTTATCCTTGTACATGAAAATGTTGCAGCGGGTACATGTCGCCAGAGTATGCAATGGGAGGTCTTTATTCAACAAAATCGGATGCTTTCAGCTTTGGAGTCCTGACACTCGAGGTCTTGAGTGGCAGGAGGAGCAACCAGTGTCACCAAGAAAGTCCTTCAATTAGCTTGATTGCTCATGTAAGTGCCCTTTCCCCTATGGAAAGAATAAGTCATGACATCTTTCATATGGAGACTATATCTAGAAATCTATTATACATTAATCCCAATCCTAATTAGGGACATTTTTTTGTAATGTATACTAGGTGTGGGAGTTGTGGAAAGAAGGAAGAGCAATGGATATAGTGGATTCATCAACATTGGGAGGATCAGACTCTACAGGTCAAGTCATGACGAGGTGCATCCAAATAGGGCTTTTATGCGTTCAAGAATCTCCTGTAGATCGACCGACCATGTCAGATGTCGTCTTCATGTTGGGCAATGCAACCACCCTGCCATCTCCCAAGAAGCCAGCATTCATACTCCAAGGAAAGTACGATGATATGGACACCATCGCCACTGGATCATCAGCAATCCCTTCAACAAACCGTGTGACACTATCCACTTTGGTACCTCGGTGACACATATGATGCTCCTGAATCAACCGATGTATCGAAGAAACAAATTTGATCACACTAGTTTTCTAAAGTTTAGGTGTACTTCATATCTTTAATTGTCCTTTTTCATGATGAATATTGTAGACCTTAAGATACAGAAGTACAAAGTTGAATACTTAGTAGTTATAGGAAAAATATCAATCTCAAGTAAAAAAAAATGAATACAATTTCCCCCCTACTACATACGGTTGCTTTATGAGTATTATCGAGCTTCTAAAGTGGTTATTGACATACGGTTGGTACATGGAATTTCTAATCTAACAGCTGCATCGGTTAATGTGTTGGAATCATCGTATTGTCTTAAGAGTATGAATGCAGGCTTCTTGGGTGATGGAAGAGGGGTTGCATTGCCCAACATGAAGACAACATCTGACATGGTCAGTCGATCTGCTGGAGATTCCTGGACACATAACAGAGCTATCTGAATGCACCTCAACACTTGATCTGCGGAATATGTTCCTCCCATCATTGATGAATTCACTATGTTTGATGCTCTTCCTTCTCGCCACAAGTCCCACACCTTATATGCATAAAAGAAAGAAAGAAAGAAAGAATGAAAAACTTCAGAGTGCTTACCATCAAATCAAATTCTCCTAACTAACGAATCTCACATTCAAGGATATGACTTTACTTTGTTTAGGTTAAGAAAAGATCACTTACATGACCAACCAAGCTTACTGATGGACTTTCTTGGCAAAAATTGTTGCTCCTCCTGCTACTCACTATCTCAAGTGTCAGGACTCCAAAGCTAAAAACATCGGATTTTGTCGAGTATAGACCTTCCATTGCATACTCAGGCGACATGTATCCACTGCAACATTTCATGCATCAAAGATTAGAACTTCTCCCTTGCTATCTGAAGCGTGACTTGGTAAAAAGTTATTTTCTTACTAGGTTCCGACGACTCTGTTTGTGTTCGCCTCTATTTGGTCCTCTTCGAATAACCTGGCCATCCCAAAATCTGAAATTTTAGGGTTCAATGCAGCATCCAGTAGAACATTGCTAGGTTTTAGATCTCTGTGAATTATCTTCAACGTTGAGTCTTGGTGTAAATACAGTATGCCACGAGCAATTCCAATAATGATATCAAATCGTTTCTTCCAGTCCAACATCAAGCTCTTTGTTTTGTCTGCATCAAACAAGCACGCAACTTCAGTTCTCGTGTCAATTACTAACAAGCACCAAACAACCGAAAGATCATAAAGATGGGAAAGAATGAAAGAGGTGAAGAAAATATGAACCAAAGATGAAGAAATCGAGGCTTCTGTTTGGCAAGTACTCGTAGATCAGCATCTTCTCATCTCCATGGATGCAACAACCAAATAGCCTTGCCAGATTCTTGTGCCGGAGCTCGGACACCAGCCGTACTTCATTCTTGAATTCCTGAATCCCTTGTTTCGAGGTTTGGGACAATCTTTTAATAGCGATTTCTTGTCCATCCGATAACAAACCCTATCACAAATAAATATATTCACTATAAGAAAATGGTGTAAAATCCATTAGTGAGCGAAGACCGTTCTAATGTATAGTTGTATACCTTATAAACAGAGCCGAATCCGCCTTGACCAAGTTTGTTGGCCAAAGAGAAATTTCCAGTGGCAGAAAATATCTCATTCACATCGAAAATTGGTATAGGAGATTCTTCATCTTCATACTCCCCTGCAGGGCTAGTATTGTGTATCCCTCCACCATTTCTTTTCCTCTTGAGTAGGCAATACAGAGTGGAAATCGCCAAAACGATGCCTCCACCTACAGAGCTCAAAACAATTGCTAATAGCTTCTTCTTCCTCGCATCTCCTGTCGACCTTTTCGTGTGTTCAGCTAAATCACATTCAACAAGTTTGGTATCACACATCCCATTCAAAACAATGGTGTAGAATGTGGAAATAAGTAAAATTTTACCTAACTCAACTGCATCCACTCGAATGTACAAGTCCTGCCCGCCATTGATAAACACTCGAGTATCCATCAGATTCCCATACATCATCACGCACCCAATTCCACTCGACAAATTCGAACTCGCATAAGCTGTACAAGAACAGTTCATCAAACACTCTCGTGCGCACATGGTCAGGTCCATGTCGGCATTCAGTTGTGCGGTTGACGTATCTGGAATCTTAGCACTTCCCAGTTTCACAAAACCATCACCATCCCTGCACGTCGAATTTTCTCCTGACCGTCGCTTCCTGACGCACCCTCCAGAGCCATCCCTGAAAAACCAGTCGTCCGGGTTCCTCGGCTCGAACCCGGGAAGGCATATGCACTCCTGGTCCACTGAACTACTGTAAGGGTCACAGTTCCCGTTTGGCCCGCAACGTCCGTAGTAGTCACACGGTTCGGTCGGGGAACTCCCCAGCTCGACCCACCGACCGGTCTGATTGTTCCACGTGGTAATCTTCACGAATCCCGACGGGTCCAGGTACATCCTCGATATGTCCCCGGGGCTCCGGATCCCATAAGAGAAAGTCGTCTCACTGTTGCTACTGACCACACTGGTGTTGTAGTTTGCAATGATGAACATGTGGGGGACCCCGTTCCACTGGATGCCGTTCCACGGTCCGATTCGACGTCTTATGGTCCGACCGTTGTGCAGCATCAGCTGAGGCAGCCCGGCCAGGACGACGTCGTAGGACCACTCCCCTGTTCCAGGATCGTCGGTCGACTTCCAGGACTGGACCGACCGGTTCAGTCCTGTTGTAAGGTCCAACCCGAACTTCATGTTCGGGAAGATCGAGTCGGTTAGATGATCAAAGCTCTGCCACAGAATCGTCTTACCATCAGATTGAAGCAGGACGAAATTGCCTTCGTCTAGTAGTTTAGCAGTCGTCGAGATTCCTCCTGCAGAGACATTTGTGGACCATAGAGGTGCAGATTGATTCCTGCTCCCACGTTGCAAAACGACATCGCCTCGACCGTCGAAGGAGAGCAACCCGGAAGTATCGATGATTGGATTGTCTCGGTTGGCGACCCAAACAACGGTCTGGACCGAAACTTTGGTGTACCAAATTCCAAGGTACCGATTGCTTGAATTTCCAGGGCTGAAGAAACCAAGAGTGTAGCTTTCTCCATCGGAGACTAGCGCTTGACCATCTGCAAGAGATTCGTTGAGTTTTAAGGTGTCTGTGGATGAAGAAGAACAGAGATGAAGAGAGATTACAAGCTGCAGAAGCAACGAGATGAGTATTCTTTCTGTAAGATCCATAATATTTTGCAGAGAAGGAAGGAAACCCAGAAAAAAATTCCGAGTCTTTATTATTCTAAGTGTTGAATAGTATTCATTTCAAAGGGTTGGAAAAAGAAGATATTTGACATTTCATTCATTGAACTAATTATTATTCACAGAACACAAGTATGTGGTTTCTAATCATCGTACGTTGCATTGTCTTTTATGTCACATCGCTAGCTAGTGGTAAAGACTTAAGATCTTTCCTTTCATGGAGGAGACAGATAATGATTAATCAGACAAAGGAGATATTTTCCAAGCATGTTCATTCCTTCGTGAGGTACATTTGAATATGAATCGCTATTTGCCGCCCGCAAGAGACGGGCAGCAAATAGTAACCCTCATTTGAATCTTCTAAGCCACTTGGGTTGACTCTGGGTCTAGAGGACTTTTGCCGTTTTTATGGCTTGCAAATGTGAGTATCATAGTCGAATTGATTAGTTGACACTATTAGGTTATGACCACTTAGCATAACCCGAGAAATAGATAATTGCTGGACCGAGATTTCTTGCCAAGATTGAAGTTATGAACAATGAGATTGAGAAGTAACTATGCTGCAACTTTACTTTGAATCAATGTTCCCTATGCCACTCCAAAAATAGCAGAATCCCAATTGATCTATACAGTCACATTGGTCACAGGACCTCTAAACCACTTCCTGGCACTGAAAACCCATCCACAAACAACCAACAGAAACAATCCCCCCACCGCTACTGGTGTGTAGTTGAGTGTCTCGATGGTGATCGGGTAGGCTACCGGCAGAGAGAACAGAACCGAGATAGTCACGACCCAGATCACAGCGATCCAACCAACAACGAGGCCATACCGTCCCAAGTGGAATGGGCCCCGAACAAACCTCTTGCGAGCCAATGTCACCCTGAAGAAGATTGGCAAGGCGTATGCAATGTAGAGCCCGATGGTTGCTATAGACACCATTGCTTGAAATGCCACTTCACTTCCGAGATACTGCATTATTAGGTGAAGAGTATGATCAACTTGTCGCGTTAGAAGCAAGATAGGAATGAATTGACAGAGATGTATTGAAAAGCATTATAACCGTTAATGCCATGCAGAAGGATATGACGACAGATAACCAAACGGCATTGATGGGAACTTCTTGATTGTTGACTTTGTGCCAGAGCGAAGAGAATGGCATGGCTCCATCTCTAGAGAATGCATAAACCATCCTAGAGTTGCTAGTGACGGAACTCATACCACAGAAGAAGATGGCAACTGCAACAACCCCTAAGCATATGATTCCCCCAACTCCACTTCCATATCTTCTTCTGAAAGCTTGGTAGAATATTTCGGCAATAGCATAGCCACCAGCATCGTTGTCTTTACTCAGAAGAGAAGGGATATCGGTGACAGCAAATGTGATTCCAAGTATGTACAACCATCCAAATATGACTGATATCCCTATGGAACTTATTATTCCCTTTGGACCATTCTTGTCAGCATTCTTCGTTTCCTCTGTCTATACAATCAATTTGTTGGTCAGTGAGCTGCCATACCAAGAAGCAATCAAAACGAAAGCGCGCACGAGAGAGAGGGACATTATATATTACCATGTGAGCAGACGCATCATATCCTGTAAGGGTGTACTGGCTCATCAGAAGCCCCAGAACAAAGATGTAAAGCTTGTTGTTGATTCCATCCCCGTTATCAGTATTGAAGTGGGTGAATACAAACTTAGCACTCGCTCTTTCTGTTGCAACAGTTGGGATGAGTATCGTCAGAAGTACAACACCGAGAAGGTTCCAAATAGCAGCCAGCTGGCCGAAGAAGGACAGCATGGAAATCGGTAGACTGTTTATGACAGCATGGAGGAACAGGATGCCACCATGCAATGCAATGACTACATACTTGGATGCTTGATATCCACCACCATTTTGACCACCTGTGCTCAGCAGAATGATCACCTGAATCATTTGTGCAAGGGAAAAGTCCACGCTCGTCGTTACAGCCCACTGCAACAAACCAAAAAATGGTGGAATTATTGTTACAGCTCATGCTCATGACATTCTTATTACAAATTCTGACATGAAAACTCTGAGTTGATCACACAGACCTGGCCAACAATGTTGAACCTGCAGGGTAGTGACAAACAACAACAACAACAAAACAAAATGTGCTTGGCATTAGAACAACGGATAACAGGAAAAAACAAGTTTTGAATTCTGATGCAGTGTCATTTAGCTAGCTGCTAATCATTTGTCAGTTGTCTAATATTGTTCACGTCAAGACCAAGATGGCGACTTTGTTGTTAATCGTTAGGAATTAGGGTCCTTTTGAACAATCATAATCATGTCATCATGTTTCTAATCCAGAAACTCTAATAAGTTAAAAGTCCAAACAAGTTTTCGATGAAACAAGAAAGCCAGATTAGGAAAGCACAAAAAAAGACCAAAGGCTCCCCCATTGAAACAATCTACTTAATTGAATCGGTGGGAGCCATACCTATTGTCGCAGTTCTTAAATGGGCAAGCAAAAAAACATTCAAGGACACTCATGAAGGACATAACAAACAGCAACCCACCACCCTAAATCAGCAACAAGAACAGTACAATCCGACAATAGGCCCCTAGAGGCGCACCACATTTGAACTAAATGCACACCTGAATCTTTATAGCCTAGTCTCCTACTTCATTAAGAGTTGATGAATTAGAGTGGCAGAAGTTCTTATGTAAATTTCCTGAAGAATGAAGATCTGCATACCAGCCAGTGATCCAGGAGGCAAAAGGCGCCCAAGAAGGCCCGGCAAGCTTCGCGCTCCAGTAGTAGAGACCACCGGAAGTCGGGTAGGCAGAGCAAATTTCGCCCATTGCAGACCCGACAAACATGGTGAACAAACCGGCTATCAACCAGCCATATAACAACGAGACCGGCCCTCCGAAGGTCAACCCAGTGTTGTAAAGAGTGGTTACTCCGGTGAGCACCGAGATGATCGAGAAGGAGAAGGCGAAATTCGAGAACATCCTGCAATTGGCATGGGAATCAGGTTGGATTGAAAACACGGAAAGAAGAAATTAAAACAACCCAACGGAAGAATGGATTGGTGGGTTTACGAGAGGTCTCGCTTGAGCTCTTGTTTGTAGCCGAGCTGCCTGAGACGGGCGGTGCCGGAATCTTGAGCGCCATCATCGCCGACGCCATTTGCAGCTGCAGGGTCGTTGTGAAATGGCAAAAGCGAGGTGTCGGCTCCGGCGGAGACCATGTTTGCTTGTTTGGAGGAGGAGGAGGAGGGAGCAGTTGAAGAGTGTGCTGTGAAGTGTGAATGAATGGAAAAAGATTCGGAGAACAGCTATCAAAAGAAAGAATCGGATGCCTTTAATTTGATTTATTTCACACCAGTCCGGTGAATTTGTTTATTATTACAGGTGTCGAATCAAGTTGGCTGATCCAGTCAACAACGTGCTCCTCTTGGTTTCCACAAAGCTAGATAAAGAGAGCTAGCAAACACCGCCCACCAGCCGTAGATCATGGTTACGGGCCCACCGGAGCCCAGGCCCACTTCGTATAACATGTTGAAAGTCGTCGCCGGAATGACCACCGTCGTCGCTGCCGGTGAGAGGAAACTGGGGGTAGACGGCGACGGCGGCAGCGGCTTGTTGTTGACTTGTTGTCCTTCTTCCTCTGCGTCTAAACGCCTCCAACTTCTTTTCATTGATAACCTGGACTGCTGGGTTCATATCGTATAGCAAGAGTGGGCTTTGGCCCACAACTTAATTGGGTGCTAGTTTTAATAGAGCCCAAAGGTTTGCAACGTGAATGAAGAAGATCCTTAACCAAAGCCCAAAGGCTATTGCTCACAAAAATCTCACACCTAAATTATATCATGGAGGTGATTATGTCAAGGATTCAATTCCTTGTCCTTCCACTGTAAAAAAAGCAACCAACCTATGAAACCACCAATAAACAGTGTGAAAGGAAAAGAGGTTAAACTAAATTAACATAATGACAAAGGCCCTCCATTAGAACCATAACCAAATTCTAAAATTCTGAAGTACAAAATTGAATACATTTTATACATTATCGTCCCTCGAAAGTGGTAAATGACACACTATTCATCGAAGAAACTGTATGTGTAGCATTTGCAGACGAGTCTGCATTATAGTTTTGTCCTACCAGTATGAATGCAGGTTTCCTAGGAGATGGAAGAGTGGTTGCATTATTCAACATGAAGACAACACTCGACATGGTCGGCCGATCTTCTGAAGATTCTTGAACACATAAAAGCCCTATTTGAATGCACCTCATCAGTTGATCGGTAGAATATGATCCTTGGACTATGGATGAATCCACAATATCCATTGCTCGCCCTGCCCTCCACAGATCCCACACCTAGTGAATGGTCCAAACTCATTATATGAGTTAGTTTTACCTTTCGGAACGATTTATTATCAAGTCAGTTAAAATCTATTTGGGTGATTTTCATGTGACTTACATGGCCGATCAAGCTCAACGATGGATTTTCTTCGTAACAATGGTTGCTTCTCATACCACTGACAATCTCAAGTGTTAGTACTCCAAAACTGAAGACATCAGATTTCATGGAGTATAGACCTCTCATTGCGTATTCTGGTGACATGTATCCGCTGCAACATTTAAACACACGGTCAAACAAATATAATCACTTTATGTTTCCAATATTCTAAAAGACAATTAACATTTTTATGATTTATCTTACTATGTTCCCACCACTATGTTTGTTTTAGCCTCCGTTTGATCCTCTCCGAATAATCTAGCCATTCCAAAATCTGAAATTTTGGGATTCATTGTAGCATCCAATAGAACATTGCTAGGCTTGAGGTCTCTATGTATGATTTTCAACCTTGAATCTCGATGTAGATACAACAGACCCCAAGCAATTCCGATCACAATATCAAATCGAGTCTTCCAATCCAATAACAAGCCTTTTATTTTATCTGGAGAAAAAACACAAAGCAACCCATATTGTTATTAACTTACTAAAAGGACACCAACCACTAAGAGAAAATTCGTACTTGATTGAATTAATATGAGAAAAAATACCAAAGATGAAGAAGTCGAGGCTTTTGTTTCGCAAATACTCATAAACCAACATCTTCTCCTCTCCATGAATGCAACAACCAAACAACCTTGCAAGATTTTTGTGTTGGAGTTTAGAAACTAGTCTAACTTCATTCTTGAATTCCTGGATTCCTTGCCTTGAAGTTTGAGACAATCTTTTCACAGCAACTTCTTGCCCATTGGGTAGCAAACCCTGACCAAATTAAGGGTCATAAATAAAAGGTTTAGATATCTTTCTATGTACACTTTTGAGTTTTTCAGCCTTTTTTTACCTTGTAAACAGAGCCGAAACCACCTTGTCCAAGCTTGTTGTCCAAAGAAAAATTATTTGTGGCAACAAATATGTCATTTACATCAAAAATTGGTACAAAAGAATCGCTCTCTTCGTCGAGATCATTTTCCTTTTGAACGTCATACTTTATTCCCAGGCTAATATGATTAGTGACTCCTTTGGTTCCTGCATCACATACTCCCCAAATTGTGTAAGTTATTTCCACAAGACTTAACTGTTGAACCGGCTAATAAGATTATTCCTTCTTTCTTATGTGAAAAGGGTGTCATCAAGAGAAACCTTTTGGTGTAATGGTTGATTCCAACCTAGAACCTCCATTAGAGTATAGGGGAAGGGGTAAAACCAAGAAAATTGGGAAAGAATAGAGAGTCAAAATAGGAAGAACGAAATGCAAAAGAGAACTAGGTCAATTGGGGAAAAGTTAATCTGCTAACTTGAAGATTCGTTAGTAGATACTAACTGATATCCAAAATATATGAACTAATATCCCAGTACTAAAGTATCTAAAGAACACATGCTAGCATTCAAAGTTTGCTAACTGATATCCACCATGAACCAACTATAATCCCAAATTCACAAACTAATAACTAGACAACACAGAATAGTATCCAAACAACACATAATTAGTATCCATATAATACATAAGAGTATCCATATTGAATACTAGTTGGTTGATTGTGAATATTAGTTGGTATATGCTATCTGGATACTAGTTTGCGATGTTTAGAATACTAGTATGTATCATCTAGATACTTAGCAGACTTGGATATTAGTTCATACATTTTGGATATTAGTTAGTATATACTAACGAATTTTCAAGTTAGCAGAATAACTAGATTGGGTCAATTGAGGGAACAAAACTACAACAAGAAATGAGGTTATTTTGAACCAATTTGATGAAGGATTGAACGATAAGAGGAGGAATTAAGAGAATCAGGGAAGAACAAGGAGTCAATGAGATGAGAATTTAGTAGAATTAGCAATTTAGAATCGGAAAAACTTCACAAAATAGATCATTAGGAAAATTGAGACAAGAAGTATGATTAATCTTTTTTATAAACGTGATATATACTTTATTTTTAGTTAGATTATACTTAAAAGATTGGAATATGAGATCTATAGATCTAAGACCAGTAATATTATTACTAGACCAATCTTTTGATATTTGACATAATCAAATTGAAAGTTAAAGTAGAATTATATGGGCATGAGCCTAATAATCCTAACAACTAATTTAACACAAAATAAAATGAGTTCGTATAAATTTCGAGATTATGCGTTGACTTTCTTTTCAAAGGCAAGTAAAGAAATAGAACCTATAACTAAATCTCTATCTACAACTTAAGTTATTTGAAATTAATTTGTTCTTCGACATTATTTTCACTAAGATAATAAGCTCACTACGAGTTTTTTTTACCTTTTCTTTTGCAGTTTAGCACGCAATAAGCAATGGAAATCCCCGCAATGATGGCAGCGCCCAAAGACATCACAACAATCACCAACACCTCCTTCTTCCGCTTGTGTCCTTTATTCTTTCTCATATATTCAGCTGACAATAGCAAAATAGTAGATTATGCACATCTCCAAAGCTCAATATTGATAAACCCTCTAGTCTAAAAATCTTGATACAAAGACTCAATATTTAAAGTACCTAACTCGATTGCGTCCACTCGTACGTACAAGTCCTGCCCACCGTCATTTAGCACTCTCGTATCCATCAAATCTCCATACATCGTCACGCACCCAAGCGACCCACTCGTCAAATTAGAACTCGCGTAAGCCGTGCAGGAACAGTTACCCAGACACTCCTGCGCGCACGCGTTCAGATCCATGCCAACATCCAACCGCCCTGTTTCCGTGTCGGGAATCTTCATATTCTCTAGCTTCACGAACCCTTCGCCGCTCGTGCAGGTCGCGTTTCGCGACCTGACGCACCCTCTCGACCCGTCTTTCGTGAACCACTGGTCCGGAAACCTGGGCTCGAACCCGGGGAGGCAGAGGCACAACAACACCGGGTCGGTGTAAGGGTCACAGTTCCCGTTCGGTCCGCAACGCCCGTAGTAGTCGCACGGTTCCTTGGGGGCGGAATTGAACTCAATCCACCGATTGTCCTGATCTTGCCACTTGCCAAGGTACAAATGTCCTAACGAATCCACGGACATCTTTGACACCATGGCCGGATTCGAGATCCCCCAGGTGAAAACAGACTGATTGTTGTTGCTCAAGTAGGTGGAGTAGAAGTTGGAGGTGATGATCGCGTCGCGGATTGTGTCCCTGTTCCGCGGTACGTACCGCCATCGCTTGATCCGGCGGTCGTTGTGAAGCATCATCTGAGGCACCCCGTTTGGGTCCCATTCGAAAGACCAGTCCCCCGACGTGGGATCGTCGGGGGACTTCCAGGACCGAATCGAGAGATGATTCGGTCCGGTTCTGCGATCCATCCCAAATCTCATATTTGGGAAGATCGTGTCCGTCAGGTGGTCGAAGCTCTGCCACACGACCGTCTTGTTACCATCCGAACGGATCAGGACGAAATTGCCATCGTCTAACAGCTTGGCCGTCGAGCTCCCGCCGGCGGTGACGTTAGCCGACCATACACGAGTGGAATGCGATCGTCCCCACCGTCGTCGCAAAACGATATCGCCTCGAGGGTCGAGCAGGAGCGATCCGGAAGTATCGTTGATCGGATCGTCTCTGTTGGCGACCCAAACCACGGTTTGAACCGAGACCTTGGTGTACCAAATTCCGAGGTAGCGATTGCTTGAACTCCCGGGGCTGAAGAAGCCGAGGGTGTACCTTTCTCCATTCGAGATTAGTACCTGACCATCTGCAAGAGATTCGTTGAAGCTTATGGCGTCTTTAGATGATGAGCAGAGTTGAAGGGAGATTGTCAGTTGAAGAAGCAAAATGATGATGAGGTCCATAATCTGCAGAGGAAAAAAAAATCAGAAGTCTAAAGTTCTGTTTGACATATATTTTTTTTAGTGGAAATGATTTGACATAAGCGCTCCACAACCACAACCACCATAGACCACTTGTCAAAACCAACTTTGATACTATGTCATAACTCATAGATCAGTTTGTCCCAATAACTTGAGTTGTTTTAAAAAATTATATGTTGGATCTTATACCACACTCTAACAGATGTCACGTGTTCAAATCCTCCATGAGACCATGACACTCAATATTAACTGAGGTCTTTAAATCACGTGGTACAATGAACATGTGCAAACTTCAACCTCATTAATTGGCTTTTATTTGAGTGAGCGTGTAAAAAAATAATTAATTATTATGTATCAATATATCTCAACAACTCAAATTATTAGAAGTCGTTGATTTATAAGAAGGATAAACAAGGAAAAGTCTGAAGTCTGGTTTCATTGTCCTTTGTGCTAAGCAACTGGTGGCCGAGTGGTAGCCTTTCATTCATATCAAAGAGGTGATAATCAAATAAGTGAGACATTTTTTTCCCACTGCTTGTTTAGTTGCTTTCCTTTGTTTCACAACTGACACATCTGAATTTTCAAAGCAAGACTTATTGTATCGAGTCTTCAATCAACAAATTTTTTTTTTTTTTGGGTGCGTGGGTTGAAGATCTCGAGTAGTTGAGTACAAATGACGGATATCACTATATAAATCACTTACTTTTCTTTTATTTTTAACAAATTATATAAAGTTTCAGTTTGGATTTTAAGATTTGATATATTTAGAAAATGACATTTACTTTGATATGTTTTTTTTAACATATTAATATGGTTAATATATTTCATATATGTAATACCCATAAAGACTCATTTGGCTCAACCCAAGGGTTAATCGATAAGTTGGACAGTGAACATCATTGACTAACGGTCGACAAACCATGTTATTGTTATATCATCATAAACAAACATTAAAAATAATTTTCATCCATAAAATAAACAAAATTTAGGAAAATCCATAAAATGGTAAATTTGTGGGAATTGGGAATTTTTCATTAGGTTATTGCCGACTAGGCAATGACATGGCGGGTTGGTTGTTAGTTAACGATTTTCACCGTCAAATATAACGGTCAACACTCGTCTTAGACTAGATAATTAAATTTTGATAAAAAATTGAGCCACGATGTTAATTAATGAAATGATTGGCAGAATGCTAAAAAAGGTAAAGTTCAGGTCATATAGGTAATATGAAGATATTAACCCAACAGTTGACTCTATCTCTGAGTTTTTATTTTATTTTTTATGAATGATGTTTTATTAGAAATTCACTTTAACACAAATGCAAACAACAAAAAAAACCTAACCAAAAAGAAAGAAATTGAGGACCTAAACAACGTCAAATATAACCCACAATTGCAATTAATTTCCAATCTAGCCATTAGCAATAATAAATGTGAGTTCATAAACTTAAAAATATCCATATCTCGTAAAAAGAAAGAAAAACATTAGATAATTTGCCTCCTTAGTAGTTTTTCACTCCGTTTGCCTTACCGCACTTCCATTGTCGTTATTGACACACGATTAATGGAAGGAATTTTAGATCGGGCAGAAGCTTGTGAATTCCAATCATCATGTCTGCTTTGAATGATGAATGATGGCTTCTTGGGAGATGGGAGACTTGTTGCATTACCCAGCATGAAGACAATGTTTGACATTGTTGGTCGATCTGCTGGCAATTCTTGAACGCATAAGAGACCTATATGAATACACCTCGTTACTTGATCTTTGAAGAACGATTCTCCCATGTTGGATGAATCCACTATCTCCAATGCTCTTCCTTCTCTCCATAAGTCCCACACCTAGAATCCACATAAAATCCATGCCTTTAGTAGGATCAAACCCAACCAAAGAGTAATTACTACGTACCAGATACCAGGTTGGTGTGATATTAAACCAAATTACTTACATGATCAATCAAGCTGAATGATTTACTTTCTTGGTAAGAGTGGTTGCTTCTCATGCCACTAACAATCTCAAGCATTAATATACCAAAGCTGAAGACATCCGAGTTCGTTGAGTATAGACCTTTCATCGCATACTCTGGCGACATGTATCCACTGCAATACACGGAAAAAAAGAACATTTAGTATTTCAAAAAGTTTTTAAGAGATTGACATTCTCAATGACTAGTCTTACTATGTTCCAACAACTCTAAGGGTATTGGCTTCTGTTTGATCTTCTCCAAACAACCTAGCCATCCCAAAGTCCGAAATTTTGGGGTTCATTGCGGCATCAAGTAGAATATTGCTAGGCTTTAGATCTCTGTGGATGATCTTCAACCTGGAATCTTGGTGGAGGTACATCAAACCCCTAGCGATTCCGATAATGATATCAAACCGCTTCTTCCAATCCAATAACAAGCCTTTTGTTTTATCTGGATTAAGAACATGCAATTTCACCCAACATATATTGTCACAACATGACAAAGAATATCTCATAAATTGGTCTTACCTTCAAACTTTTAGCATGATGATTCTAAAATGAACATAAACAAATGGAAGAATACGAACCAAAAATGAAGAAGTCTAAACTTTTGTTTGGCAAGTACTCATAGACCAACATCTTCTCCTCTCCATGAATGCAACAACCAAGAAGCCTTGCAAGATTCTTGTGCTGGAGTTTGGACACTAGCCTCACTTCATTCTTGAACTCCTGGACTCCTTGCCTCGAAGTTTGTGACAATCTTTTCACAGCTACTTCTTGCCCGTCGGATAGCAAACCCTAACCAAAAACCAACATCTTACCTTCATGTGGACTATACATGCTTGTTAATTGTAGATACAATACTACACTGTACCTTGTACACAGACCCAAAGCCGCCTTGTCCAAGCTTGTTGGCTAAAGAAAATTGTTCAGTTGCAGCAAATATGTCATTTACGTCATAAATTTGTACGTGGGATTCCTTGTCTTCATACAAGTTTTCTTTCTCATCGTCATACTCCGTTCCAAGGATAATATGATTGGTGTCTCCTTTAGTTCCTGCCACATTTAACATTAGCACCTCCAAACAGTTCGAGTCATTGTGCAAATAACCATTTTTGCTTACCTTTTCCTTTTGTCTTCCTTTTCAGCCGACAGTATGCAAGTGAAATCACCAAAACAATGGCCGCACCAATGGAGGTGGTCAAAACTATCACTAACACCTTCTTTCGTTTATGCCCTTTCGACCTTCTCATCATGTATTCAGCTGAATCAACAATTCATTGTTACATCCTCTTCAATATAATGTGAAGGGAAACAAGCTGATTAAAACTTTTTAAGGTCAAAATTTATTTACGTACCCAACTCAATTGCATCCACTCGCACGTACAAGTACTGGCCACCATCAGCAAACACTCTGGTATCCATCAAATCCCCGTAGAATGTAACGCACCCAACTCCACTCGTCAAATTAGAACTTGCGTAAGCCATACAAGAACAGTTCATCAAGCATTCCCGTTCACACATATCCAAATCCACACCATCGTTCAATCGCCCAAACGATGTATCGGGAATTTTAGCATTTTCCAACTTCACGAATCCTTCGCCATTACCACAAGTCGAATTTCCCGACCGTTTCCTGACGCACCCACCCGAACCATCCCTTACGTACCAGCTGCCCGGTTCCTTCGGTTGGAACCCAGGGAGGCACCTGCACTCCAGCTCCCCTGCATTGAAAGGGTCACAATTCCCGTTCGGCCCACATCGTCCATAGTAATCGCACGGGTCCTTTGGAGCGGACCCAAAATCGATCCACCGACGATCCTGATCTTGCCACGTGGCGAGTTTCGTGAACCCCGACGAGTCCACGTACATCCTCGATATGACTGCCGGGTTTTGGATCTTCCAAACCACCGTCGTCTCACTATCCACGTCTACAACAATTGTGTTGAACTTGAAAGTAGTGGATGTCTCGTGAACCCCATTCCAGCGGATGCCGTTCCATGGTCCGAACCTCACCCGTTTGGTCCGACCGTTTTGCAGGATCATCTGAGGCACCCCGGTCGGGTCCAAGTCGTAGGACCAATCTCCCACGGCAGGATCGTCGGGCGACTTCCACGATCGAATCGATCTGTTCAGTCCCGTTCTGCGGTCCAACCCGAACTTCATGTTAGGGAAGATGGTGTCCGTTAGGTGATCAAAACTCTGCCAAATAATCGTCTTCCCATCCGGTCGAACCAGGATAAAATTACCTTCATCCAATAGCTTAGCCGAAAAAATACCTCCGGCAGAGACATTCGTAGACCATAGAGGAGCAGAGTTCCTCCTTGCCCGTTGCAGAACCACGGCCCCTCGAGTATCGATCAAGAGCGATCCGGAAGCATCGTTGATCGGGTTGTCTCTGTTCGCGACCCAAACCACGGTTTGTACCGAAACTTTGGTGTACCAAATTCCAAGGTATCGATTGCTTGAATTCCCTGGGCTGAAGAAACCAAGAGTGTAGCTTTCTCCATTAGAGACTAGCACTTGACCGTCTGCAAGGGATTCGTTGAAATTCAAGGTGTCTGTAGATGAAGAACAGAGATGAAGAGAGATGGTAAGCTGAAGAAGCAATGAAATGATTAATCCTTCAGCGAGATCCATAATGATCTGCTTCTGACAAAGAAGAGAAGACTAACAGGGGAATTTCTTGGGAATTCTTTTGGCCTTTTCCAAGTCTACGGTTCATAATCTTTCGTTGCATTATCCTGTCAAGACACATCACTAGCAGTAAGCTTCGCTTTCTGTTTGCATTCATTACATCGGGTCGACGGGGAAGGTGAGAGGAAGGTAAGAGAAGCACGACAACTAATGGGCACAAGACTTTTTCCACTCTAGGCCCTACACCAAGTCAGTTCATAAATTCGCGCGCAATCTTGAACACTTTTCTTTCCCGCTCCTTCTCATACAGGCGACCCAGAAATCAAATCTGAAACGGACCATGGATTACAGCCTTCATCGTGCACTTGAACAGCACGACGCAATGTCTGAACAGCCTCGTGCCCTCTCGATTTGACCTGGGACTGGGAGACATGTTTCGCTTAACCGACAAACTGGCAGCTTAACGGAACAAGTGCAAAACAAGGGGAGAACGGATTTGGATTGGATCAGATCAAAGCAACCACGTGCACAGAAGGTTCAGATTTTAGCTGAGCCAACGATAATGCAGTGGCATCTCATTGCGTACCAGGGAAGATCCATAAGTCAGGCAAAACTGGACATCAACTGCGTTCTTCCAACTGCAGCCACAAAGAATCAGCGTGCAACAACTCCTGACAGAGTTAGTTCGTTTATAGAACATGATCTGGTAGGTTGGCGGTTGGAGCAGCTTCCGTCACTGGCATATGCAGGCTGTTTGGGACGAGGAAGAGGCATCGCACTGTTCAACATGAGAACCACTGTCAGCATATTGGGTCGATCCTCGGCATTTTCCTCCATGCATAACAGGCCAATTTGGAAACATCTCAATACTTCCTCCGCATTGTATGATCTCATCACCATTGATGAATCAACAACCTCTATCGCTTTGTCTTCCTGCCATAGCGCCCACACCTGTATCGTTATTGAGAAAACAATTAGTCTCGATCACTCGATGCATCAGAAGAAAGCTGAAAGTCACGTGAACACTTACGGTGCTTATCAAGCTCTTGTTTTCAGCTCCTTCCATTAGTTTATTGACCTTCATGCCGGTAACCATTTCGATCAATATGACCCCAAAACTGAAGACGTCGGATTTTTCAGAATATATACCAAGCGTTGCATACTCTGGGGACATGTAACCACTGCACAAATAAGATAAATCCCAGACATTATAATTACAACAAGAAGTTGGGAAGCAAACTGATTTTCGCTTACAGAGGGTACATAGTGACTCAGAATGCTCACAAAGTTCCTGCAATCTTGGCTACCTTCCCACGATATTGGTCGGCTTCAAGAACCATAGCTAAGCCGAAATCTGAGATTTTGGGGTTAAGCTCTGCATCTAGGAGAATGTTGCTGGTTTTCAAGTCTCGGTGGATGATTCTGAACCTCGAATCCTGATGAAGATACAAGATTCCACGTGCGACACCAATTATGATATTGAAACGTATTGTCCAATCTAATGTTGCTCCTCCAATTTGATCTTACGAAACGAACAAACCCATCATTTGTATTAGAGAGTTAATGGAGAAACAAAGAACTGTAAGCAATTTTATAGGACATCCTACCGAAAATAAAACGGTTCAAACTTTTGTTAGGCAAGTACTCATAAACCAGAATTTTTTCTTCTTCCTCAACGCAGCATCCATAGAGCTTGACAAGGTTCCTATGTTGGAGCTTTCCAATCAACAGTGCTTCATTCCTGAACTGTTCCAGTCCTTGCCCAGAAGTTACACTGAGCCTTTTCACAGCAACCTCTTGCCCACTAGGTAGTCTCCCCTGAAATATGGAAAAAAGTGCTCTGCTCAACTGTTACAGACACCGCCAGTAATCCCATTTCTTACTTGTAGTTAGTCAAAAATCAAAACTACCCCAATTCTAATTGTATTTCCAGCACATTTCAAGTTGTATAACTCAAGTTTCTTCTGCTCCATTACCTTGTACACTAAGCCAAACCCTCCTCGTCCAAGCTTGTTAGCAGAAGAGAAATTATTGGTAGCAGCTCGAACGGTGCTGATGCTGAAAAATGGCAGCTCTGGAGACACTGAGCTTCCATCCGTTTCCTCTGTCATCACAGAAACCACGGATCGAGTTGAACCATCATTTGGATGGAACAAATTTCTGATCCTTCTCCTCTTTGCTGTCCTTAAACCATAACAAAAAAGATAATCTTTAGGACAGACATTAGACCAAAACCTTCATTCAGAGTCAGAAACTAACAATAGACATGGTAACTTAATTTATACCAGTCCTGTTTCGCCATCTCTTGAGCCAAAACAAGCAAAACGCAACAAGGACAAGCCCTGTTGAAGCAACAGCTGGCAGGACAATGCTCAACTTCAACCTCAGCTCAGCAGAGGCTTTTGACCCAGCCTGATAATAAGCTGCAGGAAAGATAAAACATCAGAAGCTATAAACGATGTAAAGATCCAATCTTTTGATCCTCCAGCCTCCAAAATCATATCCAGAATCGGCTGATACAAAGCACCACACCATAACTTACCAAATTCAGTTGCATCAACTCGAACATACAAATCCTGGGACGTAGCAGGGAAATACATTGCATCCATCAAGTCTCCGTACCATAACATGCAAACACTCTCCTTCCCAGCACCATCCATATCAGCAAAGGCAGAACAAGAACAGTTTCTCCTGCACTCTCGCTCACAGCTCACTTCACTTCCGCCAACACGCCTATCAATCCAAACGGCTCCTGAAGTATCAGGAACCTTTATCTTGAGCATTCTCACGAACCCTTCTCCCAGCCCACAAAACCCATCCGAATTTCCCGATCCCTTCTTCACGCACCCGCCAGACCCGTCAAACGATCGCCAGCTTCTCATTGACTTGGGTTCATATCCAGGCAAGCAAGAACACTCGAAAGCGTTGCCATTACCAGGATCGCACACACCATTGGGGCCGCAGCGCCCGTAGGAATCACATTTCTGCGTCGGCGTCGCCCAATACTCCTTCCAATCCTCGTAACCCTGTGACCAGATCTTCTGACGCAAGACTCCATTCGGATACATAGCTACCCAGAAGAGAAAAGAATCTTCTTCGGTCAAGAAGATGGAGAAATAGACCTCGTCTTCGTTGTTGATGAACGAGGCGTTGAAAAGATTGGGGAAGCTTTTCCATGGCCAGGGAAAGCTTCTGGCATATGGGTTTTTTCTTCCTTCGCCTCGGTAGTGGAAGACTTGCGGGGCGCCGTTCGGGTTGACCCGAAACGAGAATTCGCCTGTTGCAGGGTCGTCGTCGGATCTCCACGAGGTTATGAACCGATCCAGACCCGATTTGCGATCCAACCCGAGCTTCGATCCCGGTAGGTATGTGTTCGTCGGGTAATCCACGCTCTGCCATAGAGCCGCCGTCGAATTGAAAAGCGCGAAATTCCCTGAATCTGAAATCCGCGCGAAGCGCGGGGAATCGAACTTCGCCGAAACGTTGGTTGACCAAATCGAAGTTCGATTTTGTGAATGGAGGACGAGGTTGCCGGTGCCGTCGATTGAGAGGATTCCGTAATCGCCGGCCGCGATTGGGTGATTACGGTTGGCTACCCAGACGACGGATTGCTGGCGGATTTGATGGAACCAAATGCCGAGGTATCTATTGGTAGATCGGCCGGGGGAGAAGAATCCGATCGCGAATGTGCCGGTTTTGGAGACCAAAACGTCGCCGTCTCTAAGCGGTTGTGATGGTGTCACTGTATCATTTGAAGCGGCAGCAGCGGGACGAAAGAGGACAAGGAAGAAGAAGAAGAAAAATGGCGGGAGAAGGAGGCGATGAGTAAACTCCATGGAAAGAAGATGATTCCAAGACGCCGCCTTTTGGGGTTTTCTCGATGATAATGTTGATGACGGAGAGTAGAGGAGAAGGGTCAAAACGTGGACCTTTGTCCGCCCTTCATGGAACCCAGTCGCCGGCCGGTTTCCATTAGGAGGACCTGCAGGAAAAGCTGTTGAAGTCACTCGATTCATTTCTCATCAGAAGCCATAGAAAAAGAATTACAGAGAGATTTGGGTTCCGAATGCCACATTAACAAAACTAAAACTCATCAATCGTTGACCTCGAGGTCGTATTAATTTACAGTTCTTTCATGTCATGTGTCAGCCCCAGACTTTTAAGGACGCCGCTTTTGCCGCCATGGGCAAGAGGTGAGAGCAGGAGCAGGAGCAGCTATCAGTACACGTGCTGGCCGGCATCCGAAAAATTGATCTTTCAGATCGTGTGGGGGCTGGCTGTCATAGGTTCACTCTGAAGTCTGAAGCTGCAGTTGACATTATCTTTTCCAGATGTGAACACTAATAGTTGACCTTTCGATACCATTATTATGCCTAATGTAGATATCCATTCTTCTATAAGCTTTTCTTGCATGTTTGAGCTAACACAGAGTATAGTGTGAAGACGAGGAAGGTCAGTATGACAGCATCTCAGCATCTAGCCCTTCATTGCCTAAGATAAAAAGGGCAAGTCTGAACAAAATCAACGGTCTAGTCTAACCTCACTAGCTAGCTCACCCATCGCACCAAAGACACGCCAACATCATTCCTTTCATACTACATCGCAACCAAAGCACACTGTAAGAGACAGCATTTAACCAACCAACGCATACCTGGCGTGGTTACCTTCTTCAGTCTCTCATAGTCTCGTTGTCAGCGTGTCACAAGCCCTGTTAGAGTCACATCGTTTAGCGAGCATGATCCTCCGGTTATTTTAGGTATGATGCTGCAGCTAGTGCTGGCAAATGCCGGTTGTTTGGGAAGAGGAAGAGGCATTGCACTGCTCAGCATAAGAACCGTCGTCAGCATATTGGGTCGGTCTTCCACATTTTCCTCCACGCACAACAGCCCAATCTGGATGCATCTCAATACCTCCTGAGTGCCGTAGGATCCCTCCTCCATTGACGGATCCACAATCTCCAGCGCTCCGTCTTCCTTCCACTTCATCCACACCTGTAATGGCATTGCAAAATAATTTAGTGAGTCACGTCAGGCTAGGTTTTATACCATTCTCTCGATGGGAAATCGGGGGAAATGAAAAATTCTATCAATAGGCTCACATGGGTTATCAGGTTGGAGTTTTCTTCATCTTGATAGATTCTACTGATCTTCTCGCCGGTTATCATTTCAAGCAATATGACACCAAAACTGAAGACATCGGACTTTTCGGAGAATTTCCCAAACACTGCATACTCTGGTGACATGTAACCACTGCAGAAAAGAGAGATCCCCGGACATTATTACAATGTTGAGTGAATCAATCTGACTGTTTGACTCAAATACATACTAAGTCCCCCCGATGCTGGCTGTCTGCCATTGGACTTGGTCAGCCTCCAGTATCATAGCCATGCCAAAATCTGAGATCTTGGGGTTCAGCTCTGCATCAAGGAGAATGCTGCTAGTTTTCAAGTCTCGATGGATGATTCTGAACCTTGAATCCTGATGAAGATACAGGATACCACGTGCAATCCCGACTATGATATTGAGACGTTTCATCCAATCTAACAATGTTCCTCCTTTACGATCTTTAAAAACGAATAAGGAGCCATCTCTGCATTAGAGATCAGTATGCAAGAAAGGAACAACAAGAAAACAACTGCATCGGAAATATAAAGACACCTACCAAAAAGAAAGAGGTCCAAACTTCTGTTGGGCAAATACTCATAAATCAGCATTTGTTCCTCTTCTTCGATGCAGCATCCATAGAGCTTCACAAGATTCCGGTGTTGGAGCTTTGCAATCAACAGTACTTCATTCCTAAACTGCTCCAAGCCTTGCCTGGAATTTTCACCCAGCCTTTTGACTGCAACCTCTTGTCCATTGGGGAGTCTCCCCTGAATTTGCAGAGGGGTTTAATGAATCCCATTTCTTGTAATTAGCCAAAGGCAGTGACTACCTAAAGTTCCTCATTTACCTTGTAAACGGAGCCAAAACCTCCTCTTCCAAGCTTGTTAGCTGGAGAAAAATTGTCAGTAGCAGCCCTTATGGCATTGAGGCTGAAAAATGGCAGCTCGGGATATACTGAACCTCCCTCCATTTCCTCTGTAACCACAGAATCCGTGAAGTGGTTTGAACCATGATTTGGATGGAACAAATCTCTGATCCTTCTCTTCTTCGCTGTCCTTAAACATACCAAAACAAGATCATTAAGAACTCAATCAAGCTTACAAAACCTTCATTCTGTGGCAAATCCATAGAGTGCAAATTCTATACCTGTCCTGTTTCGCCACCTCCTGAGCCAACAGAAGCCAAGCACGATCACAACAAGCAATACTGAACCAATAGATGGCAGAAGAATGCTCAACTTCAGCTTCAACTCAAAAGAGTCATTCGATCCACCCTGATAATTAGCTGGATAACAGCATCAATTTTAAGGAAGAGAGATGTAAGATCCAATCTTGACCTCACCCAAAAAGTGTATGGTATTGCAGCAGCGAATGAGTTCATGATCTGGAGTTATCTTAGCAAGTTGCTTCTTGATAGAAAAGCATTCATGTGATCACTATCAACAATTGTCTTAAGCTGAACAAGAAACTATGAATTTGCGCAAACTTAAGCCCCAGTGATCAGGATTCATTCAAGAACCAAGAACAAAAAACTAAATTGTCCTAAGCAAAGGGTGTTCCTTACCAAATTCAGCTGCATCAACTCTGACATACAAATCCTGGAACGTTGCAGGGAAATACACAGTATCCACCAACTCTCCAAACCATAACAAGCAACCTTTCACATTCCCACCAGCACTTTCCATTTCAGCATACGCAGAACACGAACAGTTCTTCCTGCACTCATCTTCGCAGCTCAACTCGCTGCCGCTCTTCTTCCCCACCCAAACAGCTCTTGTGCTATCAGGAACCTTCACCTTCTGCACTCTCACGAACCCTTCTCCCACCCCACAAAATCCATCCGACACTTCCGACTCCGATGCTTTTCTAACGCACCCACCAGACCCGTCGAACAATCTCCAGCTTGTCGGCGACTTTGGTTCGTAACCAGGCAAGCAAGAACACTCAAAAGTGTTGAAATTGCTCGGATCGCACAAACCATTCGCGCCGCAGCGTCCGTAGGAATCGCATTTCTGAGTCGGCGTCGCCCAGTACTCCTTCCAATCGTCGTAACCCGTTCGCCAGATTTTCTCCCGCAGAATTCCACTCGAATCCAAGACTTCCCAGAAGAGAAGAGAATCTTCGGTCACAGTGATGGTGAAATAAACTTCGTCTTCGTTGTTTATGAAGGAGACGTCGAAAATGTCCGCGTAGGTGCCCCATGGCCAAGGAAAGCTTCTAGTGTAAGGGGTTTCTCCTCGATAATGGAAGACTTGAGGGGAACCCCTCGGGTTGACCCGAAATGAGAAATCCCCTGTTCCTGGGTCGTCCTCGGATCTCCACGAGGTTAAGAACCGGTCCAGACCCGAATTCCGGTCCAGCCCGAGCTTCGCGCCCGGTAGCAATGTGTTCGTCGGATAATCAATGCTCTGCCACATAGCCGCCGTCGAATTAGTGCTGAACAAAACCCAGTTCCCTGAATCCAACAGCTGTGCGACTCGAGAGGAAGAAGAACCCAAATTTGCTGAAACATTGGTTGACCAAATGGGAAATTTCGTTCGATTCTTGCGCTCGTGGAGGACGAGGTTGCCGGTGGAGTCGATCGAGAGGATTCCGGAATCGCCGGCGGCTATGGGGTTATTCCGATTGGCGACCCAGACGACGGTTTGCTGTGGGACTTGGTGGAACCAAATGCCGAGATATCTATTTGTGGAACGGCCGGGGGAGAAGAAGCCGAGAGCGAATTTGCCGGTACGGGAGACCAAAACGTCGCCGTCTTTGAGCGGTTGGGTTGGGGTCACGGTATCGTTTGAAGCAGAGGCGGCGGGAAGAAGGTAGAGGAAGAAGAACAGAAATGGCGCGCCCATCACAGTGAACGACAAGCCTTGGCGCCAGTTTCAATCATGGTGATGGCGATGGATAGGAAAGAAGAGGGATCTTGGTCAAGGAGGTCTTCTATGGCGGCTGGATTTCTGGGTTTTTATCTTCTTGTTATTCTGATGTGATTTATGGAACCGATGTTCCATTGCTGCTAAGGAGAAGGCGACCATAGGACTAAGAGCTATCGTCATTCGTCAAGAGCTTTTATGGCGGGTGAAGTGGGCTGCGGTTTACCTGCCCAGGCCATACGGATGCTTGATTTTGTGTTTACGGCAGATTTTGGCGGGTTAAGGTTGTTTCTAAATAGTCAAACTAGAAGAATTAGTGGCGGATAGGGACGCAATCAAATCCACGTTGGTGGATATTCGATCATTTCAGACCTAGTCTAACAGAGAATTTGTATATTAATTGCGTATGAGACATGTGTGGATAAAATTCAAAAAATATTTAGTAGATATTGGCAGGTATGATTTTAGACTCCTTGTTTCATACTCATATTCATAGTTGTCCCACACAAAAAAAAATTTCATTTATAAAAAAAAATATAGGAATCATATTTGTAATTAGCCAATGACATGAAAGGTAATTTAACAAATAAATAGTTGAAATGTAATTGAGTAGCCACCGAAACCAAGCCTTATTTATTTCTCTCAATTTCGATTTTTTCACTTCTTAATCGTTTTTCATCCCAGTCACCACTGTTGATAGAAGCAGTGGCATGACCAGTATTTCACTTATGATGGGTTTAACTTAAAAATAAGAATATATTAATTGAACTTTATTAATATTTAAATGACTCACCGATTTTTCATAGTTTGTCCAAAGATTTCCGTTTGAGGATGGAGAATTAGCTTCTTCTTTTTTTTTTTACCAATAGCTTGCATGGAACGCAGAGAAATGGTCTTTTAACTACCAAATGGGACACCCAATTGTCATCCCTACTTGTAAATCGGATTGAGAAAACTCGATAATTTTGCTTCCATCTATTGATCTCTTGCAGAATTACACCACCACCCCTCGCATTCGTAACAATATCATCCCGCAATTTGTTGATAATGATTTGGGCATCACCTAGAACACAACCTCTTTGTAGAACCCCGTAAAGATCACCAACATATTGCATCTCGAAAGACAGTCATCTCCACCAAGTATGGATCCACCAAAACCTGCATGTAAGCATCCCTGCACATAGAGAACAACCCCTGACCCATCCTTATCAGTTACTGCCCCATCCACGAAGCGACAAATCTGATTCCCAACCCCCTACATCTCGTCCAAATGACGTACCACCTTACTGTGAGACTCAATAGGTAGTTCGAATCTCTTAAATAGTACTTTAATCACAAAAAAAAAACCTATATCACCCTTATAAAAAACAAATATGTCACATCAGACTCTTCAGTCCAAACTAGTAAATCCGGACTTGACTCACATGCTAAAGGATAATGAAGAACTCTAGTAAACTCAGAATAAACAAACAAAGACACATTTTCATGTAAAATCTAGAGTTATTTATATAATATGTATGGTTTATTTGTGCTACAAAACTCTCAACACTTTATTGAGGCAAGTAAACCTGTGAACATGAAATACGGGAGTCGAGTACTATGAATTGTGCACAAATATTGTTATTTTTTGTATTTTAATTTAGAGTCAAGGTGAGTCTCGGGATCCACTCTATTACAAGGAGCTCCGCCGCTGGATAGAAGTAGTCGGAGTAGACATAACCCTCAGTCGCATGATAAACCTATAATTGAATTTCTTGTCTCATTATTAATAAATAATTATTGTTTAGAAATTTTTCTTTAAAATCAATAGTATTTCTTAATCTGACATTGGAAATACGTGGCTTGACATGGTGACTAGGAGTTGACGTGAGTGATGAGATGGTGTCCATCTCAACTTTATGCTGATGGGCCACAGCATTTCCAACGTCATCAACATTTTCAATGAAAATGATTAAATTTGTTAATCATATTTTGAAAAGCTGAATATATTTGTAAATCTTTTTACAAATTAATTATTATTATTACAAATCGTAAAGTTATGACTATCCAGATATATTTTGCCTACGATATATTAATCAAACCAAATCAAAACTTGATCGATTTGGTTAAGTAGTTAATCAAATTAACCAATCAGGTTACCGCATAATCCCAAAAGGCAATGAATGCGCCAAATCGGTCAAGACTCGCATAGACCCCGAGTATATTCAAAGATGAAACCTTGAATGAATTGCGCCAGCTCTGCTGAGATGAGAATCACCACCTTTTCGTCACCTTCAAGCACCAGTCCCTGCAATACCAAATCAACGCACCATCTAAAAGGATCGGGAAGAGCCACCATCTCCTCACGGAAAGGACCTAACGCAGAATGAGATCCTGCATGAGTTGCACCATCAAACGAACAAACAATGGATGCAATTCCCAAGCTCGTGCCTATTCCGACGGAACCATCCACCCGTACCAAAGCTCAATCACTACAAGCACAAGCAGGCACCCCGATCCATTCCGCCCTCTGTCCATACAAAAACCACCAAGTTTCGCGACTTCCAAATACGCCACAGGAGTGAGACAGACTGCATAGCCAGTGGAAACTGGACAAACAAACATCAGCCATGTTTTCCCAACCGCAGCCACAAAGAATCAGCGTATCATGACTCCTGTCAGGGTCAGGTCGTTTACAGAACATGAGGCAAGCGTTCCTCCTGCAGGTTGATGGTTCAAGCAGCTGCTGCCACCGGCAAACGCAGGTTGTTTGGGACGAGGAAGAGGCATTGCACTGTTCAACATAATAACCACTGTCATCATATTAGGTCGATCCTCGACATTTTCCTCCATGCATAACAGCCCAATTTGGATGCACCTCAATACTTCCTCAGCATTGTGCATTCCCCCCACCATTGATGAATCCACAACCTCCATCGCTCTGTATTCCTTCCATAGCGCCCACACCTGTATCATTGACGAAACAGCAATTCGTCTCAATCACTGGATGCATCAGAAGAAAGCTGCAAGGTTTGCTTCAACACTCACGTGGGCTATTAAGCTCATGTTTTCATCTCCTTCAAAGCGTCTAGTGATCCTCATGCCGGTTACCATTTCAACCACTATGACCCCGAAACTAAAGACATCGGATTTTTCAGAGTATACACCTTTCACTGCGTACTCTGGCGACATGTAACCACTGCACAAATGAAAGAAATCCCGGGCATAGTAATGACAACGTGAAGCTGAACCAAATTGATTTTTGCTAAAAAAATGGGTATATAGATGTATGCTCACATAGTTCCTCCGATGTTGGCTGCCTTCCCATGACATCGGTCGGCTTCAAGAACCATAGCCAAGCCGAAATCTGAAATTTTGGGGTTAAGCTCTTCATCTAGGAGAATGTTGCTGGTTTTCAAGTCTCGATGAATGATTCTGAACCTCGAATCCTGATGAAGATACAAGATTCCTCGTGCAATACCAATTATGATGCCGAAGCGTGTCCTCCAATCCAATGTTGCTCCTCCTTTCCGATCTTACGAAACAAAACAAACCGGTACCATCATTTGTATTAGAGTTTCAATGGAAAAGAAAAAAAAGAAATGCAAGTAATGTAACAGAAAGACAGCATACCAAAAAGAAAACGGTTCAAACTTTTATTAGGCAAGTACTCATAAACCAGAATGTGTTCTTCTTCCTCAATGCAACATCCATAGAGCTTAACAAGGTTCCTATGTTGGAGCTTTGCAATCAACAGTACTTCATTCCTGAACTGTTCCTGACCTTGGCTTGATTTTTCGCTAAGCCTCTTAACAGCGATATCTTGTCCACTAGGTAGTCTCCCCTGAGATTTGAAACAGAAACGGTGTATGAATGTATGCTAATTTATACAGGTGCCACCAGCGCCAGTAATGCAATATTCTCCTTGTCCTAAACCAAAACAACCCAAATACCGAATTTACTTTAAACCATGCCTCAAGTTCCATAACACAATAATCTTCTGCCCCTTTACCTTGTACACAACGCCAAACCCTCCTTGTCCAACCTTGTTAGCTGAAGAAAAATTGTTGGTAGCAGCACGAATGGTGCTGAAGCTGAAAAATGGCAGCTCGGGATACGCTGAACTTCCATCCGTTTCCTCTGTCATTGCATGAACAGTGGATCGACTTGAACCATCATTTGGATGGAACAAATTTCTGATCCTTCTCCTCTTTGCTGTCCTTAAAACATAACCAAAGGAAAATCCTTAGGGCAAACAGATAGACATTAGGCCAAAACCTTCACCAAACAAACAAAGGACTAGATAACTTCGTACCAGTCCTGCTTCGCCGCCTCTTGAGCCAAAAGAAACAGAACACCATAACAACAAGCCAGGTTGAAGCAACAGATGGCAGGACAATGCTCAATTTCAACCTCAACTCAGCAGAGTCGATTACCCCTGCCTGATAATGAGCTGCACAGAGCAGGTACAAAATCAAAATCACCTCCAAAGCCATATCTCGAATTCTGTATTGGACAAAGTACGACCCCCTTAACTTACCAAATTCAACTGCATCAACTCGAACATACAGATCCTGGGAAGTCACGGGGAAATACACAGTATCCACCAAGTCTCCGAACCATAACATGCAAACACTCTCATCTCCAGCACCTTCCATTTCAGCATACGCAGAGCAAGAACAGTTTTTCCTGCACTCACGCTTACAGCTGACTTCACTACCACCGCCACGCCTGTCAATCCAAACAGCTCCTGAAGTGTCAGGAACCTTCACCTTCAGCATTCTCACGAACCCTTCTCCCAGCCCACAAAACCCATCAGAATTTCGCAACCTTTTCCTGACACACCCACCAGACCCATCAAACAATCGCCAGCTTCGCGGCGAACTGGGTTCATATCCAGGTAAGCAAGAACATTCATAAGCGTTGCCATTACTGGGATCGCACACACCATTGGGGCCGCAGCGTCCGTACGAATCGCATTTCTGAGTCGGGGTCGCCCAATACTCCTTCCAATCCTCGTAACCCTTCCGCCAGATCTTCTCCCGGAGGATTCCGGCCGGATCTATAGCTACCCAGAAGAGAAAAGAATCTTCTTCGGTCAAGAAGATTGAGAAGGAAACCTCGTCTTCGTTGTTGATGAACGAGCCGTTGAAAATGTTGGTGAAGCTTTTCCACGGCCAGGGAAAGCTTCTCGCGTAAGGGGTTTTTCTTCCTTCTCCTCTGTAGTGGAAGACTTGCGGGGAACCCTTCGGGTTGACCCGGAACGAGAATTGCCCTGTTCCCGGGTCGTCCTCGGATCTCCATGAGGTTATGAACCGTTCCAAACCCAATTTCCGATCCAATCCGAGCTTCGCTCCCGGTAGGTATGTGTTTGTTGGGTAGTCCACGCTCTGCCAGAAAACCGCCGTCGAGTTCTCATGACTGAACAGCGCGAAATTCCCTGAATCCAGAATCCGCGCGAAGGGCAGAGAATCGAGCTTGGCCGAGACGTTGGTTGACCAAATCGGAATTTTATTTCTATCGTAAAGGACGAGGTTGCCGGTGGCATCATCGATTGAGAGGATTCCGGAATCGCCGGCGGCGATGGGGTTGTTCCGGTTGGCTACCCAGACGACGGATTGCCGGGGAACTTGGTAGAACCAAATGCCGAGGTACCTATTGGAAGAACCGCCAGGGGAGAAGAATCCGAGAGCGAACTTACCAGTTTCGGAGACTAAAACGTCGCCGTCTCTGAGCGGTTGTGTTGAGGTTACGGTATCGTTGCCAGCGGCCGCGCGAAAGAGGAAGAAGAAGATAAATGGCGGGAGGAGAATGATTTTCCCGCCCATTATAAGGAAGTTGCTTTGGCGCGAATTTCGACCATGGTGATCGATGGTTATGAACTGGAAAGAAGAGAGCTTTTGGTCAAGCAGGTCTTCTATGGCGGTGGGAATTCTGGGTTTTCCATTCTTTTTGTTATTTTATGCATAAGATCATGAATTATTGTGGATTGCAAAGAAGAAGAACAATCGTCATTGAAGCAGTGAAAGTGACGTTTACCTGTTCGGGAAATAGTACTGTTTGCTCGTTTTTAGCGGCGGCGGGTTTTGGCGGGTTTCGAAAATAATCCAACTAAAATCCAGAAGCAAATAGTCAACCATGTTTCTAATCCAAATCGACTGAACAGTGACCTAAGAACAAAAATAAAGGTGAAAAGTCCGGTTTTGTCCTCTGCTAATCAAGACAATCAAGAAAATTTTAGATGCATCATTTACACATCACAACGGTGCATCTTCCTCAGCGTGTCATGACTGTCGTTAGAGTTACCTCGTTCACAGAGCATGATCCTTCTGCTGGTCTGGATTTGTTGAAGCAACTTGTCCCGTGAAACCCAGGTTGCTTGGGGCGAGGAAGAGGCATAGCAGTGTTCAGCATAAGAACCGTCGTCGACATATTCGGTCGATCTCGAACATCTTCCTCTACACATAACAACCCAATGTGGATGCATTTCAAAACTTCATGACCATTGAAAGAACCCTCCATCGAAGAATCCACGACCTCTAGTCCTTTGTCTTCCTTCCAGTGCTCCCATACCTGTATCATCACCAACAACCAATTCGTTTCAATAATTTCGTCCAACCAGGTTTCATATCATTTTCTCCCCACTAGATCAAGCATGTAAAGTTCTAGTTTAATACTCACATAGGTTATCAAATTCAAGTTGTCATCTTCTGAGTAGATTCTATTGATCCTCTTTCCGGTAATTGTCTCGAGCAATATGACACCGAAACTGAAAACATCAGATTTTTCGGAGAACTTCCCGAACACTGCATACTCTGGTGACATGTAACCACTGCATAAATGAGAATCCCCCACAGACATTATTAGAAAGTTAATGAACTACGGACTACATTTTGTTCGAAGTGAGTACAGAGAAACTAGAATACTTACTAAGTTCCACCAATGCCGGCCGTCTTCCCATAAACTTTGTCAGCCTCGAGTATCTTAGCCATGCCGAAATCTGAGATCTTGGGGTTCAGATCTCCATCCAGGAGAATATTGCTGGTTTTCAAGTCTCGATGGATGATTCGGAACCTCGAATCCTGATGAAGATACAATATTCCACGTGCAATGCCAACTATGATATTGAAACGCCTTGTCCAATCCAATACTCTGCATCCTGTTCGATCTGACAAACAAAAGGAGGATTCTTTGTATCAAATTTCAATGGAACAACCATGAAGTAGTCACAATGGAATAGAAAGAGACCAACCAAAAAGAAAAAGGTCCAAACTTCTGTTGGGCAAGTACTCATAAATTAGCATTTGCTCTTCGTCCTCGATGCAGCATCCATGGAGCTTCACAAGATTCCTGTGTTGGAGTTTTGCAATCAATAGGACTTCATTCCTGAATTGTTCAAGGCCTTGCCTTGAATTTTTGCTCAGCCGTTTCACTGCAACTTCTTGTCCATTCGGTAGTCTCCCCTGAATGTGCAAAGGGGTTTAATTAATTCCATTTCTTCTACGTACGCTAAAACAGCAACCGTCAAAACTATACTTAAAGTTCCTCCTTTACCTTGTGCACAGAGCCAAAACCTCCTCTTCCAAGCGTGTTAGCTGGAGAAAAATTGTTGGTAGCAGCTCGAATGGCATTGACGTTGAAGAATGGCAACTCAGGGTATACTGAATGACCCTCCATTTCCTCTCCAACCACAGAATCATTGAAGTGGTTTGAACCATTATCTAGATGGAACAAATTTCTGATCCTTCTCTTCTTTACTGTCCTCAAACACACCAAGGTATCATCTTTAAGAACTCAATGAAGGTTACAAAACATTCATTCAGCCACAAAGCACAATAGACTAGTGCAATCTCTATACCTGACCTGCTTCGCCACTTCCTGAGCCAAAAGAAGGCAAACACGATAACAAGAAGCCATGCTGAACCAATAGATGGCAGAAGAATGCTCAACTTCAACTTCAACTCAAGCGAATCATTCAATCCACCCTTATAGTTAGCTACAACAAAAATCATATATCACAAGAGATAGAGAGTACAATAAGATCCAGAGTTTGTAGCCTGTCCTAAAACCCAGAGAAACTACTGCAGAGAACTAATTCTTGATACAATGTCATGGTCTTATCTTTTGTAACTATGAACTATCAACAATTGCTTATGCTCAAGCTTAAAGCACCCAGGAGCCACAAGCTTAACAAAGAGTTAAAACTGCTACTAATCAAGAAATGCACTACAATATGTCTTCTTCTCTTTTTAACATCCGTTACAACTAGAGTTATTGGCCGCGAATTGGATCACATTCTCATATAAATCATTACCAAATTCGAAAATATGCGCAAAAATTAAAGACTTAGTGAACTTCGAAGCAAAAGAGTGGTTCACTTACCAAATTCCTCTGCATCAACACGAACATACAAATCCTGGGAACTGGCAGGGAAATACACTGTATCCACCAGTTCTCCATACCATAACAAGCAACCTTTGTCCTTCAAAGCAGCATCTATTTCAGTATACGCAGAACATGAACAGTTCTTCCTGCACTCGCGTTCGCAGCTCAGTTCCCCGCCATCTTCCTTTCCAATCCAAACTGCTCCTGAACTATCCGGAACCTTCACCTTCGGCGCTCTAACAAACCCTTCTCCCGCGCCACAAAACCCATCCCAAGTTCCCAATTCCAATTCCAATTTCGATCCCAATTTCGATAGCTTCCTAACGCACCCTCCGGACCCATCGAACAATCGCCAGCTTCTCGGCGACCTGGGTTCATAACCAGGCAGGCAAGAACACTCAAAAGTGTTGTCATTGCTCGGATCGCACAAACCATTCCCGCCGCAGCGTCTGTACGTATCGCATTTCTGAGTCGGGGTCGCCCAGTATTCTTTCCATCCGTCGTAGCCCTTTCGCCAGATTTTCTCCCTCAAGATCCCCGTCGTATCCAAAACTTCCCAGAAGAGAAGCGAATCGTCGTTCAGGGTGATTTGAAAGATCGCTCCTTCTTCTCTGTTGTTCACGAACGAGATGTTGAAGATATCGCCGTAGCTCCCCCACGGCCAAGGGAGGCTTCTAGTGTAAGGTTTCCCGTCTTTGTACAAAAAGAATTGCGGGGAGCCCTTCGGGTTGACCCGAAACGAGAATTCCCCGGTTCCCGGGTCGTCCTCGGACCTCCACGAGGTTAAGAACCGGTCCAGACCCGATTCCCGGTCCAACCCGAGTTTCGCTCCGGGTAGGAAAGTGTTCGTCGGGTAATCAAAGCTCTGCCACAGAATCGTCGAATTGAACCTGCCGAACAGCGCGAAATTCCCAGAGTCCAGAATCCGCGCCGAGCGCGGAGAATTGAAAACGAGATTGGCCGAGACGTTGGTTGACCAAATTGGAACTTGGGTTCTAGTTTGATTCTGATTCTGCTCGCCGCCGGCGAGGAGTACGAGATTGCCGGTGGAGTCGATTGAGAGGATTCCGGAGTCCCCGGCGGCGATAGGATTGTTCCCATTGGCTACCCAGACTACCGTTAGCTCGGGAACTTCGTGGAACCAAATGCCGAGGTACCGGTTGGTAGAGCGGCCGGGGGAGAAGAATCCGACGGCGAATTTGCCGGTTTCCGAGACCAATACGTCGCCGTCTTTGAGCGGTTGGGTTGCGTTCACGGTGTCGTTTGAAGTGGTGGCGCGAAAGAGGGAAAAGAAAAGGAAAAAGAAGAGAAATGGCGGGTGAAGGAGCCTGCGACCGGCCATTATCTGAAATCTGGTGACGCAAGTTTTCATCATGGAGGTCAGAGTTGTCTGGAATGGCGGGCTTTCTGGAGTTATTTTTCAAATTTCCTATCATGATTTATGGAGAAAGGAATTTCCATTGTTGGTGAGAAACTGGACTGTAAAAGGTTATATGACTGAGGCGCTGTTGTGGTGGGTGGCGCTCTATTTCGGCCGGCGGCGGATTTGGGTGAGTGGCGGTTGTTAGAAGTAGTAATCAACGGATACTAATCAACTTAATACTTAGTTAATTCACTAAATGCCATCTTTTGATTTGGAAACTAAGGATTGTATCCCCTGTTTTCATTCTTCATCACTTGTATTAGTATACTATAGAGTGTAGACTAGGATGACGATTGGCGGCTGGTTTAAAGGTAACTAGTTTTTTGGCAGGTAGAAAATTAATTATCTCTAAAAATGCATTCACTCAAATGAATGCGGTAGAAAATTAATTATCTCTAAAAATGCATTCACTCAAATGAAAATTCAATGAAAATCAAACAATTCATAAAATAGATTGTGTAAGATACCTCCATAAGGTTTACATTGCGTCCATAAAAAATGATACATAAGAATAACTATCACTTCATAAATTTTACGCAATCCACTGTTTTCAGGTAATTGTTAGAGAATGATGTTATCTAAATCTCTTGTGATGTGTGATATAATATAAATCAAGTTATGAAATATATCAAATTTGATTAAACTGTTGTGTGCAAAATAATTAATTTTACAGAACCTTTTTGTAATGCAAGTTGATGACATCGTCAACAATTTAATTATTAATAAATAAATTCAAGGTCAAACTTATATTACTAAAAAAATACGTAATATGTTTAACTGATACATAATAAATAACTATCACTCACTATAATTAGTGTCTTGAACATTGCCAAAAACTTACATGATACATTTAGCTTAATTTATACATAAGAAATGAATATTTCTCTATAAATCCTACGCAATGTATTTGTAATTTACGTAATGTTTGATTCATATAAAATGATTATCCTTTCATAAGTTGTACATAATGTATTTGTAATATTTATATCTTTCATAACGTGAAAGGAATTCTTAGGAAAGAAAACAAAGTATCTAGACAGACAATTAAGGAAATATAATTTATAGTGAAATTGATTGTAATGGTTGAGAAATAAATAATTTTTTATACAATTTGTATAAGGGAAAATGATTTATGGTAAAGCTGGGTATAAGGGATAACAAAATAAGTGAATAGTACACAGGAAAAGAAGTTTTTAATAGTATGCTCTATTTTTAGTAATGAACAATTATTTTTAACTTGTGGTTATATATCTATACAGTTATTTACCCGGCATTCCATGTTGTGGATGTTTGCTTTGTTTTGTTTCAATATTTGTATTTTTGTATTGTTCTTGTAAGTTCTAAGTTCTCCACCCTGATATATGTAAATTTAGAGTTTGTAAGAAATCATTCATTTAATCATTGAAACACATTTTTCAGTAAAAATTGAATTGTTCCTTATGAGTACCATATACATGTACCTGAAGTGTTACATACTTGTACTTGCCATCGATATTTTTATATACAATGTTTTTTAATTACATAAATTAGGATGAAACTCAAATAATAAAATTTAGGCTCCCAATTTATTGCAAGAAACCATTAGTATTTTATTTTTGTCAAAACGAAGAACATCAAAATAGATTGTGGTTCGTTAATTTTGAATTTATCTAAAATTGGTTATTGTAGCTTGATCTGGTAATTCGAAAAAATTTATTATCAAAATTTTATAATCATGAAGTAAACAATTTCTTCAAACATACAATGTTGTTAACACTCTTAAAAATTGTAATTTATAGTGTATGTATGAATTGCCAAAATCAAACCAAAGAAACATATATTTTATAGTGTATATATGTGTTTTAATTTATCATCTAAAAAATAACAATGAATAGACTATATATTATTCCACAAACCAAACCATAGTTAAGAAAGAAGGAAAGTTTCTTATATCACCCCTCATCCAATAAATAAGAAATTTATATTTGGGGAAGACCCAAATTTAGTCGACATGTGTGGACATGTATACAGGTGGCCTTCTTCAATTGCAAATGGAGACATGTGTACTCCATGCAATTCCATTCATAAAAGCATTGATGTTCCCAAAAACTCAGAAGAGAGGAGTAACCATTCTATTCTCAATGCTTCATCTCTCGTCCTCTCTTTCTACTGCTTAACCACCGCCGTTGTCGTATGTGTTGATTGAGCTGAGCGGGCAAAAGAACATCATATGGCCGGGTTTTCTTTTAGTCTGTCCAATTTTCCAATGGCTTCAATTTCACATATAAGAAAGGTTCTAGTTCTACCCTCCCAAGGCTTCTATTTGATTTTGCGATGGTGGGGAACCCTTGATTTTGTAGAGAATAAGCTTGCAATTTTGATTTGCGTCTTCTTTCGGAAACTATACGGGTTTAAAGAGGAAGCCTTCAAACGATCTTTTCAGTCTGCCCCTAGCTCCGGCAACCGCACGTTCAATTTCTTCTTGTTCATCTTCTTCTATCACCATCGGCTTGACTTTAGATTCTCCATTTGAGGTTGGACGGAAGACTTAGTTAGGAAAGAGATCTTTTTTTGTCATAATAGGAAACACACGATTGCTATTGGTAGAGAAATGGATCGAATGATTTGTACTCTTTGGTTCTCCGGTTGAGATTGGACGAGAAAAAAAAAAATCCGGAAAGAGATCTTTTGTTCAGAATAGGGAAAGATAATGAATGGGGAAAAAGGGATTGTGGAGACGTACGGAAAAGAGAGGGGGTACTGGTCAGATGTGGTCATTTACACGTGGGCCCATGCATTTGACGAAAATAAAAGACCATCAATCGCTACAGCTTGTCCAGCCCAATATGGTGAATGCAAGTTTATCTAAAACCGTCCGCATGCAATAAAAAAACTTCTCCGTGAACAGTAGCACGCGATTTGTTCGTAAGGAACAGTGAACGCAATTTTTGGTAATTCTTGGGAACTTGTGGCTTAATTATTCTAACTAATTCTTGGGAACTTGTGGCTTAATTATTCTAATAATAACTAATTATAGTACAAGTTCTTCCACACAAGGATATGATCACATATTCACGTTAATTAAGAAGAAACAGTGGAATTTCCATTTACAAAAGTAAACCTGGGTGAAAGAATCGAAGAAACTTCAAAGCAGTACGTATACACATTGAAATTACAACTTCAACATTGGATTAAGGAGCGACTTCAGCGACTATGGATTCCCGAAAATGACATCTCATTTACTGAGCAAGTCGCTTCTTTTGGGAATAGTACCTTGGATCTCACGCAAACAAATGCAGGTTGTTTAGGCAAGGGAACAGGAGCTGTTTTGCTGCTCAACATAACAACCACAGCCAGCATATCGGGGCGATCTGATGCGTTTTCTTCCACACACAGCAACCCGATCTGGATGCATCTCAGTGCCTCATTCGAGCATTTAAGTGAGAGCGATGAATCGATTACTTCCCAGGCTCTGTCTGCCTTCCATAACTCCCACACCTGTCAAAGAAAGCTCCTCAATTACATAATGCAGCAACATGAATCAACTGAATTCTGCTGACCAATATTTAACCATTTACATGGGCGATCAAGCTCGAAGAAGCATCCTCCTCTGGGAACCCATTGCTCTTCTTCCCAGTTACAGTTTCCAGCAAGATAACGCCAAAGCTGAAGACATCGGATTTCACTGAAAATCTTCCAAACACCGCATACTCGGGTGACATGTATCCACTGCAGAACCAACATTGAAATGATTATTAGAGTTCACCAATACACAATACACTCGAATACCTAACTCTTAACAGCTTATTCTCTAAATAGAAACTTACAAAGTTCCACAAATTCTACTTTCCTTCCCTTCAACCTGATCCTTGTCCAACATTCTAGCCATCCCAAAATCAGAAATTTTGGGATTCAACTCAGCATCAAGGAGGATATTGCTCGGTTTTAAATCTCGATGAATTATTCTGAACCTTGAATCCTGATGAAGATACAAGATCCCACGTGCAATACCGGTTATGATCTCAAACCGTTTCCTCCAGTCCAAGATTGATCTTTTGTTCTGATCAACTATCAAAGATAGAAAAGAAAAAATGAAACGAAAAGAATAATAAATCAGATTGGCAGACAAGATTCTTTAGTCACACAATGAGACCATCAATATGTGCAGGAGCTTACCGAAAAGAAGAGAATCGAAACTGTTATACGGCAAGTATTCATAAACTAACATCTGTTCATCTTCCTCAATGCAGCAACCATAAAGCTTCACAAGGTTCCTGTGTTGGAGCTTTGCAATTAATAGTACCTCATTCTTAAATTGTTCTATGCCCTGCCTTGAATTCTTGGACAATCGTTTGACAGCAACCTCTTGTCCATTTGATAGTTTCCCCTGAAATGTCAAGAGGAGAAATTAAATGAGAGCAGCCATAATCAAGCTTCTAGACGTTGTTGCAAAGAGGCTTTACCTTGTAGACTAAGCTAGAACCCCCATGTCCAAGTTTGTTTGCCGGAGAAAAATTGTCAGTGGCTTCATGTATTGTGCTGAGGCTAAAAAATGGTAACTCGGGGTAGATAGTACTTCGCTTGAAATCTCTTGGTGCCAAAGAATCTTCCGAGTAAGTTGAACCATCACTGTAATGAAACAAATCTCTGATCCGTCTGTTCTTCACTGCCATTCACAGAAACAGCAGATTAATTGCAATAAATTAACAACTCAGAGTCCTTCACACCTTTTAGCAAACAGATTAATTATGAAGACAATTAGGCACAAAGAACCAGTGAAGTCAGATCAATACCCCTCCTCATCTTCCACTTCCTGAGCCACAAATAGGCCAACAGGATAATGACAAGCCATACTGAGACAACGGACGGTACAATGATACTCAACTTCAACTTCAATTTGAATTCAAGAAATTTATTGGATTCCTTCATATAATCAGCTGTTCATCAAAAGCAAACGCAATCAGAATGCAAGAACAAAAATAATTTGAATTCCCTCCTTTCTCAAACTTTGTGTAGATTCTCTAACGCGTGAGAGAGTTAATGTTGAAGAGCATACGGGTACCTAATTGATGAGCATCAACACGAACATATAGATCATAAGCATCGACTGGCAAGTTCACCGTATCCATCAGCTCCCCATGCCATGTCCAACAGGAAGTCCCTTTCCCATTATCATAGGTAGCATATGCAGAGCATGAACAGTTATTTCTGCATTCTGCTTCACAATTCAATTTACTCACGCTCAAGTTCATCCAAGCTGCTGCTGAAGTATCAGGAATCTTCACTTTTTCAACTCTCACAAACCCTTCTCCGCTCCCACATATAGAAGATGATTCTAATCGCTTTCTTACACAGCCACCCGATCCATCTCTTAATTTCCAGTTTCGAGGGTACCTCGGTTCATACCCAGGTAGACAAGCACATTCATATGGGAAAACAATGCTAGAATAACATTTGCCATTAGGACCACAGCTCCCATAGAAATCACACATCTGCTTAGGTGATGAAAAAAATATCTTCCATTCACCATCACTGTGGTCCCATGCCAAGAACTTCAACAAACCCGAAGAATCAATGACCACCCTCATAAGAGCAGAAGCATCCCCGGGAGTATATGAATAGGATAGTTCCACTTCATTATTAACAAAAGAGTCGTTAAATAGTTCATAACTTCTCCATGGAAATGGAACGTTACGCCAATAAGGATTTATACCTCGGTACAGAAACAACTGTGGGGAGCCGCTTGAGTTAAGCTTGTATGAGAACTGTCCTGTGCCAGGGTCGTCGTCTGATCTCCAAGATGTCAAGAAGCGACTTACACCTGTTGTCCGGTTCAGACCAACTTTCATGCCAGGTAGAAAGGTGTCTGTAGGATTGTCAAAGCTCTGCCACACAGTAGTCATCTTACTCGTACCAGCTTCCATCAACACTAAATTTCCTGAATCAAGTAACTGAGCCAGGCACGGACCTTTTGATCCCGCTAAAACATTAGCAGACCATGCTGGAAGCCTGCTGCTACTGTTACTATACAGAAAAAGGCTGCAATATCCGTTAAGCGAAAGAACTCCTGAAGTCCCACTGATTGGATTGTCTCTATTTGCAACCCACACCACAGTGCGGTTTGGTATCTCGTGGTACCAAATTCCAAGATACCTGCCCCTGGAACGGCCCGGACTGAAGAACCCCAGCGCAAATTTACCACCTTTGGAGATCAACAGGCTTCCATCGGCAATGGATTCATTCGCAGCTATGGCAGCACGAAAGGCAGAGCATGTCTGTTGGCAAAAAAGAAGCAGAGAAAGCAGAACAAGTATTGCAACGTCCATGGTGGTGAATCATTACCTCCACACGACCAGCCGCCAGCCTAAGCTTCATTAAATGATAAACCCATCCATCAAAAAGTACAAAATTACCGAGAAGCTTCATTGAAGGCCAAACAAAAAAAAAAGTTTTTGCCGTGGCAGGCTTGACTATTTAGAGACTCTGATTCAATTGTCCACCATTTTGTAATGCCTCCAGATACCTAACATCAATCGACGGCGCACCAAATTTCCATATCCATGCCTAAGTGTCCATGACTTTTACGTTTCTACGGACTGCTGCTGCGTAATAAAAAATTGTACCAACAGAGGACCGCTATCCGTTAGCGCTGACTCACGAGATCTGTACCTGACATGGACTCTTCCACCCGAGGGTGGAGGGCCATAGTTATGCGTCAGTGATTCGGGTGGGCGATTGATAGCGACCATTTCCCAGGTTAGATTTACGGGAAAGCAAGTGTGAACGCCATTCGAATACGAGATTTCCGCCGCAGGAGATAGAAATTGAGAAGGCACCTGATTGCAGACTCTCGCTAACGACGGAGAAATTGAACAAGTCACAACTGATTTGCGGGCAACTTGTCGGCGGCGCTGGTACCGGTGCCGCCGAATCAAGGATCGACGTACATCTCTTCGATTCATCTTCGAGTGAATCGTCCACCAAAGTTTGAATTTTGCTCCTAATCGAGATTAAGATCGGAGGGAGGAAACATTAACCCTAACCCTAATCTTGGAGCATACGTCTAGCTCTTCGCCGTCCGGTTAGCTCACATTTCTAAGACGGACGGAGCGCGCGAAGAACACCTACTATCCAGTATCCAGCGGAAGGCTTCAGAGTTCAGACCTCCCGATGCGGGCGCTAAATGGGCCGGTTTTCCAGTTCACTGGGCTTTTGGCCCAGTCGAGCATTTGTCCGAGTCACGAACTGTAAATGGAGGCGAAACGGTTGAAGAAACGTAAAATTATGAAACGTTGCTGAAACGGGAGCCGTTTCAGGCTCTTAAAACCCAAACCGAAACGCGAAACGAGAAAAGAAATTGAATTTATACCAAGGCATAAACATTACTGAATTTGGGTGTATCATAGAAAACGAGTACAAGAAAGAAGTCATTGATTGAGATTATAAATAATTCAAGAATAAATGATTCAATATATCAAATCAATAATCAAATACATATATTATGTTTCAATTCGAAACACAAAAAAAAAATATTATACAACAGTACATGAATTCGTCATATGCATCATTTACAATCTCAAACACCCAACAACCCCTATGGTACAATTGCATATGTGTTAGCAAACACAATCCAAAGTGAATGATTCCCAACTAGCAATACTACATGTACACAAATGGGTATTAATGCTTTTCTGTAAAACCTACACTACAATTAGTCATTCACATCATCAAAGAGGATGAGTAAAAGCAAGTAGAGAGTATATAGAGCCTTGAACCTGCCGTCCGTAACTGACACAATTTTCTGGAATACGATTAACTATGTCAAAGTGATATATCATCCGACTCAATTTTGAGTTTTGAAAAGTTATGTTAGCAACTAAAAAGTTCCCGAACATCTCCTAGACCACTAGACTACCAAGTTACGTCAGCGACTGAAAATTCCCGAAAATGACATCTCGTTTACCGAGCAAATTCGTTCTCTTGTCAGCAATACCTCGGATCTCGCGCTAACAAATGCAGGTTGTTTGGGAGACGGAACTGGCGTTGTTTCGCTGCTCAACATGAGAACCACAGCCTGCATATCTGGCCGATGTGCTGCAGTTTCCTCCACGCAGAGCAGCCCAATCTGGAGGCATCTCACTGCCTCGTTCGAGTCTCTAAGTGACAGCGACGAATCGACTACCTCCGAGACTCTGTCCGCCCTCCATAACTCCCACACCTGTTTGACAAAGTTTCACCATTGAAAACTATCAGACTATAAACATCATTGGTAGCTTAATAGCTCTGTGACCATGTTCTCAACTAGGCCACTTACATGACTGATCAAGCTCAACGAAGGATCTTCCTGGGAAAACCCATTGATCTTCTTCCTGGTGACTGTTTCCAACAATATCATCCCAAAGCTGAACACATCAGATTTTACAGAGAACCTTCCAAAGAGCCCGTACTCAGGTGACATGTAGCCACTGCACCAAGCAACATGGAAAAAATAAGTGTTATACTTCACAATTCACACGCATTTGAGCACCAAAGGTAGCTCTTTTCAAGCAGATATATATATATATGAACTTACTACGTTCCGCCAATTCTGCTTGTCGTCCCTTCGACTTGGTCGCCGTTCAATATTCTGGCCATCCCAAAATCAGAAATTTTGGGATTCAGCTCAGCATCAAGGAGAATGTTACTGGGTTTCAGATCTCTGTGTATTATTCTGAATCTTGAATCTCGATGAAGATATAAGATGCCACGAGCAATTCCTACGATGACGTTAAATCGTTTCCTCCAATCCAAAACTGACCTTAAGCTCTCGTCTACTGTCCAAAATGAAACGAACAACAATGTCAAATCATCAGCGTCCCGCCACGAAGACCATCGTGAAATATGAGAGATTACTTACCGAAGAGAAGCGAGTCCAAACTATTCTGGGGCAGGTACTCATAGACCAGAATCTGTTCATCTTGCTCAATGCAGCAACCATAAAGCTTCACAAGGTTCCTGTGCTGCAGCTTTGCAATTAAGAACACTTCGTTCTGGAATTGCTCCAGCCCAGCAGTTGAATTTATGGACAATCGTTTTACAGCAACCTCTTGCCCGCTGGGCAGCTTTCCCTGAAACACCAAGAAGAACTAAATCACAGCAGCCACAGTCAAGTTTTTTTTATCTGGGAGCAGAGATTGCATCGAGTAGAGATCTTACCTTGTACACTAAACCAAAACCCCCTTGTCCAAGTACGTTTGCTGGAGAAAAACTGTCAGTAGCTTCGTGTATGGCGGCGAGGCTGAAGAGCAGTAATTCAGGGTAGCTAGTAGTTCGGTTGATGTCTGCTGGAGCCGAAGAATCGTCCAAGTAATTTGAACCGTCACTCGGATGAAACAGATTTAAGATCCGGGTGTTCTTCACTGCCATCCAAATCAAACAAAAATCACCAAAAATGTCCAACCACAGATAAAGAAAGTTTCAAGCTTTGAACCCTGGAGAAAAATTACCCTTGCTCTGTTTCTGCTTTCTGAGCCAGAAATAAACAGAGAGGACAATGACTGCACATATTATTGAGACGACCGACGGGATGATAATGATCAACAACATCTTCATCTTCGACTCAAGAATGCTATTGGATTCCTTCAGATAATCCGAAGCTGCCAAACGAACATAGAGATCTTGCCCGCCGTCCGGGTACTGCCGCATATCCACCAACCCGCCGAACCAAATCACACAACCCGACCCGCCGCCGGTGACATTCGCGCTTGCGTAAGCCGTACACGAACAATTCCTCGCGCACAATTCCCCACACTCCTTCAATCCCAATCCCCGGTTGACCGCCGCCGCCGCGCTCTCCGGCAGCTTGACATTCCTGGTCTTCAAAAACTTATCCCGGGGGCAATCCAAATCGGTCTTCCGGGCACACCCGCCCGACCCGTCTCTCAGATTCCACGCTTCCGGGTACCTGGGTCGGAACCCGGGGATACACTTGCAAACCGGCGACGAATTCGAATCGCAGATCCCGTAAACCCCACACTCCCTGTAGTTATCGCACTGATCTTTGGGCGCGTACCAGAACGGCCTCCACTGGCCAATCTCAGGGATCCACGTGTACCGCCGGAGAATCCCGTCGGGAGTGACCGTCAATCGGGAGTAGATCGTGTGGGAAGACACGTGGAACGAGTAGTAGACCTCTTGGCTGCTGGTAACGAATTCGAAGGAGGCGTGATTGAGGGGCTGCATTTCGGGTACGCCGCTGAACCGCGACCCGCTCCACGCCCCGCTCCGGTACACGATTCTCGAACTGGATTCGACCAGAAAGATCTCCGGGAACCCGGTGTGGTTTAATTCGAAGGAGAATTTCCCGGTTCCTGGGGTTTCCGGCCCCGCCCAGGAATTGAGGAACCGATCGAGCCGCGTGGTTCGATCCCAGCCCAATTTCATCCCCGGAAGCAGAGTGTCGGTCGGGTAGTCGAAGCTCTGCCATAGGATTCGACTGGACTCTGTTCCATCTCTCAGGACCAGGTTCCCGGTGTCGAGAAGCTGCGCAATTGGGTAATTTCCTGACATCGTCGTCCGGTTCGTCGACCAGAGGGGATACGTGGCGCGTTGGTCGAGGAGGACGAGGTTCCCGTCGGCGATTCTGAAGGCGGCGGCGGACAGATTTTGCGAAGGATCGTCTCTGTTGGCGACCCAGACGTAGGTTCGCTGAGGGATGTTCTTGTACCAAATTCCGAGGTACCAGTTGCTGGAGTTTCCTCCCGGGGTGAAGAATCCCAGCTCGAAAATCTGGCCGGCGGAGAGAAGGGTCTGGTTGTTGACTAACGATTGATCGGCGGTCAGCAAGTCGGTGGCGGATCCAGTTCGGGGAAAGAGGTAAAGAACAGAGCAGAACAAGAAGAAGAAGAAGAAGAGAAGTAAAGTTCTCATCTTTTGCAATGAGGAGCTTGGAGGAGAAAAGGGTTTATTATCTCTTATCTGGTTTCTTCTTTCAATATTGCGGTGGCGCCATCTTTTTTAATTAGCTTCCATGTTATGGCGGGAGAAAGGAGAAGAAGAGGAATAGTGTTGGTAGAAGTTTTCTTTCTGGAAACACTCTATTTATGGAAACAATCCGTGGAAGTAGACATCTCAATCGGAGAGGAGAACAAACGGAAGCCAATCGGAAGGCGGGTCTCCCCGCCCTCCAACACCCACCGGGTTTTCGAGTTCCAATCGGGCGGCAGGTTCCCCAATCAGCTGCACACCTGGTCCCTTTTCCGGGGAGAACTCCGACAGTTTTATCATTGTTTTATTCTTGTCGGGAAAGATGCCGGCGTCTAACTAGCTCGGAAACCTAAACAGCAAGGTGATGTAGTAAGAATTAGAAGACTGAGCATCCATCCACTAGGCCACGGGAGAAACCAGCGGGAAAGTTAGTTGGTTGTTTCTGTTGTTGCAAGTTGTAGGTTGCTGTTCTTTCTCCTTGCTTGAACTCCTCCCAGGTGAATCTCACATCGTAACCGAGAGTATCTTTTCTCCATGTGAGCATTAATCGTTGCTCTTACGTGAGCGCCTAGTGTGTGTAATATATGTGCTTATGATCTGGCATGCATGTTAGCTTGATTTGTCAGCAAAGAGACTTCTTCTCTGCCTGTACATTGTCAAAATAATGACTCAGAAATAATTATACACAGTTTTTTTCTAACTACCCATGAACCAACATCAACTACAAAGTGGACAATAACGAAGCCCAATTCCCACCAAAAATGCTTTCCGCCATGTTACTTCCATACTATGCCAACCAGAACACACCAGAATGCAGAAGAGGCAGCACACTCATCCCCTCCCTGTCACCTCTTCTTGCATACCAGCAATCCAACATTCAGATATAGCTTAAATCATTTTTTTAATATCAAGCAAAAAATAACATGTTCGTGGGTGGAACTTTATACTTGGTCCACTGAACTGAAGATGCTTGGAAACTAGCTATCTGGATCAGTCTTCACTGGAGTACTGAAAGATGGTTCCCCCATCTGTGGCAGAGTCGTGGCTCCACTTTGCAGCTCCAGTTACTGCACAATGGAAGTTTCGATTAAGATGATTACTTGTAAGCATATGTTGCATGATCCAGACCGTGGCTGTTCGAGTATAAGCCACCATTGCAGATCAAGAATGTCTCCATTCTATTCGATTCCTTAGACAAATGAAGATATCAGACCATATCGAATCAAATGTGTTTTTAATTAAGGAGAAACTTCAAACCAGTACATGATTACATTGAAACTGATATCCATTGATATCTAGCATCAGACTAAGGAGAGGTTATGTCAGCGACTAAAGATCCCTGAATATGACATCTCATTTACCGAGCATGTCCGTTCTTTTGTGAGCAACACCTTGGGTCTCGCGCAAACAAACGCAGGTTGTTTGGGGGACGGAACAGGTGTTGCTTCACTGTTCAGCATAAGAACCACAGCCAGCATATCGGGTCGATGTGCTGCAATTTCCTCTACGCACAACAGTCCAATCTGGATGCACCTCAGTGCCTCGTTCAAGTATCTGTGTGACAGTGACAGAGACGAATCGACTACCTCCGAGATTCTGTCTGCCCTCCATAACTCCCACACCTGTTAAAAGTTCCACCATTGTAACTGTTAGATGATAAACATCATTGGCAGCTTAACAGCTCTGGTACCATGTAAAGTTTACGAGCAATAAGAATCATGTGATTCGCCGTAGCACAGAAATCATGGGCAGAGTTCCAGTGACAATTTATAAGAAATCACGTGACAATTATCAGATAGCTACTGATAATGTCTATTTCTAACAAGAACAATGCAGCGACAGTAGTGTACTGTGGTCATGTTTTCAGTTAGACCACTTACATAACCGATCAAGCTCAACGAAGGATCTTCCAAAGAAAACTCGTTCATTTTCTTCCCAGTGACAGTCTCCAGTAATATCACCCCAAAGCTGAACACGTCTGATTTCACAGAAAACCTTCCAAAGAGCGCGTACTCAGGTGACATGTAGCCACTGCACCAAGCAACATGTAAAAGAGTGTTCCACTTCAAACATTCACAATCACAATGCACTAGAACGCAAAGGTAGCTCTTTCAAGCAATATAACTTACTAAGTTCCGCCAATTCTAGTTGTCTTCCTTTCCATTTGGTCACCTTTCAATATTCTAGCCATCCCAAAATCAGAAATTTTGGGATTCAGCTCAGCATCCAGGAGAATATTACTAGGTTTCAGATCTCTATGAATTATTCTGAATCTTGAATCCTGATGAAGATACAAGATCCCACGAGCAATACCAACAATGATGTTAAACCGTTTCCCCCAATCTAAAACTGATCTTACGCTCCCGTCAACTGTCAAAGATTACACGTGGATATCAAAATGAAAATGTCAAGTCAGCTCCATCGTAGAATCCCACCAGGAAGACGTCACGAGATACAGGAGACTTACTGAAGAGAAGCGAATCCAAACTATTGTGGGGCAGGTATTCATAAATCAGAATCTGTTCATCTTGCTCGATGCAGCAACCACAAAGCTTCACAAGGTTCCTGTGTTGGAGCTTTGCAATTAAGAATACTTCATTCTTGTATTGCTCCATCCCCTCATTTGAATTTTTGGACAATCGTTTTACAGCAACCTCTTGTCCGTTGGGCAATTTTCCCTGAGATTTCAAGAATAACTAAATCATAGCAGCCATGGTCAAGTTTTACGGACATTGCATAGAGACTTTACCTTGTACACTAAACCAAAACCTCCTTGTCCAAGTTTGTTTGCCAGAGAGAAACTGTCAGTGGCTTTATGTATGGTGTTCAGGCTGAAAAACGGTAATTCAGGGTAGATAGTACTTCGTTTTGTGTCTTTTGAAGCCAAAGAATCATCCAAGTAATTTGAATCATCGCTGGGATGATGAAATATATTCCTGATCTGCCTGTTCTTCGCTGCCATAAAAAACAAAAGTATAAACACAGACAAGAATGTTTGAAGCCTTTGCCCCTTACACAAATACTAATTATGAAGGCACAGAGCAATAGTGAAGGTAGATCATCAATACCCCTGCTCTTCTTCCGCTTTTTGAGCCACAAATAAACAGACAAGAAAATGACAAGCCACGCTGAGACGATGGATGGTATAATAATACTGAAATGCAACTTCATCTTCAACTCAAGAAAGCCACTGGACTCCTTCAGATAATCAGCTGTATGAAATGGGTTACAAACAACATCAATCAGAAACATAGAAAGATAATAAGAAAGGAGCATGCATAGCCTTATGAGAGGAAAAACATCAGTTTATTCACTCCCTTCTCCTGCTTTCTTTAGATTTCGTTATGCTGCGGAGGAGTAGTGTTGTGGAGCATATTGATTTACCTAGTTCAAGAGCATCAACACGAACATAGAGATCGTAATCACGAGGTTGAGAGTACACAATATCCATCAGTGCCCCGTACCATATCAAACAACCAATCCCTTTCTCATCAGTATCAATGGTAGCATATGCTGAGCACAAACAGTTTCTTCTGCATTCACCTTCACAGGTCAATTTCCTTGTTCCCAAGTCCACCCAGATGGCTGCTGAAGTATCAGGAAGCTTCACTTTTGCCACTCTCACAAACCCATCTCCGTCCCCACAAAAAGAAGATGATTCTGATCTCTTTCTGATACACCCACCAGATCCATCTCTTAAATGCCACTTTCTAGGGTACTTAGGTTCATACCCAGGTAAACAGGTACATTCAAATGGAAAAGAAATGCTAGGATCACACTTACTGTTAGGGCCACAACTTCCATAGAAATCACACTTCTGCTTAGGGGTTGTATAGTAGACCCTCCACTGGCCATCGCTTTCATCGTGTGTCATTAACATCAAGATTCCTGAAGGATCAACGACTACCCTCATGAGCACAGATGAATCCACAAGAGCAATTGATACGAATATCCCATCCTCATTGTCTACAAATGAGTCATTGTAGAGCTCCTGGTTACCCTCCCAACTCTGCCACGGCCAAGGAGGGGCCCGCCAATAAGAATTGATACCATGGTTCATAAACAACTGCGACGAGGCACTTGGCTTTATCTGATATGAGAAATTCCCAGTACCTGGATCATCTCCTGATCTCCAAGATGTCAGGAAGCTGCTCAAACCTGTTATCCTACTCAACCCAACTCTCATCCCAGGCAGCAGAGTGTCCGAAGGATAATCAAAGCTTTGCCACACAGTAGTCGTCTTACTTTTACCTTCCCTCAACACTAAATTTCCTGAATCCAACAGCTGAGCTACACAAGTACCATTTGATCCCGCTGAAACATTAGCAGACCACAGCGGAAGCTTGCTGCTACTATTACTATAGAGATAAAGGCTGCAGTATCCATGACCCATAAAAATCCCTGAAGTTCCAGAGATGGGATCGTTCCGATTTGCAACCCACACCACGGATTGCTCTTGTATCCCATGGTACCAAATACCAAGATATCTATAGCTCGAACTACCAGGACTGAAAAATCCCAGAGCAAACCTACCACCTCTAGAGATCACCAGGCTCCCGTCGCTCAAGGATTCATTTGCGGCTATCGCATCACGAGAGGCGGAGCATGTTTGGTGGCAGAAAAGAAGCAGAGAAAGTAGAACAAATTTTGCAGAGTTCATGGTTAGTTTCCTTCCCAGAGAGAGCCGCCAACCCACCCTTCATTAGAAGCCAAAATTTGACGTTTATACACGGCAGGCTGACTCCATCGAGACTTTTACTCGTTGCCCACCATTTTTCCTTTCCTTCAAGATGCAAAAAGTAAACGGACGAGAAACAAATTTCCACAGGAGACTATTTGGTCACCTCCGTGTGGCGATGACTTTTAAACAACCATGGACTACTGTGAACTAGTCAGCAAAATGTAACAGCTCACCTTTAGCGCCGAATCTCAGGATCCTCGCCTGAGATGGACTCCTGGATCCAGTGCCATAGCAGTTCCGGTGAGCCGAAAGATAGCGATTCAAATTTAGGTCATGATTTTGGGAACAGAGAGTGAGAATAGCATTCCAATAGAGGAGCTACCGATTGCGGACCGTTTCGAGAACTTACATACGAATGGATAGAAATGGCGACCTGACACCCGCCGAATTAAGGTCGTCGTCGATTCATCTTCGACTGAATCGACGACCAAATTAGAACTCCGGTTACTGATCGAGAACCCATTACCGGAAAAGCGCGCCAATCTCTTCCGGCTTAGGGATGAAGTACTAGATTTTCGTGGCGGGGACTAAATGGGCCTGCTGTCATACCCACTTGGGCTTTTTAGCTCGTGTTGAATTCCCGTCGACTGGGCCCAACTCTGGTATTTGTTTAATAATCATAAGCATATTCTCTCAACTGTAAAAATTAATTTGGATTTTATTTACTTTCTGTTACAGAAATGCGAAATTAAGACGACGAACATATATATTAGAGAAAGAAAGAGAGAGTAGAATGAATTCAATGACATTGGTTTGGAGCAGACGAGTGCTGTAATTCTTCCAATTCTTCAAAGAGTGTAGTGTTGGTTCATGGAGTCGATATCGTACCCCTTAAGCTTGGCAAAAGACTCCACTCTTCCTTTGAGCGTGTGAAGCTCCCTCATCCTCGCGATCTCAGCGCGCTTTCTGGCTTCCTCCGCCATGAGACTTATCTCTCTGTAAGTGCTCTTCTCCGAGAAGATCTTCATTTCCGAATCGCTCTGGAGTCCATGCAGAGTCCTCTGCTCCGTCGCCCATGCCGCTTCCCTCTCTTCCCTTCCAAAATCCTTCTTGTTGGTGAACGCGGTCCTCTTGTCCACAACCAGTCCCCAAGCTCTGCCGCTGAGAGCGTACATGACGATGAATTTGATCGGATCCAGGAGCATGTAAGTGACGGCGTTGAATGCCCAGATGGCTCCAGTCCACTTCCATCCAATGCTTCTGATTCCCGCGAATTTCCAGTTCGCTTCCGCCGAGATCACTGTTGCAATCTGCATACAAGCAACCCAGGAGAGTATTATTTGTTCTTAAGTAGGATTGGAAACAATGCAGTCAAAATTACGATTCTATGTTGAAGCGTTTTGGTGAACTAGTAGTGTAGAAACTTAAGCTTTTGAGCTTTAAAGCGTAGATTTTGACTACAATTGTAAGGGAAAGCGTGATTATACGTAGAAGCGTTTTGGTGACCTTTGAATGGAAAAGTAGAAATGGGGTTTTTACCAGTTGGGCGACTAGGAAGGCGAAGACGAGCAGAAAGCCAGGGCGTTCCTGGAAAGACCATCCTCTGGAGCGGGTGACAAAGATCAAAGCTTGGCTGATGGTGCTGATCTGGAGATACAATGCTGAGGCTAGTTGCTGGTTGAGTTGATCAGCTACTGCTTTGTTTGTGAGGTCATAGTCGTCCTGCTGGAAGCTCTTCACATGGAAGTGTTTCTGTTGAAAGGGGAAAAGGGGAGAGGGGAAATGATGCATTCGATTTTCTAGTGGACGATCATGAGAGGAAAGAACACTGATTGTTTGCTACTTACCGAGAAGAAGTTGGTTTCGTAAGCCAGCCAGAAGAAGGCGACGGTCATGAGTGCTAAGTAGCCACCAAGGACAACGCCAGTGGCGAAAATCTCACTCAGCCTCCAGCTATCAGGTACGGGTGATGGTTTAACCCTGTCTTTGGATATGGTCATGATTGTTCCTGCAACCCGAAACAGAAACCAATGAAAACTTGTAGAAACTTGGATAATGGTTCATGTAAGCTTGTAATTCAAGGAACAAGAAAGTGGGGAAATGGAAGGAAGCTGACCATCGTTAAGAATGGCTATGACTAGGACCATGAAAGGTGGGAAGTCGAACTTCCAGAAGCAAGTCAGCATCAAGAATCCAAAGACGATACGGATGGTGATGGACACTGCATAAATCTGGAAACAAGAACAAATCATATCACAGCAGGACAGGGTTAATATTTCTTCATGAAGTTTTAAAAATGCTTTCAGGAAGATGGGTTTACTTACAGTGTAATTCTTCATTCTCTGGAAGATGGATCGGCTAGTCAGCACAGCGCTGATGATGACACTGAGACCAGGCTCTGTCAAGACTATATCAGAAGCGCCCCTGGCAGCATCGGTTGAATCCGCCACTGCAATACCAATGTCGGCTTTCTTCAAGGCAGGGGCATCATTCACTCCGTCTCCAGTCATTCCACATATGTGCTTTCTAGCTTGAAGTCTCCTCACAATCTCGTACTTGTGTTCTGCATATGATGTGAAAAGGTGTCTCATTGAGTTGTTGTGATCACAGACCTTGAAATGGAAACCAAAAGGTGTTTGATTGTGTTTTATTACCAGGGAACACTCCGGCAAAGCCATCAGCTTTCTCAATGAGCTCATCAATGGGGAGAGATCCAGTTGCTTCGTTGCCACCCTCGGTAAGCAGAGATGAAGATGGGTACATATTTGTTCCCATTCCAAGCCTTCTTCCAGTCTCCTTGCCAATAGCGAGCTGATCACCTGTAATCATCTTAACACTGACTCCTAAATCCAACGCTCTCCTGATTGTTTCAGCACTGTCATGACGAGGAGGGTCGAAGAGGGGGAGAAGGCCAACAAATTCCCACGGTCCTCCGGCGCTGTCCTTGTTTCCATCTGGAACTTGCTGAAAAGGGAGAAAAAGAATTTTTCCAGTGTTTCAGTATGATTGATGGCATTGAAATGGGCCCTTGTATAACATGATTCATGACTGATGATATTGCACATCAGTAGTTCACCTGGCGAGCAACTCCAAGGGATCTCAATCCGCGTTCTGCGAATTTGTCAATGATAGAATGAACCTTGTTTGCAAGTTCTTTTTTGTTATGTGCCAGGTTGAGAATCTGAATGTAACAGCAAGAAGAGGTGAGCTTTCTTATTAGAATGAAAGCCAATGCACCATTTTTCATGTACTATCGATGTTTTGATTGTGTACCTGTTCTGGTGCACCTTTGCTGACTCTGTGCATTTTACCTTCACCGTCTAAGTATGTGAGGGCAGTTCTTTTGTCAGTTGGGTTGAAGGGAAGGAAGTGAATTTCTCTGATCCCAGCTCGTGCCTTCAAAAGTTAAGCCATTGTAGTTGGAAAGTGAAAAACCAAAAAATTTCCATTCTGAAGCAGACATGCTATATTGAACTAGAAAAAAGAGAGTACCTCCTTAGGGTCTCCCAACATGTTAACAATTGCAGTATCAATGGCATCTTGGTTCTCAAGCCTTGATGCTCTGGCAGCCATCAGCACGACCAAATCCTTGTCAACCCCCCTGGCGAAAACCTTAGGATCATGAAGGAAGGCAATTAGTTCCTCTGGCAACTTAGGTCAGGTCTCAAGAAGAGCATTCTATTCACTTACCTCAACCATGGTTTTGTCCACAGTTAGCTTGTTGAGTGTCAATGTGCCTGTTTTGTCACTGCAAAGAACATCCATTCCTGCCATTTCTTCAATAGCTGTCATTCTTTTAGTGATGGCACCCTGTGGAACATTTTCAAAGTTCAGTGATATATCCCCCAAGTTTTATACTTCTTGCTACCAAATATTAGTGCTGAAGATTAACCACAGGCATTACCTGCTGAGACAGGCGATGTGATCCAATTGCCATAGTGACTGAGAGAACAGTTGGCATGGCAATTGGGATTCCACCGATCAGGAGAACAAGTAGATTATCAATCCCAACTCGGTATGCTCTCTTTTGCAGGCCATAGATCACCACGATTTCGATCACCATACCAACAGCAATTGAGCAGATGCAGAAGTTTCCGATAGCTGTCAAAACCTGAAATCATGTGCAGTATTACCAACTCGATTAGTGATCCAGGTAATCGCAAAATGGGTCCCTCCTTATATTCTTTTTCTAAGAGGATAAAACAAACCTTTTGGAAATGGCCAACATTGTTTGTGCTATCAACAAGATGAGCTGCTTTGCCGAAGAATGTATGAACTCCAGTTGCTATCACAACTCCTTCTATTTCGCCTTGTTTGCAAGTTGAGCCAGAGTATACTCCATCTCCAGGACTCTTGGTCACAGGAAGAGACTCTCCAGTCAAAGCAGCCTGTAAGAATTTGATACGTGTGTTTTCAGAACAAGACATTACTTGGAAAGCACAAAATTTCTAAAGGTCTAAATTTCAAAAAGAACTAACCTGATCAATCTTTAAGGGATCTCCTTCAAGAAGGCGGGCATCAGCAGGAATGATATCGCCAAGCTTGATGCTGACAATGTCTCCAGGCACCAAAACCGCAGCATCTTCCTCGCTCCACTTGCCGTTTCGAAGGACCTTGGCCTTAGGCGCCAGCCGTGCCATGAGAGCAGCAGCGGCATTGCCAGCGTTGTTTTCCTCTATGAAACTGATAGTGGAGTTGATTATAAGCAGCACTATGATGCCAACGAAATCATGGTAATCTGCACTCTTCCCCTGCATTGAACCAGATTACGAATTCCCTCGATCAAAACTTCATTATCTTTCAAGAACATGTTCAGCACAGGGAAAAAGTAAGGAACTTTGATATTCATACCCCTCCATGTGCAAGAGTAATGGCCATGAGAGCAGCAGCCTCCATAACCCATGAAAGAGGATTCCACATAAATCCCAAGAACTTGAGGAATTTGTTTTCAGTCTTCTCTTCAAGCTTGTTATATCCAAACAGCTCCAACCTCTCCTGAACTTCATCAGAGCTCAGACCTTCCCTTGTGCATTTGAGATGCTCAAAAACTTCTTCCATTGATGCATTTTCCTGTCCAGGGATGAAAAGTTCAGCCAAACAAAGTCATTCCTTGTACATTGTACAAAGTAAGTTAGCAGACATTATCCATTCACATACCAGATCGACGGATTCTTTCATAACTGCATCAAGTGACTGGACACCCATTATTTTTCCTTTCTGGGCTGTAGCTATTCGATTAAAAGGAAAAGGCAGCAGATAGCTCCTGCAGTCCACGGAACTTACTGCTTGAACTAAGAATTTGCAGAGGTATGGGAACACTTTAAAAAGAGGAAACACACCAGATGATCAGTGATTGGTGGGTTGTGGTCTTGTGGATGAAGAGAGCCTCTGGTAACTGTAGTATATATACGAAAAGAAAATGCAGAGGGAACAAATGAAAGTATGAATTTTTAGAGAGGACAGAGAGATAAAGACAGATTGTGGAAGTGTAAGAAAGAAGTTGGAGACTGAAAAGAGAAGGGTCTTTGATTTGGCAACTGTTATGGCTAACCGGTGGAATTAAGCTCCACTTTGGAAAATGGACACCTTTATGAACAAACAATATATATTCTACTTCACTTGACTTGAGAAGATCCGCCATGGGTCCTTAGTGTTTGTCGCCACAAGGAAATGCTCCTCCATGTAAGCTTACGGCTAGCAGCATACTACCTTCCTTAGTCCTCTTCGAAATGTACAAAGGAAGGGCATCATATCAGAGTAGAAACAAACCAATCTACTCTTTCACCCAGCGTGAACGAATCAAAGAGCCGCAATCTGAGGATGCACGTGGGCAGCAAAGCAGCAGCGGAGGAACCATCAGCTTCCGCCGCGAATCGACAAGACCAGGTCAGCACTGTTCTGCGTTGCTTGATCATGAATTGCTAAGTAAAATATAAAAATTACTTTCTACCAGCCTACATTGCTTCAACAAGATGCGCGAATGGATCAGCCACGGCCTAAAATAACACAATTACTCTGAATTTTTGGCCTATGTGCTGCCGGGTCGCCGCGTGCTGCCGGGGAAACAAATCTTACTACTTGCATTATGCTTGAAGAGGAACCACAAGGAACCGATCAAATTTCACACAGCTTCATTCAAACGAAATGAATTTATCACAAACTCAGCTGGACTTCTTTCACACAGATTTGCAGAGTTGAACAACACAGAAGTGTTCCCATTTTCAAGCACGCTCTTTAACTCGCCCCATCCAAGGCTTCAACAACGAAAACAAACTTTTTCGATGAATTCATTGAATGTTATTAGCTCAAATTTCTAAATGCTGTAACAGCAAACCGCAAAAACAGAGTCTTGCTACATTAATATAAGCTGAAACTACTCCCCCCAAAACAGAAAGCAGCAGCATAGCAGCAAAAAGAGCCTCTAAATTAAGTACTGAGGTCCCTACAATACACTGCAATACACTATCCATAGCTAGCAGACATATCTCAGCCCTGATGGCAATGATGAGATCTGCTCTACTTCTCGGAGCTTCTCCATGTACCCTACAACAATGCTCTTTCCACAAAGTAGAGACCAACAATCACCATATAATTCTGGACATTCTTCCTCTAGCAGTAGCTTATTTGCCAAGGCACCCGTAGCTGACAGATTTTCAAGCCACACATAACTGTGCTGTCAGCATTTGAACAAACAGACTGGACAAAACTTCTGAAAATTCACAGCCGACGAACAAGTGCTCTCTTGATTCTTCTCTAGCTTCGAATAGCACACATGGGGAATCCAGTTAGGGAAATAAACTTCTCTCCAACCTGTAACGTTCCCATAAGCCCTCTGTCGTCTCCCGTTCCATTAGATGAATAAGTTGGGCTTTCTGGCTTATCCACCCCACCTTGTCAACACAATGTTTCCAACTTGGAGTCCCATGGAGACCAAACCGCAATCCTGACCTCATCCTAGCATATGCTTAAACGCTTGCCTAATCTTTTCAAGCACCCTATGATTTGATAACATATGCGCCAGCAGAGTACAAGCAAACATCCACATAATGATCCTCAGTGAGACTGTACGAAGATGTCTTCTTTACATAGCCCTGTTCCTTTCAGAAAGCAAACAAGTCACTTCCTTTCAGAAAAAAAAGCCTAAATAAACTTGCTCATTACCTTTTTTACATAGCCCTGTTCGCACCCACGGACATAAGTGGTTTGGGAGGGGAGAGTGATCTGATCTCAGGCGCAGAACTAGGGAATAGTATGTTGAGTTTGTGCATGAGTATGTCAGCCCTCGACGGAATCTCATTCACCAGAAACTGCTGCACAATGGGCTTCTTAAACCACTCCATCACCCCATCCCCTGGTGCTCTTAGCACCACCTTGCTCACCTCAAACGGCGACTCCAACCCACTCAGCATCTGAGCCACCACAATCTTCAGGGTTGGCCCAGTCACCAATTTGATGCGTCGCGGTATCACCCCATAGTACAGCATCCGCTTCCTGAACCTATGGAGCGTGTGCACAACTGCTATCAGAGCAGCCCCCACTGAGAGGTTCCTCACATCCAGTGACCAAGCAATATGCTGATCAAACACAATGGCCTTTGGAAACAGCTTGTTCTCATACGCCACTTTCCAGACACATCTCGCTCTGTTAATCTGTCCCATCAGGACCAAGTAATTAAGCAGGACATTCACAAAGTACCTCGCCGCTCCTTCCTCCAACTCATAGTCTATTCCCTGGAAGAACTCCCTGACAAAGGACAGCACTGGCTGTTTCCTCTGTTCAGGGCCGGTGAAAAGCCCGCACATGAACTCGTGGGCCCTGTGCCTCGTACTGCCCAGGATCGACATCAGATGCCTCTCCTTATGCTCATCTTGGCACCGAACAAGATGGGCTAGTATAGAAGTGTAGAGGATTAGATCCACTTTAGCAGCAGAGTTTATGTAAGTCTCGATCAGTGGCTTGGCCTGTTCATACAAACCATTCTTTATACAAGACTCAAAGAGCTGTCTGATGATGAAGTTATTTGTTCTAATCCCAGAAGAGCCCATGAAACGCAGCCACCTCAGAGCAAGATCAACCGAACCATCCCTTATGTACACCATTAGAACATCACTGGCACTAACATCAACTGAGAACCCCATACTTTTCATTTCCAATAAGATTTTCGCTGCCACATCAACGAGCTTTTTATTGGCTAAAAGGGTTAGAAGGGAAGTGTAGGTGCTCAGACCTGGTCTAAGGCCTGCACTAGTCATTGAGTGATATAGCCTCATGGAAGAATCTACTTGTCCAGAAGCAGCATGCATCTCCAGAAGACAGGAATATGTTGATGGGGTTGGCAGAAAGCCAGCTTTTTCCATGTCGCTGAAAATGGACATTGCAATGTCTAGCTTCCCCGACTTTGCATGGGACTCGATTATCAATGTATACAAGCCGAAGTTAGGCCTGAAACCGGTCAACTTCATCTCATCCCATAGCCTTAGAGCTCTATCTAGCTTCCCTGACTTGGCGTACGATTCTATCAACGAAACAAACATGGTGGCAGATGGCCCGTGTCCAAAACCCTGCATTTCCATGTAGATTTTCATGGATGTATCCAACCTCCCTGCTTTGCCCATGGAATCAACGAGGGCTGAGAAAATCCCAAAGCTCGGTTGAATTTTCCTTTCCTTCATCTGTTGAAACAACTGATTAGCTGCATCAAGCCTTCCTGATTTTGCCAAGCTTGGTATCATCATCTCATAGGTTGACCTATCCAGAGAAGCATTAGCTGCTTCCATGCTCTCATATATCTCAAATGCCTTGTAAGGCAGACCCTTGTTCAGGAACAGAGTTATCAGCGCGTTATAGGTCTGCGTATCAATCTTACAGCCCGAATCCTGAACTTTCTTGAAACAATAAAATGACACCTCCAGCTTCTCAGCTTTAGCCAAATGCTGGATCACCCTATTGTGCGCACCAAACGAAGAAGGAACCTGAGCTTTACTTGAATCCTGAACCAGCTCATCAAACAACAACTGAATGGCATCAAAATCTCTGCTTCGATTCAGCCCGTCAAACAACATGACGTAACACTCGTCGCTGGGGACATACCACGGCTGCCTCTTACCCCATTTGAACAAACTCAACAAGGCGCCAGGATCATCAATGAGCTTCATAGCTTGAATGACGTGGATCATGGTCGGCACAAACTGCAGATTGTCCAGTTGGGTTTCCAATTCAGGACCCCATCTCCACCTCTTCGCAACCTCGACAATTTTCGCCACTGCAGAAGCGTTCAGGATCGGCTTCTTCAGCCCACCAATCATCACATGGTCGTCGATTCCAGGTTCCACTGCCCTCACTCCTTTCCCGGCATAAATTAAACTGCCGGACTCATCCAAATACTCAATCTCCTCTGTCCAGACACCACCACTACCATCGCCGCCGCTGCCCGTTCCTGAGCAGAAATTTCTCGCGAACTTGGCATCCCCAACCAGAAGGAAAGAAGTATCCAACTTTGGATAGCGATTAACGAAATTGGCGAGCTGAAGTCGGGATATATAGCTGATACCCGGTGGGACATAGGAAAAGGAATTGAGGTTCCGAGAACTAGCGCAGGAGGATTGGAATGAGGAAGTGGAGGCGGGATTAATGGTGATTGCGTAGAAACGGGCACGACGGCATAATATGCCGGTGCGATGAAACATTGAACTCGGGAGAAAAAAGCCAAAACCCTAAACCCTTCAGGAGCGGAGCGGAGCAGAAAGGAAGAGTTTGAGGGAGACGAAGAAGCGCCATAGGGCCATACCTGCTCTTCGTATCCTACCTGACCTTTCCTTTTTCTTGCCGGCGGGCTTGGGCCGCTAACTTTAAAGAAACTTGTTTACAGGGCCGAAGCCCAACAACACGGAACTTTCATAGACCAAAATGGCTCCACTTCGGCCCGGTTAAGCTTCTTCTTCCCTCTGTTGGACAATTTCGCACAGAACAGAGGACAACAGAGCAAGCTAAGATTGATGTTTCCCACTAAGTTGGAAGATCTTTGAGTTGGTTGATAGCAATATTAGAGTTGATTTTTTTAATTTAATTATGGAAAGACGTAAACTTCTGTGATCACCCCATAGTAGGCTCATACACATTCAAGCATGAGTTTGAAGCACTGAAGTGATTATTAACATCAGAGCAATCCAACATTATCATATTTCTCAGCAACGAACTTTAGGCCAAGGTGATGATTTGGGTAAAAGATCATAGACGAAAACATAATTGATAATTGCTACAATAGGAAAAACAATCCTCCAACAATATATAGTAGAGTTTTGTCTATTTTTTTCTATTTTAAAATTTCCTCCAACGAGAGTGAAAGTAGGAAGGTCATTTTTGTCTGTACAATTAATTATTTATTCCATATAAAAATGTCAATATCAGGATTTGAACCTGGGTCTTTTCAAACAAAGACACCAATCACAACCAATTACACTAAACAAATTTTTTGTATTTTCTTTAATACAAAACATACACGAAGTGACACTCTGAAAATCAAAGGACTTTTTCATCATATGATTAGCAAGCCCACTAAGTCTACCGTATGTATTTTATGGTGCTTGATACTGTAATTTTAATAGCATAGTTTCATGTAGTTTCTCAATTCTAAAATCACTACTCTCTCCTTAATTTTCGCTAAAGGTGAATTGGTAATTAGCCAACATGAAATAAACTAATTCTATTACTACGTGTTTTGTCCTTACATTTTTCAATTTATATTTAAATTTATACTTTTTTTATCTTTGTTCTTATCTCTTTCTAACTTCCTCAGAAATTCCCTCCATTGTGCAATAGTTTGCGCCCCTTTCAGTTCACAGTACAAGGTCGCCTTTGAAAATCAACTCCGATATCAATCCATGACGAATAGAATGGAGTTCAATATATGGAGGTGCTGAAGGAGGATTAAAAATTGAATTTTTGGTTAAAACACACGCCTATTGAGATTGAAGATAAAGGGGATAAATTTTTTATTGTACAACGGAGAGGGGTGGCTATTGGATCTTTAGGTTAATGGATTTTCAAGCTATCGCAACCTAATTCTATATTAAAACGAGGAATCATCAATTGATTTACTGAAGTAGGTTGGTCAATTATTTATTCAAACCTACTGGAACTGATAGAGAGGGAGTGTCTACTTTTGTTCCTTATTACTTTGATCGAATATATTAGTGTATTGGAAGTAACCCTAATTTTAGCGTTTGCTCTCAAGTTGTGATGGTCCCCTCTTGGCTGAGTTGTTAGCATATAGTTGACTGGAATCAACAACTCTTCATTTCTTTTTGATAAGTGTCATATTGTTCCTAGAATGAGAGCATTGAATCTTTATGTAGGATTGCAAGGTTTAAGATTTAGTGAGGGAATTTAAGTGAGCTTTTATACTCTATCTTTCTTGACAATCAACTAACTAATAGCATTTTACCAGAGACTTAATTATCATTTTGAAAAGGAGATCATTGATACATTTTTATATTTCTCCAAATATTTTATCTACATATTCTTTCTTTATGTATCTCGATCGAAGGATTGTCAATAAAATTAAACGGGTTGATAAATTAAACGTAACATGAAAATATAAATAATCAAATATAAATATTCCGGCCAACGAGCCGGGTTATAAGCTAGTGAACAATAGATGAAAACTTAAGTAGACAATAACTATTTTGGGAAATTTAATGGCTAATAGATGTAGACCCAACGAATAATAGATGAACACATGACATAGGTTATAGAATGAGATAATAAGGTAAAAAAAAGAACTTGAAACTTTCCCACTTTCACTTGTAGGAGTTTGGGAGCCACTAATGAATAGTAACTACAATGTTAAACTTTTATATATTAATTAATTAATTGCATTTTTTTGTTCCAAACATATTAAAATGATTGGAATTTGAAAGTTATGATCAGTATGATTTTTCAATAAAAAGTTTCATTTTCGAATTAAATTGAAGAGATATAATCCATCAAATTTAATTGAGAAAAAATGTATTCATGATCAGAAATCAATCAGAGCCGTTATTGATCGTACGCATTCTCGCGTATGAGAAAGAAAATGATATTTAAAATCGAGGTGATCCAATTGCTTTGCTTCTTTTATCTTCATTAAAAGTTGAAATTTGAGGCAATCCAAATGCTGACCAAAGTGTGATATAGGAAGACCTGAAAACTAAAAGCTGGAAAACTAAAAAGAATGCCACAGAAAATGCAGCGTGTGAATTAACATTGAAGTTCTGGACAATGCGTGTATTCTTGTAATATATGTATTCTAAGTGTAGTGATTGTAAGAAATAGATGATTGTAAAAATATGTTGTTTGCTAGTTGTGATTCTTACTTTTGAAGAATATAAGGATTCTCACTTTAATTACCTAAAAGACTTATATAACTTTAAAGTTCTCTTTATATAATCATTAAAAGAGGGACAAATATGAAATATATAAAAAAATAATAAGGATAAGGTGAAAAAAATCAATTACAAGAGTAAAGTGAGAGAACCTCACCTTTTTGTAGAGATTCTAAAATGAATGATTGTAAACATTTGAGATTCTAAAGTTTGATTTTAATACATGTATGTTGGACAAGTTTATGTCAGAAGAATAATGAATTGAAAGAAAACACACATTCATAGAATCACTCATTTAGAATTCTACCTTCCACACGACCCCTAAAGGCTTTGGAATTAGAATTAAAAAGGGGACAGGTAGTAAAGGGCTAAAAACAAAACAAAAATCCACAATAAACGCAGCGTGTAGGCTGTTATTAAAAAAATACTTGATACAACAATTAGTACATCAATTAATAAATAGAGGTTTAGTAAGTTAACTACTCATCATTTTCTCTGCTGAATTAATTAGAACAACTAATGCACTATTATAAGGTTCCTTAGGTGAAAACAAACTCCCCAAAGCCGATGAAGGACAGACACTGCCCTTATGAGGGGTTCCCAACACATTCTCGGTTAACCAAAAAAATCTTCCTTAGCACGGCAGGGGATGAGAGCGAAAGAGTAATTGAGCAACAAAAGTGTATATCAAAAGAGGGAAGAAAAGCGTAACAGAAAATAGCATCTGGAGAAATTTTGGATTCGCCGAGTTCCACCACTATTGAGATAGAGTAGCGAGAGTAGAGTAGAGCAAAGCAGTAATCCCCCTTTCCTCTTCCACTTCTCATTCCCTTTGTGAAAATCGAAGCCGGACATCTAGGACCCCCCACACTCCCCTACTCGTGGTGTGTGGTCTTCCTGCCGACGAGTGCATGTATTCTTGCAATATATGTATTCTGAGTGTAGTGATTGTAAAAAAAAATTGTTTGCTTGTTGTGATTCTTACTTTTGAAGAATATAAGGATTCTCACTTTAATTACCTAAAATACTTATATAACTTTAATTTTTTCATATAATCATTAAAAGAAGGACAAATATGAAATATATTAAAAAGGAATAAAGATAAGAGTGCAAAAAAATCAATTACAAAAGTAAATTGAGAGAACCTCATCTTTTTGTAGAGATTCTAAAATGAATGATTGTAAACATTTGAGATTCTAAAGTTTGATTTTAATACATGTATGTTTTACAAGTTTATGTCAAAAGAATAATGGATTGTAAAGAATACACACATTAATAGAATCACTCATTTAGAATTCTACCTTCCACACGACCCCTAAAGGTTTTTGAATTATAATTAAAAAGGGGCCAGGTAGTAAAGGGCTAAAAACAAAACAAAAATCCACGCAGCGTGTAGGCTGTCATTAAAAAATACTTGATACAACAATTAGTACATCAATTAATAAATAGAAATTTAGTAAGTTAACTACTCACCATTTTCTCTGCTGAATTAATTAGAACAACTAATGCACTATTATAAGGTTCCTTAGGTGAAAACGGACTTCCCAAGGCTGATGAAGGGCAGGCACTGCCCTTGTGAGGGGTTCCCAATACATTCTCGGTTAACCAAAAAATCTTCTTTAGCACGGCAGCAGATGGGGGCAAAAGAGTAATTAAGCAACAAAAGAGTATATCAAAAGAGGGAAGAAAAGCGTAACAGAAAATAGCAATTGGAGAAATTTTGGATTCGCCAAGTTCCGCCACTATTGAGATAGAGCAGCGAGAGTAGAGTAGAGCAAAGCAGTAATCCCCCTTTCCTCTTCCACTTCTCATTTCCTTTGTGAAAATCGTTGGCACACAACCAGGACCCCCCACACTCCCCTACTCGTGGTGTGTGGTCTTCCTGTCGACGAGTGCGACGCCTGTGCGTATTTCCGCCATTTGCCGGCCAGATTTGCATCGCTCATTGGACTACCTTGGAGAGGCTCGACCTCCATGTGAGTTTTGCACACATAGCTGAAGAGAAGGGGGATGATGTCCCTATGGCCGAGCCTGATGTTGTGGTCGTGCCTGACGCCAATCTCTGGCCTGCTTCTTTAATGCAAGTAAGATTGGTGTTTTCATTCGATTCTTGGTTGGATTCTTTCAATTGCGTGGTTTCTTGTTGAAGGATGTAGGGTTGTATTTGGGATTGCTAGGGGTTCTGTTTTCAGTGGATTGGGGGTATTGTTTGTGAAAGATTAGGCGTTCAGTTCTCGTCCCCTTAGGTTAGGGTTTTCACTTAAAGAATAGTACTGTTTTATATGATCTTGAAACCTCGTCCGGGAATGTTTTTTTTTTTTAAATCTACAAATCTTCTCTAAATACTATTAAAGGCTTTCTCAGTGAACTTCTCCACGCAACTGTTGGTGTCTTTTTCATTTTCTTAATCTTTATCTTTAAAATTTTTAAAAGACTTTTAGATTTAACCTCACATTATACGCACTAAAACATGGAAGTAGCCACGTCAACACGCCTTATTCCGATCCATGACCCCTCTCCGCCGTTATAATTTTTAGTTTTCATGCGAGAAAAAACAATATTCTCACGAGAACGACCCTTTATTTCCTCAAGCCTTACCAGGCGCTTCTACTTTTAATTTTGTTTTCCGGAAACCCCCAATAACTACCATTTCTTCCAACCTTCAATATCTGAGAGCGATGTCGCCGAGGCGTTCAAAACGATTCGCCATCGAGGCGGAAGTTGGCGGCCACAACAACGAGTGTGGAACGACCGGATGACGAAGCGGCAAAGGGCGAGCCGACAGAGCCTCTCTCATATCCAGCCGATAATTCGATGATCGATTACAAAGATATGATGACTCTCAAGGATGCATAGACAGAGGTAGGGGAGGAAGGAATTGCGATTAAATGGGGGCTGAAAAAGAATCAGATGTTGGGGAAGGCTATTGTGGCTGCGGCCACGATGGTGCTACGGTAGGGGAATAGGGTTTTGTATAATTCGAAACTATTTACTTTGACAGTTAACATTTATTTATTTAATTCAAATTAGTAATCATGAACAATAATTACAAGGTTTGTGTTTTTCCGGTGATTCTGAGAGAGTATTGATTTGGTTTATTTCACCATTGATCATGATATATATTTGGTGAGATGAGTATCAAGGGTATGATCCCAATATTTTGAGTTTCAACATTGAATTATGTATAATGTATGAGTTATGTATAATGTATAAATGATAAATTTGAGTGCTTATATATATTGACAAATTGACGTAAATTCGTACGAATTTTTAATTTTCATTGGAGGACATGAATAATAATTAGGGATGATTGAACAATTATATGTATGATAAATGGTGTTAATGTTACATTAGCGAAATTGTTCTTAAGTCTTTGCACGTGCGGATGACGTTAATTAAGGTTATATCAAGAAATTTTGTCGTGGTTGTGGTTTGTATTGAACGTGGTACCAGGTTTATGTGGTTTGTATTGAACGTGGTACTAGGTTTATTCTTGCATTTTGCTCCTATCTACTAAATGTTTTTGATTGATGGTGTGAACTTTGTAGGTTCCTCATCTGTGGAAGTGCTTAACCCGTCAATAAGTTAAACAATGATACCAAAATGCTTCCATGAAACAACAAATCTTCATCCCTCCAAACGAAAAGAATAAAAACCCAAAAGACCAAAACCCATATACAATTTTCCCTTTCACAATCGAAACAACAACAAAAATTATAAATCCTTCCAAAGTTTCCTTCTAAAAAAAGAAGGAAAAACAAACTTTATATATGAGATTTACAGATTACTCTGAGGGTCATGCCAAGCTGCCAAGCAAGCTTTTCCTCATCCCTCCTTCCTAAGTTGTTGCACCCAAGCATCAATACGCCTTCAAAATCGTTGAACAACAAGCACCAACCATTTTCGCCACGAATTACCAGAGATGATCTGAACTCTGAAGCCCTCCATTCTCAGCAGCCTGCCATTAACATCTTGAACATGAAGACTTATACCAACCCAGTTAAATTTCCTTTCTTTCTTCCCTTTTCTCACCGAGCATCTAGCATGGTACATGTAACCTGGTTAACAGTAAAAGTCACGTCTTGTTTCCCAGACGACGAGTCAGTTTCGAGAGGGCTCCTCCCAACGCAAAACCCTGGTGTTCTAGGCTGAGGCATGGTTGCTGTCTCACTGTTGAGCATCAGCACCACCGATCCCATCGTCGGCCTGTCTTCTGCTCGCTCCTGGACGCACAACAACCCAACCTGAATGCACCTCAGAACTTCACAGGCCGAGTATACATTACCAACTGCTGCGTCGAGTAGTTCCAGCCCTTTGCCTTCTTTCCACAACTTCCAGCACTGAGCAACACAGTGGGTGATTTCAATTAGATACGTATCACTACAGAGCTAGTTCCATCGAATAAGTTAGTTCGTTATACTTACATGTCCGAGGAGGTTAAGCTCGTCGTTGGGATTATAGAACCCTCGATTCTTCTTCCCCGTCACAATCTCAATCACCAGAACTCCAAAACTGAACACGTCCGATTTGATGGAGAAGAGTCCGTCCATTGCATACTCCGGAGACATGTAGCCACTGAACCAAACACCATACGAATTACGTTAGTCGCGAATTTTGCTAGGTAGCTAGCAAATGATCAGGGTTAAGTTTGGTAACTTACTATGTCCCTACGACTCTCCTGGTGTTGGCTTCTGTCTGATCGCTGCCAAAGATTCTAGCCATGCCGAAATCGGATATCTTTGGAGTCCACTCCCCATCCAAGAGAATGTTGCTTGCCTTGAGATCTCTGTGGATGATTCTGAACCTGGAGTCTTGGTGTAAATACAGAAGTCCTCTGGCAATCCCACAGATTATATTGAACCGCCTTTCCCAATTTAGTAACTTGCTCTTTGATTTACCTGCAACACATATATGAATGTTAGTTAGAACAATGTATGCCCAAATTCTGAAAACCAGTTTGATTGTAAAAGGAAACTACTTACTGAATATGATGGAGTCCAAGCTTCTATTCTCCATGTACTCGTATATGAGCATCTTCTCATCCATCTCGATGCAACAACCCATGAGTCGAACCAAGTTCCTATGCTGAAGCTTCGCAATCAGTTTAACCTCGTTCTTGAACTCCTCCGATCCCTGCCCTGAATTTCTCGACAGCCTCTTCACGGCTACTTCTTGCCCTTCTACTTCTAACAACCTACCCTGCTCATTTCAAAATGCATCACACATTTTCAGTATACTAGGAACCATGGGTTCATGAGCTTTCAATTAAAAGGAAGAAAAAGGAAAGGTCGATCACCTTATATACAACACCAAATCCACCTTGACCAAGCTTGTTATCATCAGAGAAGTTGCCCGTGGCAACCGCCATTGTCTCGAAATCGTACAACGGGAGCTCCAGCTCGTCCACGTTCCTCTCGCCCGAATAATCCCTCTTGCTCGAGATCACGACATCATTCAACATGAAATCCTGACTTCTTTCTGGCAATCCCAATCTTCTCACTGAACAATAACATCCATTAAGACTAACAGTTCAAGATTCCAATATCAGATTTGGCAAATGTATGAAAGGTCAAAAGGTCCTTCATCTTTAAGCAAGTTGTGCTTCCTTTTTTTTTTACCTTTGTGGTCGTTCTTCTGGCCCCGGAAAGCACTAATCAGTCTCTTCCTTTTCCACACGAGGCAGCCACTGAGCAATAAGAGGAAGACACAAAGTCCAACTGATAGCCCAATAATGAATCCTCCCATGGTCCCATCATTGCCTGGAAACACAAACACCACATTACATAATCTGTCACACGAACATAAACACATTCATTGCTTGATTTTGAAAGGTCCTCTAGCTACTTCAATAATGGTGAAAAGCTATGGCCACAAAACCACACATTGATTAACAAGTAGTTGGCAATGGATGGAATCCCAGGAATGAACTAGATAGTTATTGCACTACCCTGAAAAAATCATCATACCAGGACCAAGCAACTAACCCAAATAAATGCTGGATATGGTAACACCATGGTAGGGTAAGGGGACATCGAACCAAATCGAACCAAACCCGCTATATTCGGTTTAACTGTGAGAGAAGGAAAAAAATTCCCTCCATGGCAATTCAAAGTCTTGACACTTTCTATGAGAGAAGGAAGAAAAAGGGGGGGAAGGTAATAGATTTCGATGGTCCCATTAGAGCAAATTTTCTAAACGTTGGCTAACTACTTTTTTTTTTCTTCATAATTAAACCAAATCACATCCAAAGCTACCCTCCACAATCAGTTGAACAAATAACATCAAGTAGTTCTTGACTTTCTGATGCATAAGATTGAAAAATCTCCAATTAGATTGGAGAAACTAGCTTTTCTGCAATGAGGACCAAAAGACTATAAGCTAATCATAATTCCCCACTTTCAAGTTGTTTTGAACTTTATTATTTTTCACATGTCACTCTCCAAATTCGAACCCGAGCTATCAAAACAACAGAACCATACGATTCTAGTAAGTACTTAACCTGATCAGGTGAATTAATGTCAGAATCAGCAAGCAGTAGTATCAAAACTAGTGAACTACAAGTGATGGTCATTTCAACCCGCCCCACGGGTATTATACGACCTGACCCGCTATGGGGCGGGTATTACCTGACCCGCAGTAGCGTGGGGCGGGGCATGGGTATCTACTTCCGACCCGCCCTGCCCCGTTCTAAACTCATTTTATCTCAATTTCTTACAATTTCTATACATATTTCTCCTATTTTGACTTTTCTTCAACTAGTTAGAGTCGTTCTTTCAACTTGTTAGACTCAATTACTCATTCTATTATCACTAATTTTCATTCTTAAATTGTTTTACCCTTCGTTTTATCGTAAAAAAGTAAAATTTACTTGTATTTTTTCCGAATAACATGTAGAGTGAGTCGACCCGCCCCGCCCCGTACCCGCGCGGATTTTACCCGCCTCGTAATAACGTAGGGCGGGGCATGGGAATTGAGGTACCCGCCCTGCCCCATTGCCATCACTATACAAGAGCTTATGGGATTTTCTTATGAAAAATGCAATAGAGAGATTATATATGGCTCAAGGTTTCTTCAATGTCGACAGAACGGTGGATTCCAGTTTTCTCTTTAGCAAAAGGAAAGTGTAGGCCCCAACCTCACTAAACAAGTCAACATTTGTCGGCACAGCAAGATTAGAGGGGCCATAAAACGTTGGAAATCGCCGACCCTAAATTAGCGTTGTTGGAGGACGATGGGACCCCCCGGCCGTCGCCATCTCATCGGAGATAAACCGGAAAGACTCACTGTTCACCTAGTTCGTACTTCTTCGGGCGGGCCCCGGCGAGTTCTTCCTTTCTTGTGAACCACGACTCCATGATTCATGGCCAAGAATGATACGACGAAGAAGTGAGATTCATGGTCGCGGCTTACCACGGAAAGATTGAAATTATCATCCCTAATTTTAATGTTCGTTCAAAAGAGATGCTTAACTCGAAATTTTTTTTACTATTCATTATCTCGCTACCCGTAATCATCCCGATCCAAATAAACCGATTAGACCTCACTCATCCCTATAACCCACACAACTTGTTATGAACCACTAGGCCATTTGCGACATCTTGGGATTCATGTAAAAGAACAACATAGCAAATTCCCACGGCGGGGGACAACGTGGAAAACGAACGAACTAACGAACTTATGTTTGTTTGTTGGGCCACCACGACGGTGGTCCACCGTCCACGGATCTGCCGGCCCAATAGATTATGAACAAAACGGATCCTAGACCCGGATCCGGGTCCCGCCACACACAATGAATAATGTGCTGAGCTGTACAAGCAGACACCCGGGTTTCTCGGGTTCCACGTGGACGGCTGGTTCCCATTTAGCCTTCCTTCACACTTTGCCCCTTTTCAATGCAAGCATTTGACAAGGTCTTTTCGTTTTCTTCGTGTTTTTTTCTTTTAGATATTTTTTTGTGGTCTTTTCTTATTTTTTTTGTTTTATGGAAACTTACAACTAAAAAAATATCATAAATCATGATGTTTAAGGATTTTGATTACGACTCTCCAAGTCTTTTACCATCGGGCATTAGTATGTCGATCTGGAAATGGAAGTTAAAATGGAAAATTATGTGGCTAAGAGAGTTTTAAATTATAAACAAATGAAAACACAGCTACCTAATTTTAGAAATTTTGAACATTGAGCCCTGCATGTCACATTGCAGAGAGAGAGAGAAAGGAAGAAGAGAATGGCAGTTTCTATTCTTTAAACCTAACAATCAGTACTTTATTGTTAATTAATTTTGGATTATGGTTACCGGAGAGACCACTATTTTATCAGTTTGTATGGAGATTTGCATCACCAAATAGAATCAAATCGAAATGCGAGGAAAATCTTGCTTACAACCTGCAAACTAATATTAAACTCCCCACACTTTGACCTCAATAATAATATTTTATATTTCTATCATTCCATCCACCTCTTCTTAAATGATTGATGGACAATTGGACATGGTTCCCTAACTCAAAGTAACAAACGGAGTATATCTTACATTCGATTTCCATTATTTATTTATTTATTTTTAAGTTTGATTTATATATACATTATTAATATAATTCGAAACTAACATATATTTAGATATTTACTTCCCTTTGGACTACACTAGCACCAAATCAGTTAGATTTGAGAATGTTTTTCGTATGATTTTGATCTTCGAAATCATGCCCTCGATCATTTTAGCGAATAAAATACACCAACCCCTTGAATTGCCAGGTAATTGGCTATTCCTAACCTCCCAAACTCAAATTGAGGAATAATATATAAACAATCAGAAAATTGTACTAAAAAAATTAACCCTCCACGCACATTCATTTAACTCAATTTCATATTATACCTGACCCATCTTAATCCTTCTATATGCTTCAATTTTTAACCCAATCTTGTATCAATCCGATCAAATTTTGAAAAGAATTTCTGAATTACGAGCCCTCTAACTAAACTAAAGAATGTAACAAAACAATTAAATAACCTATGCAATGTGAAACCAAGCCGCAAATTGTGCGCCAATTGCAGAAAAAGGAACCACCAAAAAGGGTAAAACAATACGCAGTAAAAAACCCAACCAGTAAAAAAAAATTAAAAAAACTTACCTACATCGGAAGCGGCCAAACGAACATAGAGGTCCTGCCCGCCTTCCGGGTACTGCCGCATATCCACCAACCCACCGAACCAAACCACGCAACCCGACCCGCCGCCGGAGACATTCGCGCTCGCGTACGCCGTACACGAGCAGTTCCCGGCGCACAATTCCCCACACTCCTTCAACCCCAATCCCCTATCAACCACCGCCGCCGCGCTCTCCGGCAGCTTCATGTTCCTCATCCTCAAAAACTTATCCCTCGGGCAATCCAAATCGGTCTCCCGGGCGCACCCGCCCGACCCGTCCCTCAAATTCCACGCCTCCGGGTTCCTCGGCCGGAACCCGCGCATACACTTGCAGACCGGCGACGCATTCGAATCGCATATCCCGTAGGCCCCACACTCCCTGTAGCTGTCGCACTGGTCCTTCGGCGCGTACCAGAACGGCTTCCACTGGCCAATGTCCGGGATCCACGTGTACCGCCGGAGAACCCCGTCGGGGGTGACCGACAGTCGTGAGTAAATCGTGTCGGAGGACACGTGGAACGAGTAGTAGACCTCTCTGCTCGCGGTGACGAATTCGAAGGAGATGTAATTGAGGGGTTGCATTTCGGGTACGCCGCTGAACCGTAACCCGTTCCACGGCCCGCTCCGGTACTCGATGCTGGACGAATCGAATAAGAAGACTTCCGGGAAACCGGTGTAGTTTAATTTGAAGGAGAATTTCCCGGTTCCTGGGTTATCGGGTGCGGCCCAGGAATTGAGAAACCGGTTGAATCGGGCGGTTAGATCCCAGCCCAATTTCATCCCCGGAAGCAGAGTGTCCGTCGGGTAATCGAAGCTCTGCCATAGGATCCGGCCCGATTGGGTCGGATCCCTCAGGACAAGGTTCCCGGAGTCGAGAAGCTGGGCGACTGGGTTTTCCGACGCCGTCCGGTTCGCCGACCAGACGGGATTGGTGTTGGCGCGTTGGTCGGGGAGGAGGACGAGGGTTCCGTTGGCGATTCGGAGGGCGGCGGCGGAAGGGTTTCGGATCGGGTCGTCTCTGTTGGCGACCCAGACGTAGGTTCGCTCGGGGATGTTCCTGTACCAAATACCGAGGTACCAGTTGCCGGATTTCCCCGGGGTGAAGAAGCCCAGCTCGAAAATCTGGCCGGCGGAGAGGAGGGTCTGGTTGTTGACTAAGGATTGATCGGCGGTCAGGGCGTCGGTGGCGGATCCGGGTCGGGGCAAGAGGGAGAGGAGGGAGAGGAAGCAGAAGAGAAGTAAAGGTCTCATCTTTTCCGACGAGAAGCTTGGAGGAGAAAAGGGATTCTCTGGTTTCTCCTTCATTGTTGTGGTGGAGGCATTTCTTTTGGCTTTGGGGTTTTGATGGGGGAGAAGATGACGGTGAAGAGAGGGGGAATAATGTTGGTGGAAAGAGAGAGCCGTGTTGGCTGTTTTTTGCTTGTTCATTCTCTAGTACTTCTTCTACTTTGCATCAAAATTTTTAGTTTTAAAATTAGTACCATCATGCTTTTATTTGGGAAAAATTAAGTTGTTTTTTTTTTATTTTAAGGCATGAACATAAATTATAATAAATAAAGTAAAACCGTTATAATTATCATACATGGCATTTCGTTTAATAGTACACGCGCGTGGATCTCACTCATTGATAGTTAGATTGAGGGGAAATTTTTTTGATTATGCTATTTTCCAGGCTTGGGATGTGTCTGTCACGCGCGACTCCGCTGGCACTATCCTCTTAACTTAACACGCCCACAATATCTTTGTACTGTTGATCCCTGTGTTGCAATACCAATGGTTTCACGAGATGATTATCAACTCTAGGATGCCATTGTTGACGGTGATTCTCGAGTAATTGTCATTGAGCAAAATTTCACAATAGGTCTCATATAATCATCGGCGGATGGCCCCCTGTTATTAGATATTCGTTAACTTGCCCTATTGTTTGTACATGGCCAATTCTAATTTCACTTCATATACAGCTTGCAGAACATAGCTATCCACGAAAATGGCAACACACAAACCTTATCAGTCGTCATACATAATTTTATTTCGATTTTCAATTTTTATCCGTCGTTACTGCCTCTTTGTTGTGACAAAATGAGGTACCATTTCATGCTAGTCAAATCAGATAATCTAGCATTATGTAAACGTATGGTAATTTTATAGGATGATGGGTCCATACTCTATATATGGTCGGCGTATATTTGGTATTGGTAGGATAATATTTAGACGGGTCAAAAGAGGGAGATTAACTAATCCCTTTGTTTCTATTTGAATTCCCGGGATAAATATTAGGGTAATTAATTAAATTAGAACGAAATCATGAGGTCATAAGACGTCGCGATTGAAGCTTACGTGGACGGGCTTGTGGTAATTATGTACATTTGGGACTTTTCATGCACGCGTGGAACAACTCCCCGCGCCAAATTGGAATTCTAAACCTAATTAATAGGTCAGAGTACGTACTCGGCATCTTTCCTTTCTTGAGCTAGGCCAGCTTTGGTGAATTTATATGCTAAAATTAAGTAGTTGATTTTGTATGGACTCTTTTATGCTAAATTGCAAAGGTAGTTCAGGAATTTGGCATTGTGAATCACTGTGATTTGTAAAAAAAGGTTGATTGTTATCGTAACAAAGTAGACCGTTATCATAAAAGAGTCGACCAGATAATACAACTACACTATTACAAAGGAAAAGAATGGTCGACCATGAAAACAAAATGGTTGATCGGTTGGTACAACTAAACAAGGACTTTGCTATCACTTAACCGAAATCATTAGCAACACGAACCTCTATAAATAACAATCTACATAATTAATTTATCACTCTAAAATTAGTGTAAACAATTTCTTATGACTTTTGAGCTTGGTGAATAATATATAAAAGACATCGAAATATCAAAGGTAGTTGTTGTGTGCAAGATGTTTCGATCAACAAGTCGACCACTTTGGATACCGGTCGACCTTTCAGGTGCAATCACGGGGTTTCTCGTCTTTATATCACTCTCCACGACATTGGCACTTGATGTATGAAGATAACTTTAGCCTTAATCGGCCGATCTCTCCAACCATGGTGCGATTGCCTGGTTTATTTTTAAAAATCGACATTTTCATCATCAGGTTGACCGCAACATACAAGCGGTCCATATAATTTAGAGTTATTGCGACTATTTATACTCGTGATAAAGAATACTACATACACTTTTTGGCGGAGTGATTGTAATCCCGAGTTCTAAATGTGGAGATCATACTTATCAACCTCAACAACTTTATCAATGAAGAAACAGAAAATAAAGAATGGATGCTAGTCTACTACGAATGTAATTGGCGAGTCTTTCCAACATTCTAATTAAGTCATCATGTTAACTATATTTGAGACTGTTTATTTCATCAAGCAAACAATATTAATTCAATGGATGAGAATTTACGTACAACGGTACAAGCATCATTGTGGTACTCAAGTCGAACCAAATGCAACCAATGTCCAATAGTGGGTTCAAATCGACGAAATGAATGCACAATTTTATTAGGTTTGATTCTCACAAAAAAATGTTGCACATTCATGTCGTTAATGGTACTATTGGTACATCATACACCAACTCCCACTTTGTACGCGATTCAAAAGGAGCTTATATATATATATATGTTTTCAAAATCAAACAGATGCCGGGAATTCTGAAACCAGCAGCGTTTCCTTTTGAAATTTCACCGTGTTATCGATCACAATTCACAACTACTTAACCCAACAATATAATACAATTGACTCACATTCTAAATTACGTGGGTTATACATTCACAATTGACTAATTTTCAAACTAAAATAAGTTTGTATAAGAAAGATAAACCCCACTTCTCTATTTGGTCCACTATAATCGGTTGATGCCCCAACATGCACAAAGCTAAATAACAATAATACCTCTTGAATCTTGACTGATAGATGATATGGTTTAACTCTATTTTGGGCCGGTTTGAGTTCAACATGTTTGCATAATTTTTCTTTTACCGTTTCTCGTTCAATATGAAATACGGTAGAGATAAATCGTATATTAGAAAGAAAAAATTATTTATGCATAACTGAGTAGACTAATTATAAAATTCGAGAATATTTCTATGCCAAAGTGATTGCTAAAAAAGATTTTAGTTCTTGTGATAAAGAGGTGAACGCAAGATAGAATTAGCTAGCTACCACTCTTCATACGCATCATGTTGTGACACACATCGGTATCATAGGAATGAGAGCATGAGAAAGAGAAAGGAATATCATAATATTAGCGCGCATTGAAAGTCGGAAATAATTAACTGTTTCGTTCACGATTATAACTAAATCCGCTAAACGATCGAACTTCTCACCAATATTAACTACGTGTTACATTACTTGAATACATATATAGTTTACGTGAAATTTCCCGACTTTAAATTTCCCCATAAAAAAAATTCAACCGCGGTGTATAATTTCTTAACTAAGTCAATGTTAACTAATTAACAAATTGGAGCTGACTAGATCATAGAAACAGGCTCGAACTCGGGTTTGGTTTGTTAGTTTCCCACTTTATCCATTTATTTAAGAAATAATAAGGTGTTGCTCGCAAATCGTAATCAATCCCGCCAACCCATTCACCATTTAAAAAGCTCTCAAAATTGGCCACGATGAAGAAGTCGATAATAAACACACAGTCTACCATCTAGCCATTGCATGTTCATATCATATCCAACTACAACAACCACATCATGATCCACATATTCTGTTATGGGATAATCCAAGTACCACATCGGTAATACAAGGGAAGGGACCCTTGTATATTAGTGTCCACCAAGCTCATTAGTACGAGGCCTTTTGGGGAGGACACCCAAGAGTAAAATCGTGCTGGCTTGGCCCAAAGCGGACAATATCGTACTAATGGGCTGCCCAGTTATGACAAGTGGTAACAGAGCCTGGTTCGGTGCGGGCCGGTGGACGTCAGTTTGGTGGACCCTCATTCGGTGGCTTCGGGATTTGCGATCTGCGTTTGGTTTGGTGGATCCAGGAAAGATCCACGTTTGGGCTTGGCGGATCAAAGAGAGTTCCGCATTTGGGAAGCAGATCAAAGAGAGTTCTGCGTCTGGTAAAGTCCTTGTATCGAGAAGCCCATCGATACAAGGCATCTGGCGGATCAAGATAATCGCTGAGGTGAGGACACGAAGTTCGTGGTCCTTGTCTTGAGGGGAGGATTGTTATGGGACAATCCAAGTACCACATCGGTAATACAAGGGAAGGGACCCTTGTATATTAGAGTCCACCTAGCCCAATTAGTACGAGGCCTTTTGGGGAGGACACCCAAGAGTAAAACCGTGCGGGCTTGGCCCAAAGCGGACAATATCGTACTAATTGAGCTCCCCGATTTCGACAAGTGGTATCAGAGCCTAGTTCGGTGCGGGGAGGTGGACATCAGTTTGGTGGATCCTCTCATTCGGTGACCTCGGGATTTGCGATCTGCGTATGGTTTGGTGGATCCACGAGAGATCCACATTTGGGCTCATCTGGCGAATTGAGGGAGGTTCGCGTTTGTCTGGTGGAGAGATCCATGTCTGTTTGGCGGATCAAAGAGAGTTCCGCGTCTGGTAAAGTCCTTGTACCGAGAAGCCCATCGATACAAGGCATCTGGCGGATCAAGATAATCGCCGAGGTGAGGACACGATGTTCGTGGTCCTTGGCTTGAGGGGAGGATTGTTATGGGACAATCCAAGTACCACATTGGTAATACAAGGGAAGGGACCCTTGTATATTAGAGTCCACCTAGCCCAATTAGTACGAGGCCTTTTGGGGAGGACACCCAAGAGTAAAACCGTGCGGGCTTGGCCCAAAGCGGACAATATCGTACTAATGGGCTGCCCAGTTATGACATATTCAATTGTAACAACAACACACGCTGAGATGTCAATGGAACTCGAATTTTAACTCGTGTTTAACGATATATCTTAGATGCTAAAAGATTATTATTCTTTTAGACTCGTACACATCTTCAATTTGACATTATCTTATGTATAACCGGTCTGTGTTTCTTTTTTTTTTTTCCTTCTTTTCACAACAATATTTTCTTTTATAATATTTATTATTTTTCTCTGAGATTGTGTATATCTTCTATCTTCAAAAAACTCGCCTCGATTTAACTTAGAAATGGCGCAGGAAATGTGCACGGAGTATATTACATAGTCGTAACTCATACCCGTAAATGAGACACAATAGGTGTTTTAAATGAGACATAATAGGTGTTTATGAATGGGATCAAATAGCTGGGTTGATCCATGTATACGTACACGTCTGACCAAGTATTCGATTAGAGAACATAACAAGTCATGTCGATGCAGGCGAACAGGTCTCACATCGACCACATGATTTTATATATCTTCTATTGCATGTCCAATGTTAATAGAAACTTTTATTTTAACAAAATCATCATTCCAAAATCGCCGTCAACCTTAACTCGGCTAATCCTTAATCCAAACCATATGGCTGACAAATGAGAAGCAAAATATATGCATGTTGGTAACTGGCCGGACTTTCTACCAAATAATCCCGACCCGATTGTTTCTTCTGCGTTTGAACTTTGAAGACGTCAAAACTCAAAACGGCGTTAAAATCCGATATACCAATGGCCACGACCGTCGATCGGCAGAATTCGATTTTGGCATTTGACAAAAGCAGTAATGCCGGAAAGAAAGAAAGAAAGAAAGAAAGAAAGAGTGGTCGGCCGGATTATTATAAGTACGACGTACCACCAAGCACAATTGCACAAATATGGATTCACACGTAAATCCTCTTTTTTCCTTCTTTTTCGATTCTTTTTTAGTTTACAGAAGCGAATTGGTTTCACATTTCACACGGACGCTTTATTTAATTGTTTAGTTTTTTCAAGAGCCAAACAACTCCTTGGAAATTAAGCCAAGTTGGGCCAAAATAAGTTTGTCTCTCGATATTTCTACTTTCTGTTCTTTTTTTGTTTTTTGTTTTTGCACATATGTACGACATGGTCAACTCATAATCGCAAACCCTTGTTATTCTGTTGTCAACGACATGTCATATTGACAAGTACAAGATGTAATGATTTGAATGAAGCGGGATTTGGATTTTCAATATGTTTTTTTATTCCGGTGGTTTGATTTAAGACTCGTAATCTGCTCCACTCATCTCGTATGAACGGCTAAAATTGTTGTCTATTTGGTTATTTGAATATTTCATATGTTCGGTTCTAAAAAATTGCATTTCGTTGTTGGATTTTTTGAGTATTATTTGTACACCTATGACTAATAATACACTTAACATTTACACTAATAATCGGCCACTTGTGGATACAATGAGACATGATTACCGTTCAGTACACGCTCATGAAAGTTGTTTTAACAAAATATGCGCAGGTTCTTAGGATATATACAATTAGTAAAAATTAGGATTCTAAATAAGTTCATATGAACAACATCATGGATGGAGCTCAACCTTTACAAGTACAACCTAATATAGCTAATCTATAATGGTACACATTGTGCGGTTCAATTTCAGATGTTAAACATGTAGCAAACAATAAGTCAATAATGCAAACGTATCATGTGTTCCTTTCATCTTCCATAGCCTGATTTTTTTTTTATAAAGATGAAATCAATTATTAGAAGGAAAAGAAAAGAAAACCGATACAATATCAGAGAACAACAAAGGCCGAAAGAAACAACAACTCGCAACCGAAACCGAAACCGAACAAGCGGGCTGCCAGCATCCAGCATGAAGTTTTCGAATCTAGGATAGAAACATAAAGTTATCAACAAGTTATCCATTTCTCCCTGTCAAAATGTCATCGATGTGTTCTATTAAATTTTAATTAAGGTTAAGAAGTTACAATCGTCATTGAGCCTCTCTTACATTCACCCACCCCCCCTTCACAATATGATTCACGTAGAATGAACTTACAAATAAATTATATTTTAAAATCTTACATCAAGCATGCGATTTCAAACATATCGAATTATTATGTTACTTAAACACAAGTAACCTAGATGCCTATATTCTTAAAATAAACCGCAAAACAAAATTCCAAAATTTGAGGGAAGACCAACAAGCTTAAGTAGACAATCTCCATGTTTTTTTTTATAGACAATCTCCATGTTTTCTAGTGCATGGTCTGATTGGTCTCCCTTTTAAATCTTCTGTATTTCATTTCGTATATATATATATTTTTGTATAATGTGTTTGGTCGTTGCTTCATATAATATGGTGCATTTTTTTAACCTGGTTTTCAAATTTCAACGACTTGTAATTCACACTTCCATTATATATATAAACTGAGGTAAGGTTTTATTTTCCAACTTGAACTGACTAATAACAGTAACTTAATAAAGGGTTTGATGTAGAGATCACATCAGATTGTGCTAACTAATTCGGATTAAGAAGACAAAATTAAGAGAAGACCGTGAAGCTCTCCAGACTCCAGTTCTTCACTTCCAGTCTACCATCTGGGCCCGAAAGCCTGCCACTTTGTTGTCCTGCGACGTGTGTTCTTCAGTTTGGGCCAAGCCTGCATAGGGAGTTGAAGCCCAACGCTAGTGATATTGACTGTTGTTCGTCTTTTAGTTTGCGTTTGTATAGAGATAGGATCAGAGTTGGAGAGTTGTTTAATGGCTACCTAATCATCATATAAGGACAAAAGTCAAAAACTTCATCCTCAGATGAATCATGCTGACCGATCTTCGTATCCATTGTTTTACCTGGGAACACGATTCCCGTTTATCCATTGTTCCTTCCGGATCGAACTCTATCTCTGCTCGGAATCACAGCGGCCGGCGGCGGCGGCGGGCAACCAGTGTTTTCCCGACAGCTTCTCTTTCCGGTCTCGGCTACTGGATCCATTCCGACGGCGGAGACAGTCGACCGTAGTAGCTTGAGCCGCCGTCAAATTTTCCCCGAGAAAGGTGCGAGATATCCGTCCCTCATTTCCCTCTCGACTCTTCTTATACCCTGATTATGAACTTGCAGTAACATTAAACCGAGGTTTATTGGGATTAATTCCCTAAATACACATAAAACTAAAGCAAATTTCTAAACTACCACACTTTTAAAAAAATTTCCCAAAATACCTAAGTTTGGAGTGGTTCGAGTTTGAGAAACTCGAACTACTAACCGGTTCGAGTGTAGGAGACTCGATCTACTTGTAGATCGATGATATAAGCCTCGAACCATGTGGGGTTGAAGTGGTTCGAGTTCACTGAACTCGAACCACTCCTTTGAAATTTCCAAACCCCTTAACTTTGTGCTCGGTTATCCGGTTGTAGCAAACTTTTTTTTCATTTCGCATAACTTTTTGAGGACTACAACTTTTATAATAGAAATATTTTCAGAATATATGTGAAAATGTAAAAATTAATGTTAAAGTTACTCCCAAAACCCCTTATATTAAAAACTATTCCTATTTTGAAAATTTATTCCTAGTAAATGTTGTAGTACTCAAAAAGTTATGCAAAATAAAAAAAAACTTTGCGACGTTCGGATTCCGGAGCACAAAGTTATGATCCTCCAAAGTTTGACAAATTCGAAAATTTGCTCGTTTATGGGTAGCAAATGACGTTTACAAGGAAGATAGTCATCCAAAAATTTCTCGTTTGGAAAACTATTGCTCTTTTTGCAGAAATTTCCTATATATAAAAAAATTTCTTGTGCCTTCGCTCCGAGAAAATGTCATTTGTAACCCCTAAACGAGCAATTTTTCGATTTTACCAAACTTTAGAGGATCATAACTTTGTGCTCCAAAATCCGAACGTCGCAAAGTTTTTTTTTTATTTTGCATAACTTTTTGAGTACTACAACATTTACTAGGAAAAAATTTTCAAAATAGGAATAGTTTTTAATATAAGGGGTTTTGGGAGTAACTTTAACTTTAATTTTCACATTTTCACATATATTCTGAAAATATTTCTATTATAAAAGTTGTAGTCCTCAAAAAGTTATGCGAAATGAAAAAAAAGTTTGCTACAATCGGATAACCGAGCACAAAGTTAAGGGGTTTGGAAATTTCAAAGGAGTGGTTCGAGTTCATTGAACTCGAACCACTTCAACCCCACATGGTTCGAGGCTTATATCATCGATCTACGAGTAGATCGAGTCTCCTACACTCGAACCGGTTAGTAGTTCGAGTTTCTCAAACTCGAACCACTCCAAACTTAGGTATTTTGGGAAATTTTTTTAAAAGTGTGGTAGTTTAGGAATTTGCTTTAGTTTTATGTGTATTTAGGGAATTAATCCGGTTTATTGGGTTCTCATGATTTATCTTGGGTTTAATTGAAATAGAGGGTAGCTGTAAGAAATCACTAGAGACCTTAACTAAAGAAATGCCGCTTTTTCTACCAAAACGGGATATTAAACTAATGAAGAAAGCATGGGTCTGCAGTATTTTGCCAACTTGGAGGGATCCTAAAGCAAGAAAGTCTTTTTCCTTTTTTTCCCTTTCAGCACCTACTCGATGTTCAACCATGGCTGCCAACGCATATCCGTGTGTGTTGGACTATGATAAGGGCCAAAGGAAACACACAGAGTTAAACGGAAAATGGGTTCTTCAAGCCTGTTTCTGCACTACGTTTTGCTCTTACTACCACTGTGTTCTTGCTATTACAGTGATACCATCTCCATAAACAAACCCCTCAAAGATGGAAGCCTGGTAATTTCCAAAGGTGGTTACTTTGCTCTTGGATTTTTCAGCCCTGTGGGAGATAATGCGAAGTCCGGTTCCAGTTCCAGGTATCTTGGAATATGGTACAACAAAGTGCCAAAGCAGACAGTCGTCTGGGTAGCAAATCGCGACAATCCAATCACGGATTCATCTGGGGAAGTTTCTGTTGACAATTATGGGAATCTCATTCTGTTCAGCAGCCATTCCCCTGAGGACAACTCTGGTCCACAAATGCTTCAAAGGAAGCAATGCCAATGGGTTTCAATGCTTCTGCTGGTGCAGCAGCTCAGCTCTTTGATTCCGGGAATTTGGTGCTGTTTCATGGTGGGGGAGGAATGGTTTGGCAAAGCTTTGATCATCCTACTGATACAATTCTACAAGGGATGAAATTCGGGTTGAATAGGACGACAGGCGCATTATCATCCTTAACATCGTGGAGATCATCAGACGATCCTGGTACTGGAGATTACTCGTTGAAGCTCGATCCAAGAGGCTCTCCTCAGCTCTTCCTTGTCAAGGGGACAACAAGAAGAGAACCTTACTGGAGAAGCGCACCTTGGCCATGGAAGAAGTACCCTCATGTCTACAACTACACCTTTGAGAACAATGAAGCTGGGGTGCTTTTCTCATACCATACTTATGACCCTTCAGTTACGATCAGGATACTGCTTGATGGGGTGGGAATTCTGAAACCAATGGCATGGCACGAGAGAGATGGAAATGGAGATTGGAGGGAGTTCTGGTCTGCTCCGAAGCTCAGGTGTGACTTGTATGCTCATTGTGGTGAGTATGGTAGCTGTGATCCTTTGAGGGTTAACACATTTGAGTGCTCTTGTTTACCTGGGTATGAACCGAAGAACCCGATGGAGTGGTCTCTGAGAGATGGATCTGATGGGTGTGTGAGCAAACGGGTGAATAGTTCCTCAACGTGCGGGGAGGGTGATGGGTTTTTGAGACTAGAACATGTCAAGCTCCCTGATTCTTCTCATGCTATTTGGGTGGATGTGTTGTTGAGTTCGAGCATTGATTTGGAATGTGGGAAGATATGTTTGAGTAACTGTTCATGTTCCGCATACGCGGTCGTTAATGCGAATGAAGAGAAGAAGATGTTGTGTCTGCAATGGCATGGCGTGTTGGTGGACACCACAAACCGTGGAGCAACTGATGGATATGATCTCTATGTTCGAGTGGATGCGGTTGAATTGGGTAGGTATTACATTCATTTTTGCTTACTATCGTTGTTTCGGTTTGATTTTTTACGCCTTCCAACTCTCGTCATTATGCAATTTTAGCTAGACGGTCCACAGATCTCGATGGCTTACCTAAGAGGAGGTCTATGGTGGCCGTCATGGGAGCTTCAGTTACTGCAGCATGGTTTGTCATTGTTTCATTTTACTTGGTGCTGAGGAGGAAACGTCAAGGTGAATTGACAGTGAACCTTGTTTTATCGAATCAAACGACTTGATTGTTTATTTTCATGAACTCAATGTTGATTGTGTTTGATGTATGGACATACAGTGAAGGATAAAGCGAATAGCAGAAGGTCTGACCAGTCAACTGATGGTTCACTTGGGTACCGAGAGAGAATGGGGAATGAGCTTCCCATCGGTAGTGGAACGAGGACTTACCATCAGGACCTTAGATTTTTCAGTCTGAGCAGCATATCAGCAGCAACTGATGACTTTTCTCCGGCTCACAAACTTGGTCATGGTGGTTTTGGCGTAGTTTATAAGGTATTTAGTCATCTCTATTTCGGTTATTGGTTTGGTTATGAATTGAAATAGCAAATGACACAAGATCTGATCATATGCTACCTTGAGACTTTTGCAGGGTCAGTTACCTGATGGCCAGGAGATTGCAGTAAAAGTTTTAAGTAAGAATTCAGGGCAAGGTACAGAAGAATTCGAGAATGAAGCCGAGTTGATTGCAAAGCTTCAGCACAGGAACCTTGTAAAACTGTTGGGATGCTGCATTGAGCATCACCAACAAATGCTGGTGTATGAATACTTGGCAAATAGAAGCTTGGATTCAGTTCTTTTTGGTGAGGGAGTCTCTCTCATCTGTTCATACATCTCCAACCATATCTCTGGCTAAGGAATTGACACATGTAATGAGTTGTTTGTTTTTCTTAAAACAGACGAAACCAGGAAGGTGTCCTTGGATTGGAACAAGCGATACAACATTATGGTTGGCATCGCCCGGGGCATCTTGTATCTTCACCAAGATTCGAGGTTGCGAGTGATTCATAGGGACCTGAAAACCAGCAACATTCTTTTGGATGCTGACATGAACCCAAAAATTTCAGATTTTGGGACCGCAAGAATGTTCAAAGGCGATCTACTTGGAGATCGGACACATAGAATCGTTGGAACGTAGTAAGTTATATTTCATGATCCACATGTACTCATTTTATCAACTTTCTGTCATCTGCATTTTCACTTCTTGAATCTGTTATTTATTTTGCAGTGGGTACATGTCACCTGAGTATGCAGTGCTAGGACATTTTTCGACAAAATCCGATGTGTTTAGCTTTGGGGTCGTGCTGCTGGAGATCATAAGTGGGATCAGGATCAATGCGTTCTGTGAGGAGGATCAACCCCAGAACTTGATAGGACATGTAAGTAGAACCCTTTCAAAGATTCTCTGCGCTACAGGCTCTATTACATGAATGAACTTCGGAATCACTGACGAAATTGATCATTGAGCTTTGATTTTATCATATTTAGAGATTACTAAATTAACCAATCGCTCCATTCACGACAATTTAATGGCTTATTGAAAATCTAAACAGGTTTGGGAACTATGGAAAGTAGACACGGAAAGAGTGATGCAGGTAGTCGATCCATCATTGGAGGATGAGAAGGAGAAGCGTTTCGAAGACATCTTGAGATGCATCCAAACTGCTCTCCTTTGTGTCCAAGAGAAAGCAGATGATAGACCAGATATGTTAGCAGTACTTCTGATGTTGAATGGTGAAAGAACACTGCCTCCCCCCAAGCAACCTGCTTTCATATTTAGAGAACATCCATTAATGTCGGAACAACAAGAAGAAGAGCAATGTTCCATCAATCAGGTCACCATCACAATGTCTCTCTCTCGCTAGTTACTGCAACACCTTTTTTTTTTTTTTTTTTTCTTCTGTCCATGAATGTCCAGTGATGAATGGCTTCCATTGTTCATAGAGTCTAATGTACAAGGTGGTTCCTTTCTGGTAGTTTTGGCATTTTTTAGGTTTATGACTTCCACAATTCATGGTTCTAATGTAAAAAGATGATACATCTTTAAGTAGGTTTAGGACTTCTATACTCTTTTGGTGTCAAGTTCATGGCGATTGGTGAAGGCAACAATTCATGTGTGACTGATCACTAATTGTGAGCTTGGTAATAAAATGGTCATTAAACTAGATAACACAAAAACTAACTAAACCAATTGATAGTTAACAAATTAATCACTTTTATCTCAGGACAGGGTATAGTGCTAACTCTATAATGGGTTAGCACCGTGTTAATTATGAGTTGTAGTGGTCGACAACAAAGTTGTAATCATATAACTGCAAAAGACGACGACAAGTATGATTGTGTTGGAGTTGTACTCTTACAGGCTACAACTGCAATCATTAGTTCGATTAGTACCTCACCTACGGCTCGGTCCAACTCTACGATCGATTGGAAAGAGTTGGACCATATCAACATGCTGATTGGACAATTTAGATAGTATGACAAATGGACGATTAACTAATTGATTACGATCACTGATTTCAATTGACGAAAATCATCATTTCTGATTTCTGATGGTTCAAGAATTGGATGATAGAAAAATAATGTACCAATAATCTATACTTACATCGATACTACCTCCTATATACATATACTTGCAAGTTGCAACATGTCAGTTCTCATCGCCCTTCAACGATAATAGATTCAGTCAAGTCATTGATGGACCATTTCTCCGCACTGGAAGAGGATTGAGCATTGTAGATCGCAGGATTCGGTGCCTTGTTCTGGAACGTGTAAGTGGGTTTGCTCGGCCGCGGAAGACTCGTTTCCCCGCTAAGCATGGAGAGCACACTCGCCATTGTTGGCCTGTCAGAAGCATGATCTTGCACGCAGAGCAGTCCCACGTTCATGCATCTGCTCACTTCCGACGGCTTACTCGACTCTGCAACTGTCTCGTCGGCCATGTCCACTCCCCAGCTTTTCTCCCATGATCGCCATGCCTACAGAAGAAATGCTTCTCGTCAGCATCACGTACAGAAGATCATTGGTGAGCAACAATTTGATGTTCATAAGAAAGAAGGCTCAACTTACATAAGAAAGAAGGCTGGGATGGTGCTCTTCGTAATGGAAGCTGGTAGTTTTCCTGCCACTGACTATTTCCAACACGAGAACTCCGAAGCTGAACACATCAGATTTCTCCGAGAACATCCCAGCCAGTAAGTACTCCGGTGACATGTACCCCCTACAAATTTGAGATCAACCGCCATGAAAAAAATCAGCAAATAAGATACAGAATCAGTTGGGAGTGGTAAAAGAAAAGAAGTGTTCCATGGCAGAGTCTACTTACAATGTTCCCACCACCTTATGGGTACTAGCCAAATCCTGTGTCCCTTCGAAAATCCTTGCCAGCCCAAAATCAGATATCTTTGGGTTCATCTTCTCGTCGAGGAGAATGTTGCTGACCTTCAAATCTCTGTGTATGATTCTCAAACATGAGTCGCGGTGGAGATACAGAAGCCCTCGAGCAACCCCGTGTATGATGTTGAAACGTGTCGGCCAGTCCAGCTCTGCCTTCTTTGTCGAATCTGAGCAAACAATGCAAGTCAACCAACGTAACAAGAACATAAGAGAAGGAAGAAACTCAGATGCACAAGCAAAATGAAGCATGAAAGGGAGAGTAGAGCAAGAAACCAACCAAAGAGGTAATTGTCCAAGCTTTTCTTGGGCATATACTCATAGACCAAGATCTTTTCCAGTTTGTCAATGCAGCACCCCAGCAGCCTGACGAGATTCCTGTGTTGCAGTTTGGATATCAACATGATCTCATTCTTGAATTCATTCGCGCCCTGTCCCGAGCTGCTCGAGAGTCTTTTGATCGCCACAACTTTCCCATCCGGTAGCTTGCCCTGTGCATTGGACAAGCCTTTCAGCCATCAAAGTATCTGATATAATGTCGAGACCAATTTATCGAAATAACTCGACTTGTTAGAAGTAGTCGTAAAATGCATCATATACCTTATAAACAGGACCAAAACCTCCTCGGCCAAGCAAGTTGTCTGTGTTGAAACTGTCTGTCGCTATCTCAATGCTCTCCAAATCAAACATGGGAAGCTCCAATGACTCGTCCGGCTCCTCTGAATAGCCCTTTGGCACATATGTAACCCGTTTCGAAGGTACACTCGAGTTGTCAGTTCCACCTACAAGGACCACAATGCAGTACTATCACTCCCAATAAGAGCTTCAGGACGGATCAAAACAGGTCAAGCACAACACTTTGTGACAGAATCTCCTAATCAGACCTAATTAATTACCTACCCTTTGTTGTATTAACCCTTCTTTTCCTCCACATAACCAAACCCAAAACCAATACCAAAGCAGCAATAACAAGGGTTCCCAGAATAGTAGGTAGTATAACAATCAGCCTTGCAGTCTGCTGCTTCTCATCATCTGAGAAAGAAAAAGGAAGTAAAGCAACTATCTTTAGCAGATGCAATCCCAATATCATTCAACCAATGACTGTCCGGTTAATCGGTTTAACCAGTAAGTGACACTCACCTAATTCAGTACTTGCTAGGCGAAGATACAAATCCTGCCCAGCAAACGGCAGCACCTGCAAATCCACAACCTTCCCTTTCCACATCAAACACCCGATCCCATTCACAAACGAATACGCGGTGCATGAACAGTTGTTCAAGCACTGCCTCGAGCATTCGCCATCGTCCCAAACCCTCATGAACTCTGAAGAATCAGGGACATTCACTCCACTCAACTTCAGAAACCCATCTCCTCCATTACTACTCACGCTACTCTTCCCACATAACAACTCGGTCCTTCTTATGCACCCTCCAGACCAGTTCCCTTGCCTCCATTCCTCCTCCGATTTCGGCACAAACCCTTTCAAGCAGTTGCAAACCAAAGGATCATTCCTCTCACAGACACCAAACTCCCCACATGAACCATAATTCTCACACTGGGATTTAGGAGTCCTCCACCTAGCATACCAACCTCTAGTTCTATCCCAACACCTCAATTCCAGAGATCCTGACGACGACAGTACAAATGTAGTATAAGTGCAGTTTCTAGGTGGACTCAAGGAGAGATAAACCAAACCCTGGTCAAGATCATCAAGGAGCGTGAGTGAGCTCTGGTAATCGGTGTCCATGTCTGGGATATTGGTAAACCTTGCTTTGTCCCAGGGACCGGATCTCCAATACGTCGTTTGATTCCTCCATATGGTAGCCTGCGGCGGCGTTTGGAGGAGGAAACTGGCCGTGAATTCGCCCGGGGAAGGATCGGCGGCGGATTTCCATGCGTTGAGGCGGAACGGTTCAGCCGTTGGGTTGCTGGCGTTGAACATCAGCCATTTTCCGGCGATGAGCGTGTCGCCGGAGTGATCGCCGCTCTGCCACACATTCTGCCCCGTCGAGCCGTCCCTCAAAACCAAGTTCCCGTCATCTTGAAGCGAAGCGATTGCTGCAGAAGGAGAAGAAGCAGAAACGTTGGTTGACCAAACACGACGCCGCATCCCATCTTGTAGCTCCAAATTGCCGCCGGCGTTAACGATCAGCCTCGCAGCGGAATCCGTCACTGGGTTTCCCCGATTGGCCACCCAAACAATTGCCTGGGGATAAGTTTGCTTGAATCGAACCCCTAAATAGCGGTTTCTCGAGCTGTTATCCGGAGCGAAAAACCCCACTTCGAAAATCTGGTTCGGCGAGGTGAGGGTTTGGTTGGGGAAGAGCGGGGAAGAAGAAGAAGTCAAGTTAGGGAGGGAATCGGAGACATGGGCGAAGAGAAACAGAGCAAAGAAGAAGAACCCAATTCGACCCATTCGAATCGGAGAGAACCCTTCTGAGAAAGATTGAAGCTTGATGGACCATCAATGGCGCGATTTGTTGGGTAGTTGTAAAGTGAGTCAATGGATAAAAAGTATAAAATTGGATAGGGGAACTTGCTTGTCCATTTCTAGATCGAACGAAGGTCATCAATTGAAAAGGAAAGGATGAATGGGAAAAAGATTTTGTGGGTTGACTTGGGGGTCATCTTCCTCGTCGTCGTCCACCATTTAATACAGTCAGGCCAAGCTGTCACGTTTTCCGGGATTGGCTGGAACCTTGTTTACTGATAAGCTTTGACCATCCACCCAATTGCAGATCACGGGAGCACGACGGCGCGGTCGCCATTGTTGGTGAAGTGAGTCTTGGAGAGCTGCGCGTAGCGATGGTTTAGTAGGTAGACCGTAGACGACGCAGGGTTTTCAACGCCAGTAGTTTGTTGTTTTCTTGGCCTTTGGATTTTCTGTTGAACTTTTTCCCTCCTTGTCTTTGTGTTAGGTAGTAACTTGGCGGGAAGGCAAGGGTTAGTGTATTTAATTAGATTAGACCTATGGTAATTAGTTTAATCTTAGCTCAATACTATCAGCTGAGCGTGATGGAAATCTCCCCTTGGTAATACGAACTGTCAATTTTATCGGATGCTTTGAAGAGTAACTGGTTAGGTTGTTTTGGACATTATCGAAATGAAATTATCATCTTTATATTTTCGAATAAAATGGGCGTGGATGAACTTGTTCTAATTAGCGTGCGTGCAAAATAATTTGTTGCGACACACAACCTATCGTAAAATTGGACGAGGATGTTGTACGATACGGATCTTACTTATCAATTATTATTCATTAAAGTAGTGTATCTTTGATCTAACTCGAGGGATGATAACTACTTTGAGAAGATTGGTCTGTGTCTTTTTTTTATTACTTTTTTTTTAACTTTTCATCTTCTTATGTATTTAATAAAGTATCCACCGTCAAATGTGCTGACTAATGACCAATCTCTTGTCACATGGTTTTAATTATAGATACTGACTTCATATGGATTGTTACGTAACACCAAACAATCTAACTATTGATGAAAATGCTTTTTTTTTAAGTTTTAACCCACTAAATGAGAAGCCATGTTGTACTTATTGAAGTAAAAGTACAAGGAAAAATAGAACATCTTATAAAAAAATCGAAGGATTTTTGAGAAAAATCAAAATGAGTTGATTTCTCACTTTCTTTTATAAACTTTTGAAGAATAATAAATCTAACACTTTATAGCTAGTGTTGAAACTTCGGGCACGTCCAGTATACACTTTTTGTTTGGGTGTATTTGGTCTAAAATTAAACTTTAATTGTTAAATTTTAATTGTTGGTATTTGTTTAGTATGATGGTATGGACAAGAATATAGTTAATTCATGCATGTTTACTCATATTTTTGTTCTTAATGATCATTAAATAAAATTTTAATGTTGTAGAGAGCAAGTATAAAAATATCTAACATACAAGTAAATCACAAATAAAATTTCACGTACGTATTTATGTTAATTATTAAACACTTGAAACAAATAAGATTACTATTATAAGATTTGAGTGTACAGTATACACCTAAGTTCAACGATGCACCATATACGCACCCTAAATTTTTTGTGGTAAGAAATCATTTTACTATGAATTATTATTATGATCCCTAATCATTTATTTACAATTGGGGGCAACAATATGCCATATGGCAATGGAGAATTGAGAGTGAGAGTTCCAAATAAGAAATCGTCTTTTATTTTGTTTCACATACAAGAACATAATAACTAATGATTACTTGGTGGGAAAATATTCTCGGAGAAGGAAATTTTGGGAATAATTTCTCAAACACGATTTTATTTGTTTTTTGTTTTTAGTTATGGGGCTTTGATAAAACCGCTAAAAATGATTTCGATGTCAACACACTCCACAAACATGGCATAAACGGAGAACTCTATTAATAGAATCTCTATATTTGTCATAAGCTAACACATTTGTAAACGAGATGTTGTATTCTTCCACACTATAAAACTCTTGGAATAGGTCACAAACTAAAGTAATAAAAGACAAACAATTTAGAAGGTGTGAAAGGGGAGATATAAAGCATTCATGGCGAGAAATCACAAGTTTTTGGTTTTGACGGTCACCTTCTTCTTCATCATCCTATTCATATCTCCTTTCGTTATTGGAGATGATCAAGAAGAAGAGGAAGATAATGGGGATACTGGACACACAGGTCATACAGGACACACGGGTCATACAGGACATACAGGTCACACAGGCCATACCGGTCATACTGGACATACTGGTCATACCGGCCATACAGGTCACACAGGTCACACCGGTCATACTGGGCATACGGGTCACACAGGACATACTGGTCATACAGGTCACACAGGACATACTGGTCACACAGGTCATACTGGTCATGGTAGAGAAACATTAGAGACACCAGCGACTCCAGCAACACCTGCTACACCTGCCACACCAGAGACACCAGCTACTCCGGCGACACCAGCTACACCTGCCACTCCAGCTACTCCTAAAACACCTGCTACACCCAAAACTCCGGCCACTCCTAAAACACCAGCAACACCAAAAACTCCAGCTACTCCGAAAACACCGGCAACGCCAAAGACTCCAGCAACTCCAAAAACACCCGCAACACCAAAAACACCCGCGACTCCTAAAACACCCGCCACACCAAAAACACCTGCTACACCAAAGACGCCGGCCACCCCCAAAACACCTGCTACACCAAAGACCCCGGCCACCCCAAAAACCCCAGCAACCCCAAAAACACCTGCCACACCAAAGACACCAGCCACCCCTAAAACTCCAGCTACCCCAAAGACACCTGCCACACCTAAAACGCCGGCTACACCAAAAACACCAGCCACACCAAAGACACCAGCTACTCCTAAAACTCCAGCAACACCTAAGACACCGGCTACTCCAAAAACACCTGCTACACCAAAGACACCAGCTACTCCTAAAACACCCGCCACACCAAAGACACCAGCAACACCAAAGACTCCAGCTACTCCAAAAACACCAGCAACACCGAAGACACCAGCTACTCCTAAAACCCCAGCAACCCCAAAAACACCAGCTACACCCAAAACTCCTGCAACTCCTAAAACTCCAGCCACACCAAAAACACCAGGGACACAAGAAGAACATGGTGGACACGATTTATAATTTGATTTGACATGAAAGTAACATTTTATGAGGTTCTCTTCTCAAACTTGATCTTTCTAATAACGTTTTGGACATTATCCAATGAAATTATCATCTTTATATTTCCGAATAAAATGGACGTGGATGAACTTGTTCTAATTAGTGTGCGTGCAAAATAATTTGTTGCGACACACAACCTATCGTAAAATTGGATGAGGATGTTGTACGATACGGATCTTACTTATCAATTATTATTCATTAAAGTAGTGTATCTTTGATCTAACTTGAGGGATGATAACGACTTTGAGAAGATTGGTTTGTGTCTTTTTTATTGCTTTTTTTTTTAACTTTTCATCTGCTTATGTATTTAACAAAGTATCCACCGTCAAATGTGATGATTAATGACCAATCTCTTGTCACATGGTTTTAATTATAGATACTGACTTCATATGGATTGTTACGTAACACCAAACAATAAAACGCGACAATTGATAAACAATCGAACTATCGATGAAAATGCTTGTTTTTAAGTTTTAACCCACAAAAGTAGAAGCCATGTTGTACTTATTGAAGTAAAAGTACAAGAAAAAATAGAACATCTTATAAAAAAATCGAAGGATTCTTGAGAAAAATCGAAATGAGTTAATTTCTCACTTTCTTTTATAACCTTTTGAAGAATAATAAATCTAACACTTTATAGCTAGTGTTGAAACTTCGGGCACGTCCAGTATACACTTTTTGTTTGGGTGTATTTGGTCTAAAATTAAACTTTAATTGTTGGTATTTGTTTAGTATGATGGTATGGACAAGAATATAGTTAATTCATGCATGTTTACTCATACTTTTGTTCTTAATGATCATTAAATAAAATTTTAATGTTGTAGAGAGCAAGTATAAAAATATCTAACATACAAGCAAATCACAAATAAAATTTCACGTATGTATTTATGTTAATTATTAAACACTTGAAACAAGTAAAATGAATAAGATTACTATTATAAGATTTGAGTGTACAGTATACACCTAAATTCACGATGCACCCTATACGCACCCTAAATTTTTTGTGTGGTAAGAAATCATCTTACTATGAATTGTTATTATGATCCCTAATCATTTATTTACAATTGGGGGCAACAATATGCCATATGGCAATGGAGAATTGAGAGTGAGAGTTCCAAATAAGAAATCGTTTTTTTGTTTGTTTCACATACAAGAACATAATAACTAATGATTACTTGGTGGGAAAATATTATCGGAGAAGGAAATTTTGGGAATTATTTCTCAAACACGATTTTATTTGTTTTTTGTTTTTAGTTATGGGGCTTTGATAAAACCGCGAAAAATGACATCGATGTCAACACACTCCACAAACATGGCATAAACGGAGAACTCTATTAATAGAATTTCTATATTTGTCATAAGTTAATACATTTTTAAACGGGATGTTGTATTCTTCCACACTATAAAACTCTTGGAATAGGTCACAAACTAAAGTAATAAAAGACAAACAATTTAGAAGGTGTGAAAGGGGAAATATAAAGCATTCATGGCGAGAAATCACAAGTTTTTGGTTTTGACGGTCACCTTCTTCTTCATCATCCTATTTATATCTCCTTTCGTTATTGGAGATGATCAAGAAGAAGAGGAAGATAATGGGGATACTTGGCACACGGGTCATACATGACACACAGGTCATACAGGCCATACAGGTCACACAGGCCATACCGGTCATACTGGACATACTGGTCATACTGGCCATACAGGTCACACAGGTCACACCGGTCATACTGGGCATACGGGTCACACAGGACATACTGGTCATACAGGTCACACAGGACATACTGGTCACACAGGTCATACTGGTCATGGTAGAGAAACATTAGAGACACCAGCGACTCCAGCAACACCTGCCACACCAGAGACACCAGCTACTCCAGCGACACCATTAACACCTGCCACTCCAGCTACTCCTAAAACACCTGCTACACCCAAAACTCCGACCACTCCTAAAACACCAGCAACACCAAAAACTCCAGCTACTCCCAAAACACCGGCAACGCCAAAGACTCCAGCAACACCAAAAACACCCGCGACTCCTAAAACACCCGCCACACCAAAAACACCTGCTACAACAAAGACGCCGGCCACCCCCAAAACACCTGCTACACCAAAGACCCCGGCCACCCCAAAAACGCCAGCGACTCCAAAAACACCTGCCACACCAAAGACACCAGCCACCCCTAAAACTCCAGCTATCCCAAAGACACCTGCCACACCTAAGACACCGGCTACACCTAAAACGCCAGCTACACCAAAAACACCAGCCACACCAAAGACACCAGCTACTCCTAAAAATCCAGCAACACCTAAGACACCGGCTACTCCAAAAACACCTGCTACACCAAAGACACCAGCTACTCCTAAAACACCCGCCACACCGAAGACACCAGCAACACCAAAGACTCCAGCTACTCCAAAAACACCAGCAACACCGAAGACACCAGCTACTCCTAAAACCCCAGCAACCCCAAAAACACCAGCTACACCCAAAACTCCTGCAACTCCTAAAACTCCAGCCACACCAAAAACACCAGGGACACAAGAAGAAGATGGTGGACACGATTTATAATTTGATTTGACATGAAAGTAACCTTTTATGAGGTTCTCTTCTCAAACTTTGAGGTTCTCTTCTCAAACTTGATCTCTCTAATAACGTATTCTCTTTACATCTTAGTTGATACGAATAAGTTGTTTATGTCTAAAAAAAGTATTATGCACACGCTTTTATCGTTCAGATCATGTTACAGTTTATAATAAAAAAATTAAAATCACAATGTAAGGCCAAGCCAAGTTTCTTTTTCTCCTACCTTTCGATTTACAAAAAAAAAAAAAAAGGCCATTGTACAGAAAATGATTTGTTGAATAAAATTAGTTGCGAAGTGTTCATCCTTTGTGCACAACAACACAAATCCAATCTTCCAAGGTGAACTGTTGTGGCCCTCAGAATACATAATTTCGCCTCATAATCAAACCTCATCATACCAAGTCTGTGATAAACCAATGTCTTTACATCAAGAAATCTAATGAAAACCTACGTATTATCAATCAGAATGAACAATTTACATGTATAGGTATATGCAAAGAAAAAATGAGAAAGGGTCAAAACAAAAGGGAGATAAACATATGCAATTGCATATACTCATCTTCCTATAACCATTGTGACAGTTAACTCATTCGACACAATATCCTGACCTTCTGAATAGAGATCTCTGTCAACGGAAGCTCTCATGGAAGACGTGAAAGTCGGCTGCCTCGGCATTGGCAAGCTCGGACTATCGCTTTCCAGCGTCAACATCACTGCCGCCATCGTTGGTCTCTGAACGGGGTTGTCTTGTACACACAACATCCCTAGTTGTATGCATCTCAACTGTTCTTCTTGAGGAGAGGAACCTCGAACCGAAGGATCCACGAGGTCCAGTGCTCTGCCTTCACTCCAGAGCTCCCATGCCTGAAAAAGAACGGAAAATTGACATCAAGAACACCGTTATGGCCGGATGAAAAATATTCAATTGGTTTAAGAGATTGAAGCTTTACATATCCGATGAGGTTCACATGATCCGACGAGCGAAAGCTTGTGTTCCTTCGACCAGTGACAATTTCCAATACTAATACACCGAAGCTGTACACGTCTGATTTGACAGAGAACAATCCTTCCATTGCATATTCAGGCGCCATGTAACCGCTGCAAGAGTTTAATGATCATCAAATTAGCTAATGGAGTTTTGTTTCAGCAAGGACTTCCATCGAACAGGTCTGGGCAAGAAGAAACTCACTATGTCCCAACTACTCGATTTGTGTTGGCTTCATTCTGGTTGCCACCAAAGATTCTAGCCATGCCGAAATCTGAAATTTTCGGGTTCATTTCCTCGTCCAGCAGAATGTTGCTGGCTTTTAAGTCTCTATGAATGATTCTGAGCCTCGAATCTCTATGGAGGTAGAGCAGACCTCGAGCTATCCCTTCGATGATAGTGAACCGCTTCGCCCAATCCAAAGTTGCTTGCTTTCTTGGGTCTATAGCAAACAAACCAAATTAGAAAAAATTGACAGTTCAAGCACTTGCAATGAAAAGTGAGGAATTTGGGTAGTAAGACTTACCAAAGAGAAAGAAGTCCAAGCTCTTATTGGGCATATACTCATAAATCAACATCTTCTCATCTCCTTGAACGCAGTATCCCAACAATCTCACCAAATTCCTGTGCTGCAATTTCGCAATCAAGCTTATTTCATTCTTGAACTCCTCCACGCCTTGACCGGAGATTCTCGATAGCCTCTTCACTGCGATTTCTTCACCTCCCGGAAGCTTTCCCTATAACATGATAAAGAACCAAACTTTAGCCAAAAACTGCAAAACCCCATCTGGCTTCAACTTGTTCATGTTCTTCTTGCTACTAAAGCCTTGTTCTTAACACCCTTAAACTCACTTATACATGTCACAATAGGCACTAGTCTCAACCTAATAATCATCTTCATCATTGTCATCTCCCCATGTCACCTCCACCTGATTTTACAGTTATGTAGCTACCCTGGCAGCTTTTAATTGGATAACCAAAAGGCTGCTACCATATCAGCAAAAACTTGCAGAGCAAACAGAATGAAAACTAACAGTGATGCATAAGAACGATTCTAGCGATTTATTTTCATCAACATCGTGTTTAAATCCTCATTCAACAACATATGACTCACCTTATAAACCGGGCCGAATCCTCCTTGGCCGAGCTTGTTCTCTATTGAGAAGTTATTCGTTGCAATCGCTACGCAGTTGACATTGAACAATGGCAAATCCGCAGGATTCATTTGACTTCCTTCAATGATCTCAGCTGGGCCAGAAAGATCTGAGGAAAACTCCCTGCTCTTGCTAGTATCAAACATGGGAGTCTCATTCTGTTTTGCCCCTGACACAGAAGGGGCTGCTGGAATAACTGTCGAGAAAATTTGTCTATCAGAGTCATGACAATTGACAAGTAAATTAAACAGAAGTTGCTCGAGAAGATCAATAATAGCTACTGACCTTGAAGCTTCCTTTTGATTCTGCAGAACAG